TATCCTGTTTATCTTTGATACTAACAGCTCTCTAGGGCCTCCAAAACCTTCTAGCCCGTTTGGGCCGCATGTCGGTGCTCAATCCGTTGTTTGTTACGGTCACTTGGGGCGCCGGGGGCTCAACCAGCGCGAAGACGCTTGACTTGGTCGCCATGTGCCAGCGCGAGCTCGGCTTCACGACTTGCATGCACTTAACCTGCACAAACACGACGCGCGCAACCATCGACGATGCATTGGCGCGCGCGAAGGCCGCGGGCGTGCGCAATATTCTCGCGTTGCGTGGGGACCCACCGCGCGGCGAGGAGCTCGGTTGGGACAACAGTCTGAGTGACTTCCAGTACGCCGTTGACTTGGTCCGTTACATCAAGAAGCAGCATGGTGACTTTTTCTGCATCGGGGTCGCAGCCTACCCCGAGGGGCACGTCGAGGGCTCCGACTCTTCCGGACAGAGTCCTGCAAAGGACATGCCTTTTTTGGTAGAGAAAATCAAGGCTGGAGCTGACTTTGTCATCACGCAAATGATCTACGATGTTGAGAAGTTCTTAGCCTTCGAGCACACCATCCGTGAAAACGACGATATCAAGGACGTGATCGTTCTCCCGGGATTGATGCCAATCAACAACTTCAGCGTGTTCCACCGTGCGTCCAAACTCTCCCACGCGTCCATTCCTACCTCCATCTTGGCGCAGTTTCCGCCAGAGATCCAGGCAGATGACAACTTAGTCAAGCAGGTAGGGGTGGACGTCATGTGCGACGTGATCCAGCAGATGTACACTCGCACCGACAAGCGCGTGCGCGGGTTCCACTTTTACACTCTCAACTTGGAAAAGTCGTTGGCGCAGATTGTCGAAAAGTCACCGTTGTTGCAGCGCATCTTTGACACTGCGAGTTTCAACGAGACGTTGCACGTTGACGGCTCCTCCGATCTCAACAAGCTCGTACGGGAGAAGCGCTCCGACTCGGGCTCCTTCAAGAACACCGTGGTGTTTGACGACGCTCCGAATGCGCGGCCTGGCTCTCACAAGCCATCCTCGTCTTACCACCAAAGAGTGCTAACCATCTCGTCCGGCCAGGGAACCCTTGGTCGTGATGCCACGTGGGACGACTTTCCCAACGGGAGATTCGGTGACTCGCGGTCCCCGGCCTACGGTGAGATCGACGGCTATGGGCCGTCCTTAAAAGTATCTGTTGAAGCAGCCGTCGCTCTCTGGGGGCGGCCAGAAAACCCAAAGGACTTGGCTAAAATCTTTGTCGACTTCTTAACCAACAAGATTTCCAATTTGCCATGGGCGGCCTCTGCTGATGGTGGTTTGAACCCTGAAACCGCACTCATCCAGGAACATTTGATTGAGTTGAACGAACGCGGTTGGTTCTCTCTCGCGTCGCAGCCGGCCACTGACTGCACCAAGTCTCAGGACAAAATCTTTGGGTGGGGTCCGCGTGGTGGCTATGTCTATCAGAAGTCATTTGTAGAGTTATTCATTACCAAGGCTGAGTGGGAGTGCACATTAAAGCCCAAGCTAGAGCAGGACGAAATGGCGAGCTACTACGTTGCCGACAACGGAAGTTTCTTCGAGTCGAACTTACCTCCAAAGAGTGTCAACGCCGTTACCTGGGGTGTGTTCCCAGACAGAGAGATTGCTCAGACCACCATTGTTGAGGAGGAGTCCTTCAAGGCATGGAAGTCCGAAGCGTTCAGCTTGTGGCAAGAGTGGGCCAGATGCTACCTGCCCGGCTCTAGGTCGAACACGTTGTTAGCCAGCGTCTTGGAGGACTACTACTTGGTGAGCATTGTCCACCATGATTACAAGAACGAGACCGCATTGTGGGACTTGCTTTTGTTGTAAGGTACGATAACTATATAGGGCAATTAAGGAGTCTCTCTATTGAATGGTTGTCTGACAGTTCGTTACTCCAACATTATTTTAACACTTTTTTCTTCAGCATTGTTCTATACCCGATACGGTGTGCACTATCCATTGGAGTCACCATAGTTTGTTCATATTTCTTACATACCTTTTTTTTCTCTTTCATAGAATTTTTGGTGGACTGTATGGTGTAATAGCGTAGATAACAGCTCAGTTATGAACGGAAAATAGATCCACCGTCGCTGCTGCCGACCAAACAGCTTTCGACATAGCTTCAGACTTTTAATAGGCTCGAATTGTTGGTCATATCCATCTTGTTTTACATCATCAAGATTGGTTGAATCGCGGACCTATGATATCCAGAGATTCCATGGCGGTATCACCATTTACCAGATCGGATACCCCCCGAGGTCATATTGATACTTTGTAGCGCACCGAAAATCTGTAACATTTGGTAAAAACGGAAGCGTTCATGATACTGGATAACTCTTGAAAACTTGCTGGCCCTTCTCTAAGCACCACAAAATTGATCCCTAAGGAATCTAAAATAAACCATAGTCGAAGCTTCCATGCTCTCTTGAGATCTAACTCGGCGTTTTATTTTTTTCTGCCTGGATCTCTTGTTTAAGTCTTTCAATCTGTCTCTTAGCCAAATCTACATTCAAAGCCGGAATCTCACCCCCTAGAAACTCCACGCTGGCATTTGTCAAGAACAACACACCCTTCACCATCAACGTTCCACTCTTGACCACTAATTTGGCTCCTAGCGTAATGGGGAAATCAGACCCCATGGTCTGCCCCGCTAGGAATGCAAGCTTCTCCATTTCAAATCCGTAGCACAAAGCTCCCAGGGTGTCCTGGAGAGTCAACTTGAACGTACGCGTGCGGTTGTTGGACGACGAGGGCTTTGGAGGACCTTGTATCGGCTGGTCGCTGGCGTCAAGATCAACATTACGAATGATGCCAGTATTGGCGGCATTGCGCAACTTGTCAACCGATACACTGCTGGGGTCGTGTAGTGCTTCCCAGTTATCTAACTGGGTGATGAGCAGCTCTGTGATGTTGCAGATGTCTACCACCTGGAAGAGTGTAGCCTGTGGAAGGTTGGCTTCATCCGGAACGTTTATAGCTAATTGGAAGGGAAATCTTGTGCGAGATGGTGCCAAAATGGCAGGTGGGAAGCGAAGCGCGGGACTGGTGATATCCAGTAAGAGGTAGTTCATGGAGTATCTGGTTGAGGAAAAGCTTCGAGTGAAAACCCGAAAGGAAAGAAGAGACACTGTAAGGCGGAACACGGTGTTAACTTTTTTGCGGCCTAGATTGGAATAGGCCTGATTCGTCACAGTTTATATAAGCGGGAGGATGGAATACGAATCGCGTTGATAAGGGTATAAAATCTGTTTTGTTTTGGGATTCCCAGAATGACTGTGGGTAGAGTGTCAGTGACCTTTGTAGAGAGTTCTCGGTTGTTCTATCTATTGTTTTTGAAAGTTCCTTGACCTTGACGAGTAGCTTCGGATCAAGAATTTTTATATGGATTCAGCGATCATATACTTTGGAGTTGTACAACCCCAACACATAATCATAATGACTGATCCCGCAAGTATGTCACTGCTCTATGCAGAACCAAGATTAGTGCGAGGTCACATGATGATCCTTGTGGCAACTAGTGGAAAGCTGAAAGCTTCTCAAACAAAAAATGTATTCTTGGTAGTCTGGAGTTACGAAAGTTTAGTGTATAAAAAGACAAAGATCTTCCTTTAGGTCGATTTTAATCCTGTTCTAGAGCTCTAGCTGTGGCAAACTCCGAAACTATCGGATCAGAACTGAAAGTATTGGTACTATCGCATCTAATTCAAACAGGGACTAAGCTACGATTGGGACAAGTCAGCATGAATTTAACGAGAGAAAAAACTCCGTGTAATGGATTTTCCCACTGAATACCAAACCCAACCATAGGTAAACCTTCGATTAAACCCGTTTGTTGTAACATTACCCCAACCTACTTTGAATTCACGTGCAAAAGCACGTGACGATGCTGCGTATCCAACGGTGAGAGGATTACAAAACTCATATAACCGAACTCTACGCTCCACTTCTTGAAGACTCACCACGATATCTACCCCATCTCTTTGATGACAATATACTCGCTTTATATTCTAAACAAGGCGGGAGGGTTGATCTATCAGACAGACCCGTGTCCAGGCCTCAACAAACTCTCCGCGAATGAGTATCTTGTGCTAGCGGGAACTCTCCACGGGGTGCACGCGATTGCGTCGCGGATCTCGCCAACGGCACCCACGCCTAACACCGGGTTTTTTGGTACTGGCAAGGCGGTTGCGGGAAACTGCAACACATCGGGTTTGAAGTCGCTCGAGACGGACGCGTTCGCAATGTACGTGTTCCAGACGGTGACTGGGCTCAAGTTCGTGCTCGTTACCGCACCCGGGACGCGTGCGCAGGCGGACGCGGCGGAGCTGGTGTTGTGTCGGATCTACGAATGTTACGCGGACTACGTGATGAAGAACCCGTATTATTCGTTGGACATGCCAATCCGGTGCGACATGTTTGACGAGAAGGTTGTGGAGGTTACCCAGGTTGTTGTTTAGCTATAAACTCCGCAGGAACAGATGGGTTCCTTGGAAGTTAAAGCATCGAATTCTGGCCAAAGTTACGCATGACGCGAACGCAACGCTGCCAAAGCTGCGTCGGTTATCAGTCCCCATGGCCTTCTGCGGGCGAGCCCCTATAAGTTGGGTGCTTACTATGCTGTTTAGACACAGATAGTGTGTATTAATACATTTTAGTGTGACTTTAGACACGGGTGGCTTTGATTAATATATATCAAGTGAGAATTTTTCTTCTGTAAGGGTGAGTGAAAAGCACCACTAGGATCAGTCTAGGGGATTTGTCCGGGCTTCAGGGGTTTGTTAGCCATCAGGTGCGTCCAACTACAGTTGGCAACTAGAGAATCGTGAAAATATTCAGGGTTTATACAAATGTTCATGGTGACTATCTTATGTTCCTGAATTCCCAATTCGATAATATCAATGTTCCTGAAACTTTACACTTTCCTGTGGGTTTATAGGGTACAACCTGCTTTCTACATAATCATCCGGTAGTCATGTTTCTAAAGGACCAAACATGCAGATACTTAAATCAATCAGTCATGCCAAATAGTTTATAACTATTAAATCACATTATTCCAGTACGCCTGCAAAATCCGTGTTTATGGCCGGAAAAACTCCTTCCCAAATCATGTTCTGACGCTTGTATCAATCACGCCTGAATGTCTCGATTCTCTTCCGATGGTGCTAGTTTGTCACGTGCTTCCCCATCTGCAAAACCCCTGCTAGCCGTACAGCGGCAAACCAGTGTACAGGATACGAAATTTTCATACACCTCCACAAGTAAAACATGTCAAGAGTAGACAGCGCTCTAGCTGCTCATTTCGGCTGCTACAGGAATATACCACTCTTTCCTAGATATACACGATGAGACTCTCCCGCACCCCAACACTAAGGTGTGTGAGGTGTCTCTCGATGACGCCACTCCTCGAGCAGAACGTCAAGCCGTACCAAATTAAGCTGAAGACGGTCCCTTCAGCAAGAGGTGATTTACCGAGAGGTGAATACAGAGAGGTGCCTCCTAAAGCGAAATCTCCTAAAATGTTGGCTAATCTAAAGCCCAATCCATGTTTGGCCAGACTAAAAAGTGATTTGCAATCAGCGCCGCGCGCAGAACCTCGGGCAACGTCTGCGCTCGCCTTAGATGGGTCACTTACCGTTGGCATCACCCCATCTTTGGCAGCGTTCATCACCATGGGCTTTTCCCGTCTCGCCGAGCTTGTTCACACCGATGCTTACACTTTGCCGCTTCTCCGCGACCTTGCTGTGAACAACACCGCGGTCAAACACGCGAAGTTTCACCAGCTCTGGAGAGACGTCACACAGCAGTTGAAACACGCAGCAACAGTCTCTCATGGGCTGTCTACCTCAGTCACGACCTCACCTGCAACGAACCTTGCGGATTTCATTCTCCCCGACCCTTCCAGCTGCGCCAACCTCATCCTCTCTACCTACAATAACTCTTTTCCATCCTCCCTTGCCAGCCATCACAATCTCCCCACTCAGCCTGCCCAGTTGACGCACATTCTCCAGCACCTTTACTACCAATACCTCGTTCCGGCAAAAATCGCGCAGATACCGCCGCGTAAGCTCAACATCGATATCCTGAACCCCGCGGAATGGTTCCCGGAGGCACGCAAAATCCGCCGCAAGGTGATCATGCATGTAGGGCCGACCAACTCAGGTAAGACATACCGTGCGCTCCTTCGCTTGGAGCGCGCGGCGACCGGCTACTTTGCGGGGCCGTTGCGGCTCCTCGGACGTGAGATCTACGAGCGCATGCGCGCGAAAGGAATCCGGTGTAACCTTATCACAGGTGAGGAGATCATCCCCGACTTGGACCGCTACGGAAACCCCGCGGGGATCTCGTCGGGAACGGTGGAGATGATTGACTTACGCAACGAGATGGAGGTATGCGTGCTCGATGAGATCCAGATGATTGCGGATGAGTATCGCGGGTTCGCCTGGACAAATGCGTTCTTGGGGGTCAAGGCGCGCGAGATACACCTCTGTGGCGAGGCAAGTGCGGTTCCATTGATCAAGAAGTTGGTAGAGATCACGGGCGACGCTCTCGAGATCAACCACTATGAACGTTTGGGAAAGTTGGAGGTGTCCAACCGCTTTGTTAACATCCGCAGCTTGATGCCTGGCGACGCAGTCATCGCCTTCAGTAAGCGCGGCATCTTAGAGCTCCGCCAGAAGATTGAAGAGCAGACTATGTACAAGTGCGCAGTGGTGTACGGTGCGTTGCCTCCGGAGACGCGTAACGCGCAGTCGGACGGGTTTAATACCGGGAAGTACGATATTTTGGTGGCGAGCGATGCCGTAGGGATGGGTTTAAACTTGAAGATCAAGCGGATTGTATTTTCCGCGGTGGATAAGTTCAATGGGGAGGAGATGGAGGTCGTTTCACCGCCACAGATCAAGCAGATAGGGGGGAGAGCGGGTCGTTACAGAGTAGCACCCGTAAACCGGGCCCCCGAAGGAAGGTCTATTAGCGGTTATGGCTCGGCTGGTAGTAAGTTTGCTTCTATCTCTGTCCCTGATGCTGAGGCTGCATCTTTGCCGAAGGCAAATCTGCAAATTTCAAATCGTTCGGTTAACCTCCCTGCGGATCCCCCCGGGGTTGTCACAGCCTTTTCTCACTCCCAGCTCAAAACCGTTCGTACTGGGATGGCTGCGCCTATCCACTACCTCACCCGAGCGTCTCTCTGGCCATCTGACCCCATCTTTGCGCGCTATATCTCAGAGTTCCCTCACTCTGCCACCTTCTCGCAGGTCCTTGCGGCCTTCCAAAAAGACGTCAAGAACTCTGCCAACTATGAAATTTCCTCGTTGCGCCCGCGCATGGAAATCGCCATCGCGCTCGAAGACATAACCACACGCCACGCGCAGCCCATCATGGTCAGCGACGTGCTCAAATTCGCCACTTCTCCCGCCAAGTGCTCCGATAAGGCTGCGGCCGAGAAAGAACTCTTCCAGAGCTTTGTGCGCACTGTGATCAGCGGTGCCACCACCCAGATCCTCGACTACAGTAATCTCCCCATTGATAGCTTGCGCGTGACGCAGCCTACTGGCAATGAAAACGTGCTCACTCAGTTGGAAATCATGCACCGCGCGATCTCGCTCTTCTTGTGGTTCTCGTATCGCTACCCGAACTTCTTCGTCGATCGCGAAGGCGTCACTGACTTGAAGCATGTGTGCGAGAAACGCATCATGGAAGAATTGGCGTGCTTGAAGGTGATTAAACGGACGCAGTGGAAGGGTAAGAATGGAGGGAGTGGAAGTTGGGCGAAGAAAGGGGATAAGCCCAAGTCCAGGCCTAAGGGTCAGCGAAGATAGACTGTCCTAGATTCGTGTATTATAGATGTATATATCAAATCTTGTATATAGCGCCACGGGATGGCTTACTTGTGAGCCTCTGTAAAGTAGTGAGACTAGGATTGCACACATATGAGTGAGCAAGGCAAAAGTCACGTTAAGAGCAGGCACGCTAGCCAGTGATCAGCATTAGGTATGAATCGAAATAATGATGGATTTCAATATCAAACAAGTATCTGGCGTAGCAATCTAATACATTTTTAAGGCACGAACTAAGTCTATATCAAGAATCCATGAGGTATCCCAACTATTTGAACTGGATTATATTACTGACAGCATAAACCACTATAGAGAGCTTTAACTATAGATTCATGTACCGGTCTCATCCTTCTTAGAGCGTATTCCTAATCAAGTACTCACTTACGCTACCGTTTTCTATAATCCCAATTATGTTAGTTTTATTCGCAAGTAGCTATCCCCCTTTTTAGATCTTCTCAATCACAATGGCGGAGGCACCACCACCACCGTTACAGATACCGGCAACACCGATCTTACCGCCTTCTTGGGCCAACACAGTGGCCAAGGTGACGACGACTCTGGCCCCGGAACAGCCCAATGGGTGGCCGATGGCAACGGCACCACCGTACACGTTTAACTTTTCGGCAGGAATGTCCAACAACTTAGCGTTGGCTAAGCCGACGACAGAGAAGGCCTCGTTCAACTCGAAGAAGTCGACGTCGGCGGCAGAAATGCCGGCGTGCTTCAAGGCCTTTGGAACGGCCAAGGCTGGAGCAATGGTGAAGTCAACAGGGGATCTGGCAGCATCACCCCAACCAATGATCTTAGCGATTGGCTTTAAGCCCAACTCCTCAACCTTGGCAGCGGATACAAGCACCAAAGCAGCGCCACCGTCGTTGATTGGGGAGGCATTTGGCGCGGTAACAGTGCCATCCTTCTTGAAAACGGTTCTGGCAGCTCTCAATTTGTCCTCGTTCAAGTTCTTGATCTCTTCGTCGACAGACACAACCACATCTGGTTTGCCTCTGAAGCCCTTAATGGTGACTGGGGCAATCTCTGCGGCGAACTTGCCGTTGGCGGTAGCCCTCTGGGCCTTCTTGTACGAGTCAATAGCAAAGTTGTCCTGGTCCTCACGCGAAAAGCCCTGGTCCTCCGCACACTTCTCGGCGGCCACACCCATAGCCTGGCCGTCGTAGGCGTCCATCAACCCATCCTTCAGGATCCCATCCACGAGGGCAGAGTCACCGAAGCGGGCACCGCCTCTGGCAGAAGGAATATAGTATGGGGTATTAGACATGGACTCGGCACCACCGGCGATAACAATATCGGCCGTCCCGGTTATGATGGTCTGGGCCGCAAGGACGATGGCCTTCATACCGGACGCACATACCTTGTTAATGGTGGTGGCGACGGTGTCTTCACCCAACCCGGCCTTGATGGCAACCTGTCTAGCTGGGGCCTGCCCGACGTTGGCCTGCAAAACACCACCGAAGAAGATCTCTTCAACGTCAGTTGGCTTGATTTGTGGGACCTTGGCGAGGGCAGCGGTGACGGCGTGGGCGCCAATGTCGGAGTACGAAAGGGATGAGAGGCCACCCTGGAAGGAGCCAATTGGAGTACGCGCGGTAGCGACGATATAGACGGTAGAGGAGGACATTGTGGTATAGGGGGGAAGATGAAAAAAGGAGAGGTATCAACAGGGGACGCCTTATTTATATGCCGGTTTTTCGCGTTCGTTTCGCTCGTAAAGACCGGCACGCGAACGCTCGAGAAGAAAAGTGGCGAAGTGCCGCGGGTGCGATATACGACGGCTTAGTAATAGACTGGGTTGATGAGTATCAGTAATAATCCGAATGTAGGACCGGGCTTATTTCTTGATTCACTGGACTACTGTGTCCTGGAATAGCGTAGAGGTAGGACCTAAACAGGGCTGATATGTGTTGTGGCGCAGTTTCTTAATAAGTACGAGAGGTGGCGCAGTTTCTCTAAAGTGTCAACTTTGTGGCAACTGCTGGGCGAGGGTCAAGAATAGTGAGGGCGCTTAGTCTTTGAGATAGTTCGTATCTTCAGTTATACGTATGGGGTTTATTTACGGAGTTTTCTGAGAACCCCTTGTCTGGTAAAGGCACGGTAGGAGTTTTCTTGTCTTTGTGAACGGAAGTTTTCTTTGGCGCAAACTGAGCATTCATTTTGCTACAACATCCGGAATGTGATGGCTACTCGTTGGCAGTTCAATAATTGGTCCTAGGTATCTTGTAGTTTGCTGCTATGAGTGTATTCTCCCATAATCGCCCTCTTTATATCCCATCTCGCTATGATGGGGTGTCAACAAGTTTAAACCCATACCTTTTTCTATCGGCAACATGTTGGTAGTTTTCAGACCCGAAAATTGTAGTCACACCGGTTTTCCTGTCTATTACACTCATTGATTGGAAAGAATTGTAGATTTAGAAACATGCTGGCATATAACGGTATTTACATACCGAATTATGTCCTTCATGTGTGGCCTTACACAGCTGTAGCCGTATCGATCAATTGTGAGGCAGTAGGAATGACAAACCCCGTTCAAGTGACATTTTTCCGTTGCAGCACTCAAAAGATAAAGTTCGGATATCAATCATTCCCGCTAAATTGTTTTATAGGAAGACCACATGCAACTTTCAATTGAACGCTTCCCCACTAGGTATCCTATCTATGCTTGTCTTCAATTATTCATTACTATATACATGTCACCTCGATGGCTACCCATTACCTACTGGCTAAGCCTCAACACCCCTTCGCATCTCCCACACAAATGATCCTCCTTCTCGGCGGTGTAGTTCCAGCATCTCGGGCAGCTGTGCATAGTGGACGGAACAAGACTGACCTCCATCTTTCCTCCGTCCAACAAAAGCTCGCTGGAGTATTCACCAGTCACTGCCCGCTGATTGACATAGACCTTGGCGACACCGAAGTAAGCGGCGGTAGTGCCGTCGAGTAATTCCGGAGTAGCGGTCATCACATGGAGATCGCACTTCTGCGAATGCTGTACCACCCCATCGTTTTTCTTTCTACCAAGCTCGCTTAAGCGATTGACCTCTTTTCTGACCTTCCATACGACGGAATCGAATCTGTGCTCGATGTCAGCGTCTTTATACGTCTCTGGCACCGCAAACTGCGCCCAATTATTGAGCATGAACGGTGATCTGGCACCTTGAGTGACATGCACCGGAGAGTGTTGCCAACACTCGTGCGTGAGAGCGGGCATGATTGGTGACAACAACGATACGTATGTCTTGTAGATGTGTACGAGCGTCGTCTGGATGGCTCGTCTCTGTACAGAAACTGGGTCTTCCAGATACATTGTATCCTTGATGATATCAAAGTAGGTGGCACTCAAGTCCTGGGCCATATGACGGGTCATTTCCTGCTGGACCTTGGAAAAGTCGTGCTCGTCGTACAACAGTGCACATGTCGTCTGGAGCGTATGGAGTTTCGACATCACGTAGCGGTCCAACGGCAGAAGCTGCGTCACATCCACCATGTCCTCAACCCGGAAGCCGTTCAAGTTACCGAGCAAGAACTTTAACGTGAAGCGGTACTTGCGCAAACTCTCGCCCGCGTGCTTCAAGCCAAACAGGTTGATCACCATATCGCGGGTGTAGTCTGAGTTGGCGATCATCAAACGCAACCCGTCTACCCCAATTGCCTTGATATGGCCATGAGATTTGGTGTGGCCCCCGTGGATGATCGTCTCAGGTGTGATGATATTCCCCAACGATTTCGACATCTTTGCCCCTTTTCCGTCGACCGTAAACCCATGGGTCACAATCTGCTTGTATGGAGGAAGCGTGCTCCCAGCCGCGATTCTAGTGAGTAACGACGATTGGAACCAGCCTCTGTGCTGGTCTGAGCCCTCGAGATAGATATCCGCATAGATCTTGGCCGGGTCCAAGATGTTATTCTCCTTCAAAAACGTCTCTACAACCTTCCACGACGACCCCGAGTCGAACCACACGTCCATAGTGTCCTTCCCCTTAAAGTAATCGTCCGCTTCTGGATGGAGATGCTCTGGAAGCCAACGCTTCATGGAATCTTCAGCAAACCACTCGTTCGTCCCGAGTTTCTTGATCTGCTCAATTGTGTACTTAACCACCTCGAGCTCCAAGAGCGGCGCCCCGGTGGACTTGTGGTACACCATCGGGAGCGGAACACCCCACGAGCGCTGGCGTGAAATGCACCATTCCGCTCGGTTGCCCACAAAGGCCTGTAAGCGTTTGCGCGCATGAGGCGGTTTGAACTCCACGTGTTCCAATGCACGCATCGCTTGATCTTTGATTCGATCCACATTGATGAACCATTGCGGGGTAGCTCGGATGATGATGGGCTGTTTTGATCTCCAATCGTACGGGTAGGAATGGACATACCCGTCATTGCGATGGTAGACCATCTTGGCTTCTTCTAGCATCTCGAGCATCTTGGCGGTACCCTCCTTCAAGACCTTGAGTCCTAAGAGCGGCTCAAAACCTGCAGGAAGTGCAGCCGTGTACTGCCCGTAGTTGTTCACTGGTGAGTGGATAGGGAGGCTGTTAGCTAGCCCGACGAAGTAGTCGTCATTACCGTGACCTGGCGCCGTATGAACCAAGCCAGTACCGGTAGAGTCGGTTACGTGTTCACCGTGAAGGATGGGAAACTCGCTGGAAAGAATGATGGGGTTGGTGTAGGTGGCAGCGACCAACGCAGTACCCGGAATGGTAATGTCTAAGATGGAGGTGTCGGAAGAAAGCTCTGCAACCTGCTCGATAAGCGCCTTGGCAACAATTAAATTACCCCGAAGGGTTCTCACAATACCGTAATCGAAGTTGGCATTAACACAAATAGCCTGGTTTGCGGCTATTGTCCATGGTGTTGACGTCCATATCAACGCGCTGAGCGTTTCCTGTGGGATCTGGTGCTTTTCCAACACCGCTTGCAACTCTGGCGTAACTTTTTTAATCGGAAATACGAGGTACGTCGTCTTAGACTTGTGGGCCTCGTTGTATTCGAGCTCACCCTCGGCTAGCGCCGTGTGGGTCTCGCAACTCCAGAACACGGGCTTCTCCTGGCGTGAAACCAAGCCCTTTTCATATAACAGGGCGAAAATATCCAACTGGTCCGCCTCATACCCCGGGTTTAGTGTGATGTATGGAGTCTTAAAATCTGCCATGATCCCTAACTGCTGGAACTGTGCCTTCTGGACCTCAATGGTTGCGCGCGCGAGCTGTTCGCAGTGGTGACGGATCTGCACAGCTGTCATGTCCGATGCCTTCACCTTGCGTTTCTTGAGCGCTTCGAGTGCCTTCATCTCGATCGGTAATCCGTGGCAATCCCAGCCCGCGCGGTAAAACACGCGTTTGTTGTAGCGCATCAACTGCCACCGGTTGATCGTGTCCTTGAGCACCTTGTTAAGAGAGTGACCGAGATGAAGATCCCCGTTCGCATACGGCGGCCCATCGTGAAACACAAAGAGGTTTGACCCGTCTGGCTCGATCGGGAGCCGTTCCTGCCACTCGTACAACTCCGTGGAGCACTGGGGGATGTAAGTGATGGTGTCTGGCTTGGAAGGGAAGGTGGTCGTGGGTAAACGAAGCGTTGAGGAGTATTTGTGGGCATCGACCCCTGTCGCGTAACGGCGCGCAAATCTCAACATATAGAGAGAAGTGGAGGGGAAAAGAGAAGATTGAGACGGAGAGTTTTGTGGAGCGTTTTAGAGTGAAAAATGTACGTGCAGGACAGGCTGATGATTTAAGGTCTAGCCGTGGTATGTAAGAGATATAAGGGATTTAGTCGTAAGGGGGTAGTTAGGTGCTAGAATATATAGGTATTCGACGTATACATAGGTTATCTAATTAAACACCCGTTGGCTGAACTAGAGTTGTGTGATTAGAGTGGTAGAATGGGTGAAAATGTGCCAGCAGGAGAAGCCGCTAGGCTTAAAGTATACAATGACGAACTTACAGATCAGTGGAATGTAACGATTTTTTGTTTCACCAATCTGCAATTAAGGGGATATTTTTTCCTATCTTATAGCCTTTTTATAACTAATAGAATTGCTACGCCATAGTTAGCTTTGATTATGTGGCAAAGTAAATTAATTAATCCCGTTGTCAACAGTAGCCGGTGTTGAGACATGCACACCAAGGTCGTGCATCACCGGCAAAAAAAAACATGTCCTCTATAGTCTGCACCCCAGGCGAGACAGACTTTACAGCACTTTAGACAGCGGTTAGTATGGTCTCTTAAATTACTTCTGTATCATTCTTTAGAGATCAATAAATAGATAATAATGTTTTCGCTCTCCACTACGCTTCGTGTGTGTCACATATCAACACTCCATGTGCTGCGCTCGCTCGCCTCTAGCTTGCTTGGTGTCAGAACCTTTCACTCTGCTCCCTGTACACGCTTCCTCAAGCCAGACCAGAAAGACCAGCTTGAACATGAAATCCATCCGACCGCACCCACCACATCCCCACAGGCAGCTGACATCCGTCAGAATGCGCAGCCGAAGCGTGGTTTCTTATCCCATATCTCGTTCAAGAAGCGAGAAGAACCCACGCCGCTCTCGGCTGAGTTCATCCAAAACCACAAAATTCTCAAGCGTGTGCCCAAGTTTTTGCTCCCCTACGCACAACGCTTCGCACATGCACCGTACTGTCACGTCATCACCTTTGTCATCTTGCACGAGCTCTCTGCGATCGTTCCCCTTATGGGTTTATGGTACCTCTTCAACCGCTTCGACTACGTACCGGTCAACTTTGCACCTGTCTGGGCGATTGAACACGGCGTGGATATGCTCAAGGGCTACGTTGACATCGAAAACGGTATCTTCAAATACTGGGCCGTGGTCGACAAAGGCAAATTAATTGTGCAGGGTGCAAACGCGTACGCCATCACCAAGATGTTGATGCCGCTCCGCGTGATGCTCTCTGTGGCCTTGACTCCGGTAGTTTCGCGCTGGTTTGTCGAACCTTGGGGCAAGATCTTCAAAGCGCTTGTGGGCGGTGACGGTAAGCGCCGTCCGATCAGACTGACAAAGATTTAAGAAGGGCCGATATAGTTGTAAGTTCTCGGTCGAAGCTCTGTAAATATGGTAATAAAGGACAAACACGCTTGGGTGTAAGGGAAGCGGTGGGGATTTGCGTTTAAATCCAAGCCGTCGGTGTTTAGAGGCGTAGCATTTTATTGCCCATACCCTTGATAGCAGATGCCAGGCCATTGAACATGAAATTTAATTGTTTCCGTCTTAACGGCAATTTATCAGCCAGTGCTTAATATATGACAGATTGTAACATTTCTTTTGTTACGATGCGAAGCCATCCAAGGCTGGTCACATGTACAACTTGCATTGGGAGATGGGTGCCACCAACTTCTGAAGACATTGTCTATTCCCAAAAATATCTAGCTAAACGGCCTAAACTAATGATCTTAAAGGCGTAATTAGTCTATACTTTTGTATCCCTGACTGACATTCTGTATCGTGCCCTACCTAATCAATACAGAAAGTCGTGCTACCTCCACAAAATCTTATCGCCTGTCTGAGCCCCATCCAGGATCATCGAACAGGTAAAAGCACCGACTGACTATGATACTGGTCTCATTCCTTTGCATTCTACCTTAATATCCACACCTTTAGAGACCGCTTGAGCTTCCTTCCACGGCTGACTTCCATCTTACGTCGGCTATATTGCATCCCGGCGATTCTCCACTTCCACAGGTCACATTCACTGAGACTCTAGCATTCTAGCATTGCATCATATCCAGCAGATAACTGAAATATAAACGCAGTCTCTCTCCCGTGTCTGCTTCGAATCTGTTGCTCATTCGGCCAGTATTTCCCTAAATTTTTGATTGGACGTTCCACCTCCCTTTAAACCAGTGCCATTCAATCTGGACCCGGTCCTCCAAACTATTCCTCCGTTATTTGTCTTTCTAACCCAAGCGCACTCGATTATACGTATCCCCCCGTGAAATCTGACGCCTTTACAGAATTCCCAACCCAGGCCACGTCCAATTCTTTGTTTCAACCTAAGGCTCTCAGTCCACAGCTCGCCAAGACTGCAACTGAGATTTACGAAGGCAATTTCCTCAGACTTTGACATTGATTTTTAGCATATAACTACCTCTGTTTGAGTCTAGCTCGTTTGTTTCATATTCATACATTTCCGGTGATCCTTCCGCTACCCCATACCAGGTTAAAAGTTTCGCCCCTCGCCTCAGGCACTACCACTCACTCCTCGCCTTTGACTACACCCCTGGCTCATTATGAACCGCCAACCGATGATGGCGCCTGCCAACATCTTCACCCTCGCACCGTACCGCGCACGCAAAGATGCACAGAAGAAAACCGTCCTCCAGAAGTACTCCATCGTTGGCTATATTGCTGCCGGGACCTATGGCCGTGTCTACAAGGCCAAATCTAAAGACAAACTCAACGCGGGTATCTTTGCGATCAAAAAGTTCAAGAACGAAAAAGAAGGTGGCGGTGAAATCACCCACTACACCGGCATCTCCCAGTCTGCGTGCCGCGAGATGTCGCTTTGCCGTGAGCTTCTGCACAAAAACATAACCAACCTCACGGAAATCCTTTTGGAGCAAAAGTCCATCTATATGGTGTTTGAGTTCGCAGAACACGACTTGCTCCAGATCATCCACTATCACTCGCACCCAGAGCTCAAGCCAATTCCTGAGCCCACTATCAAGTCCATTATGTGGCAGATCCTCAACGGCGTGCTGTACCTCCACCAGAACTGGGTCTTCCACCGCGATTTGAAACCGGCAAACATCATGGTTACCGCAGACGGGGTGGTAAAGATCGGTGATTTAGGGCTCGCGCGGCGCTTCAACAATCCCGTTCAATCACTCTACACTGGCGATAAGGTTGTCGTGACTATCTGGTACCGTGCCCCTGAGCTTTTGCTTGGTGGAAGACACTACACCCCCGCGATCGATCTCTGGGCCACAGGATGCATTTTTGGCGAGCTTCTCGCACTCCGGCCGATGTTCAAAGGGGAAGAGGCGAAAATGGACACCAAGAAGACGGTGCCATTCCAGAAGAACCAGCTCACCAAAATCATTGAGATCTTGGGCGCACCGACCCCCAAGAACTGGCCAAACCTTGTTTCCTACCCTGAGTACACCACGCTCACGTCCCACACCCATCTCCAGAACTTCCCAACCAATTTGAAGGCGTGGTACCATTCCATCGGTGGAAATAACAAGAAGGGCTTGCAGCTCTTGTCACAGCTCTTGGAGTTTGACCCGGCGCAGAGAGTCACCGCCGATGCCGCCATGCTCCATCTGTGGTTTATGGAGATACCCAGGGTGTGCGATAATGTGTTTGAGGGTAGCAAGTACCGCTATCCAAACAGGAGGATTTACAACGATGAGAACGATATCACCGGCCGCGCGAGCACCAAGAGAGGAAACGATGATGCGGGCGCTGCTCGCAAGCGACAGAAATAAATAACGTTTTGGCCCTCGCTTCAGCGTGGTTGTTGATTTATAATGATTTGGGTTGTCCTGCAAAGCATTTGTGTAGAGTAGCCAGGATGAATAAAACGGCTTTATGCTATCAGTTACAGCATCTAGTGTGGTTACCCAAATGGTGTTATTTTTTTGATATGGGCTAAATGGAAACTTCCGGTTTTGTTACATTTATAAGCTTGGAATTCAGCCTCACGTAATTTCATCTTTCAGTTGTAATTCGACGTGAACCTTTTAGACGTCACGCCCAAGTGCCATTATGCATGGCCACGCTCAAATATAAATTAATAGCCAACGGTTGGTGTTTTCCAGCGTTCCTGGTTGCCCTCTTTCTGGATTATCCAATATCATTCCGTCAGAACAATTTGTTGATTCACTTAACTTTAGCTGACGGCAAAAGTAGATGCACACCAGACTGGGAAACGGCATTCGGGTAATAAGCATATTGGTCTACATTAGTTCGACATTACGGGTATTGAAAAAGACATTAAAGCGGGGGAAACGAAGTGAAAGATGCATTAGAGGGTTTCCTCGGACTTGCCGTCGGCGACGACCTTCTTGGCCCAGGAACGGGCCAAGATGGAGGCCTTCATGAACTTTTTGGAGGCATACTTCTTAAAGAACTCCTCGTGCATGATTGGCAGCACCAAGTACTCCATCAACATATCTACCACCTCTGCCATGTCGTCCTCCTTGTAGCCACCGCTGTAGTGGATGAGGTTGCCACCCCACGCGTGTCGGCCCAACATCTTGCGCGCGACATACATCGCCGCGGCCGCACACAACGACGGCAAATGGCCGATAAAGCGGTGGTCGATGACCGAAATTTCAAGCAAGTACTTGCCAATAGTGCGGCTCTGGACGTCGTAGTCGTCTGCCTTGGAGATGCGTCTCAAGAAGTTCATCGGGTTAGGGTACGACAAGTCGTACTCCAAAATCTGGAGAATGTATTTTTCCGCCTGCAAGATCTCATCTTCGTTGTATCCACCGTCGGTGACGTAGGCGTAGTTTTTTACCGATGGCGAATAGACCTCCTCGTACTTGGCTGCAATAAACAACGAGCCCGTCGCAAGCAACTGCAACTTGTCCACCTGGACTGCTTCCTTCGACATGAAGCGGTCCATGATGTTGATCGCGAGAAACAACGTCTCGGGAAGTAACCGGAAGCGCAAATGCACCTCCACCATCCAGTCGACCAAGATGGAGCGCATCTTCGGCCGGAGGTTGCGCTGACGCGAGAGATAAAGCGGGTCCGGAAGCGTCTTGCGCTCCAAGACATGGAGATACTTGAAGATGTCCACAACGTACTCACTCACCATTAGAGGATCGTCGTGGTCCTCCTCGTCCAAGTCCTCCCACACATAGTCAATTTTGGTCTTCTTGAACTCCTGCTGCGGCACACGTGTCTGCGGTGCGATAGCTGACGATGTGGCCGACCGCTTCAAGCTGGCACGGCTCTCCTCTGGTTTCTCCTCGTCCTTTTTAACATCGAGCTTTGATGCGGGGTGCGCGCGTGCGTGTGCTCCCGGCCGCTCACCCAACGCGCGTGGCTGCTGTGTCACAACATCTGTCAATGCTATCCGTCCAGGTTGCTCCTTGAACTCCTCTGTTTTGCTTTTATTCAACCGCTCGAGCGCGTTTTCGTCGATGATGTGCGAACGTGTGACCTGGAGGTTAGTATCGAGGTCAGAAGAGAGGTTGCCGCCCAAGTAGTACTTACTGGCATGGCTCGGAATGTGTGGGTGCGGTGTATCCTGATATACCGCTGGTGTCAATAAGTAGCCGATGCAAAGCGCTAGAACTTGTATCTATAGAAAAGGCTGAGTGCAGAGCAAGATGGTGAGGTACTCAGTGGTTACGTTTTGCAGATATAGGGCAGATTTTTTGAGACAGACCGTGCGCAAAAAGAAACGTGCTCACCACAACAAGCGTCCCGAACGAGTAATAATCGGGCGTCAACACGGGTTTTCGCCGAAAAACTGATTTTTCGAGAACAAAAATAAACGGCGGTTTGTGATAAATAGAGATATGAAAACTGATACCTGGCGAGCAAAGGGTGCGATATATATTGGACATATTAAAGTACCTTGTTTGACATCTATTTCACCATTTTCGTGTAAATACTACCCTTGTGCCGTAGTGTTTTCGGCCACAACGAATGTTTTCGAGGAAAACACCGAACGCGAAAAGTGAGACAACAACTGCCGTATCGAGCGCGAAGGTAAACAACACTGATTGCGTGTGCGCGTGTGATGCAGGATGGCGCCCTGACAGAACCGCAGTGGAGTACAAATAAGAGTAAAGGAATACCGGGTATCAAAATGTAAGCTCGTTTTCTCATCGTGATTATTTAGCAGGCATACCAAAAAGTAGGATAGACAGTCTGGTATAATCTGGGGATGAAACGAGACGAGGCGTAGAGAGTGACTGGTGTGCTACAGGAAGTGTCGACGCAGCGCAGATCCTTGCATTTTTCCATACGCGTAGGGGCACCTCCAGGCTTCGGATAAAGAGAAAGGTAGCGGCCAAGATTTATAAAATAGCAGGTTAGGAAGAACCGATGTACTCGGGCTATTTTTAATCACCTATTACTATGTCATTTGTCGTGTGCGTTGGCGAAATCATAACTAATAGAAGGGTGTCGTGTCATGACAGTTTATCAGAGGCATTGACAAGAGGTTCGCGGCAGGTACTATAGTTTAGATGGGTGTTCCACTTAAAGCATTTAAGCAACCGGAAATAACGTCTATAAAATGATGTGAAAAAAAAAAAGTATGGGTAAACTACGCGTAATAAGTCCAGTATTTTTATGCTGTAACCGTCGAACCAAAATGAAAGTTAAAGTATATACCGAAAGTTAAAGGGAATATAGCGCAAATAGGTACGGCGAAAAGCTATTTGTCTGTGAGCCCTAAATTCTGGTAGAGTATAAATCCATATTATATTGGTTGTAAAAATAATCTCTATTTCTGAAATCAAGTGCATATAGGCTGCAATGACATGAGCATGTATAACGATTTGTAATAAGTGAATAAATAAATGTATATATGATTTATCTCCGGATACCTGTATCCCGGCAGCTTGATTTGATCTAGGCTTTCGGCCGTATTCGGGTAGCGTATAGAGGCTCAATGTATTAGGATAACCTGGGCCTCCATATCTTGCTAGACCCTTATTCGCTAGAGTACGAAAACTGGGCTATATTTAAGAATGGTACTAGGTATTTCAAGGTATTCTATTTTTTTCTATAGGTAATGTGTAGAGGGCATGACCCTTTGTATATAAAGCAGGATAGCCAAGCTAGTTGAACGAATATTGGAAAGAAAAGATACAAAACATACAAAATATTTGGGCAATGTTTTATAGCAAACCTCTTTAATTTCCCATGGTTTCATACCTGAGATAAAACTTATCATTTTATTCTTTGTTAAATAAGAGTTGGGAACTGACATTGAAGTGACAGTGATCCTCTTCTGCTTCTATTGATTTGACCATTTCTCTTACTAGGTTTAAGCGTTGAAAACGCACCCTTCCTATTTCGCCCGGTGTCCGCCAAAACATCACCTAATCTTGTTCTCTGACCTAAATTAAAGTCTAGAGAGATATGTACAGCATATGAGAGTCAACACCAAGATGCTATTCTCCAGAATAGCTCTTTATTATATTATATTATAATACATTTCCGTTGGCTGCTCCAGGCCCGCCATCGTACAATTTTCTTTCCCCTCCGTAAGCCCATGACTACTCCCGACGTTAGAAATCTGCGGGGTGCAGCTGCAAGTTGCATATGATTGGTCATTGTGAGTACTGCGACAGGAGGGAAAACCCGGTTGTACTTGGCCCCTCTAGCCACTGCTGGACGCCTATAAAATAAGTTCGGCGCACCAGTATATTTGTCCTTCAATAGTAGGTATATAATTAATACAGTCATGACTACCGAAAAGCAACTCGTTCAATTAATCAACCAGAAGCACCACCGGGCCCTTGTGGACGTTTTCATTCACATGGCAAGTACCCCAATTATGGCTGACATTTCCCATATTGCCTTAAGAAATATTGATAAGTAATCGTTCACCATTGAATTCTGGCAGCACGGTAGTGAGGCAGAGAAGACCTTGAAGTTTGGCCCGCCGTTACAGAGCTTAGATGAAGCAAAACCGCGTTTCATGGCCTTATCCAAGAGAGCAGCTGCCGCCAGAGGATTGTCGCCTCACCAAGTTAATGAGTATGTCCATCCAAACTCGCTCGTTGAGCTTTTACCCTTCTTAATGGTTGGATATTTAGGAACCAAGTACTACCGCTTTCGTGGTCCCAACGATACCCCAGTCTGGCTTCCGTGGTTCGCCAAGGCTTGGAAGCCTACTCTTGTCAGTACCGTTGCCATGCATGTAGTGGAGCTTCAGTATGTTATGTTGCCTTTATTGAGCAAGTACAAGGTTTCAGCTGAATATAGATGGAAATGGATCACATCTGTCATGGTAGAAGGAATTTTCTCCCTTAATCGCTTCAAGAGATCGATTTTGAAGGCTGAAACTCTGAATTCTGAAACTGGTCTTTTGGTGGAGTGAGGTATTTTGGTTTTAATGCTTTTATTAGAGAAATCATGACGCGTCTATTTAAGAGACTTAGAAACCCATATTGTATTCGCCTAATAATGATAAAGTATCAAGTTTAAACCCACAACTACCTAAATAAACCTCATTGAGTCCATCAAAAAAAGCCATTGCCATTTCTAGGCTAAAGTTTAGCTGGAATCAGGGTAACGAAACTACACCATCGATGGAATAAAAAGCCTAAAATATCCAATCATTGGCGAATTGTTATTATCATCAAATATCATGTTTTACTATACTTACATTGATATGGTGCAGCTGATGGTTCTGCGTGGCTAGACTGTATATAGACTCACCTCAGTCCATTGCCTATGTAATTTCAGGGGTACTGGTAAGCCCAGACCACATGTCACATCGATTAGGGAGCTTCTTGAAAAGTGTCACTGCCAGCTTGATATTTGTAGGTTAGCAACCTGGGTCTGGCCCTAAATGGAGCCCCAGGGAGAGAATATGGTATGCAGGTTCCTCTGGGTCATCAGAGAGATGGCTCTCTATTAGCACCAGAGACTCTATGGTGGACACTGTAGGCCTTTGCACATTTTCCACCGATTTCTTTGGTTTAAAATTGTCGATATTGGTTGAAATTAAATTGAACCGTTTGATTTGGTATTTGAAATAATTTCAGCGCGCCTTCTTTTTTGAGCACCTATCGTTTTTCCTAATATCCCCTACAATGTCCTTATATCACTTATTTCCGAAAAGTCCCAGCACATGATAATGTGACTGCCATGCCTCCACCCTTCTGATTATCCTGCATCGATATTTCCCTGTGAGGCCCATCTCCATAAAAGATCCTTGTTTCCACACCTTTTCAACAGTGGACCAACCTGCCAGTATATCCATTATGTCGAAACCATCCACTGAAAGCAGAATTCTTGCGCACATGAACAAGGACCACAAGTTGGCCATTGAGGATCTTCTTGTGCACTATGCCGGCATCCCCATCACGGAAGAAGTGTCGCAAATCAAGTTGAAGGAGATTAGCACGATCTCAATGACCATCTCGTTTCACCACGAGGGGCTTGACACCGAGGTCTTGAAGCCCATTCCGTTTGAACCACCGATGACCAGTTTGGACGGGGAGGCGAGAACGCGCCTTGTGGAGTTGGCCAAAACGGCGGCGACCGCCAGAGGCTTCTCCCACATCCAAATCAACCAGTACGTCTACCCAAACAGTTTATTGGAGTACTTTTTGTTGCTGGTATTGCTCTATATGGGCTCTGTCTACTACCGGTGGGATGCCTCCAAGGATATTCCGGTATGGTTTCCGTTGTTCAGCAATTACGGAAAGATTATAATCGGTGTTCTTGCTGTGATCCACGTGGTGGAAATCAGGTTTGTGTTGTTGCCGTTGTTGCGCAAGTACAGAGTCCCAACCGACTACAAATTGGAGTGGATCATTGCGACACTGTTGGAGGGCATGTTTTCCATTCAGAGGTTGCAAAAGTTAATTTGGCAGGCGGAGAACCATGGAAGAAACACCAAGCAATAGGTATGAGCTAAGCAGACCGGAAGGCACAAATCCCTGTGTAGGTTCTACAGCTTATCCGTCTATGGCAGTGAGGTTATACTTTACGAATAACAGCGATTTGGTTATTGTCTCTGTTTAAAGTGGGTGTTTTCTACAATATTGATTTTCGAATCTCAATTACAAGTGTAAAAATGGTAAGCAGTTGTTCGTCAATAGACAAATCTGAAATCTAATCTCTTATTTCCCAAATGCTTGTTCACTTCCACGTACTCTTCCTTCTCCTCCTCGGTCATGGCATTCCACACTTCATCGCGCTTCTTATTTCTCCAAACATAATAGTATCTGGTGAGAATAAGCGTAGGAAACATGATCACTGCAAAGGCAAACAATATCCTATTACCCACATGGTACAAGGGCAAATCCTTTGTTCTGTATACGTTATTGGCGATAATGTTCCCCAATTGCACACAGATGTTATACACGGAGGCAGAAATGGTTCGTGTCTTGATGGAATTTGAGTTAGTCGAACACCAACTCACACAAATTGCGTGGATGTACGGGTTACCCAAAATCAAAGTTGAAACCACATAAGTTCCCCACTTGTCTTTCATTGCCCCCTTCCACCAACAAAGAACTCCAAGGAGGGGAACTGTATAAAACGGCTGGAAAAGTGAAATGAGAGATCTCAGGTTATACTTCACTGTGGCCCACGTGATGATGAGGAGTAAGATGATATGAATGACCAGGTAAGGGACGTTCAACAAGTTTGTTTGTACGGTCGTAAACCCCATTGCTCGTAAATTAAGGGAGAGATATGACGTGAGCGTTCCGGTGGGAACATACGCAACCAATCCAATAAAATAAATTGGCCACAAGTCGTAATCTGAAATACCCTTCCATAACAACTTAGGCGTGATGGCTTGACGGTTGTGCATATCCCCCTTTGAAGGATCGTCTCTCAAGACACGGTTAACAACAATCTTGATTTCCCGGTCCGTGAACCACCCATTAGGTCTCCACCGAGCTTTGGTCTGCACGGCAGAAGGAACCATGAGGAACACAGCCGCAACCCCGATAACCAATGTAAACAAGCCCTCAATCAAAAACAACCACGCCCAACCAGGTAAGGCACCATGGCCTCGTAACTTTAAAATCCCGGCAGCTAACAAAGAGGTGGCAATCTGAGTTAACGATAAAGTGGTCCAGAACCAGGATAATCTCATTGGTAATTCCTTAGATGTGTAGAAGTAGGACAACCACAAAACCACGTCCGGAATGAAACCACCCTCTAATGTTCCAATCAAGTACCTGGTGGCATAGAATCCGGCTTTATTTTTCATCGCAGCTTGAGAAGCGGCAATAACGGACCAAGCAATCATCTGGAACGGAATCCACCGATCAGGACCCAACCTTTTCGAAATTAACTGAGAAGGTAACTCGGCCAACAAGAAGGCCACCAAGAAAAGGGTGTTCCCCGTGTTGTAGTCATTAGTAGTGAGTTTGAGGTCTTTCAATAACCCATCCGAGGTAGCCTGGGCCAAATTCCCCCTATCAACTTGCAAGGCGACAAACATAAAGCACGCTAATAACGCGACTCTGTAGTCTAGTTTTCTGACCAACTTTTTCTCTTCTTCAGGTTCCCACGTGAAGGTTGGGTCGAACTCATGGCGGCACTCATACTTGCTGTTTTCGTATATCTCTCGGTAGTGTTTTTCCACCTTCGGGTCTAAAAACGGGTTTGAGTCCAAGGTAGAGGAAGACGAGACTTGCGAGACTTGAACTTCAATATCATTCTTGTTACCGGTGTCGCTGTTTCTCAGAACGTTGGACCCGTTGCCTGGTGTAACATCGTTAAGATAAACCTTGTGCTCCTCTGTAGGATCAGTGGTGTTGCCAGACATCTTGCCTAATTTGAGTGTGGGAATCTAGGAAACAAGAATAATAATATCAGCGATTAGCATCCGTTTTATATTATGCTATTCCTGAACTCCCGGCCTTTTTTTTCACTATTCGCTCCATTTCATAAAGTGCACCCTCAGAATCTACCACGTGGATTATTCTAGTTTACAACCATATTTTTGAGAAACACAGCTTTTCGCATCATATCACGCGCTGGCTTGCAACTGTATTCATAAATGGGCACATAATAAGATTTAGATTTTAGTCTATAACAAAGTGTGAAATCCGTGAATGTTTTTGGGCTAAATTCCCCTGCAGAATCCACACTTTCCCGGGCCTGTCTTTCCGAGGGGTGGCTTATCTTGTGTGTAACTTGTCTATAATGGGATTAGACAATCGTACAGCATGCCGGGGTGCATATTTTTTGGTAGCTTAATCGGACAAAGCTGATTACGCGATTTTCGTGCATATTTCGTTTTTCGTTTTCAGAGATTTTACATGTTCAGCATCAAGCCTGATTAGAATACGGTGGAAAGGAGATCTGTAGACTGGAAATTTGTAATGCAACACAGTTACACCCATGTTATTTAGGAAACGGTGCATATTGGTACTATCGTTCACCGTTGATTCTGTTTTCGAAAATGAGTCAGATGCAGATCCTCCGCGTGCATGGTTTGATAGCTATGATATACGGAGGTAGCTATAGCTTCAGTATTAGTTACGTTAAGCAAATAGTGTAGCGGGTAGAACTATCACATTACAGGATTTGAAATTTCGAAAATTATCTTTTCAGCGCGTTTCCAAGGTGCATTATACTTTACCCTCAGAAATCGAGCTTGTCTGTAAGCGTGTCGCCACATCCTGTCAACAAAGCTTTAATACTTGTGAGTCCTAGGGTAGTGATTAATAGTAGATGGGATAATTCTGGTCAATGTATATATTTTTATTAGTATAGTTAAGAAAAACTTTGGAAGAGAATTGGGAGCTGGCACAGCGCGAAGAGTTGAGCTTCAATGAAGGAGGGTGTACTGAGACTAAAGCTGGCCTTAATCATCAAAGAATCAAAGTACTATGTCAACTTAAACCAAAAGGGTACGATACTCCCAAGAGGGAAAGAGCATCCCATTACCATTTGAGTGCCTATTATGATGCGTGAAGAATGCACTATAGCTTTCCTGAAGTGTTATAAGCTCCTAGGGGCGGATAGTGATTATTCCAAATCAGAAAATTTAGACCCCAAGGGATTTTTCGTTACTCATTTAGCCTATCAATGAAAGGGCGCACTGTGGTGCGGTGTGGCTCACTTTTCCATCATGAATAAGTGTGGCGTGGTTTTTGCACTAAAGACTGCTCGGTCTAGATGGAGTGGGTATATATACAAGAGGCAGCGGAATACTAATAAGCGCATAAAGAATACCTCAGTTTCTTGGCTCTTCAGAAAAAACTCTATCGTAACCCAAAATTGTGCACGTATTGACAATAGCGGAGCTAAATAATCGTCGACCTCTTGCCAGCTTAGAATGTGGCATATGCTTCTTAGTGTTCAGTTTTTTAACTTGAATTTTGATGTTTCATAAGCATTTTTACTGATGTGAGAATATGAATACGCTCCGGTTATTGTCGAAACTAACAAAAAAAACAGTGATTTTTGCAGCTAGCTGCAAATCTATAAGAAATGTATATCAGTATCTGAAATATCCAGTATTTCCTTCTGGTACATCTAGATCAACAATACAGCAATAGCAGCCAAAATGGAAACACCCACTTTCTGAGTAGATCCAGCACCAGTGTACGTGGCCACTTCTGGAGTAGTGGAAGACGACACGGTAGAGGCGGCACCCGATCCAGCACCAGTGGAGCCGTTACCAGATCCAGCACCAGTAGAACCATTACCAGATCCAGCACCAGTAGAACCATTACCAGATCCAACACCGGTGGAACCATTACCAGATCCAGCACCGGTAGAACCGTTACTAGACCCAGAACCGGTAGAACTATTACCAGATCCAGCACCAGTAGAACCATTACCAGATCCAGTACCAGTAGAACTATTACCAGATCCAGCACCTGTAGAACCATTACCAGATCCGGCACCAGTAGAACCATTACAGGACCCAGCACCTGTAGAACCATTACCAGATCCGGCACTGGTAGAACCGTTACCAGACCCTGCACCACCAGTAGATTTAGCTCCAGATTCAGTAGATGTAGTGCAAGAAGTCGTGATGGTAGTAGTGAGTGGGTGACCAGTTCTAGTAGAAATGGCGCCAGATACATTGGCCAGCTCACTAACAACAGTGGAGGCCGCACCTGATTCGCCAGCAGCAGTAGAAGAAACTTCTGATCCATTAGCGGATTCACTGGCTGATTCACTAGCAGTAGTGGAGGAGGCATCTGTCTCACTAACGGATTCATAGGCCGATTCACTAATAGCAGAGGAACTGACGTCTGATTCACTGGAAGATGTAGAGGAAGCATCTAACTCACTAGCGGACTCGCTAGCAGCAATGGAGGAAGCATCTGATTCACTGGCCGATTCACTAGCAACAGTGGAGGAAGCGTCTGACTCATTAGCGGATTCACTAGCGGCAGTAAAGGAAGCTTCTGATTCACTAGAAGATGCGAAGGAAGTATCTGCTTCACTAGCCGATTTGCTGGATGTGTGTTCAGTAACCACGCTAGCAGAACTAGATTCGGAGGATGTTTCAGTAATAGATGTCTCAGCAGCGGCTTCAGTAGTTGATGGCTCGGTGGTGACTTCAGAGCTTATTTCAATGGTTGATGGCTCGACAGTGATTTCAGAACTCGTTTTAATAGCTGATGGCTCAACGGTAACTTGAGATGTCGCTTCAGTAGTTGATGGCTCAACAGTAGCTTGAGATGTCGCTTCAGTAGTTGATGGATCAACGGTAGCTTGAGATGTCGTCTCAGTAGTTGGTGGCTCAACAGTGACTTGGGATGTCGTTTCGGAACTGGTTTTAGCAGAGGTTGGCGCAACGGTGGCACTTGGAGCGCATTCAGTACCGGTAGGGAGGCTAGGCAAGTTACAAGCGGCCAAAGGAGCTTCCAAGAACTTGCCGTAGTCACTCCACAAGCACCAGGCACAGTCTAAGCAATCGTAGATCAATCCGCTGAAGGGGGAATTGGCTGCACACAAACAGTCGGTGTCGTATCCGGTACCAGACTCACAGAGTCTAGCTTTAACAATTGCATTCCCACAGTAGGAGTGGCATTGGTAAGAAGCAGCGGCGGCGGCAAAGGCAACTGGCAAGGCATCTGGAACAGCATTAGAGCTAACCTGTGATACCAAGGCTAAAGCGAACAACGAGATAAGGTACTTCATTTCGGCTTGTATATAGTTTATGGATAAAAACGAGGGTGAATAAACATAATATAAAAAACGTAAAATAGTGTAAACTACGGAAGTAAGGACAATTTATATAGAAAATCGCTCCAAATCAGCGTCATTTCCTTCATTGGCTAGAGCTATGGTCCTACAGCATATCCAACGGTCTGAAAAGATTTGGCAAAATATTCGTCTAACTCGTGGAATTCTCGGAGAGAAACTCTGGGCAAAACTACTAAAACGCGTTTTCCTTTACCTTTTCAAGCTTATGCAGTCCTACTACTCGTTTAATTATGTGTTAGCCTTGATACGTAGCCTCGAGGGAGTCACCGGCTAATATGAACATATCGGCTTTAGCGAAGTTGCATAGATCGCCGGTTTTAGTGGGGAAAATTATTTCCAAGGGTTTTGGAGCCCAGTGCGTCATACACGACATGTACCAGGGTATCTAATTCCGCTGCATCTTTTGGTGAATACAATTTCATATAAAAGGGCCGGAGAAAACAATGAAGCTTCAAGGAAAATCTAAGTTTGGGAGATGAGAGCGGACTGTACTAGCGGTTACAGTATATTGAAGATTTATCCAAGGTTTTTACGCAGAGAAAATTCCGAGCTAATTTTGTTAACTTTATTATAGAAGAGGTACAGCCTTCAAGGAAGCGGACAGTAGTAGCAGACGCACCACCCCAATTGCAACAAACAAATAATCCCAGGAAACTTTCCGAAGGTACAGGATGAGTAAATCAAAGTGTAATACCATAGGCACATATAATAAGGGTCTCACTCCGCAAATCGGATGGTTTCCAGTTGTACATCCCGCATACTCTGCATATCTTGACGTATATGGTACCAGTAGACCTGGCCAATCTTTCCTACATACCTACACAATTACATACAACTTAATTAAAGAATTGAATAAACATACACATTATACATGTATGTGCATACCACCTACATGTATCACCATTCATCTCGGTCAATGTATCTACATGTGTACTGCAGTATCGATATATTGTTAGCTATTGAGCACAATAACTTCGGCTAAATCGGCTCTACAGTACTAAACCACGCATATCTTAAGCGGTAGTGGCAGCTGCCTTAGTAGCACCTGGGGAGCACTCGGTACCGGTTGGGACAGTTGGCAAGTTACAGGCAGCCAAAGGAGCTACCAAATATTTGCTGTAGTCATCCCACAAGCACCAAGCACAGTCTAAGCAGTCCTTGATCAATCCAGTAAAGGCAGAATCAGCGGCACACAAACACTTGGTGTCATATCCAGAGGCACCAGAACAAGTTCTGGATTCTAAGATGGCATTACCACAGTAGAGGTGGCATTGGTAGGACGCAGCAGCGGCAGCAAAGGCAGCTGGCATGCCTTCGGGGGCGGCAACAGCGTTGGCCTGAGAAGCCACTGCTAAAGCAATCAACGGAATAGAGAGTTTCATGTTAAGTGGTAGATAGTTTGAAGTGTATTTACAATTAGAGTACAGACACTTGATAATGAATGATAGTATAAATATTTTAATTAAAAGCAGCAGTTGATGCTATTTATGCAAAAATAATAGCTTCAGCTTAAATCCTAATTTGGTTGGATATGTCTAGTCCAATAGTGGACATAACGGAATACAAAGTTTAATTAATCAAGGGTTTCTCAGGTAAGAAGCTCGGGGCGGTACTCTGTATAGCGGTTTAAAAATACAGAAACCTTGTATAAAGAATGCCTGGAGAAGCATGGTAATTACCGGTGGAGGGGAATGGAACGAACTACGTAAGTCTGTCATTCGAAAAAATGATAACGCCGGTAACAGACGTGGACGTAACATATCGGCCTTACTGATGAGTAGCATGCAAACTAAATGTTATTATGATCGGCACTAACAGTATAAGACAGCGCATCATCTTGCAAAACCAATGGCTATATGGCGCTAATTAGATTAGTATCCTTACTGGGCAGGATCATAATACTTATGAGGTATATGGTATTCAACGTGCTTTCTGAGGACCTTGGTGGGTCTAAAGAACTTTTAATTTTGTACCATTCTTTGACGATGTCTACTTTAAATTCCTCAAGCATTACTCCTCCCTGTTGAGTATCATATCCATTGGTGTCCGGTTAAAATTAGATTTAGTGTTGATGCATATGAGCTTGTAGATATACGTCGTAACCCATACCTCAGCCTCAGGCCATGTGGTTAAACTAAAGCTCTTAGTAAGGGGTTAACGTTGTGAATCTCATCCCACAGATGGACTATCATTGTTAGCGTCAATTGTTTTGATAGTCAGTGCCCCTCATAATAAACAGGAGCATACTATGACCCCTCCACTGATAATGCTCGTGTCGGTTAGCCTATTTGCCTTGCTTTTAATTCCCATAAATATATTATAACTATGATCCCACATAGTACTTATTAACTAGGTTTTCGACTATATTTTAATCTATAAATACATTTGTGTTTTATAATCTGGCGTACCCTCTGATCATACCTTCCGAGTCCTGAGGTCCTCGTAAATACACTTCATCAGCACGTGTTTATGCATATGCACCTCATTATTAGGTGCACATATGAGATATGCAATCTGATTCAGTCCATGTCTGGTACGTCTAGATCAATAAAGCAGCAAAACCGGCTAAAATGGCACTGCCAACTTGATTCTTAGAAGCTGCACCGGTGTAAGCAATTTGGGAAACGGTGGAAGTGACTTTATCAGAGGAGTGAGGAGCAATAAAGGATTTATCAGTGGTTGGCTTAGCACCAGTAGATCCACCTACGAGAGTGAAGACAGTAGTGAATTTACCAGTGGTAGACTCGGCAACGGATCTACCCGTAGTAACAGAAGAAATGAATTTACTTGTGGTGTTAGCAGTTGAAGAGGTCTTCACGGTAGTGACGCGGTTGGATTCAGCATTAGTGGATTCAGCGACAGAAGTAGGAGCAGTATTAGCTTCAGCAGCAGACTCAGTGGAAAAATCGGTAGTAATAATGGATTTGGTGGAGGATTCAACGGCAACCGTAGGGTTTATTATGGTAGATCCGGTAGCACCGATAGATTCAGCAGAAGTTACGGCAGTGATAGTTTCAACGGAAGTTTCAGCTATGGTACCTTCAGTAGAAGTCTCGGTAATAGCTAGTTCAACAGAAGTCTCGGCAGTAGCACTTGGAGCGCATGCAGTACCGGTGGGGATGATCGGCAAGTCACAAGCGGCCAAAGGAGCTTCTAATAACTTGCCGTAGTCGTCCCACAAGCACCAAGCACAGTCTAAGCAGTTGTTGATCAACCCAATAAAGGCCGAATCGGCTGCACATAAACAGTCGATATCGTATCCGGAATCAACAGAACAGTTTCTAGAGGTAGCAATGGCATTTCCACAGTGGGCGTGACATTGGTAAGAAGCAGCGGCGATGGCAAAGGCAGCAGGTAAACCTTCCGGAATAGCTACAGAACTGACCAAGGAAGCCAAGGCAAATGCGACTAACGTGATAGAGTACTTCATTTCGAGTAGAAGATAACTTAGGGTATGTTAAAATGAGCGTGACTAAACAAATGAGATGCGTGAATAAAAACAGCCGGAGATATTTCTGCGCAAATTCCGTTGAACAACCTTCCTGTGTCCTTCATTAACTAAATTGAGAGTACTTGAGTATTACAGATTACTTGGCGATACCGGTAAAACCTAACTCTTCGTGGGATTGTCGGAGAAGAAACTCTGGGCGAAACCCGGCAAAACAGACACGTCAGAACTTGGAGTTCCAAAACATTGGAAACCTGCAGGAGGTAGGTTGGGATAAAAAAATAAGTGACGGTTTAAAGTGACACCAGTAAGAGGTTGAAACATATCGGTTTTAACGACGTGTAGCTGTATGCATGGATCTTCTGTCTAGTTGTAAATATTTGCATGCTTTAGAGGGTCTTGGCATCTCACCCATAGTACAGGGCAAGTGCCAAGGTACGAAAAAAAACCACTTCATTCTTTCGGTTGGGTTATAGCCTAGAGTATCTAATCCACACAAATTAAAAGGAAACTCCGATACCGGGAGTCGAACCCGGGTTTGCTCGGTGAAAGCGAACCGTGCTAGCCGTTACACTATATCGGAAGAATCATGAGGTCGTTAAACACGCACTTTATACCACTTAAATAATGTTATTATAAGCGATTAAATATTAACCCATTGATACAAGATAATGTTCTACTTATTTATCTCAGGATAAATTGTCCAAAGTAACAAGTAATTATGTATGAATAGTAGTAAGGTGTTGCGGGAAAAATGTACATTTCATGCAGAAAGATAAATTTGTATTATAATTATACATAATTAAAATATTAAAGTCAAGTCCTAGTGCAGAGTACTGCAATAAGCATGTATAAAATGACATCAGTACTATGTGTAATGAATTTTCGTAGACTATTAGATTAGCTTACTTTTAAAATATAGATTTATTCTGAACGGGGGCCAATAAGTGTAGCATATATCCGTCATAATCTCAGGTTTAAAACGGTGATGCATTACTTGAGTGCAAAAAATTAAATGCGATTTCTGTGGATCGAACACAGGACCTTTAGATCTTCAGTCTAACGCTCTCCCAACTGAGCTAAAGCCGCTAAGAGTTGAAAACTTTTGGCAGTCACATTATGATGCCAAAATTATATACATGTGAAATCTCGCAACCATATAACTTTTAGAAGGCTTTGCCGTTTACGGTATATGAGTCGGATATGTATGGGTGAAAAAGGAATGAAAGAGCCTCGTCATGCATCCATGTTAGTAGAGAACGGTTTGACCACTCACCAGGTCATAATTAACTCGGAAGGATACCTGAAGGCTAGGAGGGGTGCGGTAATACTCATGACCCAGTGGCTGCATACCGCTTTCCCTCAACTGCCTAGCTCATATATTTTTTTGCTAGAATACACATCCTGTTTGCTATGTGTATCTCATACAGGTGTTGGAAGAGCCTAACTGAATTAGGCTAGGGTATTGTTTGACAAACCAACTGACGATAAGGCAACATCTGCCAAGTATCAGTTTGAAAGGGCTAGACCAGAAGCAGTTCTAGGTAACTGTGTAAAAATGCCACTCTCCAGGACACTATCTATCCTACACCAAGATACGATCTATTGTTACTAGGAAAGTCTTGATTTCGTTTTGTTGGGTGGAATGGACGATAGGTTGGCCGTGCTATCCATTGAAGCCTGATGGGGATCTGCTTGCATATGCATCGGATGTACATCTTAAAGCTTTCCCCCAACTAGCTTCCTGGCGAACAGTGTCACCTGGTGGGCATGGTACGCGTACTGGGCTTAATAAAATGACCTGATGTCTATTGTTGAGAATTTCCTCCGGGTCAAGTTTCATCGGAGTTCTCGGACAATCTACACAAACTTCCCTGAAGGAATGAGCTGAGGTAAAGACCGCAGCTACACAATGGCATAATAGCAGACCCATATTATGGGATGTACCATTATAGATAAGAAGGTTTATCAATGGCTTTGTTACAAATGTCTGATAGGCCGTCGTACATATCGGCCCGGAGTCTTCAATGCATGTCCCATTCCTTTTTTGCTTGCAGCAGAAAGTACAATTCGGTGATAATTTTCCACCAATTTTATATGCGAAAGTCTTGTCTTTTTGTCCTCCGTACTCGGCGAACAACAGGCCAGAAATAAAAAGAGAGACTCCGAGGAGCAGAAATGCCTGCGATATCGATGGGTATTAGCTCGGCTCAGACAGTGCACCATTCGGTCTCACCCGGAATGCCCTATACCCCAGCTAGTTATTTCCCGTAACAAATTCAACCCTACGTTACACCGTTGCCTACCATTTTTGGACGGCAGGATTTCCCACCAGCTGAGTGACATCTGCGCTATCCCCACTCGGTACGGCTAGCCCAACGAGTTTGGGTCACGTGCTCATATGACTAGCCGTCAGTAGCCTTTTGGCAGTCGCTATGTAGATGTGGGCACTCGCTCAAGCATCATTCGGAAAAACGATTTTTGCTTGCTGCATGCATGTGCTTACAGGTGAGGGGTTCGTCGCGAGCCACCCGCGGATGACCCATGACTGGTAAACTTTGAAAATTTTCCGAATGACGAATAAATGTCTGTCATGTGATTTTAACAACCTCTTCCAGCATACCAAATGGCCAAGATACAGACGGCCGACCCGAGTCACTTTATTAAAGCTTTGATATGTGTATGCACAAAAAATCGAAAGGTTTCTCCACTTAATCATGTGATAAGTGGAACCGTCGCTGGACTAGTGGAACAACCGATCATCAGGTTTCTGCGGCCCTCGACGAGCTATCTTCGGGTTAAGCTTCCCCTGGCAAACTAGATCTGGGCGCTGTGGGCAGGATGAACGGGACTCTCGTTCTCCTCCTTGTGCGAGGTCCGGACATTGAGTTTCGCGGCTCATGCGCCACACCGTGATGTCTTTTTCTGCCCCTCACGCGGCGTGGGTAAACACTACGCCACCCCATCCCCTCATTACACGCTTTATTGGGGCTGTTACGACCGCACGCACCAGCTGAGATTCTCGGAGACCCGGAAACCTCCCATACAAAAAAGAAATGGTAACGAGGTGCGTCTATCGTCTGGTTCGTATGCAGTGTTCTAAGGCCCATAACGTAGTTTTAACTTTCTTGGGTATAACATATAACGGAGCGTCACCTCTTTTTTCGTACAAGCACCCAACAGCAAATGTGTCAAATTTTGGGCGGCTAACTTCAATATATATAAGGCCTCTTACCACGTAAAATAAACCACGCCCCTGCCCACCCGTCACACAACATCTGCCATACGCCCAACTGATGACCGTGGATACCGTACAAGGTCACACCATCCATACATAGCACGTCTACTTACCCCCACCCGGAAAGGTACACTCACTTGCAACCATGGGACACGAGACGCCGAACCTACTTGCAAACCGCTGCATCATCATTGGTAACCACCTCCAACTTATCAAACGGATCGGGACCGGTGGCTACGGTGCGGTCTACTTGGTAGCAGACCTAAAGTCCGGTCAGCAGTACGCCGTCAAGATCGTGCTGCAGGAGAATGCCACACAAGTCTCCACGAAACCCAAGTCGAAGGAGTCCACTGCGCACGAGATTGAAAAGCAGTTGCTTGCCTCCGCTACGCATACACGTTTATCTGGGTCCGGTGTTTCCTCCGCTTCCTCGTTGTTCTCCAACGCATACAACGGCGAGGATATTACGTACCACATCCCGGTCCAGACACTCTCCTTGCATGGTATCTCGCGCTATAGTGGGCCGTCGCCTATCTTGAAGGAGGTCTCGCTCCAGTTGAAGGTGCACGCGCACCCCAACGTGCTTACCATCCACCACGTGTACGAGTCGCGCTTCAACGTGTTCATCGTCATGGACTACTACCCCGAGGGCGACTTGTTCGCGGCCATCGTCGACAACCAGCGCTACGTCAACGATTCCTCTTTGGTCAAGTCCGTCTTCAAGCAGTTGTGCGACGCCTTGATCTTCTGCCACCTGCAGAGCATTTACCACTGTGATGTCAAACCCGAGAATATCTTAATAAGCGGTCGTGGCGAGCGCGTGGTCTTGGCCGACTTTGGCTTGGCCATCAGTACCGCCTTTGTCGACTCCTCCATTTGTTGCGGCTCCTCCTACTATATGGCTCCCGAGCGGGTGATGCACGGCTTGTCGGCGTCCAGCTCGGCTCTTGTCTCCCGCTCATCCTCCGTCACGTCGCTCGACGACTACCACCGCTCGCCGCAGCGCTACCCCACCGCCCTGGGCGACATCTGGTCGTTGACGGTCATTTTGGTCAACTTGACCTGTATCCGCAACCCGTGGCTGCAGGCCCATTCGCTACACGACGAGACGTTCAAGGCCTTCTTGGCCAACCCCATGGAGGTCTTGCGCAACATCCTCCCCATCTCTGTCGAGTTTGCGCTGTTGTTGATCAGACTGTTCCAGCTCGATCCGTTCAAGCGCATTCCCTTGAAGGTGTTGCAGAAAGAGGTCTTGGATTTGCGTAGCATGCACGAGTTGGGTCCAATGAGCTTGTGTTTGCCGTACTACGACGTGGAGGACTGGAATATTCAGCCGTATCCCAGTGACCCCTCGGAATCCCTCTTCGCCTCCTCTCTTTGCTCGTCAGTGAACCCGTTTGATGCCTTGAAACCGGGAAAGAGCCACTCGTTAGAAGCGGTCGAGGAGGAGTGCGAACCCTCCGAACGCTCCAAGTTGCCGATTATTGACTTAAACTGCGGCGCCCTATCGCCCTCTACAATTGCCACCAGTCCTAGCTTCTCCGCCGGGCATTCGTCCGTTTTGAACTTTTCGCGCCAGAAAGCGTACATCAAGCCGCAGTCCCAGCTTTCGAATCTGTACACCACCGATGAAGACGACTCGTTGTGGACCATGGACGATTACAACTCTGGTGCTTCTCAACAAAGCATCAAATCCGATCTCGTGCCTCATAGCGATGTTGCCCACCCTTACTACCAACAGCAGACAAGCTGCAACAAGTTTTATGGCACCAACGGGTACGATTATTACAACTCTAAAGCTACATTGCGCGATGCCTATTCGTACCAGCCACAAGGCCACATAAATACGCAGGGCCGTATTTTCCAGAACATCAGCTCCATGGTTAACGACACGGAAGAGGACAATTATAAGTTTTGCTTATCAGGGTTTAGATAGCCTCTGTTAAAATGGTTACGCTTTTTTTTTTTTTTTTTTTCAATTTTGCATGATTGCGCAAATGGGCGCCTAGGTTTTATTTCCTGTAATACACAATGATTAACGATTAGTTTTGCCAAAACTGAGATCTGTATAATTGTATTATTCAGAAGTGCCTTCAAGGTAGATGTTGAGTCATAACGGAAGAGGACATCTGAGTTTGCAGAAAAAAACAAATGAAATGAATGGTGAAATGCACAGAACTCCAGTAATGAAATTTTTAGTTATATTTTAGAACCCTAATTGACTTATACGTATTGTTATGGTGTCATTGGCTAATTTACAGAATATACATTGGATGTCATTGTCGTTTTTAGATTTTCAACAGACTATGATGTCGAATTCCAGAAAAGAAAAATTATACAAAAAGGCGCTTAGAATCAACCCTCCTCCCATGTCTGCAATGGCTTACAATTCAACCAGGATACCTCTCGTGAAATATACCGATCCTACTATATTGATGAGAAAACCTTTGACTTTATAGCCGGATCTAGATTTACTAGTACATCATGAACCCTCCCTTGATATATCCCTGGCTACTTGAAATAGTAATTTGGATTCTCGCGCTTTCGCTCCGTCCCTTTTGTCGCCTCACTTCGCCTTCTGCGCGTGACGGAATCGCTCTGTCGCGGATGGTGGGCAATGTGAGGGAAATAGACCACGTTGAGCGGCGGCAAGTGGTACGCCCCGGAGATGGAGATGTACAGGTACGAGCCGGATCCTTTTGACGGCGACGCAGTGCTTTGGGGTGTGGGCGTGGGCTGAGGATCGGGGGAAGCTATCTGACCTCTGTCGTCGATAAGATTCATGATGGAAAGCATGGAGGAGCTCCGCTTCTTGGTCAAGTCATCGGGAGAGCCGCTTTTGGACTCCCGAGCCTCGACTGAATGAGCAGTTTTATTGATAATCAAACATTCCTGCCTCAGGGAATAGAAGGATGGATTGCGGCCACGTACGAGAATGGGACTGGACTTTAAGTCGTGGAGAATCACGTCTCCGGCTGCTGTTACGGCGGAGAGTGAAAAATGGAGCCGGTAAAAGTTCTGAAAGGACAGATTTCCGTTGTTGGGCGTGGCGTTGCGGAACTGGAGCTTCTTAAAGACAAAGGTCGCCATGGCCTGGGAGTTCGGGGTGGGGAACTCAAAGTCTGTAGCGGTGATGCTGACTTCATTGTCCCCTTGTGGGTTGACACTGGGGGTTTCGGGGAGCTTGCGTTTTCGCGGAACAGTATCTTCAAACACCAACACCTCGATTCGATCTTTGGAGATGTTCGACCGGGCAAAGACAGAAATTTTGAGCCGTAAAACCTCCATGCTGTTCACCTTGAGCGGATATTGGATACCCTCACCCGAAAGCCGCAACGCAAGGTTCGACTGGATGTAGTTGCGGCGGTAGCAGGAGATGGTATCACTGGAAGAAGTGGCATTGGTTAAGAAACGGCCGTTGAGGTAGCCACTGAAGCTCATCTGTACGTCTTTGTTAGAAGAGTCGGTAAGGTCAGCAAGTGCTAACAGGGTGGGAAAAAGCTCTAAGAGTGCAGTCTTTCCGCTGTACACCGCCTCATCCGGAGACTTTTCTAGGACCGGATCATTCTCCTGGGTCTCTGTCTCGCTAGCCGTAGTTTTGGCAGTGTTTTCCCCTGAAACCGGCTCTACTGTGCGGGGATCGTATGCTCCGGTGCTAAAGATCGCCTCCTCCGGGATGAGGCTGTGGTAGTGCGATGTTATTGGAGGCTGGTTACCCTGAGGGTATCCTGGATATGTGAGAGAGGGAATAGTAACGTAGGATGCGGGCCCGCCCCAGATATCGTCTTCGACTTTGAGCTCACCTCCGGTCCCCATAAACGTGCCGAAGAGCATGTCTGTATCAAAGGCAGCGGTGCCAATCTCCAAGTCGGGAAGGAATAAGGATTTAAATTCATCGTCAACAGAACCATCCATGGTGGGGTATAACAGCTATATGTTTAGGCAGAGAGAAGGTATAAACAACGGGAGCTACCAATTATTTTCAGGCCCTGTTATGGTCATCCATGGGGAGCTGAAAGAATCCTTGTATGCAGTATGCGTAGGTGACTACAGGGCCAGTACCGTGAATGTCAGAAAGGTCGCGCGATTACAAGTCACTTACAACAGGGTGCCAGAAGACAGCATCTGAAGTAAAAATAAATCATAAACGTTTCGTAGTCTTAAAAACTTTTTTTTGTCGGTGATTAGACTCGCGGGGTTGAAGGTAAGAAAATGCATGCAAGAAGGGGCAAACTAAGCAACGCATAACTCAGACGTAAAGGGCGCTCGTAAATGTCCCTGTTAAACCCCGCAATTCTGTCAAAAATATGATTAAAATGCGACTCAAATACGGAAAGTTTGATTAAGTATTCTGCTATTTGCCTTGAAGATACCACAGATGTGATAGGGGCATCAGGTTCACGCTTGTGTAACGATTTTTGGCCCCCTTTCGCTCACACCTAATAGGAGTATTAACGAATCGTTGTCCCTAACAAGGCTCAAATCTACCGCGGATTTCAGGATAACCCTATATTTGTAGAGCATTATCGCATGAGAAATATATCCTTTCAATTCAACCAATGTCCGCCATCTCTACAAATTCACATCCGCTGAGCATCAAGCCGGGTCGGTCGGCTTTCAGCCTCTTGAGAACAGAACATTCTGATATTCTGTATTCTCAATCATCAATGACTGTGGTATAATCAAATATAGTCATGTTTTACTAATAATCATGGGTTTTAGTAGGACTCGCGGTTTGGATGGTGGTCATCACCACGTTTTCCTCTCGACGCCGCACCACCAACGCATGTAACGTCGTTGCACTAAAACCCGATGCAACTGCAGCTCGTCGGCGACCAGCACCCGATGGCTCAACACCCAGAAATTGCGGTGGGACAGGGAACTCACCTCGGAAGCACCAAATACACATTCCCCGGACTACTGTACACAACTCGTCTGCCGGGAAATATTTCCTTATGGTTTTCGTGGGAAGCTTAATTAAATCAAGCAACGACACTAACGTGTTTTCTCAGGTCTATCGAATACATCATTGTTGGATTTTTAAGCAAATCGTCTGCCATTTATATCTATATTTCGGTTGGATCCCTTCCCCTTACTTTATGAGCTTGTATTAACCAGATATTACAACTTATTTCATTATTCATCGGAAGCCTTTTCCTGAAAAGCAGTTTACCTCAAACTAGATATCACACTCCCGTAGGGTTACAGGGACGCACGTGTAGTAAATACTGATGGAATATATAGCCATCATTTTAGAGGGATATAGCCTGAAATCTGACACATATCTTCAGTTACTGATTAACAAAGCTTTCTAGAGATGTCTTATCTGAATATATTGGCGATCAAAAATTAACGTACCTTTTACTGTGTATATTTCAGGATTCGAGACGATAACTCTTGGTCCTCCTCCCCTATACTCTACTTTCACGACATTTGTCACATCTTTTTCCCCCCTTCATTAATTCACCACTTATGAGCCACGAACCACCTTTACCCTTAGTTATCTCCGCTCTACACTAAAACGCCCAAGTTTTCATATTTGAGTCTTTGATTGTACAACAGCGATATTTCAACATAGCCGCTTTATGAGTTTACGTACTCCGGTCTACCGGATCACCTCAAACTCCGATCAAAGCCTTTACTTGAACGTTTTCACCTCGTATTGGTCAAAATACGTTTTCCAAGGGGAGAAACCAAACTCGGTAACACCAGAGACCTGTTTCTCGTTGATACCGCAAATGGCACACTGAGAGACGGCTTGAGCTTTAAAATAACGGATGGCGGTGCAGATGAGCCCAAAGTTGAACACCTCCGTCAAGTTGGAGTAAGCCAGGTCAATAAACTGGCCCGCGATGCCACCGACGGTAGGCGGAGTACCCATGCCAGCGGGGCTGAGCTCCTCGAGAAACGGATAATATTTGGTGAGCGCGCTCTTGTTGGTGAAGAGAATAATCCCACCTACAACGCCCTGTGCTGCGGGCTCGAGCGCGACAATAATCTGGACACCCTTGTTCAAGTGACGATATGCCTCCTGGTACAACTCAACGCCGAACGGATTGCTGTAGTGGTCACGGATCAACGGGAGCAACTGTGTGACGTCGCGGCAAATATCAAACTGTACCCCCACAATCATTAGCTCGCGAAAGATCTTCTTGGGAACCAGCCAGTCCTGGAGGTTGTCCATCTTCATCACATACTGGGGGTAATTGGTGGCGCCGGACGTGAGACTCCAGCCCACAGCACGCAAGAAGGGCACCACTGCGCCAGAATCCCAGCCGTTAAGGTTCTGGAGTGTCTGATGGAGCCGGTGCGCGGCGCTGGACGGGATGATCACAAGGGGAAATGCCGCACCAAGGTACACACGTGTGACGCCGCGCTCCTGTGTGAGGTAGCGCATCGCGCGCGCGTGCAAGTTCTTGCCAATCGACTGGTGGCGGCGCGCCTTGTCTACCAATATGCAGTGGATGTTGCCCGTGCACGACACCGCATTCACCCATACAAAGCACACGCCGAGCACCGTATTCATCGAAGAATTACGAACCACAAAGTGTTTCTGGACAGCCGCGGTAGAGCTGAGGAGGAGAAACATCCAGCGGAAGAACAGCACAGGGTTCCCCGGCGGTGCGAAGAGCGTCTCGTCGCCATCGCCAGCAAACTCATCTCGCCACAACTTCTTTACACCCGGCCAGTCACGCTGCACATCGAAGTCGTCTACTAACCACAAGCGGTTGACCTTGCGCAGCCGGTTGCGACCCTCACCTGGAATGCTACCGCGTGCCTCGCGCTCACCGAACAAGATTCCCGGTACCTGGGCAAGCGCATTCTCCGTATATTCATAAGAAGAAATGTATACCGAGCCAATGTTGCGGTTGTAGTAGAAATCGTAGGGCGAGGAGACCGCGAGAAGCACCAACGGTTTGGGCGGTGTCGCACTGCAGAGGATGGAGATGTGTTTGACGATGCCGATTTGGAACATGTAGCGGCTGGACTCAGCCGTCGCAACAATCACCACCCTTGCGCGCATGAGGAGTGACTCGTGGAGGGAGGTGAGCCCGTTCGCAGTGTAGGTTGTGTGGGTCACGTTATAGTTGTACTGGGAAAGCAGTAAGCCAAAGGCTTGAAAGACTTCCTCGCCGCGGTACGCATCGGGCGTCACGTCTGCGCCCGGCTTGAGCGTGTACAACGGGTCCAAGAGCGGAGTAAGAAGGAGAATGTCTAAGCGGTCAGTCTCTGGAACGGCCGGTGCCTCGAGAAACTTGTCCAAGGGCAAGCAGTTGTTATAGTCGCGGACAAGGGTGACGGACTTCTGATACGCGAGCTGGGAAAGCACCTGGTGTGCAAGCCTAGCCTCGGGTGAGAGTGTTAACGGCTGGGATACCTGCTCCCACGGTGGAAGTTGCCGCTGGAGCGCTTCCACACGTTCGAGCGCACGGCGGAACATTCCCGGGGCCAAGTTGCCGTACATCATGGCTTTTGAAATCAGGGTAAGTGCCTCTTCCTGAAGCGTGTAGTCGTGGCAGACCATGACCAAGTCACAGCCGGCAAAGATCGCCATAATCACACCCTGGGAAAGTCCGTAATTGCGGTAGAGTGCGTCCATCTCGAGACACTCGCTGATCACCACGCCGTTAAAGCGGAGCTTGCCACGGAGGAGCTGGTTGATCACCACGGGACTCAAACATGCGTGCGTTTCCTCAGGCGAAATGTTAGGCACCGCGCAGCCCGCCACGGACACCGCATCGAGCAAGCCCGCCTCGATCAAACGCGCGAACGGTACTGCATTTGCACCTTCGATCTGCGCAAGCGACTCGGGCATCATGGGGAGCTCGAGCACCGAGTCGACTGCCGCGCTACCAATTCCGGGAAAGTGTTTTCCCGCAGTCATCATGCCGCCCGCACGCAAGCCACGCGCGGCCGCCGCGCCATACTTGACTACCTCCTCCACCGTGCTGCTGAACGAGCGCACACCGATGAGATGATTTCCCATTGCGGTGACCACATCCAATACGGGCCCCAAAATAAGGTTGAACCCGATTGACTTGAGCTCCACGGCTATAGCCTTGCACACGTCGTAGACGAGATCTTCGGAGCCCGTCGCCGCAAGCGCCATGGCGCCGGGAAACTGCGTGATGTTCTCCTCATCAAACAACAGGTTCATCATGCCGCCCTCTTGGTCTATCGCGAAGAGGAGCGGGTACGTGTACCCGGAGTCGTGTGCAAGGCGCTGGAGCTCGAGAATGAGCAGTTGTGTCTGTGCCGCGGTCGCAAAATTTCTGCTGCTGAGGATCATCAGCCCCACGTGGTGCTTTGTGATGAGATCGCTCGCCTGCTGTGTCACCGTTGTACCCTCGAAGCCACCGATGAGGAGTTGGCCTGCCTGCGAGTGTGTTGTCGCGTACATGGAATGAAAAGAGTAATGGAGTTGCAAGTGGCAATGGGTGATCTGTTCTGGTTACCCCGAAAAAAGTTGTGCAGCCTGCATGAAGGGATGCAGCGATCGGGGGTTGCATTAGCTCAGAGTAGTCTGGTTGTGGCACGCAGGGGCACCAGAATTGGTCTATGTTATTAGTGATTACTCCATCTTGAGGGTTGGTTTACACATTTAAGACGGATGGCGAGCTGTGATCAGCTTGTCAAAAAAAAACTGATATATGGGATATGGATCACACAGTATGTAATAATACATAATGTGAATTAATATGATTAAAGACTTGCGTATAAAGCTAAAGTTTGGGAAGAGCTAAAAAAATAAAAAAATTGAAAATAAGCCTCAGGGATTCAGGCCTTTATATGAGAATATTATGGCGGATACGCATAACGAACGTTTTTGCCATGCGTTAGCAAAATACAGCTATTTTAACGGAAATAAGGATATCACCCTGGGCGGCAATACGAGATGAAGTTTTAAAGTTATATTACGCTGACCATCGATATCTTGGTACATGAAGGCAATTTTGGATCACCAGGTAGGAATCGGGGCCACTGTCAGTATTCAGGAGTAAACGCTCGTTGAAATACCGGAAAGGGGCGATTTAGTCAGAGGGAACGGCCGTTACTTGAATTTCTCAATCGGATTCTTTGTAAAATGCGGTACAGTTTGAGGTAATAAAGGAACTCGAAGGGTGGGTTACTCCGAATGCAGGTTAAATTGCACTCTAAGGTTACTTGGAATAGAAGATAGGTCAGTAAGGAACGATTCAGGTATCCGCAGCTCTGAAGCCCATTGTCTTACAGAGACAATAAGCTTTGTTTAGGATAATATAGTAATTTTAAATGGTGTTTCTAACGCTTATCCTGAGCGGCATGATATCAAGGAAATTGCTTGAACACTTAGCTAATTATTTACATAGTAGCTTGTTAACGTAGACAGGTCTGTCCTGCTGTAAGACTGTCCTTTATTTTAAACCCATTGGTGGACTAGTATAATCTTAGATGGCATAACTGATCTTGTAATATTGGTTAACGTGTCAGAACCGTGCCCAACTCACACCAGGGGATTATCAACACTAACAAGGTCATTATAGGCTGTACATAGAATAGATCTATTGGAGTTAGAGAGTTATTTAGAATAATATATGGGCATAATGTGGGGGTACCGGAATTTTTTTGATGGTGGTTATCAAGAATTATTCTCGAGCACGATTGAAGCACAAATGTTGCCCCTAACTAACTGAAACACAAATGTGGAATCTGAGACTATACACGGTAGTATTTTTTTTTTTTTTTTTTTTTTTTTTTCATTTTTAGGATGTGATCTTTGTTTAAGGTTATATTTAACCTGAGTTTTATTCTACATCAGTCTGGGTCATAAGTGACTCAGAGATTCATTCAGGTAGAGAATGGAACTCTAAGGCTAACAAAGGTCAGAAGGTGGACAATATTCCCAACTTTTGTCAATATCTGTCAGAGATACACCTAAAGCCAACGGAACTACTGACTCAACACCTTGTGTAAGTACCGGACTATCACAAGGAGACTGCGATAAGGGCTTGGTCTACTAATTCGCCGCGCACTTACCCAAGGTATTGCATATCAGAGAGATTGCCTGACTACGAAACTAATCCTTTTTTATATTAGATTTATACTTTATATAGTTTTTATTTTATCTAAATATGACCTTTATTTTGGAAGCCCATGTTGATTCTAGTAATTTGCTGGATAATGTTGGTGTCTATGGTGATAAGTAACCAATGATGACTGATTATGATAGTTTACATGTCCTTAGGTAAAATAATAAAGTCGTTAATATGGAAATATGGTATGTACCTCAGTTCTGATAATAAAAATAAAGGCATTGTATGCCTTTTTATAGATAATTGACTCTTCCAGTAAAATTGTTTTTGCTTATCGTGAAATCACTTCTGAGTCAGACTAGCATTTCTTCACACAAACATCTAAACAACCTCGTGACATGAAATATGAGTGAAGACAGGTTTCAACAGTTACCAGTATATGATGAAAAATGTTATAGAATACTGACTAAAATAAGTTAGGAGATTTTGTCAGGTAGGAGTAGATAAGGATGGAAATTTATTGTCAGGGTTCCAGCGCCTGTTGGTATTCCAGTCGGGGGGTTGTAATCAGTCATTGATTCACAAGTTACTTATCGTGATCTTCCACAAAAATAAAGATAATATTAAAACCAAGATCATTCTTAGATCTGGAAAACTACTTCCTTATATAGCTTTCTTCGGTGCCTCATTTGCTTTATGCGACAGGATTAGTTTCAGATACTCATTATCAAACAATCCTAGTAGCCTCAACTGGAACCTCATAAGGTTCCTGAAACAACTCTCTAACTCTGACATTTATAGTCAGCCTGGCTAGCTCAATCGGTAGAGCGTGTGACTCTTAGCAGTACGCGATCACAAGGTTGCGGGTTCGACCCCCGCGTCGGGTTTTCATTTTTTTACTTGAAGTATGTTCAGTGATTCACTTGACTGTTATAATTCTTTTCATCCAAACAGATGTTTTATTAAGGGCTTTTCGGTAGTATCTGCTTGCATTTAATATTAAAAATTCCCAACCTTTGACGAGACAAATATCATTGGCGCCCAAGCACGAAGTTATGGCAAAGTAAATCCTCACACCAGAGCAGGACCGTTCACATCTCAAGATTAGATTAATAGGTATATAAGTCAATCTTCTTGCTGTAAGTCACCTAGATTTATTATCGTCCCCACAAATCATCTATACGTGCCTTTCTACACACTTCTCGGACTAAAATAAACCAATACCAATTTTCGTTGAAACCCACGTAGGTAACTTTCATATTTCAGAGCCCAAGCAAGATGGTGGGGTTATGCTCATAACAAATTCAAAAGAAGTGTCTCTTTTGAGTCTGTAGAAAACAGCGCCTTTCCCCGTCCGTCGCAAACACTTTGTTTATTTTATCTATTCCTCTTCATTCATGTCAATGCACATCCAGCTCGGCCAGCCCAACTCTTCACGCAAAATGTCGCGGAGTTTCTCCACGAGAAACTTCTCCACCTTGCCAACATTTCGCAACACCGTCTTATTGTTCTCCCCAATCTCATTTTCGATCTTGATCTTCTTCAAAATGTCCAAGCGCTCGTTGGATGGCGTAAACGTCGAACCCTGGAAGAAAGCACCACTCTGGGGTCCGTGGTGCTGTGAGTAGCCGTGGGCCCCGGGGGTGTTCGGGGTTCCCGGGGTACCGGTATGAAAGTCGCGCTGGAAGAAGGGAAACTCTGCAGACGGGCCCATGTTCGTTTCTGAGTGCTTGCGCGAGGGCAGCGCGCTGTTCGTGGCGGAATTTGGCACGCCCGTGGGTGCAGGCGTGTCCGCGACATCACAGAGCACCGTGAAGTATGCGCGCTTGGCTCTGGTGAGATACGCAACACACGCAATGCAGTGGATGGTGATCTCGGTGATTGTGAGCTTGATAGGGAGCGAGATGAAGTTAGGCGACGGGTAGTTGAGGAGCAATTCCACATTGATCTGGAAGACAAGGTTTCCGTCATAGTTGAGCTCGCTAATAATCTGAATGTCATTATCATGTTTGTTGCGCTTGGGACTAGACAGGGGTTTAAAGGAGTTGGGGGCCTGGGACCTGGAAGATATCAGAGGGATTGGTCCGTTGTGACTTTCGTCGCTGGAGGACGAGCTGGAAGAGAGAGTCTCATCGACATCGCGGTCACAAGTGCTCCGCACAGATCGAGCATCGCGTGCAGATCCCTGTTCCTTGTCCAGGTCCTCACGGGGCCTCTCATTCAAATTTCCACTTGACTCATTCCGATAGACATTCCCGAGCCCGACGGTGTTATTCCGCACGAGAAGGAGTGACGGAACGGCATAGTTCGCAGAAGCACCATGAATCGGAGACATGCTTCCAGCGAGTCGGTTCATAGACGTGGCGGTAAATCCGCCCCACGAGTCCTCGCCCTCCTCTAGCGACATTTGCAGCAATAACGGCGACAAGTTTGCCCCCGCGTGGCCCTGAGGCGTGGGGCTATCAGTCTCCTCTTCAACGTCTTTTCCAGCTTCCTCCTGTTCAGCATTTTCTTCTGCAATATCATCGTAGAACTCCAGAAATGGGTCGCTGATGTGACGGATGATCAATTCAGGAGCGTTAGAACCGAGCTGGAATTCTTGCACGGACAAATTGTGGATGAACGGCGGGAGCTCCAAGCTCTGAAACTGGTCGTCTATCAAACGCTTGAGCTGGTCATTGAGGTTCGAGTGGATTATCCCCTCCCAATCTATATTAAAAGACATGTTTGTGTAGAAGAAGAGAAACAACGATGACTTGGGTCCGGCATGCCGTGATGTTATAGATATTAGCTAAATGCACATAGAATCACGTGATGGTGGAGAATACCAATCCGGGAAATATGTAGCAATTTGAGATTATTAATTCTTTTGGTTTTGGTGTATTATTAAATTTTAAACAAAAAGTTACAATAAGAAATATACCTGGCGGGTTTTACAGCTGTGTTTCAATGCCGGTACTCAACGGTTATGAACAACTTGCTAAGTATACCCGAAGATCAGCTTTGATCAAGTATAATACCATTGGCCGGATCCTGGTTATGGTTGATTTCAGCTGTTGGAACACCACGTACAGAAGAAGTTAATGTCAAATTTCGTCTGAGCTACGCACCATGACAAAGGGGTACCGGAAGCTCAAAAAGTAATAAGTGGTATTTAAATGTGGCTGATTATGCCGAAGGGTAACAAAGAATTCTAAGCGGTTCCCAGGTTGTCTAGCGAGTATAATTAATTAGCGTCGTAAAGCGTGTCTAGATGAGAGAGAGTGTGTGATAAGAGGGAAACGTAAGCCAACAAGCTCGTTAAAACAAACAAGCTTCAAGAATTCAGGTAATTGGTGATCTATTATCTTTTACAATTTTCACTACCCAGAAGCAAAAGGTTTCTGGATAGCGAACTTCGAACTTCATTTCCCACCTTTGGGTGCCGGACACATGTGACTCCACTTCTGGCCTAAAAATTTAAGCTCCACATCACTCGCCAGCGACCTTCTAACCACAAACCCTCACGAGACATATCACAGCCAGACATACACTACACATCCATGATTTCCAATCTTGTGACCAAGATGAGAGAAAACAGACAGAGAAGCGGTGCGCTGTACGACACTGGCGGCAACGTGGTGACGTACAAAGACGGCTCTACGCGCATGGTGGATCCCGCGGTGGCAAAGTTGAAGGCCGCGAGAAAGGCCGCGGAGGAGGCAAAACAGAATCTGCTCAAAGAAATACGAAAATCCAAGCTAGATAGCAAGCCGCGGCTGGCGCCCGCGAAGAAGGCACCGGTGTCCAAAACACGCGACACGTCGAGCCAAGCCCGTCGCGCGAAACTGGTGCCGTTGCCGATGGCCAAACCGAAAGTCCCGGAGAAGAAGTTGAACTTTGCGGAGTTGATGAAACAGGCCAAGAAGATTGATGGAACAAAGCTAGCGTTTAGTCCGGTGATTAAGCCTAAGACGCTCACCCCGCCCCCCGCCAGGCGAGTCACCTCCAGAACGAACGGACGGACTAATATACGGGCTTCAGAAACGGCTCTGAGGTATAGGCAAAACTCACGATCACAAACACTGGTTCCCAGACTTCAAAAGCCGGTCCAGAGACCGATGGCCCCTCCACAGCCGTTGCTCCCAGCATATGCCGGGGTCAACTCAATCCGCAAGCCTACCCCCAAAGAGAGCAGGAGAGAAGAGTCGGATGAGTACGACTCGGAAGACGACTTCATCGTACTGGACGAGGATGAAGGATACGCGCACCTGCGAGATACAGGCTACGATAGGGATGAGATCTGGCAGATCTTCAATAAGGGAAAGAAAAGAGAGTACTATGACGATGATAGTGGCGATGATATGGAGGCGACAGGTGCTGAGGTGTTGATGGAGGAGTCTAGATCGACCAGACAGGCCCAGGAGGAGGATAGACGGGAGCAGGATCGGGAGAGGCGGTTGCAAGATGAAAAGGCGCGGAGAAAGAGAATGGCAAAATAAAGATATATTCGCGGTATTTATTAGCATTCTGTTCTGCTTACTCTGACTTTCATTCTGATTGTATGGATTAGCACCCGTTTTTTTCGGTATTATGATCTGTAACGTTCTTAGATCCGGACTGGGAGTCAAAGATATGACTGGATTTGAATTATTTATAATATGGATTAGGAGCCAGTGATTTGTACATAACTGTTATAAATAGACATCCATATATATATTGTATATTGTAAAAACTGGCGTCAATTAGTAGGAAGGGGGGCCTGGTCGAACCACTTGAAGAATGCAGCTATGAAGCTCAGTTCGAGAGAATCGTATTAGTATTCAGTGGCTTCTCTCTGTGTGTGTAGATGGTCAGTATTTGACAATTATACAAATGTGAATGGTTTGGACTCATAATACATATATCCTTGATGAACTTAATATAGGGTGTTTACACCTTAGTCATTAATAGATAATATGGTACCAGATATTCATAGAACTAAATATAGCCCTTTGAAATGACATGCTGTTGTAAACATTGGTTTTTCCGAGTAGTCACGGCTGTATCAGGCACCTTGAGTAAACAGTCATGTGTCGATGATGGCTTCCATTAAGAATACCAATTTAATTGTAGCGCCAAAAGTCTGTAACCAGTAGTCAGATTAACTTAGACCGTATTATCCTCCAATTTGAAACTTTAATTATTGTTGGCCGAAAAAAATTCTGTATTACCAACTCTTTCAACACAGCCGACAGCGAGAACCAGGTGACTTTCAAAGGCGTCGCAATGCCAACATCTAACGCAGACGTGGAGATTATGGTTCTTACTTGTGATATCGTCAAATTTATTTCCTTTATTTCCTTAAACTCGGTTATTTTAACCAAACTATAGTCTCAAGGGGACAGACAGTCTTATCTGCTAGGGTTGTCGCGCTATCGCGCTTGTTGTCACGCGTCGGCCGCGCGTTTTTCGGTTTTCGCGCGCGTAATGTCTCACCGAACCCAAAAATTGTCTGCACACATCCGCACTTCTTCTACACTTCCGCCTTCTCTACAGCTTCTCTACCCTCTCAACCAACACATATACATCCATGAACGCTTCAACCATCACAGTACATTGGCACGACGAAAACCAGCCGGTGTACAGTCTCAACTTCCAGCCGAACGCACGGGGCGAGCGTGCGGAGCGCTTGGTCACGGGCGGCGGTGACAACAACGTGCGCATGTGGCGGCCCGTGTACAGTGCCGCTGGCAACAAGATTGTGTCGGTGGAATACCTCTGCACTCTCCCCAAACACACCCAAGCGGTGAATGTGGTGCGCTTTGACCCCAAGGGCGAGACGCTCGCGTCGGCGGGCGACGACGGTACGGTGCTCCTCTGGACGCGTGCGGACGCGATCGTGCGCGAGTTTGGCAGCGAGGACGACGACGCGCAGGAAAGTTGGGTTGTGCGACACGCGCTCCGGTCGCCGCAGTCGGAGATCTATGACCTTGCGTGGTCGCCCGACGGCCAGTACGTGCTCACAGGCTCCATGGACAACGTCACGCGCATCTACAACGCAGCCACGGGCCAGCAGGTGAGCCAACTTGCGGAACATAGCCACTACGTTCAGGGAGTTACCTGGGATCCACGTAACGAATACATTGCGACTCAGTCTGCTGACCGTTCGGTTCACGTGTACGCGCTTAAGCACACGAACGGCGTGTTGACGGTCGCGCCTACGACTTTTTATAAGAGCTCGCGTGCAGAGATGCCCACTGCGCGGCTTTCGCAACTTCTTCCTACACCTGCGCCCACCCCGGTTGTGCCCACATCTATGCTGCCGCCTACGCACAAGCGCAAATTGTCGGGGTCCTTTGCGCCGCGCGCAAGCTCGCAACTGCGCGCGGTCTCTCCCTTACCGGCCGTGCGCGCCATGGAGCCGATGCGCAACTCGTTGCTCTACCACAGCGAAACGCTTCAGTCTTTCTTCCGCCGCTTAGTCTTTTCGCCCGATGGCAGTTTGCTCTTGACGCCCAGTGGGATCTTCAAGACAAAAAAGGAGGCCGATTCTGATGATAAGGGGAAGGAGGAGGAAGAAACGCCAAAGTACGAGGAAACAAACACCGTGTATATCTACACCCGCGCTGGGTTGAACAAACCACCTGTGGCGCACTTGCCGGGAATGAAGAAGCCTGCGTTGGCAGTCTCCTTTTCGCCGGTAATCTATAAGCTCCGTGCCCATCCCGCAGCTACGGTGCACGTACAGGTAGATGCCGCGGATGCAAGCACCACCGCGCACGGTGCGACGCCGGACACGCGCCCTATGTTTGACCTTCCGTACCGGATGGTCTTCGCGGTCATCACGCAGGACCTGGTAATTGTGTATGATACGCAGCAGCGCCAGCCGTTGGGGCTTGTAACCAACTTGCACTACTCTACGTTTACTGATGTTAGCTGGAACTCCAAGGGGGATACGATTATGATTTCCTCCACCGACGGGTTCTGTTCTGCGGTGGTGTTTGAACCGGAAACGATGGGCGAAGTATTGTATTTGCACGGTTCAGATGCAATTCAGGCTCACAGTTCGGAACCGCAGGCCCAGCCGAAGGCCCAGTCAAAGGATAGAGGTAGAGCCAGAGAAAAGATCAATGTGGTGGATATTTTGGAGCAGGCAGGGAAGCGCCACGAGGCCGAGCTCAACCATACGATTGAGATGATTGATGTGGTTACAAACCTGTCGGTAAATTCTGAAAGCTCTAAAACACCTGAAACCTCCAAATCTGAAACCTCTGAACAGTCTGAGAACTCTGAGAACTACGAAAGTTCTTCAGCTTCTGATATGGCTTCTACAGGCTTTGACAAGTCTTCAGCTGCAATTAACGTTTCCAAATCGGCAACTTCCGAGTCAGTTGAGGTGAGTGATGTCGGAGAGGCTCAGGACCATCGAGAGAGGGTAAAGCCAGACAAGAAGAAAAAGAGAAGAATTGCGCCAACTCTCCTTCCTCAGTAAACTGATTCTGGCGTTTTTATAGATATTCCGGATATGTGAAAGCATTTACTGGAGTGTGCATGACCGGAAATCCCATGGAACTGACTGGTTTAATGGAGTGGCTCTTGGGCCTACCGCCGTCTGGGATCTGCAAGATTAGTATACTAGGTTACACCAATGTACGTATTAAGCCTGTGTATTTAGCATCTGAGAACTAGTCACATTCTCACACTTTGATTTTTCATAGCTATATGATATGTTCAAGGAACATGTAGATATATAGCGGGTTGCGATATACGTTAGTTTAGCCTTGAGCTTACAACTGTCTCCCTCGTCTCGTCTAGATACCACGGTTAAAAGGGCTAAACCTGTTCAAAAGCTTTGCTATAGATTTAACCTAATAACCTGACCTGGAAATCATCGTCAACGCGCACCTATTCGAACATAAACACACCGAACTCCAGGAAAGATGGAGATACGTCTGCAGTTATTGGTCGGCTCTACCGAGTAGCCCCAAATAATACGCCTACCGCCGAGTTGGTTCAGTCTTTTCAGCCTGTTCGTCCTCAAAGTTTTGTAACTCAATGCTGCTACCGTTAACAAATTTGTGCAATGCTCTCCGTGACTCTCTAAAAGCATGGTGCGATTCCCATCGAGTGATTAGAGGGGAGCACATGTGATATAGCAGGTGTTGAACAAATGCATAATAATGGTCAGCTATACCCTTTAAGCTTAAAGTTTTCCTGAAGGTTAATATAATCACTTGGCGGAACTAAACTATATTGACTAAACACAAAGCTGGTAGTCTCTAACTAGACGGCGAGTAAATACAAGGAATTCAGCTAAAGCCTAAGCACCGTCCAACTGAGCGGCCAATCTCTTTCTGGCCTTGTCAACCATCTCTTCTCTCTTCTTCTGCAACAATTTGGATCTCTCCTGCTTATCGTCCGACCAGCCGGTGGTGGATGGAGTTAGTTCCTCGGATTTAGCTTTTTCCAGCCCGGAACGCTTGGCCACATTAGCCCCGTCGCCGGCTACTTCGTCACCGGACCTGCTGGCAGTGGCGGCTTGAGGAGCAGTATCAGGGGGGAATGGCAAACTACCCGTCTCCATGAACTTATCCACCGTGAGGGAAACAGAACCGCCGTTATTTTCCAAGTCCCAGCGAATCTGGGCCTCGGTCAACTGAGGAGCCAAGGTCTGGACGACTTCGATCATGCTAGAGGAGACGGCACGTGCCTTGACGTTGTTCATTGGGCTGTGGATGTCGAATTCCTCATCAGAAGATTCCTCTTCAACGCCCTCTTCATTCACCGCCTTTGTTCGTTTTGCCTTTTTGGCCTTGACAGCTCCCTTCTTCACCGACTGCTGTGGCAAGTCCGGAGAGATGAACCATCTCAAGAATATAAATGCGACTACCAAGGTCAAGATGAATGTTACTGTAGAGTTGTCCATGAATGATGTGGAAGGATAGGGGTCAGGTGGGTTTAAACGCTTGGAAATGTTGGGACGATTAAGTATCAAGATGTCACGTCTGTTAGTAAGCATCAGCACCATCCGCTTTCAGAACAGTCGACGCACGACCAAAACTCTGCCTACACAGGCCCGATGCTTAGACATATGTTATAGTATTGTTCTGAGCACAACGGTGATGATCTATTTTATGATATTTTAAAAATCATCCTCATCTGGATCGAACAAATCTAAATCGTCAATCGCAGCTGCTTCCATGGTGCCAGCGTGGTCTCCATCGTACCTCCTGTCTGCACTAAAGGAGTCTCTTCTGACCGAAGCCTTGACTTCCTCCTGCGGCTTTACCTCTGCCACTTCTTCCTTGGCAGACTCGTCTTCGGTTTTGATGAGCTCCTCTATCTTGAGCGAAGCAATCGCGAGCATGCCGCGCCGCAACATATTCTCGGCTGGCCAAATATAATCGGCTGGTCCCACGGTTCCCGGCGCAAAAGTCGCAGGCGCCGTACTAAATTTGGACAACTTTCGCGCGTATTCTAACAACTCTTCTGCTGCCACGTCTGGCCTGTTGTTCTTGATGCCGAACTCATCTTCTTCAATATTGGGTAAGTTGCGCAACGTGTTTCGACACGACACAAGCTCACGCAAGATATTCTTGGCATCAGCATCAATTTCGCTGAGTTCGGTGGATAACACACGGATCTCTTGGCCCTGTTTTTGATGATGCTGCAACTTGCGGATGTCGTTGGCCAACTCCTGGTCGATGGATAGAAGGTCGACAGCAAGCGTGGGCTTCGGGTCGTAGCGTTGCACAGAAGAGACAAGCTCTGAGAGTTTCTGTTCAAATTCTGTAAGATGCTGCACAATCGGTAGCTTCTCCGTAACTTCTTGTGAATACCTCGTCTCCAGTAACGCTGGTGTTGGGACATTGGACCCAGTTCGGGCATGCCCGGGCGACGCTAGCCTCGTTGACAGAGGCCGTGAAATCGGTAATGTGTTTGAATTTCTGTACATTGAAGAGGAGGTAGAGGATTTGGTATAGATGGTAGCTACCAGGTTGATTGATTTGGCGCCAGTGTGAGTGTTTTGTACCCGCCTTCAAACGATCTACAGTTCATCCGACTTCAGTCGTGTATTTAACAATTAATCGTTTAAGGCACACTATTTCGCCTCGAACCGTTCCAGTTCCCGTAGAGGTCGTGACCTGTATAGTATAAATCTCTGCTCGTTTACGACGCGGGTCTCTTGACAAAATCCGATCTTCGCTAAATGGCGCGCATTAAAGTGTATTATTGTTTTTCCCATTTAGGATTTTTTCCACAGCCAGTCCCCTGAGCATGGGGATCGTTTCTGCAGCACTTAACTTCAAAGCTTGGTAACAGGCAATCGATAAGAAATCCGCGGCCTGTAACACTCCTATGTGAGGGGTCGTTCCTTAGCAGTCCTCGGTAAATCAAAATGGCTGAGGCTCACAACGGACAGAGTTTACTATGCACACTGATAGCTTAAACTCAGGTGTACGCAAGTCAATGAACTATTTGATACACATCTATTATTGATGAAGCTGCAACTGCGGTTCTAGGACACCTCCTGTGGTGCTGTTCCACATGACATTGTGATACCGCCTGGAAGGGACATGTTGCGTGGTTAATATTTTATGGCAGCACTGACTCTTAATTTGCATATATATATATGGATCTCTTATCCTAGTTAGTTTAATCCCTCTCGTTTCCAACCCTACAACATTTCTCACCTTTCGCGCTCCATATTCACCTCTTGCATTATCAAATTAAAGGTCAGTATCGACAGTGGAAGGCGTGAGCCATTCGCCATAGTCCTCCTCATCATTTCCATTGTGCTTGATAGTTTGCTCATTGCAACCTCCTCCAACGCAGTGGTGAAGCAAATATTCCTCGCCAGATTCAGATTCACTCCTATCTCCACAACTGTTGCCGATACCACTTTTTCCAGCATCTCAGTGCTTGGGGTGAGAGTAGACTATTTCATCTCGAAGCTCGTGGTTCCCTTGAGAAACACCTACATGACCCCTGTGGTTCAAATCCTTTCCGTTGCCTTTGCAGCGATTGGTTTCTTTCTCTTGTACATTTCCAAGCCATCCCGTCGTCCAAGCGTTTTCCTTACGTCTATTGTCTGTTGTCTCGTGGCATCCATGGTTTCGTTAATGGCTTCCTTGTATCAAATAACAAATTTGAAGACTGCAGAGTACTATATCAACCTTCTAATGGTCAGTAATATGTACTACAACGTAGAGATGCGTCGTAGCATTCCTACGTATGCCATGGCCTGGGTATCATCTACGTTTCTCTTGGCTGCGACTTTGACCATGGCCCATTTGGTTGTTAAAAAATCAGGGCTAGGGAGAAAAGCTATTCTTGCCAGTGATACCGATGACGAGCACAATGAGGAGTTGATGGCCTGATTCTCTGCTGCACAGACTTCCCATAGCAACATTTTCATACATTTCACCTTTTTTCATGTTTAATCATAGTCTTTATTCATTTTTTACGCCTAATACGTTATTCTACCATGCAAAAAGGTTTGAGTACTCATAGGGAATAACATTAAATAGTCATGGTGGCTAATAAGATATTCAGGTTAAACTAACACCATAGGTATTTCATCTCTTCACCCTCAATAAGCGCGAACACATTTAGGTTATTTCGTGACCTCAGTCAAGAAGTAGCCCCTTATAGGTCGTGTGGCCTTTTCCTTATCTCTAAAGGACATCAGGTTTTGTTTATGATATTCGTGGAGCTATTCGTCAGTTTGAATATATCAACCGAAAGTTTACTTCGTTCCATTTTATACAAAAAAAGCTGGAATTCTCTGTCATATTGCTCAGATTCTGCACCGGCCGTCTCCATGTGCATGCATCCTGCATCTCCTCTAAAAAATTCACATGCTTTAAGCTAGCACTTTCAGAAACCAAGACCCACTAGCTACGCAATATCACACCAAGGAGCAATGTCCCAAGAATCAAGTATCACATATTTGGTCTCCCGCTTTGCATTTGTCAGAGTTTTAGCGTCTGATCCCCAGATCAAGACATTGAGCCTTTTGGGGTCCATCGACGGCCAGCAAGCAATCATCTCTGTAGAAAAAACGGCTTTCCCCGTGATTCAAGCCACCGATGCTGAGCCTAGCAGCAAGAAGCAAAAGCTGGTTGATGGAAAAAGCTTCCTGACTTGTCAGTCTCCAACGTTTGACATCAACGAATTGGTTACCAGCTTGAAGGTGATCAACCACAACGACATCTACCACTGGTCTCTTGGGTTGCTTGAGCAAAACCTTGAAACCAACCCAGCGGTGAAGCTCAACCTCGTTTACCCCGCCACAACTACTCATATCAAGAAATATGACACTCAAAAATACCACTTTGTCCAGGAAACCCCAGAAGTATACACCCGGATCGTCAAGCCCTACATCGAGTCCATGCAAGGTGATAGGATTCAATGGGTGCGCAACATCTTATACTGCGGCAAGGAGAAGGAAAATGTCGTCTTCCGCGAGGATAATAGCGAATATGGTTATGTCTTGTTGCCAGATATGAAGTGGGATGGGATCAACATAGATTCTTTATACCTCGTGGCTATCGTCTTGAGAACCGACATTGCGTCCTTGAGAGACTTGAACGAGACACACATCCCCTGGTTGGAGTCGTTAAGAAAGGAACTCAGAACCAAGATCCCCCAGCACTATGAAAACAGGATTGCCTCCGACGAGTTGCGGATTTTCGTGCACTACCAGCCATCCTACTATCACTTCCACATTCACGTGGCTAATATCAAACACAGCGGCTTGGGAGACGGTATTGCCGCAGGTAAGGCCGTCTTGTTGGAAGATGTGATTGAACAATTGAAATACTTGGGTCCAGACGGGTTCGCTAACAAGACCATCGGCTACGTTATAGGCGAGAATCATGACTTGTGGCGCGCTGGGTTGAAGGAAGAGCAGGAAAAGCTGCTTTAAAAAGGCTGATATAGTTTACACGGCTGAATGGTTATCTGTAAATGTTACGTCTACTTTTTTTTTTCTTTTTTTTTTTTTTTTTTGAATAAATTAAATTGAAACATAACTAAGCCTCGGGCCAATCTTTGCTCTACTGCTTGTATTCATTCCCGTGGAGATACTCTTCCAACTCAATTTCCGGCTGGAATTCGGTAAACAAAGTCTCCGGGTCGGCAGACGTGTGGTACGTATATGCAGCTTCCTCATCACCGATAACTTTCTTCTCAAACCCACCGGCGGCAGCGGCGTCGGCCATCAACTGGGCCTGGCAGGTTCTCTCCATAAGCGTAAAAAGGTACGCAGCTTCGTCGACGGTCTGGCCGACGGTCAACAACCCGTGGTTCTGCAAGATCAAGGCTCTTCCGTTAGGACCGCAGGCAGCGGCAATCTTCTTTCCCTCGTCGCTCTCCAAAGCGACTCCACCAAAGTCGGTGAAAACCGAGTGGCAGTTGTAGAATGTACATGAATCCTGGTTGAGCATCTCCAACGGCTTACCAAAGGCTGAATAAGTCTTACCGTGGATTGAGTGCGTGTGACAGGCGGCGTTAATGTCCAGACGGTACTTGTGTAACTCAGAGTGGATCTGGAATCCAGCCTTGTTGATGGCGGCATTTCCTTCGATGAGGTTACCGTCGTAGTCCACTCTTATCATGTCGCTGGCCTTCATCAAACAGAAGTGTCTGCCCAAGGGGTTGATCCAAAAGGTGTGGGGCTCAATTGGATCTCTCACCGAAATGTGGCCGGCAGTCCCCTCGCTGTAGCCGTTGCGACCGAAGGTTCTAAAAGCAGCGGCCATATGTTCTCTGATCCATTTTCTTTCCTCGAGCTTGTCTTCGAAAACCGGAAGCTGGAACGGATGCGCCCCGCCAAGAGCGATGTTGTGGGAACCCCTTTCGGCAACCTTGTAGCCACGGGATGTTTCCGACACATCGACTTCCACCAGGGAAGGGATCTGTGGGGCTGTTAATGTAGTGGTTTGAGTTTGAGACATTGAGTAATGGTTGGCGACTAAAGGCACCTGTGACGAAAACAGGACGCCCGAAGCCTTTTATAACCACCCCCGACTGTTAGTGGCATGCACAAAGGTGAAAAAACGTTACCAGGCACATGCCGCGTGGGGGTCTGGAGTCTGACCTCGTGGGGGCGCGTGGGGGTCGCAGGCGCACAGATTGGGGGAGGGCTTCCACGTGATGACTCTACTGCTTGCAAAAGTCAACTATACAGGTTTGAATCTGTACACCTGGCGTAAAAATAGCACGGTGGCTGCGTGTGCTTGAGGGAAACTTTACGCCCCGCATTTTATTCAACGATGGTGAAATCTACTTTAATCTACAGAAATGATGGTATGTATTTAATGAGGCCTTTACCGTACACTGTAACTAACAAAGACAGCTCTTCCGTTGTGTGGCTCGGTTGACGACGACGCCGAAGCCGGCTTGTTGGAACAAAAGAAGAAGTGCAAGCTTATTATTTCCAGGATCACGCCAAATTCGGAGTCCCAGGCGTCCATTGAGAGTGGGTCTAACTACGTGATCCACTACTTGATTAAGGATTCCATCGTGTACTTGGTCATCTGTGACAAGTCGTACTCTAGAAAGTTGGCGTTTTCATACCTTGACGAGATCTCCAACGAATTCACCAAGCTGTACGGACCTGAGACCATGAACCCTGACGTCAGGCCATTCGCGTTTGCCAAGTTTGACTCCTTCTTGGGCAAGACAAAGAAGGTCTACCAGGACGCCAGAGCCCAGTCTAACTTGGACAGATTGAACAACGATTTGGCCGATGTCAAAAAGGTTATGACCAAGAACATTGAAGACTTGTTGTACAGAGGTGATTCGTTGGACAAGATGACAGATTTATCCTCCTCATTGAGAGCCGAGTCTAAGAAGTACAGAAAGTCAGCCCAGAAGATAAACTTCGATGCCATGATTCGCCAGTACGTTCCAATCGCATGCGCCAGTTTCATCTTTGTGTTCCTTCTCTGGTACACTCTCCTCCGTTAGGTATCTCCTCAAAATCACTGTATATTATCTTATCCCCCCACAAAGGAAATAGATCCCACTTAGGGGGTTCTATTCCTCGCAAGGGGTACCTATTCCCTTCAATCTCGGTCATGTGCGGTTAATTAATTTCGTTTATTCCTCATTGGTAAAGTAAATTCTGTTGTAATCACGTGCATGCAGGATATATAAAACTTTAAGAGTTTAGGCTGGGCCAGGCAACCAACAAGTTGCCAGGAATCGCGATGAAGCGGAAGCTATTTTTACCAGGAACATTTGATGATGAGGATATAGAGGTGGCCGAAAAGGATTTCCCCGCTAAACCCAGGAAAAGGCTCCTTTATCTCGCGCGTGCTTCAGACAATGAGGCTACCAAAGGCCTGCCAACCTCCACTCTGAAGGATGATGACGATTATATGGCCATGGTGCTTCCCGACGAAACGACTGTTGGCAAGCTGGGTTCTGAGCCTCCCCTCGAAAGTGTACCTTTTGAAGAGAGGCAGCATTTCAGCAGAAGCGCTGGCATGAACAAATCTTTGTTTGAGGGTAATAATGAGAGCGAACCGGACAATCTTATTCAACACATCAACCAAAAGGTATCGACCACCCTAACGTCTTCTAAAGGTTTGTCTATGATGGAAAAAATGGGGTTTAAAGTCGGCGACAAGCTCGGAAGAGATTCAAGGTCTGTCGAGGCACTAAGTGAGCCTATTAAAGTCCAGCCTAGCAGGGGGAGATTGGGGATTGGAAGCAAGCAGGAAATAAAAAAAGTCCTTCCCTTGTTTGAAAGAATAGCCGGGGGTAATCGTGGCATAACTGATGACACAGCGACGGAATATCGGCGCCGAGTAACCCGGCAAAAGGCGGAAGCAAAACAAAAACATACGGTAACAAGATTGCAAAAGGTTTGCATCGAAATGGCCGGGAATGAAGAGGCCCAGGGTTATGCCATAGATGATATCAGATCCCAGATTCTCTACGACGCGCGCATAAAACCTATCAACGTCTTATGGCGTGGCATGGTCATTGATCAAATTGTCAAAGATTATACTAATGTTTCTTGGAAACGCCTGTGTAGCCTTACGGAGAAAGATGCGCCAATTGAAGAAACTACCAAGGGTATAGTGGATAACCTCCCAGAAACCTCAAGCGACGCAGCGGGGGAGGAACCATCCAACGGAGAAACCCAATTCCCCGCTAAAGCTTCAGACCCTGAACTACTTGAATTTAATTCTCGGCCAGTTGAGGAAAGGTTAGGGGAGTTGAACGTGTTTTTGAGAGAAACTTTTCAATACTGCTACTACTGCGGCGTGAGGTATGATGACCCCGACGATCTAGAGGAAAACTGCCCTGGGATGACTGAAGAGGACCATGCCTAGAGCTAGAAGTTAGATTCTCTCATTTGCTTAGTGAAGATTAGATGCCGAACCCTAGCAATTCGGGGAAAGTGTCCTTTAAAGGTGTAACGTAGATCAGCGATAGCATATTTAGCCCTGTGTATGCAAATACGTGTATTAAGTTACCAATATCATGAGTACAAACAAAATATATGGTGTAACGAAGATTTAGTTCTAGTAACTTGTACCATCCATATTTTTATCCGATTTTTTTGAAGTTACTAGACATTGCTACAGGCCGGTTTTCACGGACTTTCCAGCCATCCAAGATTTCTTCCTCATGTCAACATGCTCTATGCAGTACACCCAAAATCGGTACATGTTGACAGACCGGGCATCGTCTTACCCCACCACAATCATATACGTAGTGATTTCTCAAACACTATTTTACAGATTCATAGCATCATAACAACTTATTGTTACTCACAACACAGACACAACTCCTTACGAACCAATAGGACCTATGATCGGCGCTGTGCAGAAGAACAACCTCCAGCGCATGAAAGAATGGAGCAGTTCATTACGCGTCAAATCACCCTCGAAGACTAAGATCGACGTTTCAAGCCATACCGATAATATTTCCCGGCTGGCCCCTCTGTTTTTTCTGCTGAAATCATTCTCACTTTCCAAGCGACACGTGGTTGGTGACCGGGAGACGCGTCTCGTTCTTAACGATTCTTCCTCTGTCTCCGGACTTCCCACAAGGTCCGCACCCGGTAAACTAAAAGCACGGTTGCTATCCCGAAGAAAAAGATCCGACGATACACAATCCACTAGCCAGGCGAACTTTCCTGACTTGACAACAGATAGCGCCATCGATGCAAGAGCCAAAATTTTCTTGATGATTTTCCATCCTGAAATATACTGGAAGTTCCATTTACTTATTCTTACCGTCTTATGCTTCACAACTATTATCATCTACCTTATCTTACAATCGCTTAACCATACTATCTCGGAAACAAGATACGTGGCGGAGCGGGGGATGTGGGCCTACATTGCTGGTTCAATGTGTGGAAACTTTCTAAGCAGCTGTGTTACATGGCCAATAACAGCCGCAAGTAAACTAATAGGAGGTTAGTATTCTAACGGGTATCGGCTAATAATCCAAATGGAAAGTAATGGCTGCTGTTACCGAAGCGCGGGATGTAACACCCAGGTGCTTGGGGTAAGCGTTTTATACTTTATTCACGGTATAAAGCTACTCGGGGTTAAATAGAAAATCAATTATTAAAGGTTATCAAAGGAATAGGAAATACAAGTGGATCCAAAAAAAGTATGAGAATAGAAAGCGTGCAAGGTGCTACTCAGCTGTATAAGCCTGTAGCTTACTTAAGGAACTTGGACACGAACCCCTTTTCTTCGATGGTTTCTTCCTCATCATGCTTCAAGGATTGGACACTCTCTAACTTGTAGTCTCTCAACAACAAAGCGGCTGCCAACAATGGAACACACAAACACAAACCAACGGTAATCAAAAGTCTTTGGACATATCTATAGGCGGCCACGACTGCCATTCTCTCGGTGGTGTCCCAAGCGTAGTCGACAATAAAATCGTACGGTGAGGAGTACGCGTAAGTGGCCAATTTGGCATCACCAAGTTTCTTGACCATCTCAGGATACAACTTCTGGGTCCAAATCGCACCGGAAACAGAGTTACCAAAAGCGGACCCGAAGTTATAAGAAGTCAAGTAAAGGGCAATTACCACGGCCATGTGTTCGTGGTCGGTACAAGACTGGATAGAAACCTGGGTGGAGTAAGTGAAGAAACCGGCACCGAAACCGAGGAGACACAAACCACCGATGATACCACTATGAGAACTGGAGTCGCCTCTAAAGTGGAGCAAGATCCCCATAGCTACAAACCACATGGACACACCAAAAACGATGAAGTGCTTGACACGCTTGAAGTAGGCAACAACAAACCCCAAGATGGTACCAGTAATAACGGAGACAAAGGAGTACAAGGAGGTCATACGGGTAGCAGACTTGATGGACTCATTTACCGCGACGATCAAGATGGTGTACATGAAATCACCTTGCATATACCAGATAAAGTTGATGAAGATGGCAATGATCAAAGCAGCCCAGACACCACGGTCCTTCAACAAATGCATTGGCGCCAACGGGTGCTTGGCAAGTCTGTGCTCCCAAACAACAAAGAACGGAATACAAATGATCCCGATAACAAGCGGCGCGATAATCTTAGCCTGTTGCCAAGTAGTAGAGACACCTCCAGCAAGAGTGAATGGAACCAATATGAGACCCAAGATGACTACAATGAAGAGCAAACCAATAACATCCAAACGGTGGAAGATCTCGATCGAGAACTTCCAGAACCCTAACTCTTGATACAAGGTCGCCTCGGTCTTCATCTGCCTCCACTCTTCGGTCTTACCGGCCTTCCATCTCATGTGGAGCATACAGACAAGTAAGGGAATACACAGCAAGGGAAAGATGAAAGCCCACATACCGATACCCCAGGACCAGTTGAGACCAACGGCTGCTGTAACATCACCAGAGATCCAAGTGTTGATGATGAATGGCAAGGCAGGGATGAAAGAAGCGGCCAATCTCCAGTTCAAGTTGGAACAATCGGCCAACAAAACTTGCAAAATCAACATGACCCCAGTATAGCCGATCTGGTACATGATGGCACCGCCACAAAACCTCTGTATATCGTAAGCCTGCGATTCAATCACGGTCCCGACGACGTAAAACAAGATGGAAATAGCCAACAATTCTAATCTACCAAACACATCAGAGGCCCTGGCAAAAGCTGGCTGGGCAGCAGCAGCGATGACGGATCTGATAACATTGATGGTAGAGAGCAAGGAGTGCTCGGAGTAAGAACTGGTGGCGTAGGCTTGGAAAGTGTACCTGATGGTGCCATCCAAACCGTAGGCGTAAGCAACGAGGAAAATGGAGAAAAACAAGATGATTTTGTAAGCGATTGAATCGTACTCCTTCATCAAAAGCTCGGCTCTGCGGACACCGAGGGATTTGGCCGGGCCACTTGGATTACCCGCATCAGCGATGCTTGACAGTATTCTTTCGGTGGAGTTATCTTCAGATTCAGCAATTTTATCATTTTCATTTTGAGTATTGAATTGTCCCGAAATGGTGTGGACCAAAGCGTTGGCTGTTTCTGACTGCGACAGCATGGCTTTGGGTGTATGTTTCTAAGGGTTGTTTTCCGATATAGAAGCCATGAAGTAGGAACGGCTATTGGAAGTAGGAACTAGTGTGCCTTTTATAATTCAAGTTTCACTTGGGAGACCACGGTGAAAAGCTGCCCTGGACGATCCACTAAAAATTCAATAACCCACCGGGGTCTGTAGACCAAATACCGCCCCAAGTTAAATGATTTATCTTAGAAAAAAAACTATGCATCTACATTATGCACAGGTACACATGCATGCGTCTTGCGTAGTTGTGATATAAGCTGTAAACACCATGTATTTTCCATCCCTTGTTGCATTGACGGTCCCGATTATTGCTCGTTGGGCCAATGTTTCAAAAGTTGTTAAGGTATTAGTAATCTTGCCCAAACGCTTGAAATTCGAGGTTGCTTGCGCTTCATCATAACGAAACGTTCAGTACTCATGGTAAGATGACGCACCTTGACCGGTATAACGCTACACAGCGGCTTTAAGCTGTAACGATCATCTTAATGCTTTCTTTGTAGATCTCAGGATGTCTGTCTGTTTTACCCTTCATGCTTTGAAGTGCCTCTTTTTCTTTCTTTTGCCGAGAATATCGTAAGAAATTGTTGCATATGCTCGATTGCCTCATACGGCTGATCATCAGTGATCTTAGAGATAATTACCCACGCATGCGTCAAAGCGAAGGACATATCGGCCTATACGCTCTCCGCATGATTTTTACGGTATCCCGTACACACCTGCTAAGTCATATACTATCGGTTTATATATGGGGCTAGATTATTCATCCCCTAAATTTATTAATACCAAGCTACTTGAGATTGCCATCTTTCTGTCGCGAGAGCAGAAATCCTGCTGTGGCATCAGGGTGCTTTTACAAGCTTGAATACTGGTTTGAGTAGAAGCCCTGGGCTAAGCAAGTATAACCGAATATAGCCTCTTTTAGGAAATAATTTACGTCTGTACCTGTCTATTTGTCGATGTATACTGAGTTTGCGCAGCCACGGGGTTAGGTCGGGTACCTGCGAAAATCGCCGAAACCGACTTCTCCGAGATCCCGCATTGACCCAGGGCCGGTTACGCTCTTCTTTAAATAAAAGAAAAGCCTCTCGCAAATCTATATGTCGCAAATTCCCCTTACGGCAATGATCATCGTTGCCGTAGAGCAACGCATCGGTGTAGCTCGTATTTTTTATTTATATCTTTAACTCCCTGTCAAGTATCAAAGGAGGGCTATCTACATGTCAATCGCGTAAGTCTCGCAATGCTATGCTTACAAGGTGCGATAACTCCTTTCGGTCGAAACTCGATTTATCATCTGGTATATCGGTTGGCTTTTGAAGGTATAAGCTGTTGTATGGGAGTAGCTATTTGTCAAGCCTGACCGGCGTTAGAGCTAGTTTCTCGCACTTCTCTTAATTTTCATAAGGTGAGATTTTCCATATTAGCATTATATTTTCATCTCTAAAGGAGTATTTCTAGGACCCAAAGCTAAGCTACTCTTGGAAAGCAGGCCCAAACAGAGATACACAATCAGCCCGGGCCAGGAGATTCCTGTCATGGGATGTCGTTCGACGGAGATATGCTCAACGGGGATATTTGTGGCGAGCACTGCTTGAAATTGACTCAGATTGTAACTATAGGAACCAGCGGCATGAGGATAGTGCCGCAGTAGCCATGATTATAATACCTTCGGCCTTTGGAAAGTTGCAGCACTAAACGGCAAATTCCTTGGCACCCGCTAGAAAGTTGAAATAATGCAAGGAATACAATTGACAATACTGAAACGCCAAGGATATGTGTGGCTCATATGACTAATTATCTTTCATCCGGAAAATACTGATATATCTTGCAACAATGTATAGGTAGGGTCGTACGCAATCTGGCAATCTTCTGAGGTTCCTTGGTTTGTCTACGTTACCTGCTCAACCCAACTTTGTCTCCTGAGGGCTGGCGTATAATACTGTGCGGGTTAATTTTACCGCTCTTCTTACGCGACGTATACGTAGAAGTTGGCTATGTAATTATGAATCTTATGCGTGCTAACGTTAATCAAGGTTACCGGTGATAGGGCCAGAATAGAATTAGACTCGGAAGTATGTACGAACCGTGTTTACGGTTCATCGGTGAGCCTTCGGTGGTTACGGAAAAATATGCTTTTTAAAATACCAGAATTAAATCATTTTTCAAAGGTAGAGCCTCTGGTTATCCTCAAAAATACTTCGTATTCCCCATGTACTTTGACATCTTGCGTATAGCTCCTAAATATTTCATTGCTCACGTGACAAGAGGTGCTATTCATTTTTTTTTCAGCTCAAGCACTCGTTTTACCTTGCATCTGACTCACCAGCGATTATTTCACTTTTCCACCCTGTAGGTGAAAAATTCCAGATTTTTGGTGGTAACGCTACGACTCCTCTTTTACAAACAAAAGCTTTAGAAAAAGAAATTCCGATTGGTGGAGTATCTCCGTACTGGTTTATTCAACATCCCCACATTCTCTTAAACATACACTATGGCCTCATCCGTTCCTGGACCGATTCAATTGCCACAAGCCCGCTATGATCTCTCCACCTACTGGGGCAGAGTCAAACACTGTGCCGGGCTAACTGACCCTACTATGTGCCTCAACACCACTGCTGACGTCGAAAATGCGCGTGCTTTGGTTTCCCAATACAAGAACGGTAAAATTTCACATATGACCCCGGAGCTATGGAGAGCCAAGAAGATCTTGGACTCTACCATCCACCCAGATAACGGTGAAACCATCTTCTTGCCGTTCAGAATGTGCTGCAACGTGATTTCCAATTTGTTGATCACCGCGGGTATGTTGACCCCAAACATGGGTGTGGTCGGTACTTTGTTCTGGCAAGTGGCCAACCAGTCGTTGAACGTCGCGGTCAACACGGCTAACTCCAACAAATCTCATCCAATGACTACTCAGCAAATCATCACAAACTACACGATGGCCGTCACTGCATCCTGCTCCGTAGCTGTTGGACTCAACTCTATTGTCCCGAGACTTACTAAAGTGTCTGCGAACACCAGAATGATCTTGGGGAGATTGGTTCCGTTCGCCGCGGTGGTCAGTGCCGGTGTCGTCAACGTTTTTCTCATGAGAGGAGAAGAAATTAAGAAGGGGATTACGGTTTTCGACTCTGAAGGTAACGAACAGGGTGTCTCCAAAACTGCTGCGTTGTATGCCGTCGGTGAAACCGCCGCCAGTCGTGTCATCAATGCCACCCCGATCATGGTTGTTCCTCCGTTGGTCTTGGTCAAGTTGCAGAAAATGGGCTTGATGAGGACAAAGTCGAGAGTCATCCAAACGCTAGCCACTTGCGGTATTGTTGCTGCCACCGGTTTCGTTGCCTTACCGTTTGCCATTGCTGTATTCCCCCAAAGAGAAAGCATGTCTGTGGATAAGTTGGAACCGCAATTCAGACGATTAAAGAACCCACAGGGCGAGAGAATCGAGACTCTTGAATTCAACCGAGGTATCTAGAGAACTAGTGGAACAGCTGACTAAACTTGTATATAATAGAGACATGTATCTGTATCTGGTGGTTTAGACCTTTTCATTGCTTATAGGCGACCTAATTAGGCAAAGAACGTAGACGTGGCCTATAAGCTATGGCTCACGTGGATGCTTGAATATCTTGGATATAAATATACCGCTTACAACCCAGTGATCCTTTATCTGAGTAAGGCTGGAACAGGATATGTAGACCCCACAATATCTTCGGCCCATCCCCCAATGGCTTGAAAAATCCGGCGTATATCTGATGTGAGCCGTGTTCTCCCCCAAGCATATCTCGCTACGTACCGGATAAATGTCCCATTTTCTCGGTTCACTAAATAGCCTTTCTATTCTTCTGTCTCCTTCTCTGGTTAGGATTTTCTCGCAGCCGCCGACGTCGACGAAATTTTGGTAAGCAGCTGACACAGTAGGCGTGGCTGCGAGGTGTACACTATGGAATACCCCATTTATTCCGACCTACTTTAGCGGATTTGCACGTTTTCACACCCTTTATCTACCAATAAATACAAATAATTCACAATGCCAGTCGACCCAGCCAAGTTAGCCAAGTTACAACAAGCTTCTGCCACCAAGATCGGTATGTACCTACAATCCTGAGAGACCATTGATTCGCTGAAAAAGTGTTTTCCCGCCACCCTGTCGCCATTGAACACTCCGGTTTTCTTTGGATCGTGACCAACTGCTACCTGCTTAGGTCTGCTATTGATTGGTTGCCGCTGAATCGAGTGTGGTATATGGGGTAGCTACGATCGGGCTTCTTCAAAGCAGATACCCCGTGGCGTGCTCCGCAAACCACCTCTGATGCTGGCGACGACATCCACCCATTAGTTGCAAATAGTTTTACTAACTACTTATTTTAGGGTATGTGTACTCCTTGCCATTGTAGCTGTCCTATGGCCTTATACTAACTCCATTATAGTGGTACCCGTCGTGCTGCCAAGAAGGTTGTCAAGAACGTTGAACAGGATGACACCAAGTTGCAGGCCGCTTTGAAGAAGATGAACGCCGAAAAGTTCGACGGTGTTGAGGAAGCTAACTTCTTCAGAGAAGATGGTAAGGTCTTGCACTTCAACAGAGTCGGTGTCCAGGGTTCCGTCCAGGACAACACCTTCGTGTTCACTGGTATTGCCCAGGAGAAGGAAATCACCCAGTTGATCCCAAACATCTTGCCACAATTGGGGGCTGAGAACTTGGAAATCTTGAGAAAGTTGGCCGAAGATATCCAAGCTAGAGGTGGTTTGAACGCCGCCACTGCCACTGCCGCTGCCTCAGGTGAAGACATTCCAAACTTGGTTGAAGGTGAAACTTTCGAAGACGACGTCGAATGAATTCGTTCGCCATAACGCATTTCCATCCTAAAATATATCGTTTTTTACTAAGAGTGCTGTAGAGTAATAATCACAGAGACACAATAAAACGAATTCAAACTCGTGGTAGACAGATATTCTATTTAGTGTTAAGGCCGTGCCACGGCTCAGAGCTGGTGTTCGCGGTTGAAACTGCGGGGTTCGGCCCCTTTGGCGGTAGCTTTAAGCGTATGGGGCGCAATCGGAGTTATTCAAACCTATTTATGGCTTGTCGATGGGTACTGCAATCGGTTGGGACGGATAATATGTTATATCGTACGTCTTCAGATAGGTATGTACTGCCATGTGACAGACAATCTCCTAACGTGCACTGTTTCACCCCGGGCACCCCATAGATGTTCTGTCCAATGGCAATAGCCGTATAGCTTTTTTAGACATACCTAGTATGTCATGCAAGGTGATCATGTACGGTAGAGCTGGCTCTGATTTCAGGCATGTTTTCGTCACGGATTGTTTTCGTAATGGCGCGGCATAGATCATTTCAGGAGGTTATATCTACGCGCTTGACACCAAACTATAAGCCGCTGTCAATAAATCCCGAGTCTTTTTTTTTTGGCAGATCGGCTACAAATCTCCATCTGCCAAAGACAAGGAACTCGCGATTCGAAATTGTACTCATGAAAGGCGGACCTTCATTATATATTCCTATATGGCCGCGAATCGGTCTCCGAGCCCCAGAACTCCTGGTCTTAGAGTATTGGCGATACGCTTGTATCTGTTGAAAGTAGCAATCCAATAGTTGCCATGTGCGGCTCCCCTGAAAAAGTCCACCAGAGAATCCGGGTATGCACCTCTGGTTTATCTTACCAGAGGTGCAGGAAGGCCGTTCTTCCCGCCTCTGTGGGGCCTGGCCCATGCCACTCCGCTCATTTCCAGTCAGGAGACTGGATAGCATGTCATAGATCACGTTGTCTGGTAATTAGCTGCAAATTTCTCTAGCCCGTTCGAAGTTTGCTACATTCCCCCCGTGTCTAAACTCCTACGTCGTAGACTGAAATTACCGCAACCCGGAAGCCTGCGGGCCATCTCTCTCCTGTAAAACTATATAAACCCCCCATCTGTTTTCTCTTCTAGTAGCATATATCAATTGCATCATTCTACGAACCTCTTCTAGCGATATACTAAAGCAACACACCATGACCTTATCCAAACATGTCGACGCCGAAAAGATGGAGTCCTCCCTCTTGAAGGCCACCCGTAATAAGTTTAACGTGGCCAAGACCGACAGATACCTTTCGAGCTACAATGCCAATGTTCAGATCCCAAAATATTCCATACCGCAAGATTCCACCCTGCCAGAATTGGTTTCCCAGTTGTTGCAAAGCGAATTGACCCTTGACGGGAACCCTACTTTGAACTTGGCGAGTTTTGTCAACACGCACATTGACCCTGAAGCCGCTGCATTGGTTGCTTCCAACCTTGTGAAGAACTTGGCCGACAACGACGAGTACCCAGCCTTGTTGGATATCCACCAGCGTTGCGTCTCCATCATCAGTGGGTTATGGCACGGTAACGCCCACAAGGCCGTCGGCTCGGCTACCACTGGCTCCTCTGAGGCCATCATGCTCGGTGGGTTGGCCATGAAAAAGACCTGGCAGAACAAGAGAAAGGCGGCTGGAAAGGATATCTCCAACCCAAACATCTTGATGGCTACCTGCGCCCAGGTGGCGCTCGAGAAGTTTGCCAGGTACTTTGACGTCGAGGATCGGTTGATTCCGGTATGTGCTGAGTCCGACCACATGATTGATGTTTCCAAGATCAGAGAAAATGTAGACGAGAACACCATTGGTATCTTTGTGATTGTGGGGTCCACTTTCACAGGCGGGTTCGAACCTGTCAAGGAGATCTCGGAGTTGTTGGACACTATCCAAAAGGAGACCGGCATCGATGTTCCTATTCATGTGGACGGAGCCTCCGGTGGGTTTGTCGCTCCCTTCGTATTCCCAGACTTGGAGTGGGACTTCCGGGTGCCACGAGTGGTGAGTATCAATACCTCAGGCCACAAGTTTGGTCTCGTCACAGCTGGTTTGGGCTGGATCATCTTCCGCGATGCCGCCTACTTGCCAGAATCCTTGAAGTTCCAGTTGGACTATTTGGGTGGGATTGAGGAGACCTTCACCCTCAACTTTTCCAGACCAGGGTTCCCGGTCATCCACCAATACTACAACTTTTTGAAATTGGGCCGTAAAGGGTACACCGACGTGTTTAAGAGTTGCTTGCAGAATGCGAGATTGTTGGCCAACTGCTTGGATTACTCCGAGTACTTCACCACCGTGTCGAACATTCACAAGCCTATACTCGGAGGAGTGGTTTCCAAGGATTTGGGAGCTGACGAGAAGTTTAATCCAGGCTTGCCAGTGGTGTCATTTAGGTTCTCGGACGAATTTGTGAAGGAGTACCCTGAGATTCCGCAATCGATCATCTCCCAGCTTTTGAGGGCGAAGGGCTGGATTGTGCCAAACTACAAATTGCCGCCTAGTGAATCTAATATTGAGATCTTACGTGTGGTTGTCAGAGACTCTGTCACTTTGGATTTGTTGGACAAGTTGTTGTCTGATATCATCGACTTGACCGAAAAGTTGATCCACTCCGTTCAGTTAATCAGAAACATGGAGGGCAAAGATGTCAAGCAGAATACCTCTGACATCTATGCTATCCTTTACAGTATGGCTAGTGAGGGTAAGGTCACTATTGCCGACATTCAAAAGAATTTTGCTGCCAAGGATTCACACCCTTCGAGTGGCAAGCCCTACCGCGCCACTTGTTAGGTATTATGTTTCGTTTTATGTTTGGCTTTATCTAGAAAATATAGCTTCTTGTTGTATGATTGTCTAAATAAAAGGCGGAGAGCTCCCTCACCAGGTCTTCGATTTTCTTGGCTTTTGATAAGTCGGTGTCCGTCAAGGCGGCTTGCGCTCCACGAGAGAGGATCGATTGAGTGGTTGTAGGACTGAGCTTTCTCGTCTCGCCCCTAAGTCCGTAGTCTTTCGTGTAATTCACAAAGCGTCATTAGCTAATCAGTCAACGCCTCGTTGGCAATGCGCTCCACCGGAAAAGGCTGGTATGTTCCACTGATGGTTCTACCGATAGCACAACTTCTCGTTGTCTGGAAAAGCGATTTTATAGTCAAATTTACGAGAATTTGAAGCTTCGTGCACCGGTATTCCAGTTAATAGTTATAAATCTCGCTACGAGGGAGTATGGAGACCATCCCCGGTGTTGCAGCAAATAACTCGCATTGAATAACGCCAGTTCCCGCCTTATATAGTTGGCTGTTCTGGAGCTTCAGTAACTTAAGAGCACCAAAGGTTTTGATGCCTTTAGTAATACCCTTCAACGCTGTCAGCTTCGTGTGAACGTGGTTTAAAAGGGTATTTTTATCTAAAGGAGTCATTTTGCCCAAAGGAAATACCTTCTTTTGGCTGTTCCCCTGCACAAGGGGATATTAATATCTAAAGTGTAGTTAGAGACTAGGCACTTTCTTTTTCTCGCTTGGCTGATGGAGGTGAAGTATTACAAGCCTTTTTTCTTCGGGAATGGCAGAGTGTAAGAGGTGAAAATTCCGCATGTTAACTTCCAATGTTTTATACTTAAAATCGCAAACCCTTTCTATCGAAGTGGAGAGTTTCTCAATCCAAATGTCACCATTACGTCTCCACTGATTGTTTGAGCTGCAAATTCAGCCGCCCACTTATCAATATTAAGATATGGAGTATGCATCTACAGCTATAGGTTTATTTGTCAAATTGGATGGTATTGGAACCCGAAACGATAGGTCCGTTACCGGTTAAATTCAGAAGACTAATAGCTACCATGTTTTCTACCACTGGAATTATATCATAAGTTTGTATCCTCTTGCTGAAATCTTACTTATCCATCGACATGCTCTAAGAAAGCAGGCTTATACCACCGCCTCCAAGTCCTCGATATTCTTAATATCGGATAATTTCACACCGGTTAAGACGGCTTGCGCGGCAAGGGGAATCATCACCCTAACAATTTCCGAGCTGAACATTTGCTCCACTCTCTGCGCCTGCTCGGCTTTCTCCCTGATCTCCATTTGGGCTCTCAACTCTTCAGAGCCTTCCGCCGCATCTATTTGCTCTCTGGTAGGAACGAAATTCTTGTTGAAATCCAAAATGTCGTCGTTAAGGAACATCTCAATCAACTCCTCGTTATCAGTAAACTCCATATCAGTTTCAAATTTAAACTCCAACGCCTGTAGCTGCGCCATCCGCTGGAAAAAGCGCTTGTAGCTATCTTGTGGGTTTTTGTCTAACATGTTATAAATCGGGGAACGGATCTGGTAGTCGAGAAGAGGCGAGTTTGAGGACTCCTTGGATAAGTATTCTTCTGCTATTCTTTGCAATATTTCTTTTGATGACTGCAAAGCGACATTCTCGTCCAAGCGATGCCTCTCGGCGTTTATCATCGTTAAATCCCGTCTCATCCGTTCAACGATAAGAATTTTCAACAACTTTTGGTGGGCAACAAACGTTTTATTACCATCGGAAGGGACCATCAACTCCAATTGTTCAACGGGTAGGTCAGCTAAAAGCGTATTACTATCGTTAGTATCTGAGGCTCCCCTTCTTTGGGAAATGCCTCTGAAGATGAAGAGGTTGAAATCCAAGGGGTAGTCGGGAATCAAGCTCAACTGTTGGTAGTTCGTTTCATTGAGTGATTGGAAGATCTCCAAATCGGTTGACTGAGTCATAGTAGTAAATTACAGGCACCAAATTCAGTGTTCGAGTGAGTGGCTCGAGCTTCTCGGATTAAAATGATCATGGTGCATATAAGTAGGAGTCGGAAAGGTGTCTTGTATCCGGCGAGCCCCCCACATTGCGCCATCGTTAAGACTGTACATAGGCGCGCACCTGTTAAACTCACTAACTTATAGCCTATCCGTGTAACGGACATTGACGTCGATAATTATCACGCCGGAATTAAAAGCATTTGGCACTCTCACTGGTTAAATAAGAAAAAGGTCACTGACTATCAATATGTATGTGGCTTAACCGACTAGTGTTGGTTTCTATTTCTCAACTTTAAAAGGTATATACTCGTTCACGTATGGTATTTTTTCCGGCCGCTGTTAGGAAAATAAAACATATATTTTACCACCCTAGGTATCCCTCGTGAAATAATCCACATAAAGGGTCCACTATTTTATCAGCTGCTGTAGCAACTCCAAATTCTTCATGTGGTAGTTCTTTTCCCGGTTTCGCTTGCACGTCAATGTGCCCGTATGCCGCTTCAATGCGTCTTTCCTGGCAAACCCTTTTCCACAGTTATCGCAGATATTCGGTAAGATAACTAGATGGGCTTTTTGGTGCCGTCTCAAGTCCGATGACCGTCTGAAGGAAAGCAAGCAATTTGAGCAGATGTAGGGCTTCCTTCCCCCATGGTTATCCCTGCTGCTCCCGGTGGATGTAGATGAGCTTGAATCTGAAACAACCGAGCTAGGGCGTTTTGTGTAGAAATTCTCCCGCTCGCCTTCGATGAGGTTGGTGTGGGCGATACTGCCAGACGTCCGAGGCGCTGGATACTCCTCCGACCGGTGTGCCACGTGCTCAGTGGCGTAAAACCTTGACAGTGAGTAGTCAGGGAAACTAGGTGGTGGGCTCAATGCGTTTAGATTGGTTTCCAGGAAGTCCCATGCCGAAGGTGGCTCGGGCTGTTTGGTTAAAAACTGGTTGTGGCTGATGGCACCCCGTGGGTTGAGATTTCCGCTTTCTTGTTGTCTTGCATTCTGTTTGAAGGCATCAAGGTTGTAAACTGAGTAATCATCCGCCACTTTGAAGCTGCTAGAAGGACTGGTGCTAACATGGTCACGGTCAAAGTGTCCATTTGTGGCATCATTGTGAGGTTCATTGCCGTAATACATTCCGTGGCTGCCATCATCGAGTGGAACGTTAGGGAGGTCAATACCGGGCTGCCCTCCGAGCTGGAAGAAGTCAGTCACGTTGGATGTCTGCCCGTGCGGGGAGCAATAGTATTGTAGCCTCTTTAACAAATCCGAAATAGTGGAATCGATCTCCCCCGTGTTATTGTCCTGACCGCCCTGCTGGGTCTGAGTAGCAGCTAACGCCTCTGAGGCAAGCCTCAAGAAACGAGCATCGGCTTCGGGATCTTCTGACGCCCCGGAAGCTGAATTTATGGTATTAAGGCCATTGGCCGGCGAAGGGTTCTCGGTGTTTAGAAGATCCACAAGGAGCCGCGGGACGCTGGCTCGAACGGGAGGCAATGACTGGGGTCGCAGCTGTGAGCTGAAGTTATTGTGCTGGTTTGAACTCCCAGATGGGTTCATTGTGGGTGGTGCAAGAGAGAAGCTAATGATGGAGTGCCTTATAGCTGTGTCAGTGTCCGTACGGCTAAGGACTAGTTGGGAGGTGGGTGTGGTAGCTGTGCCTCGTTTCTGGTGAGCTATTAGGTGCGTGAAAAAGATGTTGTCTTTTGTCTTTTCTCTCAGTGGCGGGATACAACGTTTTAGCAACTAAATGGAAGATATACCAGTGTATTTATAGAAGGATGGAGGCAGGGAGTATGTCACTAATTTTTTTTCCACAGTGAACCAATATCCTTCTTGATTTGCATCAGCGTGAACCCGAATGAGCAACGCCGGTTCCGTTGGTAGATATATTACAAAACTATCCCACGTACTATGCTGGGAGAACCAGTATCGCCCCACGGAGATTAGGAAAACTGCCTAAAGTAGAGACATTATAGATGTTGCAACAAAGTTGCATCAAATCACGTGCGTTGTACAAAGATATTTTAAAGGCGCGCAATCAGATTGACGGATTTATAGTGCATGTGAAAGCCGCATTACCATTATATGCCGGATAATTTTACACAGTTTTCATGAAAACGAGAGACAGCAGCCGCGGCACGAACGGACGTGTAGCTTATTTACACAGTTTTGTTGCCATTACCATGTGTACATAACGCAAGTCTGTTGAAGCTCTCTCCCGTTGTTCAAGACTCTTTGGTACTTTAATGACTTTATGAACTTGATTCAGCCATTCGTAAATGAATCTTTTAAGATTTTTGATGGTAGATTGCCCAGCTACACTAAGACCGGCTAGAGTGCATAATCCCAAACCTGAATTTTATGTTTGTTAACCAGACTCCGGAGGCACGTTCTGTAAAAAGCTCCTTAGATAGAAATTATGCATATCCTCCTTCAGCAAAATCTGAACCAACTAACTTTCAGGATTATTAGATTTTACTGCCCTTTATTATGGAAACACCCTACCTTCCATCCATACATGAAGTATCTATCCGTAATTCCTAGTGACTTAGTCGTTTATTCATAAAAACTTGGAAAAATACGCCCACGCTTTTTGTCCGACATTTAGAGCTGAATCCCACCTACTAGGATCATAATTCTCTATCAGCTTGTTTTCTACTCCTCGTTCCAGTTTTTTTTTTTTTTTTTTTTTTTGATTAATTGAGTTGTCTTTGAATAAACTCTTACTTTTTCGTGGCCAGATTTCTTCATCTCGATTGTACGACAAAGCAAGTTTTCACATAGGCAATGGAGTATGAGGTTGGAAGAGACTTTATCCGATTTTTCAGATCGGTTCCTGATCCGCCAGACTGAGTCTGGACGTCTCACATTTTAGTTAGCTGCAAAACGATGACTGGGTGAATTGTTGTCTGGTTCAAAGAAAGTCTTGGGGTTTCTCTATTAATGTCTTAAAAGAAAAGACTTTTGGATGTTCATGTAATAGTTATATCTAGGAGTTGACCTTAACCTTCCAATGTCGGTTTTAGGACGATTGGTCTAGTGGTTATGATGCCTGCCTTCCAAGCATGCGACATGGGTTCGATTCCCGTATCGTTCAGTTTTTTGCTGTATCAGTTCTTTGCTTGCGGTTTTGACCTCCTGGAACGATTAATAAAACAGACATGACTCTTATAGTATCATTACGCTAATTATAGTTGACTTGTCGTTCAATCAATGGTTAGGGCGTTTGTGGGTGTCGAAAAAGAATAACGGGCCGAGCAGGGAATTGAACCCTGGGCCACTCACACCCAAAGCGAGTATCATACCACTAGACCACACGGCCGTTAACCTGGACTCTCGGAGTTAGAGAAATCATCTCCGAGATGGTAGGCGGTAGTGCGTATGGCTACCACGATTGGTAGTTGGCGGTTATCAGAACTGGCTCTCCAACACAAGTGAAGTCATACACCATTCCAAGAGGAGGGAACTTCACGTGACGATTTAAGTGAAATTGAAACGCCATGGTGCCCATGGCCCAGAAGGCTGTATAAGGAAGTAGCTTCCCGTTGGTAGAATATGTGTAGTTTAAAAATATCTTTATTCTTGTGGGAGATCGTGATTGTACCTAGTGGTTTATTTCGGTGGTATCACATAAATCGGTGACTGACTACAACTCCCTGACTGGAATCCCAACAGGTACTGGAGCCCTTACATGGAGTCTAAACCTCCTGGTAGAACAGACTTAATTGTATATTATGCATTCACTTGTTTTGTGATTAGCAGTGTTCACCATATGAATACATAGTCTACGGTATTAGTCTATATTAACACCCATAAATATGATTATTTATTTAATAATTATCCAGTCGTTCTGTATGATGTGGTTTTAATATATCAATTTCACTATATATTGTTACCTATGTTCAATTCTTTCTGCATATTTACTTCTCTCAATACCTACTGGGCACCATTAATTTCATATCTACACAGTAACACGTGTATTCTTATGATATACGTGTAAGTGCATAAAAATATGGAACTCAGATATTAATATACTTACGTGTCTCCGATTTCATATAGTGCATATATGCAAATAAGTATGATCCTTGTGATGTATAATCGTTTTTCGCACATTCATACACTGAGGATTTGAAAAGCGTGCGATTCTCTACATTTGTGTGTACGTACGTTTACATATGCATACGTATTCAGTTACATATAGAGTACCATCGATCTTTGAGACGAAGTGATAGCTCTCAATGCACAAGTACTTTTGAATAGCCACATTCTAGAATTACGGCTGTATTTCCTTTAGGAACACTTCAAGATATTGATAGAAGTAGAAAAATACCGGGTTCTTAAACAATCGATAAAATTGCATCACATACAACTAACATACAACGACACATGCTTCTTACACCCAGGCTAGATCAGAAAACTCCTTGATTCTTTCACCAACAAGAAAAGATGCGGTGGCTCAATGGTAGAGCTTTCGATTCCAAATCGAAGGGCTGCAGGTTCGATTCCTGTCCGTGTCATTTTTTATCTATTTTATACCGTGGAGCTTGGAGGGGGTTGGTATATGCGTCGTTATTTAAGTCAAGCAGAATCTATCGACTCAAAGGAAGCAGAGCCTGAATTTTGTTCGTATTTTATGAAGGAAGAAAGTCCTGAAGAGCTTACAAGAATTGGGGGTCAGTTAAGGCTTGTACTTTGTTTTTCTTCCTCTTAGAAATAAAGTAAATTGAAACAAATAAGGATTTCATGTTTAATATAAATTCCTAAGGATAGCTATGAACCTTCAGATGAAAAATTTACATGTTCACAGCACCAACCCAGGGGGCTTGATGTAGGGCATAGAACTACTGAAGATTTTAACCTTCCAATCACTTCCTTCCAGTCTCAATTAGCTCGGACCTCAATAGGGGCAAAATTACATTCTTCCTCAGCTTTGCCACTGGGGTTCACATTAAAGCAAGATATTTCCAGTGGTTCATGAATTTTGACTCGAAGTAGGTCTATTCCTTTTTATAGTAAATGGAATATAACCGACTTGTAAGGGAAACAAAGATTTTCATTCTGTCAGGGTTCCAGCGCCTGTTGGTATTCCAGTCGGGGGGTTGTAATCAGTCATTGATTCACAAGTTACTTATCGTGATCTTCCACAAAAATAAAGATAATATTAAAACCAAGATCATTCTTAGATCTGGAAAACTACTTCCTTATATAGCTTTCTTCGGTTCCTCATTTGCTTTATGCGACAGGATTAGTTTCAGATACTCATTATCAAATAATCCTAGTAGCCTCAACTGGAACCTCATAAGGTTCCTGAAACAACTCTCTAACTCTGACACATTCATCTTAGGACGATTGGTCTAGTGGTTATGATTCCTGCCTTCCAAGCATGAGAGATGGGTTCGATTCCCGTATCGTTCACAGCTTTTTGACACCATAAGGTGATGGATGCTGGATTTGTTTACCAAGAAGGCAACGTCTAATCCGCCTCTCAGGAGTTTTGTTTACAGGGGTTGAACGGCAAATCAACAACCAGAAAGAAAGGCTGTTGTAAAGTATTAAAATTCATAGAATGCCTAGCCTAAGCGAGACGGTTCCCAGAAGCATCAAACTGGATAAGCTCACCGGTCTCCAATGATTCCTGTAACCAAACCGCCCATTGCAACACTTTAACATTCCCCTCCAAAGAGAACGGAACGGGCTCATCGTTAATAATGTAACCAAGGAAACTGTTCATCTCGTTAACAAAAGCCATCTCGAATCTTCCGTAGAAATCTTTTGGAACTTCGTTACGCAAACCGTGCTTGTCATAGATGGTGACCAAATTGGTCTGAGGGTGGTTATTAACCGAAAGCTTACCCTCGGTACAAATAATCTCGGTCGCGTCCTCCTGGCCATGAACCATCATTCTGGAGGCATAGATATTGGCAATGGTTCCGTTGTGGAACTTGATAACAGCCATTGCGTTATCAGAGTCATTGTGTTCGGCCAACTCTGGGTGGATTGCGGTAATACCAACAGCGTACATTGACTTGGGAATGGAATCCCCAGAGGCTTTACCGCCCATGAAGTACAAACACAAGTCTAAATCGTGGATAGCACAATCCACAAGGATACCCCCTGAGTTGGCAGCATACTTGACAAAGAAACCGGTTTCGTCACGGCGATCGCAAGTTTGTGAGCGGAACACCTTTGGAACACCATATTCACCGCTATCGATTTTGAGTTTCGCATCTCTGTAAGAATCATCGAACCTTCTGCTAAAGCCACAAAGAATCTTCTGGTCCGGGTGCTTGGCAGCAATTTCCACGACCCGTTGAGCATCAGCCACACTGGTGGAAAATGGTTTCTCGCAAAGCACGTGGTAGCCTGCTTCGACAGCCTTAACTGTCTGATCCGCATGGGTGGAGGTGGTGGAGGCAATAAGAACCATATCGATGCCTGGGTGGGCCAACATCTCATCATACGAATCGTAGATAGTGACACCGTGTGGGACCAAGTTTTCTTCCGCCCATTGCTTGTCACTGGTGGAAATGGTACACCCAGCCACCAAGCTGGCTTTGTTAATGCGGTTAACAATGTTCATAGCGTGGTATTTGCCGATTCTGCCAATACCACAGATGGCAACATTGATTTTCTTTGGATTAACGGTCATGGTGAAACGGTTGGATTAAGTGCGGTTTAAATTATCCGAATTGAACTCAATTGGGCGGAACTATGCGATCTTATATAGATTTAAAGAATGTGGGGGCTCTTGCATGGAGTTGGATGAGAAACTCCGAGGGAGAGCTTGGCGCGCAGATAGTTCGATAGACGCGAGTACCCCGCCGTTGAATTCTGATTTATGTACGGTTTAAAAACGCCGTGGAAAACCTAAGCTCCAAGTTGGGTACACCCGATTAAGAATACAGGCGCGGAATATTAAAAAATAAAGAGCCCAAACCGTGCGTTTACGGGAAGGGAGTAACAACCCCGTGTCGATCATAGCTCGGCTAAATGGCCCATCATGCTTTCGGAGACGCTAACCTCGGAGAAGTGAGGTATTTCTCCACTGGTACTTAACGGTTTACTAAGAGTCAAACTCTAAATCTATGGCGGCAGCTACGTACAGAGACGTGCAGGCAACGTCGGTAAACAAACATGCCACATAAATCGTTTTTGTACATGAGGCGACTGCGAAATGGCCGTACCTTTTCTGAAGTGATACGTATTATTACAGGCTATTTACATCGGAGAGCTCTAAGAGAAGTGGTCTAAGGCGAGAGAAAAGGAGTAGGCGCTTGTTTAATACTGCGCAGCCGCCTGTTGACAGGCCTTCAACTGCTGCAAATAGTAATCGCAGATTTGCATGTTCCCGCCGTTTTCTTCCAAGCATCTCGTGAAGTTCATCGCGGCTCCGTCACAGTGCTGTGCTTGCTCTTGATTTTGCTGCGCCTGGGCAACTGGCTGCTCCGCGTAATCCACTTCACGGTTGCCACCGAACATACCAGTGATACCGTGCCCGATAACATGTCCGATAGAAGAACCGGCAGCGACCGAAGCCATGGTACCAAAAAGACCTGGCGATCTTTGCTGCGGCTGGGTGGCAGCTTGCACTGGCTGCTGTCTTGGAGCAGCTGGTGCTGCGGCGGTGTGAGCACTTCTACGTGGAGGAGCAGAAGACCTGGCTGGGGCAGAACGACGACCAGAAGAACGTGCCATTTTTGTAAGTTTATATGTGTCCGAGGGTTGAGTTAAGGAGGAGAGTTGTGAATGATACAGATATTTAGTGTATATCGATAAACACTTGGACTCTCGGATAGTTGGAAGAAAAGGAGATCTCGATGTTTAAATACCCCGCCACGTTGTCCACTTCAAGGTGGCAATTGCATGACAGCGGAATTCTATGCAGCAGAGCTAAGATTGCTCCTGTATGGAACCTCGGACGTGCGAGCTGAGGCCGCACGTGATAATTAGTAGGCAAAGTGTTCTTTTCCCTTCCACAGACGGGCTGTATCCAGAATATGACGCATGTAGCTACGGAGGCGATTCGGCGATGAGCAAATGTGAAGCACATTGGACATTGTCGGATGCCCAGTTATAGCCAAATGCGAAGCGTAATGATTATAATCACGCATGAACCCCGATATCGGGACGAGCTAACATAGTATGCCCATTTTGCACTTAGTTCCATCGTCCCCGGCTCGGATCCGACATCAACAAGGAGGCCGCACCAGGCGTCCAGGGTTACCATTATAGGTGTTTTTACCAATAAAAATAATGGTGAGGATGAAATTACTTTAACTGAACGTACTTATCTCTGTTTTTTTTTGATTAGTTGCACTTATTGTAGTATGTGTAACACGAAGGGTTATCCTCTCAATAGCACGCTTCCTTATAAGCCCAGGCGTCTCTAAAAGTTTGGATGAAAAATACTGAGCAAACAACCTCGAACTCCTGTGCTACGTATACCGCTATAGGTTTCTCACAGCTTGGTTCCCGAGTCCTAACCTTCTGCTCCAAGACCAAGCTCATACCCCATTCCTAATAATTATATGAATGTCTCTTTGCACCACCTAGGCTCCTCCTTACCTCGCCGCATCCTAGCCTTTCCTTGCCTCTCCCTTCCCTCTCGGTCGTACCATGCCCGCCAGCAGCGAGCCAAGATCAACCACTACGAAATCTTGGGGGTTTTGCCTGACGCCTCACTTAAAGAGATCAAAACTAAGTTTAAGAAGCTCAGTTTAAAGCACCATCCGGATGTTAACAACTCCATGTTGGAGACGGATGCCGACAAGGAGGCCAACAACAACAAGTATATCCAAATCTTGGGCTCGTACGAGATCTTAAAAGATGACAAGAAGCGGAGCGCGTATGATTCCAAGCACCGCCAGGTGATGTCGCTGGAAGCCAGAAACCGCAAGCAAGAGCAGATGAATAAGTACTACGGCGAGGCCAAATACTACTCCCGATCGGCGTCTGCCAGACCGTCTCCCAGCGGCTTGAACAACCGACGCACAAAGGTGCACTGGGGCGCCGGGACACCATACAGAGACAAGTCCTTTTTCCACGGCCGTTATCAGGATTTCTCCACCATGGACGATACCCCGCACTTCAACTACGCGGAATACTTGAAGAAGCAGCTGAAAATCGAAATGCGCTTGTGCAACAGTCGCATGGAGAAGGTCCGCGAAGAGATACGAAGCCAGTTGGTCGAGGCGTCCTCCACTAAGTTGCCCATCCTGGAGCACATCCGCATTTTCGAACAAAAATTAAAGGCCAGCCAGGACGACCAGAAGAAGCCCGAGTCGTACAACGAGCATCTCGACCAGATGATTAAGAATGCTGAAAAGGAGAGACAGGAGCATAAGCTCGGAGTGATGAAACATTTGGGGAGAGTGGGGATTGTCACTCTTTCGGGGGTTCTCGTTATTCTAGTGTGTGTCGCCATGGCCTAGCCTCGGGTGGAAGTCTGTGGCAACTCCAAGTGGCCGAATAGCTATATCCTCAGGTGACATAAGGTGTTTGTATGGGCAGGTTGTGTGCCATTTTAGGGTACCCCCCGGGTCAGCCTTTGGATACCTGGCCCACTTTGTATATAGGTCGTTACCTAGTAACCTTACTTCCACCTTATAGAGCTCATTAACGAATAAACTACGATTTACAGAAGAACAGACCATACTACAGATCTAGAAGCAAGCATCTAACATACAGATCTATTCTAGAGCTTTGAAGTAGGCCAACTTCTCTAAAATTTCGGTCAAAATCACCTCCGGCTTCTTGTTGGTAGTATCAATTGGCAACTCGCTTCCAGATGGACTCAGGCCCAAGATTCTGTCGCCGGCTGGGATTTCCATGATGTCGTATTGCGACTTGGTCAAATCGGCCTTGAAGAAGTGGCTTTCTCTGCCGCCTACCCGCTTGAGTCCATCCTCAAACCTGCAGTGCAAGAAGACAAAGACAAACTTTACGGCAACATCGTCCGACTGTAAAAATGGGTTCTCAGACTTGATGTAATCCCTGTAAATAGCCTTGAGCATCGAACAGGAAACCACCGATAAGTGTGAGGTGGTACTGGCGACGGCAGCCTGGACCGACTGCCGGGAGATCTGGGTCAACCACGGCCAGCGATCGGTATCGGTCAACGGAATATTGTTTCCCATTTTGTTGATGTTTTCGGCGGGGTGCAAAGAGTCTCCCTCGACGAATGGACACTGCAATTTGTCGGCCAACATAAGCCCTATGGTGGTTTTACCGGTACCGGAGGGGCCACCAAGGACAATGACCGTGGCCGTTTTCTTGCTGGAGGTCATGACGAGTATGAAGCAGAGTAAATGGAAAAATTCTAGCCTGTTATCGAGGTGGACGACGCAAAAAAAAAAAAAAAGAGAGGCTATAAATTTATCGGACTTGGATGTACCTCATATCTAAATCTATGAGGTGCCCCGGATTCGTGAAATTTCCTGTTTTTCCACGACGAGTCATGGATAGTTTTCGGATTTTCTCAACGATTTCCAGGTTTACCCAACAAGTGACCCCGAACTAAATATTGTCACCAGAAATAGACTTGAGGTAAACGAATAACACGGGGGTTTCTCTCTACAATAAATGCTATTATTCTTTCACATACGGATTTTTTCTAGCGACTCACGGATGGTGTAGGTACTAGCCTCTACGTGCCTTCACAGTGTAGCGCGGTACTTTTATTACCAAGTCTTCTTCGTCTGGCTATTTACCTGTAAACCCAAATTGAAGATGTCTGAGCCTGCTCTTCACTAGCAACTTCTAAATATCAAGTGTGTGAACCGAGCCAAGAGCAGCGCCAATATATATTTACCTAAAAAGCACAAAGGAAAAGACAAAAAACGTATATGGCGTCAGTTAGCAACATATCAAAACACGGGGCAATCACAACCAGGAAAGCCACTTGAGCAAAACTGAAATTTGGAACAGTATAGGAAAGCCAAAAAAAAACTTGGAAACCAACACACGCCATTTACTTCTTCAGGGAGTAACCGAACAAAATGCTGACAAACTCTCCGAAGTCCTTCGGGTTGTGTTCCACCGCTGACTTGACCTTTTCTTCAACCCCTTCAACCTTCTTTTCAGCTTTCTTGACCCAGAAGAAGAATGACTCGCCCTCAGCTGGCTTTGGAGGCAAGCCTGCCAAACACCTGACAAACTCCCCAAAGGTTTCCGGATACTCTAACAACTTAGTGGCTGGCTCTTCAGAGGATGCCACCTCATTACCGGTCTTGGTGGAGCGGGCCTTCTCAGAGGTTTCAACGGTACCACCGCCGACCGCAACATTGTCACCGGTGTTGTTGATGATAACGTTGGAGTGCAAATCTGGCTGGGAGATAGGAACAGGTTTCTGTTGTGATTCCAATTCAAGCAAGTTTGGCAAAACGACGGCATCCACATGTCTGGACGGGCTGATCTCGCTCTTGGCGGCCAGTTGCAGGGTGGACGCAGAGGAGACTGGCATTTCGGTTGGGGTGGATGTATTTTCCACGACGGAGTTCCCGACCAACACATTGTCGGCCGAGTTGTTCACAATAACGCCACCGATGTACTTCTTGCCAGCGTTAACCGACTTTTTATAGGAGATTTGTTGATCTTCAATGCTTGGCAACTTGACCGCATCGACACCCTTGGCCTCGGAAAGCTGCTTTGCGGAAGTGGTGAACCGTTTCTTAGAGGCCTCAAACATGTTCAAGCGGTCGATGAGCTCCATCTTGCGACCAGCCTTTTTCAAGCCTCTGGCTTGACACTCTGTCTGCAACGACTTGAGGTTCAAGACATCGAATGAAGTTGTGGAAGATGTGGCTTTAGTGAATAAGATCGACGACTTTTTGGCGTCGGTCTGGTGCACAAGGAGCTTGGACGCGGTGTGGAAAGATCTAAATGGGACCTGGGAGATTTTTATGGCACGGATCATGTGGAGAGAGCAAAATGATAATTTAACGGAAAGGGAAACGTCACAGCCGAAGTGAAGCTGAAAAGTGGAAAAAGTAATCTTATATGCTTAAAGTTTAAGTACTTTTGTAGGCGGTAGTGCCTAAGTGGTGTGTACATTTTCCCTTGCTGCCCCTGATCGGGTTAAACAAGTTTATATGCAGGACACTAAATCCATCAGTGACGCCTAACTAGGAAATAAATGCAGAGCTCAATGGTTAGTGTTAATCTTAAAGCTACCCATTAACTGGCAAAGGACACATCCTGGAAATATATATATCAACCTTCGTATACAAGCTGAATATACGAATAATGACTGGACTTACAATATTAGCGGGGGAATACGGTCGTTCGCATACCGCTGCTTACCTAAGCACTGCTCCAGCCAATGAAAACCGGAGAGATAACTAAGCAGGATTCTCAGCTGGCGGCATAACAAAAAATTAGGTGCACGGTAGCGCTTTGCCAGACGTGGTACATGAAAGACGCAAGCTTGTTACAACTATATTCTGTGTTCGTGATCTCTACCGTTATATATCCATAGAAATGTTTGCTGCCGCCACCAGAGCTCGTGGCTCCATCCGTCGTTTGGCTTCTGTCGGCCAAAGATCCATCCCGTCCTTGTCCAGATCGTACGCTGCTGGTATCAGAGACCCAAACCCAGAAGAGATCCAGAATTCCTTGGGCTCCATTTCCATCAATGAGGTTAAGAACTCTCCGTACATTGCCTACCCACACATGGACTCTCCGTACCAGAAGTGGGTCGACAAGTTGCAGGAAAAGTCCCACGAAATCAAGCATTTCACTGTCAACTTTGGCCCTCAGCATCCAGCCGCCCACGGTGTGTTACGTTTGATTTTGGAGTTAAATGGTGAAGAAATTGTCAGATCCGACCCCCACGTCGGTTTGTTGCACAGAGGTACCGAAAAGTTGATTGAGTCCAAGACTTATATGCAAGCCTTGCCATACTTCGATCGTATGGACTACTCTTCCATGATGACCAACGAATTGTCTTTTTGTCTTTCTGTCGAGAAGTTGTTGAACATCGAGGTCCCAATCAGAGCCAAGTACATCCGTACCTTGTTTGGTGAAATCACCCGTTGTTTGAATCACATCATGTCCGTCATGTCCCACGCCATGGATGTCGGTGCCTTGACTCCGTTCTTGTGGGGATTCGAAGAGAGAGAGAAGATGATGGAGTTCTACGAGCGTGTCTCCGGCGCTAGATTGCACTGTGCCTACTTCAGACCAGGTGGTGTCTCCCAGGACCTCCCAGCCGGTATGTTGGACGACATTTACATGTGGGCCACCCAGTTCGGTGATCGTTTGGATGAAACCGAAGAATTGTTGACTGACAACAGAATCTGGCAGATCAGATTAAAGAACGTGGGTGTTGTTTCCGCTGAGGATGCTATGAACTACTGTATGTCCGGCCCAATGTTGAGAGGCTCCGGTATTCCATACGATATCCGTAAGTCCCAGCCATACGACGCCTACGAGTACGTTGATTTTGACGTTGCTGTCGGTATCAATGGTGACTGTTTCGATAGATACTTGATCAGAATGGCCGAGTTCCGTCAGTCCTTGAGAATCATCGACCAGTGTATCAACCAGATCCCAGCCGGTCCAGTTAAGGTCGAGGACTACAAGATTGCCACTCCATCCAAGGCTGCCATGAAGGAAGACATGGAGGCCTTGATCCACCATTTCTTGTTGTTCACCAAGGGTTACGCTGTTCCGCAGGGTGAGACCTACACCGCTATCGAGGCACCAAAGGGTGAAATGGGTTGTTACATCGTGTCTGACGGTTCCGAAAGACCATATAGATGTAAGGTCAGAGCCCCAGGTTTCGCCCACTTGGGTGCCTTCGACCACATGGCTAGGGGCTCCTTCTTGTCCGATGCTGTAACTATCATTGGTACCATGGATTTGGTGTTCGGTGAAGTCGATCGTTAAGACGTCCTGGCTAGTCACCCTCTCTGGTCCTCTTTTGTGCCGCATTCTCAACATCCCTTGTCCATATTATACAATAAAGAGATCAGGGGAATGCACAGTACAGAAAGAAGGACGAAATACAAAATTCCCTCCTGGTTCGAAAGAACTATTTCACTCCAGCATCATTCTCCTCATTGATACATATACTTATATGTCATTATATTTATTATGTTTTTAGTCCCTAAGGCTCCCTTTCTTTTATGTTTACTTCAATACTTTGCAATTTTTCTTAGCAACTCTTATTTATTTGGTATTAAATCTAATTATTCGATTATATTTTATACGATAACTTTAATTCCAGGAAATCGCACCATTTTAGACAGCGGAAACAGTGATGAAATCGGAATTCTCCGAGAATATTTGATACGCATATATATCTTGAAGGTTTAGATTTTATCGTTTAATTTAGCTTATTGAAAATACCCCCCGGTTAGTCTAATTTGGCCAAGGACGCTTCTTGTTATTCCTGTTTTTACCTGAAGTTTAAAGATTTGATTTATATAAGTCGCTTGCACCCTCGTTTCTTTACCAAGAACAAGTCATAACGAATCACCTATCTGGATCTAATCCTCATAGGTACTAATTCCGTTAAATCTCAGATTCGTCAAAACTAGCAGTTACCTCCACAAGTTTTCTCTAAAATCTATGAGAAAGTGTATCGTATTAAACACGTTTTCGCTCATGTCCGAAAATCCTTTGCCCCGGACCCGAACACTAGGTATTCCCCGCGTGGTTATGCAACCCTGCTCTAATTCCAAGAAATGGAGTTTTTTTTTTTTCAAATTTTCCACTGCTCGAGATCTTTGCCGTTCTATGGGCTTCTGCGAATTATGACTCTCTCCTCCTTGCACGCCACTGTCTCCATACCACTATATATATTTGAGCGCCACTACCAACTGTTGTCTCTCACTTTTCGAATCATCAGGTTTTTATAGACTACTTTTCATCCCCTCACAATTGAACGCATACAGAATGGCCAGATCCTCCGGTAGAAGTGCTCCAGCTAGAAGAGCCGCCCCAGTGCAAACCAGATCCGCTCACTCGGCCGCTGCTCCAGCCCCAGCTCGAGTCCATGCTCCAGCCCCTGCTACTGCCACTGCCCCTGCCCAGCCAGGTATGTTCGCCCAGATGGCTGCTACCGCTGGTGCCGTTGCCGTCGGCTCCGCCGTTGGCCACACCTTGGGTGCTGGTATCACCTCCATGTTCTCTGGCTCTTCCTCTGAGTCGGTCCAGCAGGCTGCGGCCCCAGCCCAGCAATTTTCTCAGGAACAGACTAAGCAGTGTGACGCCGATGCCAGATCTTTCACCAGATGCTTGGAGGACAATCAGGGAAACATGCAAGCCTGTGACTACTACTTGCAGCAATTGAAGGCCTGTCAGCAAGCTGCTTCCCAGTACTAAATATTAGGTTTGCTTGAAGACGGGACCCTGCTCTAGACAAGATACAAGACTAGTGGTGGATCAGGTGTCCATCGTTGGTCTCGTTCCGAAGCTGGTGTTTACTGCTATTTAGGCAGTTTCCGAGCGGTTTTCTTTTGGTTGTAATATTTATTGCTTATATAGAATGCCCATATTGTATATATCTTTTGGGAGAATGAATAATTATGCCACACAACTGGTTGTTTTATACAGTAAGTGCTCGGAGATATTGAGAGAAGGCCGGCAATGGCTAGGTCTCGCAATTCATGCGAGTTAGTTCTATAACTTTAGAGACGCGGACACCAAAAGCACCATCCTACAAGTTATCATTTTTCTTGGGTCCCGACATATAATGGGTGCCAGACGGAGGTTTCAATAACTGTACCAAAATATCTGACTTGATACTTGAATTTACCAAACTCAATTAACTTGTCAATCTCACCAGCGGATGCGTCTCATTCACCCCTATTAATATTTCAAACTTGGGTACCGCCAGAGACAATTGGCTAGGCCAATAAAGCATGTGTATAATGGCTGGAATAACCGCAATATAAACATTATCCCACTTTTCCATCCCCCACATTTTTTGTGGTCTACTCCACTGTGTCAAAACAGACCTCTTTTTCTAGCGAATATTAGGAATGCCGAGATTTACTTGCCCTGTTATTCCTATAAAACTTACACATCTTCCTGACTTTATATTGCATTACCGTTTCTCTGTTCGTTTCCTAAAACTCCTGATATATATATCTTTAGCTATTTGACTAACAATCCGATACACATCATTTGATTTGATCTATCCCGGGTCAAAGTGTTCTTTTAGGATCCAAGTTACGTCTTGGAGTGAAACTGTCTAAATTTCCAGGTTCGGAGGCTCTGCCACGTTAATACTCGGTGGGGATGCCGATCTTTAACCAACTTGATACTCAAACCAATATTTCAACGATATTTGCATCTAATTTTCTGTTTAACCTCTCACCAGCGAAGAATCTCATTTGAAGAACCTCATTTGTAGAATCTTGTTTAAACCTCATTTGAAGAACCTCATTTGACGATCCAAGAAAAAAACGTATTGTGAATGCCCTCCCTTTCCCAAGACGCATCAAGCTACAAATTAAGCTATAAATATCGTTCATTAATCATAAATCCCATAAAACATCTTACATCTCAAACTTCAACCAATCGAAATCACCCAACGTTTCCCCCATCTGGGTATCGTCCGTGACAGATCCGTAGTTGCTGACAATTGGGACCACGTTATTATGCATAGACACGTGCGGTCTGCCGTTTACGGCGGTCTCACTTTGTAAGTTTGAGCTGTTGCTCGAGCAGTTTTTCTGGGTAGCTGGGTACTCAAAATAATCATCTTCACTCGCCTCCAGTACTGTTGGGTATGGGTTGAACTGCTGTGGAAAGTATTCGTCGTTACCATCAAGGCCCAAGTCGAAGAAAACATCTGCCGGACGTTTCATGCCACTAACCGGTTGGGGGGCGGCATAGGCGTTGCTCTGAGGAATCTGAGGTACCTCAGAGTTCGGCTGGTTCATAAACTCCAAAAATGCCTCGTCTTCCACTTCACCAAACGCCACCGGGAGAACGGCAGTGGGGGCGTTCATGCTTAAAATCCGGGCATTGTTCCACTGCATGTTTAAGCCCGAGTTGATCCCGAACTCAGGAAACTCAGTCTCCTGAAATATTTTCTGGCGTGGAGCCGGCTGGGCGTCTGGGTACGCCTCACGCGAACCGTACGTCTGGCTGCCATACTCCTCGTCATATATCGCTTTTGGAGGGGCATCCCAGTTCACGTTCGAAGTTGGTATAAAACTCCCTGACGAATTCAGGGTCTCCCAGACATCAGGAGTCTGAGGGACAAGGTTCGTGAACAAGCCAGCAGCCAAGTAGTTGTTGGATTGACGATCCGGAGGCTGCATTGATTGTGCTTGGTTCATGGGCGAAGGTTTTGGGGCTGGCTTGGTGCCCCCTGGGATATTCCCCGTGCTACTGCTTCTGCTGCTCTGATTATATGTGACGGGCGTGTGGTTGATGAATCTGGAGCCTTGGGGCTGGGCTCTCTGATGGGGCGTAACAGATGGCGATGGAGTATCCACGTTGGGACTATATCCCGGTGTCAGATGTCTACCACTGATGATAGAATCAGAGCTGGAGTACCCATCCAGCGTCTTCTTCTTCTTGTTGTGAATCGCTTCCGTCTTGACGACGGTCGGTGGGTACCGTGCTGATTTAGACACTGTCCGCGCGTTCATTATGCGACTGCCATTCGGCCCGTGAGGTCTGGATACTCCATGGAGCTTGAAGAACAAGCCACACGCATTGCAGAGCAATTCACCTTCCTTGTTCTTGCGCCACAACGGCGTGCTGCTGGTTTTGCAGTTGAAACATGTCTTTATGAGCGCCGGATCGTTTTTGGGCGGCGTGAGCTGGGTCTTGGTGAAGAATTCGCCCGCACTAGCTGTACTCAAGAGCTTGAGCGTTGCGGTGGCGCTGTTCAGCATCGATGGTGAGACTGGTGGAGAGTACGCCAGAATGGCGCGCGGCGTGGTGGGGCCCTCGACAAACTTGCTTGTCTCGGTCTTCTCTTCGGACAAATTTTGATTGCCCTTGTATCGACTCATATTCTGATTAAGGATTATTCGGTGGATCAATTCACCAAGGTCGCTCGGTTCACCCTCTTTCTTGAGAAAGCCGGAGAGATTCTCGCGCTGCGCGAGTAAGCGGATGTGCTCGGCATAGTTGATATTATCGGTCTTTTTTCCCCAGCTGAGCGACAAAGTGTCATCTGGCTTAACTGGAGAAGTGGAGGATTGCACTGAAAATGGTACTGTATATCGTTTTTGGCTTGCTTTTTCCACGCTTGGTTTGGAAACGGAGCTGCCCGTGATTTTGGGGCTAGAGCCTGTTTCTTCCTCCGCCGGCGCAGACTTCCGGTTATATAGTGACACGTTCTTCTTATGCTTCATTCGCCACGCCAAGTTGGCGATGCGTTCGCCGTTGGGGAGAAACGAGCGATTTTTGTACATCTGGTGCACCTTGAGTGACAAGCCGTCGTCTGCTATAAGGTCCTTGACGTTCAACGTCGCGCTGAGGGGTCGTACTGGAGCGTCCAAGTCGTTGTGGTCATCATCGGGAGTAAACAGTCGCGAGTCCATTGTCTAGTAGGTGTGGGTGAGTAAAAGCGATATATACCTGATCATATATGGGTCAGGGGTATCTGACGGGGTATTATATGGTTATTACCTGGGATATCTTGGAATAAGTGGTGTTACCTGGCGATCTGGCGATCTGACAATGGGAACACTGTGTCTGACTCTGAACTTATCGGAAGGGTTTAATGAATGTCTAAGGGCGCAGTTCGGGCTATAATGCGTCACTCTTGTGCCATTAGTCACCGCGATGTCGTTAAATTTTTTCGTGATGCGAGTGCTAGTGGTAGATGCAGGCCGATACTCGGGATTATCCCGCTACCAATGGCTAAGTATGGCCCACGGAACGTGCGTCTAAATGACTCTGAGGTAACTTTTCCTTCGAACGTAGCGGGGATTTTAGTGAAATAAAGTCGTATAAAATAATTAGTGTTTTGAGATTGAATCCTTGGAGCTTACAAGAGGTATACATATAAGAAACGAAGTGAGTTAGCTGATTGTGCACCAATGGCCGGACCAGGTCAAACCTCCGCATATGCACATGGAATGCCCTCCATATTCTTCGACTTCGCGATAGGGCTTAGAAAAAGTATGCTACCAGGTAAAATATCCCATCCCTTGCAACTTCTGAGTTTGGTATTTCACAAATAGAAGGAAATGGGCGGATTATGTGCCAATAGTTTACCGATCGGGACGTAAACATACCCCTACGTGCTTTAAGTAAATAACAAATCAAGCTGCGGTATATATACAATCGTAAACAGACAGTTACAGGACACAAAACATAAAACCTAACCAAGGCAACCCACAGTAAACATCCGATTACTTTTTCTTCTTGCCAAAAAACCCTCTCTTTTTCTTCTCTTTCACTTTTTCGCCCGTGTCGATTACCACGTTGACCATTTCCGGCGCAGCCTCAACCGTTTGTCTGGTTTGCTCGCTGGTCATGGTGCTGTTGGCCAACGGGGAGTCAGTCTCTTCGTTCTGGGGCGTTTGCAGAGCGCTTTGTGGGGCGCTCTGCGGAACGGTCAAGTTCTGACTGCTGTTGTAGCGATTTCCCATTCCGTTTCTAGCGCTAGGGGCTCCCGAAGCAGAAGCAGCAACAGAGCCAGGGGCCTGGCTATAGCTACCATTAGCCAGGTTAGGAGGTCTGGCGTTGTACTGTGCCAGTTGAGGTGGCTGTGAAAATCTCTGTGAGGCAGATCCACTAAGATTCGGAGAACTACCGTTGGTCACAATCGTCGGCATGCCACCGTTACCCATTCCCGCACCCATCATCGGCACCATGGACTTGTGCTTTGGTCTAGTCTTTGGATTGGGCATACCCCCTAACATGTCGGTGGACGCGTGCATTGGGTACCCGGATCTTCTGTTGGCTTTGCTCTTCTGCTTGAAGCGGGACTCAATCTCCGAGTCAATCACCCCAGTGGTCAGGAGAACGCCCAAGCCGTCGTCGTACGGCTGCGGCTGTGGCTGTGGCTGCTGCTGGCTCGAGTACGTCGGCATACCCCCTAAAGACATTAATCTCCTGCCGTTTGGGGGGCCAGGGTTAGGATGCTGGGCACGCGGTGGAAAGCCCTGGTGCGGCACTGGGTGCTGGCTCCCAAAAGACTGCGGAACGGAGGTATAGGATGCGGACCTTAACTTTTGTGGGAGCCCGTTGGGCGGGAGCCCATTAGTCGGAAGCCCCTGAGGCGGAACCTGCGTTGGTTGGTTTTGCGAAGGACCTTGTTGAGAATAGCTCTGAGCCTGTGAGAAGCCTTGTGATTGAGCCTGCGGGAAGCCCTGTGATTGAGCCTGTGGGAAGCCCTGCAGTTGAGCCTGAGGGAAACCCTGTGGCTGAGCTTGTGGGAAACCCTGTGGCTGGGCTTGTGGGAAACCCTGTGGTTGAGTCTGTGGGATACCTTGCGACTGAGCCTGTGGGAAACCCTGTGGTTGAGAGAATCCCTGAGATTGGGCCTGTGACAGGAAGGGCTGAGCTTGAGATTGAGCTTGCGGCTGCCTCGCCCGCAAGTCCATTTCGCGCGCGGCTAAGGCGATCTCACGCTTCTTCAACTCCACCTCGCGCTCATACAACGCCTTGTAGTCTGGGTCTCCATCACTGCTCGCCAGGGTCGTGGGGGTAGCGGAGCCACGGGCTGGGCCCTGGGTTACCGCCTCGCCATTCAACTGTGCGCCATACATCGCAATATCTCTGAAGTCACTCAAGTCGGAACCCTCGTAAGCTGTGCTCATGGGTCTGGCTTTGACCAACTTCTTGGTCTCCTCCTGTAGCTGCGCGATTTGGGCCTGCTGCCTCTTGATCTCCTCCTGCGCCGTGAGTAGACACTGGTCTTTTGCATGTACACTGTCGCGCAAGCGCTGCACATCCGCAGAGCTGCCGCGCATGAAGAACACGCTCTGCCCGCGGTTCAACTTCTGGTGCTGGCACAAGACTGCGTAGAGAAACTCCAAGTACGGGGTTCTGAGGTTGTAGTCGTCCGCCAACAAGATCGGCTGCAACAACAACAAGTCAATTTCGAGGTCGCGCTGGTGGAAAAAGTCGTAGAATAGCGGGCTGCTGGTGGCGTAGGTGTCCACGCCCTGCAGTTGTTTATACCTCAGACACCACTGCCGGTACAAGACCAGCTCTTTGGGCACCGCAACGTTCATGCACTTGGCTAGTCTGTTAAACTCCTCAATTAACCCACTGATCAACGGTTTAGACAAGATTTGTGCCTCAAAGTTGGCAGGGTACGGGATCTCGAAGATGATGGCCAACGGATTGAATACGGCCCGTGGGACGCATAACTGGACCTGGGTGGCCAAAAACTCGGTCGTAGTGCGGAACGTTGCCACCTTCAAGCCGCAGTTCTCGAAAATATTTGCCCACGAGTAGATAAGTCCCACTAGATCGCCACTGTAGATGTCCGTAGGCGTTTCTGCCTTGCCGATGTACGTCTGTGAGGTATTACCGGTGACAGTGTGGGTGTAACTTGCGGGACCGGTCTTTCTGACGTCGTGGTCGGTCATTATTGACAAAATGTTTACGCTGGAGAGTGTTGCGGGCAAGCTCAATTTGACAAACGACTCCAACTTTACGTAACCAGTGGATTCGATGATGATGGTGGCGGTTGGTGTGAGAAAGCCGGCCAACTGGGACACCACCACAGAAATGTCTTGCAACGACTTGGCACTCATGAGCAAGCAGTCGTAGGTCTTGGGCTTCTGTGTCAAGTCAGTGACAGAGGCAAAAACTGACGATGGCGACGGTCTGAAGCATGAGTTGCCGAATTCTGTGGACTTCCACGAGAAACCCTCGGCAGCCACCACAGCTGCCTCCTGGGAGACAACGCTGACGTCCAAGGAGGCCACATTGGCGAGGCGCGACACGTAGAAGGTGATGAACGGGTTGGCGCCCACTGAGCGGTTAGTATTGGTCGCTAGTAAAGCTAGATCCACGTACCTGCAAGGATATTCAATCTATTTGACATGGTCCTCTGTTGTATATCACGGGGTCGGTTGGGGATAAAGAAGTGAGGGATAACAAATATGTCAAGCCACTAAAATAGAATGAATACACGCTAGGTAAGAAAAAAAAAAAAAACAGGAGAAAAGCGCGAAAGAGAATTTTATTGCCTAGCCAAGGTTCTTCTTTTTACCTAATGGGGAAGATATATTAATTTACAGATTGATTAATCCAGAATTATAATTGATTACTATAAACCCCAGAAATATCATACACTAGGAATATTACTCGGGTTGACGCGTATTACTAAGAATTGTTTTCATGATCTTGCTGCACCACGGAGGCTATGCTCAGAGATTTTCGTTCTGGAGGCCAACTCAGCCGGAGGCTCGGATCCGATTCGTGCCGGACAGACTTCAAAATAACAAGATTCCGAAGCGCTCAAGAGAGCTCCTTACATAAATTCAAACCAAAGTTTGATAATTATTAGTGAACTCAGTAGCTAAGTGTATTATTGTTCTTTGCTGAGGCGGAGCATCGGCGCGGATTTCTATTCACGTGTACGTGGCGACTAATTTTAGTCTTGCTCAGTAGATTTGCCCAGTAGATTTGCGTTAACCTTGCGAAACCTATTACCGTTTTGGGACTTGGTTCGGGCAGGGTATTCTCATTGGCGAGTCTATTAGTTTAAGTAATATGATACAAAGTTGGAACCCTTTAATTTTGTTCGCTTTTGTCTATTTTTGCAGACTTGTGTGTCTGTACGGCGCCGAAGCGCGGGTACTGACCCCATCACATGACGGTCCACGTGGACTCCAATGCCCTAGGAGGACTTTGAGCGGTCAAGCGCGCTGGAGCAAATTTTCCATCTCGGGCGCGTATATATTATGTGTGCGTTTCACTCTTTTTCTTTTCCCCTCTTCTTTCTCCAAGACACCTAATCCATTTCACTGACGTCGCTTTATTATGTTTTCAACACTCTGTTAATCTAGCTTGATAGTCGGTGAAGAAAACTTAAAACCTTTCTCATGGTGGATTATAGATTGATGCTTGTTTAGGGGGATGGCAGCATTCTTCTGGGCTTGATTGCTAGGGTGTATCTCCGTCTGATGAGTCAAACTATGAACCAGACGGTCATATTCCCTTGTACATTTATTTATATGTCTTGGATTTCATTTCCAATGTTAAAGTAGATCAGTAAACCTAAATGAGCATCGTTAGCATGTCTAGGCAACCTGGCTCCATTCCGTAAAGGATAAGTCCATGCCTCCAAGATACGAGGAAAATTGAGTTGACTTATAACCATCCGCATTCGATATACCCAGAAGCAAACCTTTGGGCAGTTAGTCTGAGCCACAATCGTGAACGAAAGATATTATGGCCCTGCAAAATACTGTCTGAACCAGAAAATAGTGTTTGTTCTGAGCGGGAAAGTAAAGCCACGGGAGCAACCCGAACGATAGACAAGTATACGCATAGGCCGCTATCGGTCATCCCTCTTTCGATACAAGGAACATAATGCCCGTCCTTGTGTACTTAAGCCTGACTTTTGCTCTCTAAACAAAATATTTGTACGTAACACAGAGCAACCTAACATTAGATGCGACTTCCAAGTGTTAAGCTCCGATGTACAACCGTTGGGTCATATTGTAGTGTATTAAAGTATACCATATTACGTTAAAGTTATTATATCCAGTGAAAACAAAACTCCACTCTCGGTTTAAAAGTAGTACTCGCCAAAGACACCTACACTGGCGAGGGCAAATGAAACACCCAAGACAGATGCGACAGCGTTATAACCACACTGTAACTTGTTCAAATTAAGGGTGACAACATTCTTCAATAACGACTGATCGATCTCGAACTCAATGTTATTGTCGTCATCCTCTACCGGTACATCTGTGGCCGGCGAGGCGGTGGTGGAAGATGCGATTGACTCGAGCTCCAAGGAGGCAGACTCGACGCCAAGGTCATTGTAAACAGAGTTGTCCAATGGAGAGACTTCTTCCGATTCAATTTTTTCGGCCGGGGTCGTTTTGGTCAACGGCGGGAACGCCTTGGACTTGACCTCCTGGTCTTTAAGAACTGCAGAGATGTTTCTTTCGGCGCCAAAGCCCCTGTTGTCGTAGAAGAAGTAGACAATCCAGGATAATGGGACTCCGACGGCGGAGTAGAGCAAGTATGGGTGTCTTTTGGAAACTGGAGAGTAGCGGAAGGCGGTGACCAAGGCGTAACCAGCCGCTGAACCGACCACCGCAAGCGTCGCACGCGAGGTGTTGATCAAACAGTCAAGGGATTTCTTTATGTACGCAGATTCCGCGGCAGTCTTGTCTGCAGAGGTGTTGGCAATGGTGGTCAAGATAGATGGGATAGAGCGATTAGCGTTGAAGGCAAGAACACCGGTGGCGAGACCCAAGGATGCCGCACCTATGAGCTTAATGTTTTGAATGCAAGTATCTGCCATTATTATGTGATGGTGATTTTCTAAGAAAGAGAGAGGTTGACTGCGGCTGAGGTTGTCGTTTTTACGTTTGATAAAGGTCATATTCCGCAAGGCTGTAGCGTATAATTTTGGCATCTGCGCAATAAAGTTCTGGTGGTTGTGGGGAGTGCGCAAACCAGGTTAGATGCAGGAAGGCATTAATCCCTCTTGTTCTTACAGAAACTGGACGCTTATCTGCGGCAGGGCTTTCCGTGTGCTACTGGCATGTGCCATTTACATCACCTCGAATCCATCGTAAATTTGACATATTAGGTACAACTTGATAATTTTACTTGTCCAAGATAATACACACAAAAGCTGGTAGCACGTTAAAACAATCTGCCTAAGTACATGGCCTTTGAACTAAACTATGCTTCGGCTAAGTGGACTTATAGCTCCGTAACGCCGTGCCCAAAGCTTCAATATTTCCCACTGTGGATCACAAACTATGAAACGCAAAAGGTTACAACTGGAGGGTGGAGATAAGAAAGGGAGCGTTGAGCGGATATCTAAAACTCTGACTGCACGCAGAGGGGATCGGTGCCCTGCAACGATATACACGAAAGAAAAGCCGGATGAGTATTCTTCGAAACGAGAAGTAACAGCCGAACAACCCGCCAATCTCAGACAGACTCGGTACAGGCTGAAGAGCCTGCTCTGCATCATACAATGGATTCTTATCGCAGGAAGAACAATATCCCAGATAAAAATAGCTTATACTACTTCGGATCAGAGTCACAATTCCGTTGAATCCGGGGTGTGCTGACTGACTCACCCAACTGATGGATCCTCGATTCTAGGAGCGGAATATTAATTGCCAACAATTACTGGTCTAAACATCAACGTGAGGTAGAAGTTTTACTCCGTTTTCCGGTGCTGCCGTGCGTCCGGGATCGCTCTGACAAGGAGCCTTCAAAGCCGCATAGTATCCTGCAACCAATCTTTAGTTGAACGGCATAAGGTGGTGGATACAAAAATGGGGTTTTGCGCGTTTCATAGAAATAGTAAACTGGTATGAGGCTCAACGTCCGAGAAGAAGCTACCAGTGCTGACTACTATACCCCAAATATATATATATATATATATATATATTTTAAAAAATCCTCCAGATATAAAGAAACTTCTACCCCCATAAGTTGCATGATAGCTATCACAAAAATGTACCCGGGCCTGTGCCGGAGTGATCCTCCCCCCTTTGATCGCCTTTAACCAAGACCGGGTCTAAAAGTAACGGATGTAACTTCCCCCTCACCAATACGAGCTGTCTACCGCTACCGGCGTTGATTGCGCCGGTATAGGCGTTCCATGCAGGATCGCGGTGGAGGGTTATGGCCCCTTCACACTGGCATTTACGCTCATGCCTGCAGAAATTGGCTTCCGAGGGCTAAGCTGGTTGCTCCCGGTGGCTCGTCCGGCAGCCCTCTGCGTGTATGATTCACCTCCTGCAAGGTGGAAATTTCAATTTTCCACGTGCCTCATCCCCAGGCTCGCCAGAAGGGTCGACGAAAATCGGGCGATGAGTGAAAAATCTCCAATATATAAAAAGCCACGTCGTCGCTCCTGAATTAGGTTTGACTTTTGCTTTTCTTTCCTCCATCAATATTCACTTCCACAGTAATATAAAACCAAAACATGTCTGCTAGAACTGCTGCCATCCGTCTTGCCCGCACTGCCGGTGCTCGTGTTGCTTCCCAGAGAACCTTCTCTGCTTTGGCCACTGCCACCCGCCCAATTGTTTCCAGACAAGCTGCTGTTCCAGCCGGTGTCCGTGGTGTCAAGACCATCAACTTTGGTGGTACCTCAGAAGTTGTCCACGAGCGTGGTGACTGGCCAAGAGAAAAGTTGTTGGACTACTTCAAGAACGACACCCTTGCCATGATTGGTTACGGTTCCCAGGGTTACGGTCAAGGTTTGAACTTGAGAGACAACGGCTTGAACGTCATTGTTGGTGTTAGAAAGAACGGTACCTCCTGGAAGGCTGCCATCGAAGATGGTTGGGTCCCTGGTGAGAACTTGTTCGATGTCAACGAGGCCATCAGCAAGGGTACCATTGTCATGAACTTGTTGTCTGACGCTGCTCAGTCTGAAACTTGGGCTGAAATCAAGCCTTTGTTGACCGAAGGTAAGACTTTGTACTTTGCCCACGGTTTCTCCCCAGTCTTCAAGGCTTTGACCAAGGTCGAAACCCCAGCCAACTTGGATGTCATCCTTGTCGCGCCAAAGGGTTCTGGTAGAACCGTCAGATCCTTGTTCAAGGAGGGCAGAGGTATTAACTCCTCTTACGCTGTCTGGAACGATGTCACTGGTAAGGCTGAAGAAAAGGCTATTGCCCTCGCCGTCGCTGTCGGTTCTGGTTACGTCTACCAGACCACCTTTGAGAGAGAAGTCAACTCTGACCTTTACGGTGAACGTGGTTGTTTGATGGGTGGTATCCACGGTATGTTCTTGGCTCAATACGAAGTCTTGAGAGAAAACGGCCACACCCCATCTGAAGCTTTCAACGAGACTGTCGAAGAAGCCACCCAGTCGTTGTACCCATTGATTGGTAAGTACGGTATGGACTACATGTACGATGCCTGCTCCACTACTGCCAGAAGAGGTGCTTTGGATTGGTACCCAAGATTCAAGGATGCCTTGAAGCCAGTTTTCGAAGACTTGTACGAGTCTGTCAAGAACGGTTCCGAGACCCAGAGATCCTTGGACTTCAACTCTGCTCCTGACTACCGTGTCAAGTTGGAAGCTGAATTGGAAACCATCAGAAACATGGAGATCTGGAGAGTCGGCAAGGAAGTCAGAAAGTTGCGTCCAGAGAACAATTAAGTTCTTGGATAGGCTTATTGTTTCCCCATCACTTTACGCTATGGCACTTTGATTTCTCTTTTTTTTGTACATTTTTTCTTTTCAAAGTTGACCTTGAATGGTTTTTATGTTAAGACTGAGTGCCTGCGAAAAGAATGACCCCCACCCTTTTTTCAATTCTACACTTACTTTTTTTTCTCTCTCTTATTTATACTGGGTTGCTACTTCGGTTTTATCATATTGGTATAAAACTTACCTCTCTGCATGAACAATTAATGTTTAACGAATAAACAATGTTCACTTTAATATATCACAAAAACTACTTCCACTGTATGCACAATATGTCTAAGACGGATGGTTATAAACCTGGCCGCTTGAATAAAATCAGGTTCAGTTAGTCCCGGGAAAATAGCTTTCGATAAGAATTGGGGATTTTAATTTAAGCTACAGATAAAATATCAGTTATGTAGTATTAGTCTATATATGGCAATAGGAATCGAATACTCTAAAACAGATGTTAGTACTTGAGAACTCAGGATGGATGGCATAATCCAAGACAATATCCACTCATCATTCACCAACGACCTCCTCTATCCTAAGAAATGCCTCTTCCATAGTACTTCATGATATCTTTCCTGTCAAATATCCTGTCAGGATTTTTCTACTATCTTATTACAACTATCTTCACGAAAAAATTAATCATTCAGTTGTCCCTATCAAACAATCATCATTTAAGAATATTGCCAGGAAAAACATTCATGAAATTGAAAGAAAATTCATTGTGGATCAGAGTTGAGATTGATAAATTTTGGATAGCGAGAACATGCCCCAGTCAAGTATGGATAATGGGAGAGAAATTCAACGTACACTTTAGTCGAAGCTTGTTCATGGTAGCATCCTGGCTAAAAGAACCAAATGTGAATAGACAACATAAGAGAAAATAGAGTATATAGCAGGATGGGCCAAGCGTTTTATACTCGTTCCCGCACGTATCAAAAACCTAGAGGAAATCCGACTCATATATAAATCACGTGACAAAGACAAAGGAATAATGATGTACATAGGAAAAAGCAGTCACACGAAGAAAGCTAAAATCGTTTGGAGGGCTAAGTTTCCTCGAACTTTTTCGCTTATCAGCGAAATCCTTAACCAGCAGTAAACATTCCGCGAATTTATATACACATACAAATTACGGGTAAAACTTTCGTCGAAAACCTTTGCGGTTTGCGCCGCAGTGAAAATTTGGCCGTCGGGCGAAAAAGTTTTCCGTTTTCGACACTCGCATGTCTAGCTATAACAAAAACAGTAGTGTCACCCATATATAGCGTACGCCACTTTAACGTAAAACCGGAATATATACTTAAAAATGGCTGTCGGTAAGAACAAGAGACTTTCCAAGGGTAAGAAGGGTCTTAAGAAGAAGGCCCAAGACCCATTCGCTAGAAAAGACTGGTTCGACATCAAGGCTCCATCTACCTTCGAAAACAGAAATGTCGGTAAGACTTTGATCAACAGATCCACCGGTTTGAAGAACGCCGCCGATGGTTTGAAGGGCCGTGTCTTCGAGGTCTGCTTGGCTGACTTGCAGGGTTCTGAGGACCACGCCCACAAGAAGGTCAAGTTGAGAGTCGATGAAGTTCAGGGTAAGAACTTGTTGACCAACTTCCACGGCTTCGACTACACCACCGACAAGCTCAAGTCCTTGGTTAGAAAGTGGCAGTCTCTCTTGGAATGCAATGTCACCGTTAAGACCGCTGACGACTACGTCATCAGAGTCTTTGCCATTGCCTTCACCAAGAGACAGCAAAACCAAATCAAGAAGACCACCTACGCCCAGTCTTCCCAGTTGAGAGAAATCAGAAAGAAGATCACCGAGATCATCCAGAGAGAAGTCGCCAACTCCACCTTGTCCCAATTGACTACCAAGTTGATCCCAGAAGTTATTGCCCGTGAAATCGAAAAGTCTACCCAGGCTATCTACCCATTGCAGAACGTCCACATCAGAAAGGTTAAGTTGTTGAAGCAGCCAAAGTTTGACTTAGGCTCTTTGATGGCCTTGCACGGTGAAGCTTCCGCTGAAGACAAGGGTAAGAAGGCCGCTGGTTTCAAGGATGTTGTTTTGGAAACCGTTTAAATGGTTTGACCCATTCTAAATCTTTGACAACCTTTGCTCTTAACTCCTCCTACATCTCCCACCTACCGCAGCAACTGCAGAAGAAACAATACGAGGATGTCGCCTTGTCTATCCCCGACTACCGACTATTGTTGAATATGAATCGTCCGACTTTTTTTTGTTCTTATAACCCTCTATGTTCCCATTTGTTTGGTCTTTGTGTTTGTTTGTGTGGTGCTTCCTTTTTTTATTGTATAAATTAATTAATTATGAGGTTATTAAATGAAACCAAAACGCAAAATCGGATTCAATCTAGGGACGAAGGGATGTTGGTCCTTCTGGGTAGTGCGAAGGCTTGCTTGAAATACTTGAAGTAGAAGCTGATCTTTGGACAATCATTAAAAAGGAGAATGTATTGATAGTTAATATTTCACCCCGCTTTTCGGTCCATGAAAGATATCAAAAAGATGGTCCCTAGCAGGATCGAACTGCTGATCCCCGCGTTATTAGCACGATGCCTTAACCAACTGGGCCAAGGGACCAAATACTGAAAACACTCTCGATTCTGACATCAGGTGAGTTGTTTGTCGTAGGGTGTTTATCAGCCATTTACAAAATACAATGGCATTAATTCACGATAACAACAATCATATTAGACAAAGATCATATTTTAAACCTTGAAGGCCATCTCCTTACATAATCTCCTCCGATTTCTCATTTGCTCCACTTATGCTAGAGGATGATTTCGGATAACTACTATCAAACAATCCTAATATTCCCACTTAGTGCCTCATGGTTTTTAAAACTCTCTAACTCTAACAAAAAATGTTATAGATATGCTGGGTAGCATCCTATAGGAACTAAGCACTGTCTTACGTCTTAGAAATGAGCGAGGTAAGAGGAGGTGTTCGTGGGAACGGTCCTGAACTAGCAGGAGGACGTTATCACGAGCTCACTGATCTAAAGCGAGAGGAAGTATATTAATGCAGGGTCAATTGTTTCAGCTTGCGCAACTGCTGGGACTGGATGAGCGTGAGAATTCGCTCTAAGAGTCTGAACATATGTTAATACATGGCCCAGACCGTATTCATACAAAGATGGCGCTTGTAAATGGGAACATGCTCGCAATGTCAAGTTCGTTTCCTATTTAAGAAACCGAATTCTCAATGGTTTTTGGTTTTAGCTACTAACTATATTAATATGCTTTAAGCTTTCAAGGATTACACAATGATATGTGATGAAATACTCGGTAGCAAAAGATACTTCCGAAAAGGTAAGGGAAGTGTCGTAACCCGTTTCAAGCACGAACATAGCAACAAGTAACCTGAACATAAAAATATGCAAAACGAGACAAGACAGGAATGGAATTTACGCGGGAAGCACTGAGGTCCATTTAGATGGAAGATATAATCCCGGGGCTAGTGAAAGCCAGGTGGTTTGGATGCCGCGCCCGAATCTTGACACAATCAGAAAACAGGTGGATGTTTATCTCTGCCAATCATAGCTAGGGGAAATTAGTTGAGCTACATCAGTTAAAATATTATCAAAATATAAGCTGATTAGATTAGCTATACACTAAGAAAAGTAGTAAAAAAAAGAGGTAAGAAAAGATATGCAAATAGGAGGTGTATCCGAGGAGCCAATACTGAAACCAAAGATTGTGTAAAAGTTATTAAAAGATTTTTCGGTTTTTTTTTTCTTTGGGTGATTTTTTTGGTGTTTTTGGGTTTTTTAGGCTTCGGAAGGATTGCTTGTTGGGAAACCCCATAAATAAAAGCCTAGTTATCAAAAAAAAAAGAGAAAGTAAAAGAGAAATAAAGGAGAGAAGTCATTAACATCATTAGTCGTGTAGGATAAACAGGCAGTGTCTTTCTTTAGAGAGGGGGAGCTGAAAGATATGGGGACAGCCATCGTAACTGAAACCTTAAAACCAGTTAAAGTTTCTTTCACCACTGGCAGTGACGCCAGAAGTAACAGCACTACCAATAGCAATACTTGGTGTCAGCTTGGTATTGCAGTTAACGGCAACAGGTTCAGCGCCAACAGTGGCGGGCTTTTGAGCCGATTGAGACAAGCTCATGCTTTCAAATTGGAAGAAGAAATCATCATCGTCTTCGTCCTCAATGTCAGACCATGACTTGCCCATGTAAGAGTTGCCAATCAAGGAAGGTGGCGGTTGAGAGGCAAACTGAGACGGAGCAATACCTGGAGCGGTAGCCGTTTCCTTGGTGCTTGGGATAGCAATGGAAGTGACAGAAGTAGCAGCGGTGGAAGTAGAAAAATCATCCACGATCGAAGAAAGAGTGGAGATTTCCTTGGACGTGTATGGGACAATCACATCGTCGTAGGCTGCATCATCCATCTCAAACATATCGTCCTCGTCGGAATAAGCTTCACACATTTCCAACTCGTACTCTTCGTCCACGGTCAAGCCGCAGGACCAGTTATCATTCAACAAGTCGACGCACTTTTCAAGATTTCTCGACGACGGAATTAAAGACAAGACAGGAACCAAGGCTTCAAGGCACCCGGCAGACATGTCTGGGTAAATATCGTAGAGGACGTCCATGTCATTATTGTCGCTACCACCACGCTTCACGGAGAATAACTTGAAGTTATTGTCGGCCTTTGGGTGTGGTTTGGTGAACGGAGCCTTGCCAAATATGGCGAACAAAAGGGTCATGCCGAAGGACCAGTAATCGGCGTAAAGAGTGTCGTATTTGGTGGAAGAGACGAAGCACTCAGGCGCCATGTACTTCTCAGTGCCAACCGAAGAATCATAGGACGAACGGGCCAATGTGGCCAAGCCCCAGTCAGCCAACTTCGCATCACCGTTAGCAGAAAACAAGATGTTCTCCGGTTTTATATCGCGGTGATAAACGCCACGTTGGTGGGAGTGATTCAAAGCTTCCTTCAATTGCGAAGCTAACTTGTAGACGGTGAAAGAAGACAAGCCACCCTGGGAGTGTAATCTGTCGTGTAAGTCACCACCGCTGCAGTATTCCAACACAAGGTAGGTGGTGCTGGAAGTTTCAAACGAATCCAACAACTGGCAGATGTTTGGGTGGTATCCAAGTCTGGACAAGATAGACACTTCGTGTCTGGCGACAGGGGTAACGCCATGGACGGATTTGTTCATGGCCTTGATAGCGACCTCAGTGTTGGTTGTGGTATCGAGGGCTAACGAAACGTTACCATACGAGCCTTGTTGGATGGACTTGACGAACCGGTATTTATTTCTGAGTAAGACACCTTTTTCGTAAGCGGTGCACTCGTCAATCTTGGAGATGGTGGAAGGGGTCTCGTATGTCATTGTGGAGGAGGAAATGCAGTTCAAATAAAATCAAAAACAGAGATAAAATCAACGACGTTAAAAAAAAAAGACAAAAATATGCGGTGGATAGTGGGTCGGGCTAACTGAGGGAGAGTATCTTGTGGTTTGGAGGTGTTTAACTGTGTGTTTGAAAGAGAGGGGAATAAACGGGGTGTCTAATCTTGTCTCGTGACCAGGTAGCAAAGGTGGCAAGTCACAATATATAGACGGGACGTAGATAAAACTAGTTCTCAGAATATAATCCTTTAATCGAATTTTAATCAACAGTCAAGTTATCAAAACTAGAGTGGGCGCAAAAAGGAATACACGTAGAGAGAGAGAGGTTTAGTTGGTAACCAGACTAGACGGAGGCTGTTGGGAGGTTAGCTGCTTATATATTCCGGGGCGCCACCACTCTCTATCTACCCGCAGGAGTCACCCAAATTCGCTCAGACGCACCCAAGATTAACGCATATTCCTGCATAAAAAATCATCCCTTGATCGGGATGCCCGTTTGTCGCCGTAGTGATTGTGGTGGTGGAAACGTACCTCCGGGTTCTAAATGCAGGATTTTATCTCTGTTTTTCCACCCGATTCCCGTATGCGCTGGCTTTTGGGTAAACTGGCCTCCGGGCGGGCATGATTTACGGCACGCTTCGCTAAGCACCCACAGGGGGATGACACATCTGAGGCTTATCTACAACTGTGAATCTGTGTCACTTTATAATTGTTGCCCTGTATCGCGCTTAATCACCCATAAACACGTTGTCACTTGCATTAGAAGTTCACAGTTGCTACTGTAATTGCGGGTAAGTCGAGTTCATCATTGTTATACAGATGTTTGTAATTTTCACCTGCCCTGCTGTAGTGTCCTTTGTACGGAGGTAACATAGAAGTTTCTAGCTTTTTCTGTGTCATGTACCAGCACACACAGCACTAATTCGTCAGAAATCTGTGCGAGCCTGTTGGGCGGGAAGGCGTGCCTGTTGGGTGTGCGTACAGGATGCCGTTTGTCATCACTCTAAAACGGAAACCAAAGAAACCACTCTTATGGTGTCGCTTGTTCAGAAAGGTGATGATTTGTGTATCTTTAATGGAGTTTCATAGTAGTTATCAAGGGGGAGAGGTAAATACCTCCTGGAGTGAGGGTCAGAATAAACGGTGGCTGGTTTAAAATTACCACCGTGCAGACAGACGTCATTATGGACTGGCTCTATCTCCATTTCTCCTTGCGAGCTTGAGTGTGAGTCCATATCTTAACTCCATTACTTCCCGTTGAGCGGACTGTTGTGTTTACCTTAAAAAGGCACACTACCCAACTTGACGTAAACATCACGTGCGATGGTTTCTTATCGGTCAAATTTAAGGTTTTCGCATACAATGTTTTATGTACATACGTCATTTTCACCCCACTTGTAGATTGCTCTTGAGTTTGTTTCATAGTCACGGGGCCAAGAGCTCTCCGTGGTTTACTTATTCGTCGGAAACCCACCTCTGTAGTTCTGATTAGCGAAGAAGGTTTCAGCTTACAGTGGTGCCCTCTGGTCCGAGGTCTAGCCCAACGTCTGCCTATTTTTAGCTCCAAATCAGAATACCAATCTAACGAAAGTGTATATTTAGGTTTGCAACCATACATATTATTAATTAGTGTATTGTAGAGTGGGGCTTACACTAAAAGATAAATGTTGGGAGCGGTACCGGAGCAGGGGGGAAACTGGTTAAGGGGGCTGCCTAACAGTCACGGTCTTCTCTTCCTGCGTAAGGTGCATGTACGGGTTTGTGAATGTTAAGTACCTACGGGAGATGAAATTTGATCTTTTTAATTAAACAATAAAGCTCATGGTGTAAAAATAAAATGTAATAATATAAAATACCTATTACACACAATTAATATATTTGTAGCTTTAAGTTTAGGATTTTTTATGGTATGAGTGAAAATACAGAGATGTATAGGTTGAGTGAAATAGTTTAACAATCTCCAAATACACTTAAATATAAGAACATATATTCGCAATAACTATATATTGAATAATATACAGTAAAATACAGTAGCTAGTTGTATATACGATTAAGATACTAATGTAGATAATAAGAAAGCCATACGTATTTTTCCAAAACGACCCGAAATAGAATCAATCTTAAACATATTTTATACAAACAGTTATCTTAAGTATAAATAAAAACGTATCGAAATATTATTTAACCGGACACTCTTCAGATCAATAATCGAGATACACGTTAATACCAGTGATGATACCCCACCAGAGTACCGCAAAAATCCCTAACTTTCTTCCAATGACCCACCCATTCATAGGGACAACAACAAGATATACAACCAACATACCCAAGACACCTGCACTGCCAACGATCAAACTAATATCAAACTTAAATTCGATCGGCCGGCCTTGGCGTGTGGTTGTGATCAAAATTACCCCATTCAAACCCAACCCAAGCAATATATACAATAAGGGAGCTCCGAAACAGGCTCCCAAGCCTGTAAGCGACAAGTGGGAGCGGGCAAGGGTAACATTACCAATGAGATCGCCCACCGAATTCCCTGTGGCAAAGACCGTTAATCCCAACAACGAGTCCCCAATGCGATACATTAGCCCAATGTTTTTCAAAAGGAGAACCACATGGTCCGAAATAATATTTATCCAAACAATAGAAAGGAAAAACCCGAGGAAGGCTATGATCGGTGGGAGGCGATTATGATAGTAGTGATGTAACCCTTGGTGATCCTGGGAATGACTTTGGGAGCAATGTCTATAGTACCAGTGATGAAGCACGACCAAAGCGAGAGAGACAGCTGCGAGTATTATCAAATGCATGGATTTTGGGATAATACTTCCCGGGTATTCGCCCCACCATTGAGATATTTCATCCTTTAAACTGAAATAGTGGTAATCAACCAAGATCGGGAGGAAGAAAACCTGCCCGTACAATAATTGAGCTCTTAACTTCAGCTCAGCATAGCCTATAGGCCTGAACCCCTCATAAACCAAGCTCTCAGACGAAGCAAGGGTCATTACAGATTGATCGGCTGGGGGTGGAGACTCCACGCCTATATCATAAACCGTGGGGATCGTAGCGTTGAAGAGGAGAATAATGGGGGAGCTGAAGAGCGAGAATATGACAGAGGGAACAGAGAGGCCAGAGGGAGAGCCGGCCAGTCCCATCTCTTCGTTGCAGAGATTATGCGCTTTGTAAACATCCATTACGTGTGAGATTTCAGGTAGGAGGAACCTCCACAATGGGTACCCTCGCTCCCATATTTCCTCGCCGACAGCGTTCTCGACCGGAAGGATAGAGGATTTGGAACACGGAAATTCGCTATTAGTATCCTCAGTATCAGATGCTTCGTCGATGATAAAGGAGGGTTGGCCTATACTTTGGTAAAGTTTTGGACGAGGAGATGCGATTCTCAGTAAATCCTCGGCCTCGACTTCGGGGTCATATGGCACATGAATTTCCGCAACCAGCGGGGTCAACGAAGCTTGGTTCCTTCCAACAACTCCCATTAGAGGACTTGGACAGTTAAGCAAATGCCGATCATCAAAGTAGTCCGACCGCGGGGAGTCAACTTTGTAAGCAAATGGTGAGTGGTGGATAATTTCTCGAAGGTCACTGGGACTGATTTGGGTTGAAGGCCTATCGTGAGACGGGACACCTTGCTGTATTTGGTCCCCGCCGGCAGCTTCCTGCTCCTCAGTGGCATCATAGTTTTCCTGAAGTAGTGACTCCTTGCTCATACCACATCGCAAGTCACCAAGGTGGGACCAGAGCTTGACGGCATCGTAGACAGAGAACCGCATTACGGACTGGCTCGCTTGGTTAGGACTGGCCATCGGCGAAAGGACGCTCGAGGTAGGAGTGAGTGGTCTAAGCGAAGCATGCGGGGGCGCATACGGGGATAGTAGGGTGGAGTTTTCGTCAATTTCTTCCAGTGGTTCATTGCTGAAATTGTACTTCACGAGAAACAAGATGTAACTCGCATACAAAATGATCATGATACCGCTTTCCAACAAGGTTAACTTTCCATCGCAGATAAAAACCAAGCTGATAATTAGGAGCGCAATGAAGAAGCCCACATCACACAAAAACTGGGGTGGGTCGACTTCGAAGGAATTACATATCCCCATAGCCCCAATGACAAAGCACACGCAAAAGTTAGCAGCCCCGATCAACTCGCCAAACGCCAATTCAGGGGAGCCGGACTTGATCAGTGAATAGGAGCTGAAAAGGTCCGGCGCCCCGTTGCCGTAGGCCATGAGTGTCATCCCTGCCACCCGCTGCGAGAGGTTGAGGTATACTGTGGCGTAGTTCAAGTTGGGACAAAGGTAGTCGGAGGCTGTTATACCGAGCGAAATGAATAGGACAACCAAGTATGCAAAGACGAACGAGACTGATGTGAACTTCAGCCTGAGTAAACGCATGAAGTGGTTTCCGTTCAAGGAGGGGTTGCTGCAGTAATAAGATATGGCATAGTTATAAGTATGAGCGTCACACTGGGTCCTTATATAATGGCAAATCTCCTCCAGAGAGGCTGAATCGCCTAAGTGTGCGATGGAACAGGTTCCGGGCAGTTGACTGTCTCCTGAGTCGTGCGAGAGGAGGGTGGTCCATGACTCAATATCCGGAGGGAGGTGATTTATAGCGTGTTTCACGCTCAATACGAGAAACAACCCAAGAGCCAACCAATACCAAGTGTTGCTTGATCGATTCCTTCGGGGTGCCATGATTGTGGAAAAGGCAAGCGTATCACGACAAATATGTTTTTAAATTGAAACCAAAGAATTCTGGGAAGGGAAAGGGTTAATCGACCCTTCTAAGGCTCACAAGGGGCAAGGGTCCTCCACTGAAATTTATTACTGGTCTATGGAGCTATGATGGCATGCCTTCAGTCTCGGACTGCATAGCAACCCACAACGGTGGCTGAGCCTACAGGGAACCCGTACAAAGTTAAGTTACCTTGAGTTTTAACGATTATCGGACAAAAATCGGAACAATGACGAAATATTGGTTGGATCATACGGGAATTAGAGTTTATAAATATTAAACCTGAGTCCATAGTAGATTTATTATACATGGTTGGGATGGAGGTGGAATAAAGGTGGGATGACCACTCTCCGTGACTACCATGTGCTACACGACATTTCCGTTCAAAATGACTTTACAGGATGGTAGCGAATGTGCGAACCAGTAAGATAAACAGCACACCAATAACCTCTATTATTCTGGCAACGCTAGACCTACAACAGCCCTTGGTACGGATCTACTGATCTTATCCTCCCGGTCGTGTCGGGAACATATATCGGGAGCAGCCGCCTGCATGACGCGAGCCCAACTTTTTGTATGTGAAGATTGGTAATAAGGGTGAGGACACTGCCAGGACCCCCTCTATTTTAATAGAACCTATAAACAACGTTCACTACAACCCATACCATTTTCATTCATTTGCTCAGGATTGCTCACAAATGGCGATTGTTGACGATCCCCTTGCTAGCTTGCGTTTGCCGCTAGTAGACCTCCTCCTCACCCCCTTGTGTGGTGGGGTCTTGAAGAACCACATACACGAGGTGGTGCTTGCATTCTTGATTTATCACGGGATCTACCTTATCGCCCGTGTAGTGAGCCCTAAGGTTGCAAAGGGCTATACGAGCTTGAAGTACAAGGACCAGATTGACTATTGCATCCACGTGGTGTCGATGATCCAGTGCGTGGTCATCTTCACGCTCATGACCCCGTTGTTCAACCACCCAGACTTGTCCAAGGATAGAGTTTTTGGTTATGTACCGTACGGTGGGTTGGTTTTATCTTTTGCTTTGGGTTATTTTATTTGGGACGCCCTCATTTCGCTTGCATACGTGAAGTACTTTGGTCCGGGCTTTTTGATACACGGGGTCATTTCGTCACTTGTGTTCGGTGTTGCGTTCCAACCAATGATCGTGTACTACTGTCCGATCTTTTTGTTGTTTGAAGTCTCCACGCCGTTCCTCAACTTAAGATGGTTCGGGAACAAGATCCCAGGCTTGGTCTCGGACAACTTCAAGATGATCAACAACATCATCTTGATCATCTTGTTTTTCTTTGTACGCATTTCCTACGGCCTCTTCCAGGCGTTCAAGTTGTTCACTGACTTCTACCACGCTAGAAACGACGAGAGGTTTATCTGGCAGTTCGCTATGGTTATCGTGGTGGGCAATCTGGGGTTGAATTTGTTGAACTTTTTCTGGTTCAGCAAGATGTTGAAAATTGCCGTCATCACCATCAGGCAAATGATCAACAAGGAAACCAAGACCGACTTGTTGATCGACAATGATAACGACAACGGCGGTGCCCCGATCACTGGCTACAGAACCAACCTGCCTTCCCAGCCGGCTAAGAGAGGAAAGGCCAGAAGTAGCTAATTTTTTTTTGCAAGCCATCTGTAATAGATAAAGAAATGAAAAATAATATTAGTGAATTCAACCGAGTCGCTGAGTAATCCGTGAGTAATATCCTGCATTCATGCTGCACATGCGAGTTCACGAAACTCCCCACTGAAAATTCCGGCTAGCGAAGGTCAGCTCAAACACCTTTCGGCCTTAATACCACCATTAGCCTTCAAATAACCATTATTCCTTCAGATTATATAGATATGTCCACAGTCACAAGAGCTCCAAGAGTGGAAGACGCTCCGATCCCACAATCTCCAGTTTCACCATACCCCATCACCGAAGAGGCGGAGGTCGTCGCCGGGTTTGGCAGAGGATCCGCCGAGTTGGGAATTCCAACGGCCAATTTGCCTATTGACCAGTTGCCGTTGCTTAATGCCCAAATCGACAGGACCGGGGTGTACTTCGGCTGGTGCGTTCTCAGGGCGCACCCGAAAGAGGCCGAGGCACAGATCAAAACCAGATCCGATGGCAAAACCGAGGTGGAGTACAACTTTGGCAATCAGTTATCTAGCGATGGGGCTTCTGGAATTATCTTGCCGATGGTGGCATCGATCGGCTGGAATCCGTTCTACAACAACAAGGAAAAGGCCGTGGAGTTGCACGTCATGCACAAGTTTGATCACAGTTTCTACGGTGCCGTCATCAGATTCAACATTTTGGGCTACATCAGGCCGGAATTGAACTACACAACCAAGGAGGCCTTGATAAAGGATATCCACACAGATATTGAGATCGCGTTGGAGACCCTTGCCACGCCCGAGTACACCGCAATGCAGCGCACTTTGCTTGATTAAAAGATAGGGATGAATGTGGAGAGGTATAAAGGAATTGAGGGATAGTGACAGAGTCAAGCAAACTCGGATGAGTGTAATACATTGAATAGAACTATGTCAGAGACTGTAGATTCTTGGAATTTTTGGGGTGATGAGACAGGCTTATGTCTGTATCGAATATAACATCATTTGGGGAGATATGGGCTCAATCCACGCCAATTTACAGTCTCTTGATAGCTAATATTGTTTAAAAGGTGCTTCATAACAATCTTTCACGCAGTTAATATTCATTTCAACCGCTTTTAATGTCCATCATATTGAAGGATAGGAGTTGGTGCTGAAGGTACACGGACCTTCGGGGTCATGACTTTAATGTATACACATCAGCCTAAAAAAACATAGCCATTCTACGTAGTCATATAGATATGCACCATTGAGAAGTGATATTTCTTTGCCAATAAGCACTTTATCCATTTTTTTTGCAGATGCAGCAAGACCATTTAAACTGAGACTTATATAGATTAGCGAATGGGTGTATATCGGTATTTGAAGCCATAAAAGCGTGCCATCCTTCCTCAATACCGATGCATTTGATTTATCTAACGTATCTTATAGTTATCGATACTGGGAGTTTTCAGTCCAACAGATACCTTATCTTCCTATTCCCGCAATTTGTGAGTGGCCTCCTGTCCTTTATGTGTAATAGTTCCATGTCTCTTTCCCTATTCATGTCACCTCCCGATGTGACAAAAGCTGTCACTGTGGACCATCAACATATATGATTACCGGTGACTGAAAAAATAGTCTACTTCATACATTCATCAAAATAATAAGGGGTTAGGGGTGGCTGGCACAAGGCTAGTTTCATGATGTCACTGGTGATAAGGATACAGCTTTATAGATTAAGCCGCTGAAGGAAAGAATCTCGTAATCACTGCTGTAGCTTGAGTGAGTGCTACACACGTTCACAATATTGCTCTCGCTAGCGTTCCATCGGCTTGAAGCTCTCCACTCGCCCACTGTTCGCCCAGGCCTCACCCACGATACGCAACCTAGCTGCACCCGCAAATTCCCTCTCTCTTGCCCGCAACGTCCACTCGTCCCACATCAACTGCAACAACTTCTGGCCCTGGCGCCCGTACGCCTTCAAAAACTCCTCCGCGGCAGCGTCCCACCAGTTTGACGCAGCCAAGTAGTGTACATTTGCCAACAAGTCCGCCGGCATGTTCAATATCCGTGCCATCATGGTCCAGCCCAACGCCATTGGGTACGGGAATACACCTTGCGGCTGGTTCGGCTGTAATTGCAAGCGCGTCAAGACCGCAAACACTGTGAAAATCCCCCCAATGCGTTCATTGTACTGGGTCTCTTCCTCCCACTTCCCTGCGGATGAGCGTTTCCATGCCATCCGCAAGCGCCCTTCCTCGGTGTCCACGGCACATGTATACCCGATCACTAACGGGCACTTTTTCACGAACCGTGCCAAGAGGTAGTGCCTTAGCTCCGGAAACATCACTGTCAAGTTGAGTGCGAGCTTCGACAATGGCACGGCGCGATCCGGCGCCGTCACCACCTCGGTCCCCGCCTGCACCACAATCGCCTTGGCGATGTAGTTCAAAATCCACTTGAACGCAAGTTCGTTCGCCTGCTTGGCTTGCGACACAGCCGTGGTCACCACTTCGGTAATGGCGGCCAACTGTGTCAAACTGTTGTTGAGTTGCCCGAATTTGGGATTGATCTGGCGCCGCAACTTGTAACATGCAGACTTCAACTCTTTATTGGCAAGAAGCGGCTCCACGATATCCAGCTTTATTTCTGCAATCGTCTTTTTGTATGCGAGGAAGTCTTTCTCCACCATCGTGAAGTTTGTGATGCCCTTCCCGGTTTTCTTAGCCTCCGCTTCTGCGATGGCTGCCTCCTTGATCTTTTCGGCTGCCTGCTTAGCCTTCGCAGTAGCGTCTGCCTTTGCCTTTGCCTCTGCTTCTTCTTTGTCCTTTTGCGCCTTGAGCTTGGCTTCCGCCTCTCTTTGCTTCACTTCAATAGCGAGCTTCTTCTGGCGCTCCTCCTCTTCCTTCTTCTCGCGTTCCTCCTCCTCGCGCTTCTTCCGCGCAGCCTCCTCGAGGTGACGCTGCTTCTCTTCCTTCTGCTTGCGTATCTCCTCCAGGATCTGGAACTTGCGCTCGGCTTCCGCAGCCACAATCCGCATCGAGAGGTCGGCCATCGTGCTGAAGCTCTGGCGGATGGCGGAGAGCATCGATTCGCTCTCCGCATGGCGGCGTGACTGCTGATGGTCTGCATGCGCACGGAGCGCTTCTGACTCGCTGTGGATATCCGTGAGGATCCGTGTACGGTGGCTTGTGCTAAGGTCCGCAAACGTATCGTGGACGCTCTCCACATTTGTGGGCTCCATCTCGAGGGTATAGATGGGCTGTTTTCCAACCACCACGTTCTGGGTGGCCTGCAAGAACTTGTTTCGGATGTCAACGTCCTCCAAGAGTTGAGCCAATTCGTCTACCACGGAATACCCGCTGCATTCGGGCATGCTTGGGCTCAAGGGACCGTCCACAGGTAAGTCCTGGGGGCTCACGGGTTCATATTCATCGATTTCCAGGTCCGATTCCCACGTCTCGGGAGCTGCAAAAACGGGCATTGTGGTGGTTGTAGGATCTTGTGTGAAGGACTACGGAAAGCACACCTATATAGCCCATATAAGCATAGAAACTTTTTTCCTGCATACAGTCGATTTCCGGGTAACTTGCCTTGTGGTGAAAAATTCACCTTCACTACAGGCTAAGTCAAGCTTGACCTTACGATACAGTGACGTTATGTTTAGTACAACAGTTCCCTCATCCATTATGTCTACTGTTTTCATTCGAGGCTTTGCTACATCGGGTACTGCCCTCGGCAGAACTGGCTGCAGCATGGTCCAGCCTATCCACCACACAGTCAAGATCAACAAGCGTCTCTTGTCGCCAAACTACCCAGAGTTGAAGTTGGCCAAGCACGACATCAGAAACACCGCGTTCAAGCCGGCACACACCTCCCAGGACAGACTCCAGGACCACTATACAGCCACACTCGAGTCTGATTTGTTGTTGATCAACTACACGCACAACCAGCAGAGACAAGAGGGTCTCAAGACCAGGGAATGGGATGGGTCCTCGCCATACCACATCAACCGTCCGGTGAGACCACCTAGAGGGAGACTTGTGCAAACCAAGGACATCAAGCCAAGAACCTGGAAGAATGTGCCACAGTTGGAGCTGATTGCCATCAACTGTTTTGTTAAAGAAGCCAAGGCCCAGTCGCACTTGGTTATCGCCGCGCACCTCCAGTTGCAACAGATCACCAACTCCAAAGTGCAACGTGTCTTCACTAAGTCTAACGTTCCGCAGTGGGGGATCAGAAAGGGTATGCCAATTGGTGCCAAGGCCGAGATCTTCGGTGCCGATGCCCATACCTTTGTCACCACTCTCAATGAGTTAGTCTTGCCAAGAATCAGAAACTTCCAGGGGATAACCAACAAGAGTGGTGACCGCAGTGGGAACATTACCTTTGGGTTGACCCCAGAGGACGTCAAACTCTTCCCAGAACTTGAGAACAACGCTGAGCAGTGGGCCAAGACCTTCGGCATCCACATCACTTTCCGTACCACCGCCCAGACCGATGCTGAGGCGAGAATTTTGTTGAGTGGGTTGGGGTTCCCATTCTACGGTGAGGAGAAGAACTAAATGGTTAGCCGAGTAGGCTCTGCTGCAAAGAGCAGAAAGGTCATGTATATACAATAAATCATGTTAATTAAAGTTGAGTAGTTTGCTAAATAGCGTAAATGCAACAGTGTAGTTTTCCGTTATAAGAAAAGGAACTTTCCAAGATAAGGTAAGAATGAATATTAACTTGTGAAAGAGGTACGAAACGGGAATTGTTGTATCTTCCATAATAACATCCACACCGTCAACGGAAGCAAAAGTAGAGCTGTGTTGGTCTTGTCTTCTCGAAAAATTTAACACACTTCAAATCGTTGGAACATTTGACGATTACGGAAGAAGTTTTTGCGAACTGTCCCTAGAGCTCAGTTCTCCATTTGCTGTGCCTTTGTATATTCTCCGCTCATAGCTCAACTATTCCATTGTTTCCATAATACATCGCGAATCTCTTGGTGGGACTAGGGCTCTCGCTCAATTTTCAAACCCCAGCTTGTATCCAACTGTACCTAGCGCCATGGTATTCAGATACGTCATCCTTTACATGATAAACCTTATACCGTCGCTTCTACTGCTTCAGTCGCAACAGTCTCACATCTAAACAATATAATAATCAATTCATCTAAACAACGTTGATCTTCGGTTTGTTGGCCTTTCTGGAGATTGACGCGATTCTGTCGCCCATAGACAACGCTAAGCCTTGGCCCTTGGATCTAATCCGGACGTGCCCGACAATCGGCCCATCGGCCTTCTTTTCAATACACAAGTTCGCTAACGCGTCTTCGCCAAAGGACGAACGCGCATACAAGTTGGCAGACAAGAACTGACACTCACCGACAACGGCACCCGGGGTTAAGCACGCCATGTTGGTGCCGGCCATCAAGGAGTCAAGGTACTCGTGCAACGACGCCATGCTGGACTTGATGGTAATCTTGTTCTCCCACTCGAACTCGTTCCACATCGTGCGGAAAGCGTTCTCTGTGCATGTGGCCGGCTTGATGTAGTCCATGATATCCACATGGACGTCGTTCAAGATGACAGTGGTTGCCTCGTTCGCATGCTGCCCATCGTAGATGATGTTCCCGAAAATGACACCGGTGTCAGCGGAGGTCACCTTGACGGTGGCCTGCACACGGTGGAAGCCGTGCGGGCCGACGTTCAGGGTGGTTGGCTTATCAACAACCTTCAAGTCACCCAACGTGGCAAACTCCACTGTGAGGTTGCGCAACGTAGCGGTGGTCTGGTTCACGATCAACACGTCCAACACCACGTCGAACTGGTGCACCTTGACATACGCCTCGGCGTAGACCGGGTCTGAGAACCCGGTCAACTGCACGAGCTTGCTCAAGCGCGAGGATAAATCCTCAGCGGCATCAGCGGCGACGATCTCTTCGGTGGCAGCGGCGGTAACCTCGAACTGCCTGAAGACAATCGCATCGTCGACCTGTGCAGCGTTCTGGTGCAACGCTTCGGCACGCGCATGTGCCTTCTTGGCCTCCGCCGCCTCGACCTGCGCACGGAACGCCTGCTTGGTGTCCTCCAAGAACACGGTCTCCACAAACTTTGCGTTCGTTTCTTCGGTAAGGAAGCGGATACCTGCGAGAATCCGCTCAGCCGAGTCTTCATCGATCTTCTTGGCAACGTAGCTGGACTCGCCTACACGCAAGATCGACACCATGATCAACATCGCTTCGGCCTTCAATGCATTGAGTACGGCCGCGTTTGCAGTGCTCGCCTGGAAGCGTAACACCAACTTGACCAACGTCGAGGCAAGCACCGCGGCGGTGTAGAAGTCGCCCTTGAGGATGAGCGCGCGGAGTGCTGGCACGGCGGTCTCACGCTTCGTTTCCACCGTCAACGCATTCTCCGACGCGTACGTGCCGTCTGGCAAGACGACCGGGCCAGAACTTTCGGTTTTAACCTCTTCGGTCTCACCTTTGACTTTCTTTTCACTGGCAAGGATCGGGATCTCGCCAATGGCCGCGCGGATGTGGCGCCAGGCGGCCTGAATGTCCTTCTCGTCCAAGCAGTACTCGCCGAAAATCCAGAGCGTGCTGCGGTAAACTTTGCCGCTGGTGACACCGCACGATGCGCGGATCAACTTGTGGATGATGTCTGAGCGCAAGGCCGGGAACTTCTCAACCACTTCCTTGACAAACGTGATGATGTCGCTGGCGGCGGTGGTGTTTAACTCGCCCATGAACTCTAAGAGGAGGTCGACGACATCCGCGGCGACCTCGCCGAACTGGATCGCGCACTGGTGGATGGCGCCGATCAAGACCTGGCGGTACTCACCGGTGTCCTCGTCGCTGGAGGCCACCGTTTTCTGTAACTCCTTCTTGAGCAACTTGACCACGTCGTCAACGTTGCGCGCGGACACCAACTTCATTACAATGTCGAGCGCCTTGCGGCGCACACCGACGTCCGGCGCAGAAAGCACACGCAAGATGTCCAACGCGGCGTCGTCCAACACGCCTGCGTTGCGCGCGCGCAACTCGTCCACCTGCTCCAACGTGATCAACTTGACGGTGTTGTCGGACTCCTTGATGGCCAACGAGATGAGGTTGCGCGCGGCAGTCGCGGTGTCAACGGTGCTGGACGACAAACCGGTCAAGACGGTGCTGGCGTCGTAAACGACGGCGTGGGAGGCGGACTCCAATAACGCGTGGATGATCTGCACGTAGGTCGCGCGCAAGGCTGGCGCGCGCGGCGCGTCCGTCTTGATAAAGTCGACGATAGCCAATTGCAACGCCGCATCGAGCGCGGCCAAGCGCTGGAGATTCTGTTGGACAAAACCCAACGCCTTTTCGCGGTCAAGATCCCCGAGACACACAAACGCATTGCGCTTGCACGTGGCATCGGTTTCCTCCGTAAGGAACACCTCAATGAGCTCGTCGGCATCCGGCAACAAGTGCTCGGACACCTGGTAGATGGCGTAGACCGCAAAGACCGCGTTCTTGCGCACGTACAGGTGGCGGTGGTCGAGACATGCGCGTACATGTGGCACCAATGGTTCCAAGAGGTCCGGCTGCTTGAGCTTCGCGAGGAAGCGCAAAGTGTTTCCGCGGATGTACTCGTTGGGGTGCGCGAGATCATGTTGGATGGCGTTGCACACGAGGATCATCTCCTGTTTGAGCTTGCCGTCAGCGCCGGTCTTCGGCACGATCTCCCAGTAGAAGTAAAGCAACTTCTTCAACTCCTTGCTTTTGGACGGCATCACGTAGCGAATGATGTGCATCAACAAGTCCGGCATGAGGTCACCGTTGAGCATCGTCACGAGGATGCGCTTCATCGTGTGGATCTTGTCTGCGTCGCTGCCCTTCTCGAGGAGCGTACGGAACTCCTGGACGGAGGGTTTGGCGGCCGGGTTTGGCTCGAACACGAGGGTGTAGGTTGGCTGCGACATTGTCTTGGGGAGAGTGTCATAGATAGGCAGGCATTTGGGCGCGTTTTGCTTAAATGTTGTTGCCAGCGAGGCGGGCGGGGCTTCAAACCGAGGAGGGCGCGGCCAGAGCGGACGCAGGAGCGCGAGCGCAAGCAGCGTGCGTAATAATTAGCCATAGGGGGGTGCAATGAGCGACGGTTAGAAGCAACCCCGAATTCTTATTAGATATTTGCATTTAAAGACCATGTTTGGGCTTTTCAGTCCGTCGCCATTATCGTTTGTGTTACCGGACATACTACAGCAATATGGCGCCACAAGGAGACGCCTACGCCGATACTGGTCAATCAAAGAACATGTAACGATTGCCGCTAAAGCGAGAGCTGGGCATCTATCCGATATATAACAAGTATCGAGTGACTAGATTGTAGAAATCGAGACATTGTTGTGGTCGAAGCCGTGCACGTTCCACTAGCAACGGGCAATGGTTATATGGATTAAACGAATGTATTGATCCCGGGGGATATGGATAGCCCAGATACAACCAGGAATCCTGTTTATAAAGAATATGGGACAATATATCGCTTGCAACACTTACAAAATGCTCTTACCGGTCTCATTAACAACTCAAGTTTTAGCGTGTGCATGCTTACCTACGCCGTGGGTTGTCTGGCCTCTCCACTAACCGTTTCATCCATCGGCAGACCTAAACATGGTTTTATTGCAAAACGTTCATTTCAACCCCACATCTCACTTAAATAGAGACGACAAGGCAATATATGCATGATTATTTATTGGAAAGGCCGCGACCTTTCAACTGAGGCTGCAGGGTTCTATCTAGATTCATCACTATCGATGTATGCCCGTTGAAGAGCCGTATATCCGAGGATAACTCTCTGTTCTAACAGGTAAAACTTGACTTCGTGCTACGTACCCACTCTCGCATATAGGACCAGTAGATTCTCAAAACACTCAATATCCAGTCGCGAAACCCTGCTCAGCCAGTCCACACGCAGCTCACCACCCGAACTCCGATCCAAATCCTTCGTGTACCCGTTCATCCACACACACAAGTCACCATCGCACCACCGTGACAGCTCAAAACTCGCAATTTCCGCATCCTTCCGCCTATGCTCGTCGTAGTATGCCTCTGGAAGGTTTCCTACGCTCCGTAATAGCACTCTGGTGCTGTCGACTGCGTCAAGCTTTACCAAGCTGAGTCTGTCAAAGTAAGCGACAAACACACACCGCTTGATTGCTGCGGCATCGGCTGCGACGGATCCCAAACGTCCGATTCCAACTTGTACATCCGGAAGTAAGGCGTTGTAGACGGCGAGAACTTGCTCTAGGAAAGCAGAATGAATCCCGGAAAAGACCGCAAGAGCCAGTCCCTGGGCAATAGCCTGGTCTTTAAGAGCCAATCGACCCTGCACTGTGGTCTCTGTCACGCTATTCACAAGATTGAGCAAGCTCAAAAAGTCTGAATCCTTTGCAGCGATATGGGTTCGAATACACACTTGAGTGGTGTCTACGAGAAAGAAGAACTTTTCGCGCTCGGTTAACGTCTCCTCAGCCGTCACCAAAAATGCCACGATTTTCAACACCTCAATAGCGGACATTGGCAGTGCCGCCATCGCCTGCGCTAGCATCGCGTACAAGCGGAAATTTTGCTTATTCAACGGAAAAATCACGAGGCGATAGCCCATGGGGGTCAACTGGAAGGTTTCATCCACACAGCCCATGTAGAAAATAAACTTCATGGCTTCCACCACCTGCTGTGACGCCATGCCTTGTTTCTGGACCTCCGGGAGAACCAGCTCCGCAGGAAACACGGCAAGACAACGGAGAAGTGCCACCACGCAGTCGTCCTGGTCTGTGACATCGTTCTCCAACGACAATGTCTGGTATATGGCCTTGGTGAAGAGACAGAAGTAGCTGAGGTTCAACTGGCAGCTACGTGAAAGGAGGTTCGCCCGGGAATGTATCTGCTCGAGGCTTGTGGCAAGGAGCGTGTCATTTGTGGGATGATCATAGATACCTAGGTCGATGATGCACCTTATGTCGGGGTACACGAACAGGTCTAATGAGGCACTATCCACTGCGCTGGGTGAGTAGATAACTATTTTGTTGCGCGGTTCGGTGTACTTATGGAGCTGTGAAGCCGATGAACAGACTAAGAATGGGAGCGGAAGTCGGTGGGCTTTGTATGCCTGCCCCAAGAGACTCTTGAGGTTAGCCACATACCGGCGTGGACACGCAATTACCGCCGTCCCGCACGTGGTGAAGCGGGGACTGAGAAACTGTGTGAGAATTTGGATCGAATCGACCAATATATTGGCGCTGGGGTTCTCCAAAAACGTCACACTTACACCGTTGTACGAGGCTGGAACAGTGGAAGTGTCTATCTGTAGGCCCCAAGGCACCTCTGACAGGAGAGAAAATGGCTGCTGGTCCAGTATTGTGACAGCAGCGGCAATCTTGAAGTGAAAGGACAGGGAATAATAGGCCAAAACTGCGAGAAGGAGCTTATTCTCGCCGGGGGAGGCGTTCACGTCAAGCAACACAAGATCGCTGGGGCGGATATCTTTTAAGATGAACGCGTAAAAATGCTCGAGCGAAACTGTGATTAAATGATGTCGGTATGAACCAGGTCGCATGAACCGTACGCTGAGGTCGACCATGGCAGAGTTTATTCGTTCGTTAAACGTGGCAACGTATCTGGCAGACCCATTGACTACGCAGATGATCCGCCGCGGGTAGCTATCAAGCTGGTGGAAGAAGACACTGAGACTGAAAAGTGTTGCACCGGTGATAAAATTGAGATCATTCTCCTCCACCGCTGCTAGTAGGGAGTGCTCATGTTTGAGGATTTCGTCGAACTGTTCCATCACTGGGAGCGGGGTGAGAGAAAGAGAGCAGAAGCAGAAGTCGTTTATATAGAGGTTCGCGAAATGGGGGTAAATTCGCGGAAGTTTCCAACCCTGTTTCGTAGGGTTGGGGAATTCTGGTGGGAAGCAGCAAGGTGTAAAAATATGAGACTGATAAAGGAAGGAAGAAACTGATACCGGTAAATGTGTTGGCTCAAAATTCCCATAGGCCCTGACCAGAGAATTGGGAGGCCTATGATTTCCTTCTATGCCGTGGATTGGTAACTAATCCGGGTTATATCGGAAACAGAGTATATGGCTTATATCATAGAAAATTGTTAAATTATTGTAAATTATTTAATTGACTGAACCTAAACATGAGACAGCACAGAGCTACATGGGAAATTAATTCCTCCATGTATTATAGAATTCGTGTGCTAGGAAGTTAACCGTGTATGTTGGAATTGGTATTTCAGAAATAAACAAAGCATTATATGAAAAAGGGATAATTGTTTAAAAGATCAAAGTTGGGTGTCGGGTTCACATACCTGAGCACACCAGTATCGTTTCATCTAACTTCAAAAGCCACAACACGAGTCCACCGAGATGATACAATCGGCATTCGAACGTAGCCAAGCTACGGTCATTCTGATCAAATGAAATAGAAAGATATCAAACATCTATGTATTAGCAAAGTCGAAGCACCTTGCAAGCCAAACCACGTATTCTGTAAAAAGTTCCAACCAGCTCGCAGATCCCGTCAAACCCCTTCCTATTTGTTACACACTTTTAAAACATAATATATAAAATACAAAATCTGTCTACTATACATGTGGCTACTCCATCACAACGTCTTCGTCCTTCGCTGCCCCGATTGGAGTCTCAGCCATCCCGGCCTCAATCTCATCCTTCGGTTCCGGCCCAGGCTTCGCCTCAGGCTTTACCTCGGGCTTTGCTTCAGGCTTCGGCTTCGGCTCCCCGTTTGGCTCCACCATCGATTCATTCACCGTATCGTCGTTCGTATCATCAGCTTCCTCCTTTACCTTCGCTCCTTGGTACAGGGCCCACGCTGCAGTGCCACCGCTCACCAACGCGTCAAAGCGGCCGTCCATGTTCCCGAGTCTGTCCTTCACGAGCTTTGCCAACTTTGCCACCTTCTCGTCCCCTTCCACCTTCGCCTCCGGCTCGGTGTACACGGTGTTTCTGGTGAACAGGTCCGACGAGCCCTCCTCAAAGAACAATCGGAAAGTGTTCTGGCACACCTTGACGCGCATATTGGAGCTAGACTGTCCCGCAACGTCTTCGTCCTCGTCCTCGTCCAACGCAGGCTTGTGGAACGGCAACGCTAACGAATCAGCGTCAATTCCTTCTGTTGGATGTGCCATGCTGTAAGTCGTGACATAGTAGCTGTACTTCTGGTCGTCAAGTGCGGTCTCCGCGACCGTGAGATCGTCGAGCGCAACGAACTGCATGCTCACGGAGCTGTCCGTCTGGGTGTATGCGATCTTGAACATGTTTTCGTCCGGACCCATCAACGAACGCACCTGCAAGCGGTAAATGATCTGCTTCTTTGCGGTGGTGCGGACCTGCTGACGGTCATTCTCAAACAACACCGTCATCTCTGCTGTTTTGGTGTCAGTGATGATTGTGTGGATGTGCTTCACGAGCCCCTGCACCACCTTGTCGACGGTGTAAAGCTTGTACGCACGGTTGCGGTAGCCCTGGCGCAAAGCCTCCTCAAACCATTGGTGCTCGAGCTCGCCCTCGATGAGACGCTCGGAAAGGGCCAATACCTGTGCGTAACAGTCGTTTCCGTTGATACTGATGCCCATGTCCTCCATCTGATGCGACAACAAGTCAAGGTCCTTCGCGAACTGAACGTCAGTACGCGCGCGGATCTCCGCACCCACCGCCGCGTCCATCGCCTTGAGTTCCTCAAGGCGCTCGTACAACACTCGGAGGTGGCGGAAGAACACGTAGACCGTTGTGTTACAGAAGAAGTTGAACGTGTGGCGTGGCGTCGGCGCGGGGTCCGCGACATCACGGAGCGTGTCCACAGCCACACGGATCCACAGCTCGCCCGCCTTTTCGGCGGATTCTGACTCAGGGGTGGCTGAACGAGTTTTATTCTTCTTGAGAATTTCGCGAAGGGAGGTGGAGACCGAAGAGATGGAGCGCTTTTGGGGCTTACTCGATTCGTCGATAGGCGACTCGATAGGTTCGCTGGTAGGCTTTTCACCGGCACGAGAGGCCTCGCGTCTCGCGCTAGGGATAGCTTCACCGTTCGCGGCTTTACTTCCAGCTATGCCTCCGGCAAAGAACACCTCCAAAAATTCCTCGATAAACGCCTCTACCCGCTCCTTATCCCCGGCTGAATACTGCGAGTTCCGCAAAAACACCAACGCCAACCGCTTCACATCCGCTAATACCCCAGCATCCCCAAACACGTACCGTAACTGCTCCTGCGGCTTCGGTGCTAACGGATTCAACTTCTTATTCGCCTGTTCAACCTTGATGGTGCTCAACTCGCTCAAGAGCTGCTTTGTGGTCAAGAGTTTCTTGTCTGTCTGCTTGAAGGTCAAGCCGGAGTGGTCCAACGATTTGTAGAACACTTTCTGCTCCATCTCGCGCCAAACCTTGTTCCATTCTCTATGGGCTCGCTTCCACTCCTCATCCTTCTGCTTTAAACGCCTTAAAACCACTGGGACAGCGATCGCAGGATTCTCATGCAACGCATCGATCACTTCGAAACCTTTTTCCTTTCCGTAGATCTTACGTACCACCTTTTTGTAGATGGTGATGGACGTGTGGCCCAACCCCGGCGGCAACTTGAAGTTGGCCTTCTCCTCGGGTGTCATGTTAGCGATGCGATTCGCAATCGTTTCCAACGTCTGGATTGAGCGGAGGTTCGACTCCATGTAGAAGTCGTACTCATGGCGCTCCTCCTCGATCCGGAACAAGATCTCTTCGTACTGGTTCTTACGGTGAGCGACAAACCCTGAGTCCTCAGACGCCCACGTCGGATGTCCAACCCACTCGTCGTTCAACACCTCCCAGCACATCTCGTCGCGCCCGGAACATGGCATGTACGTCTCGGCCTTGGGTAACTTGCGGTAGCTCGGGCCACAGGCCTTGCAAAGAGAGAGTTCGAGCTGGTGCTTCTTGAATGCAATATTCTCAATGTGTTGTGGCTGCCCATCGTAGCCCACAAACATCTTGAACCACTCGTACAACTCCTTGTGGAACCCAATAAAGCCTTCCGCACGCTCTACTAACGTGTCGCGGTCGATAATGTCCTGTGAGTAGAGGTTTAACATCTTGAGGAACTCATTGTACGTCTGCTTGTTGCCCATAGTCTTCTTAACCTTGTCAAAGAAACCAATCTCCTCCAGGAGCGACGATGCCTTCGAGCCCGCAGCAACCGGCTCAGGCACCCCTGGTAACAAGCTGGGCGACGCCGGCTCCTTCGCCTTCTTTGGTGCTAATGTGCCACGCACGTCCGACGTCTGTACCTCTGTCTCATAGATATGTGCAACCAGACCCTTCTTCTTGCGATCCTTCGCACCCGGTGGCGCTGGTTGGAAATTGCCCACTGGCGGTAACTGCGGCTGTGGCGGCGCGTAGTACTCCATCCCCGGTTGGAGCATCGGTGGCGGCGCGCCATTCGCGCTGGTGTCCGGGAGGAACTGCTTGAAGTCGTCCAACAAGTCCGGCGCCGACTGGAACAAGAGCGTCACGTGCTGGTACACCTCACCAATAGGTTTTTGCTCACGCTGGTACGTCTGCAAAATCTCGAGAAACTGCTTGTAGATGTCCGGTTGGTTGGCAAAGCGTGTCTTGATCTTGTTGACGTACGTGATGGCGTGGTTAAACTCAACCGGGCCACTGCTGACGCCGGGAGCGGGAGGCATGCCGAACGCATCGCGTGGGAAACCGTGCGCGTCGTCACGTACGTAGTGGGGCGCATCATCGCGTGGTGCGGGAGGAAACCCGTGTGGTGGCTGTGGCTGTGCTTCATCGGGGCGAGGTGGATAGCCATGCGGTTGCGGCTGCGGCTGCGGTGGGGCGTCACCTGGACGAGGTCCCGGCGGATAGCCATGTGGCGGTTGTGGCTGCGGCGGCGCGCTGTGCTCCTGGAAGTACGGTTCCATCTGCTGCTGCTGCGCGGCAGTGGGGATGATCGGCTGCTCGCCCATAGGTGTCCCGTCCTGGCTGTTGATGAGCGCAGTACCATACGGCGTGGTGACCTTGATCGGACTGCGGTCCTCCGGGTCGTTGTGGCACTCGATACGGTAGCCTGGAGGAAGGAACGTGTTGAATCCCTGGATCAAGCTGGGGTGTCCACGGAAGAGCTTGATCACGCGGTCAATCACGCCCGGTGTGTCCAACACTTGTGACTTGAACTCTTTCATCGTGTCCAAGAACTTGTTGTAGATGTCCGGCTGGTCGTTGTACTGGATCTTCACGTTGTCCAAGTACGTGAGCGCGTCCTTGACGTTTAATGTACGGTAGCTCAAGTGCGAGCCGCCCGGTGACGATGGACGGCGGCGCGCGTTCGCAATGTCCTGCAATGACGCTGAAGACTGTGCTGCGCCTGCGAGGGGAGGTTGTGGTTGGGAGTGTGAGACTGGCGGTGACGGCTGTGGCTCCGGCTTGGGCTGGTGGATGTTTGGGCCCTCGTTAAGCGGCGGGATGTTGAATCTCTGCTGCATGTGTGAAGGCTGCGACTTTCCAAAGCTTGGGAGCGAAGGCAACGCGTAGAAGTGGGGAGGTCCTAAAGGTTAGTATCAGACTAGCGAGAAAGGGTGAGAGTACTTACTGTTTTCCAAGCTTGCTGGTGGAGGCAACACTGGTGGCTGGTCATGCTGTTGCTGGCGGCTAAACGGATGTTAGTATAGCTTCAAAGGATACGAGAATAGGTGGTCGAAAGTGGCTCGGTGAATACTAGATTGATTCGTTGAGTAGCAAATACGACAATCGCAAGCGCAACTAGACACGAATAATCACCCATCTGGGCGCCCTGATGATTAATTTTGATATTTCATATAGGGGCCATCAAATCGACTCTATATGTGAAACATCAAGCCATTCAGGTGTGCCCTTCACTTCCAACAAATTCGGGAATCCCATTCGCATGGTTTTATCAGTAAAAAAAGTAAACATACTAAGACTGGATGTTTGGTCTGTTCACCTCAGCAGGAGGTTGTGGCGGCTGACTGCGCCATTCGTTACTGCCCGACATAATTCGGCGGAGTGATCGTTATTGATGGAGGGGGGAAGAGAGGCGGGGAAAGCTGGCTGTTTGGAAGCAACAAGTATGACAGGCACGTAAGGATCAATCTCAGTGATGTGACGTGATGTACTTGGGCTCTGGAGCAGTGGGCTAACGTGTGAATATAACAGTAATCCGAAGAGACAGTAGTATTGTGTGAAGCCCGCTAAGAGTGTAAAAATGGGCTCTAGAATCGGAACAGGTTTAGCAGATAAAAGAGGTTCACCCTCCATGAAGGACATGTAGGTAGGGTAACGTACCCGCAATGTTAGCCGGCCCCGAGACGTGAAAATTCAAACTCGGTTCTATTGGACATCCTGCAGTTAGTGAAATAACTTCCGCGTTTGGCCTACGCGTTAATGCAGGATATATGCAACAAGATATTTGCGGCAGGATACCATAATGGGTCGTGGACAGACCAGTGAAAGGTAGTGCTCCTACCAGCATGACTTTGCCAGCCGTCGTATATTAGTTCATGCCGTGGAGGATGATAACACCTACCGTAGCGACCACTCAACCCAAGTATGAACGCCCCAGATAGATTTGAACTTTTCATCTTACCGGATGGTGTGGATAAGTGAGTATAGTCCCCGACCTCCAGGTAGTATCGAAGATAGCCTGGAGGCTTTACAATATCTTCTCAACGTTGTACTAACTATCCAGGTTAACGGTCACTCCAGACCCAAAGGTGCCTAATGCTGCCATCATCAAATTCGAAAGGGAAGATCATACCTTGGGGAACTTGTTGAGAGCTCAGTTGTTGAAGGATGACAAGGTAATGTTCGCTGCCTACAAGATCGAACATCCGTTGTTCGCCAACTTTGTCATGAGAATCCAGACCGAAGAAGGCTACACTCCTAAGGAGGCCTTGAGAAATGCCTGTGAAACTTTGATCAGTACTATCGACAACTTGAAGCAAAGATTCAACCACGAATACTCGCTTCACCAGGTTCAGAGAGACACTGGTATTTAAAGCAATAAACCTACCGCCCAAAACACCTGGTTGCGCCTCTCACCTCTAGGTAACTCGCCCTTGTATACTAATTAATATCATCCATTTGTAACATGTCCCGTAGAACTAGCTGGAATTTTACAACCCACTGTGTTTTTATGAACCAGGTGCTATGCAGAAGTTTTTATCAGAATATATAGAGGAAGGGCAAACAAGTATGACGTGCGAAAGGCGAGAAACGAAATGAAGGAAAAGGTATTTTAATGAGTAAGACAAGTGCTTCAGGGAAGTAAGTGCGAAAAGAAGTAATGGCAATGGGGGAATCGTTAAGAGTACAGCATGAAGTAAAGGCAGGAAGATGGGAGCAATCTACTCTCTAAAGGCCTTTCTCTTGATGGCGTCTTTAACAACCATGATCTTCTCCAAACACTCAGGAACCTCTTCGCGCGAAAAGTTCCCCTGCTTTAAGATCAAGATCAACGGGCAGGTCTCGATCCCACGGTTCGGCGAGACGTGGGTAATCACGGTCCCTGCCTTGGAAATGCAGAATTTGTGGTGGTCCTTGAAGTTAAACTGGAAACTGCCGTCAGTGAGCTCAAACATGATGTACTCGTTTGTTCGGGTGTAGCGTCTTAAAAAAACGGTCTCCTTCCGCTCCTCGTTATCGGAAACTTTGGAGAGGTTGCTATTCATGTATTTCGCAAAAAAATCAACAATATCAAGCTGCTTTCTAGACTCGGACGGAGGATTAACGGACGAGTTTTCAATCGCAATCCACCCCTCGTTCTTATTGAGAATTAACTCCAAGAACTTATCGCTATTGTGGAACTTCAACACCGTGTTTTCATCGTTAAACAAGACACCAATATCATTGGTGCTCAATTGGTATGAGAATCCGTATTTGTTCGAATAGTCGACCCATTTGCTGACAAGCACAGGCTTTTCACAGGTTGGCAACTCGAAGCTGCCGAGCCTGTCGTCTCTGAGATGCTCGATCTTGCGCATGTTCTGGTAGGTGTCGAAACAATTTTGGTCCAAATCCTTGGTAGTGGCGATGTACGTGTTGAAAACTCTTCTCGGCTTGCCCACCTGCTTCGGGTCTACCTCCTTGTACTTATATTTGGTATCACCCGGCGACAAGGATTGCGGCAACAACGCCTTCGGCTTTTCCGACTCCAAGTCCGACTTCAAAATCTGTACCGGTGCCTTGTTTGACGGACTGTAGATGCCAGCATTGGCCTTCACATGGTTGAAGTTGACCGAAGCCTGCTGTCTGGAGATGCTGTCAACGTTTCTTGGCTTTCCAACCAACGTTTCCGGGGTAATCGTGCTCGGAATCGGACCCTTGAACCAGTCGTACTGCAAAATCTCGTCAATGGTAGGGCGGTGCAAGGGGTTTAAGCTTAATAAGTCCTTGATTAAGGCCTTCGCTTCGGGCGAAACCTCCTTATCCGGTGGGAAGGCAAAGTCGATGTTCTTGATGCGCTCGTAAATCACCTGAACGTCTCTGGATTGGAAGGGTGGTTTCCCGACGAGTAAAGCGTACATCATCACACCGATAGCCCAGATGTCAACCTCGAAACTGTGTCCGGTAGTCTTACCCCCAAGTACCTCTGGGGCGATGTAGTTTGGCGTCCCACAGATGGTGTACTTTCTGGAGTCACCAGCTGGCAACACAGAGGCCAAGCCAAAATCACCGATCTTTAAGTTCATGTTTGGATCGAAGAAGATATTCCCCAACTTCAAATCTCTGTGGATGACCCGTCTACCGTGTAAGTACTTGATAGCACCGACAACCTGGGTCATGAAGAAACGGGTTTCCGGCTCGGTCAACACCTTACGGGTCTTCAACAACTCCATTAATGACTGATGCGGGCAGATCTCTAACAATATGTAAACATTGACGTCGTCCTCGAAACAGTCGATGAAGTTGACAATGTTTGGATGTTTCAAAGACTTGTGGATCTTGATCTCCGATAACAATTTTGTTTTAGTCTTTTCGTTCTTGATCGAGGCCTTGGCGACCGTCTTGGCGGCAAAGATCTGTCCCGACGAGTCCTTCATCTGAAAACAACGGGCGAAACCACCCTCACCTAAAAACAAGCCTCTCTGATAATCTCTCCCGTTCCGGGTACGGACAATGGAGGGTGGAGTCTTGCACAAACTTGACAACTTTTCTTTCTTCTTTGGTTTTTCCTTGGCTTCGGCACCGTCACGCACACGGCGGGTAGCAGTGGCAGCAGCAGCATGGGCGGGAGAAGCGAGAGACTTCACCGGGGTGGTCGCAAGTCGGGCATTCAATTGGCCATTGTTCAATGGCTGTAAGGGTTGGGTACGGTAGGAGGCCATTGTGAAAGAGCCGGCGACGAAATGGAAGGAACTTGCTAGGGCGGTTAATGGGAGAAGGCCGGAGGGAGATAGATGGAGATGGCTACGGTTGAGATATATTCCATGTAAGGGTACAAATAAGCTTGCTCGTTTGTTTACTTATTATTTTTTTCCAAAAGGAAAACAAAAGAGGGGGACAGGTATACCTTTTATCTAAATAGATGAAGTAGAGGTCTGTAATTCCGGTAGGTGTAATTTTTCCTGTGTAGTTCGAATGCCTATTTACTCTTTTCCCTTTGCGGTAGCACAGCGATGGGATTACAAACATGCCCCCACGTGACCATTACCTAAAGAAGAAGTTTGCGCTACGGCTGCGGTTTTGTGTGTGTAGCAGGTGGTGCACGCACGTCCTCATATGGCTATTGTTTTGGTTTGACTCGTTTAGGGACTTCAAATCACCTGCATTTGCCAGCAAAACCAAGTGTGGTCCTGCCTACGTGGTTTGGAATGCGGTAATTGCCTACGTGGGGCGTACGTCCTCTAATCTTAAATGAAACTGTTTAGGCTATGAACGACGTCATGTTTTTGTTTTGTTGCGGTATGCCGAAAATCCCCCAAAAACGGACGTATTAGTTAAATGCTACAAGTATGCAATTTATGATTTATTATTTAGCCATATAGAGTTTACTAAAAGTATTTTTTTTTCACTACCATTGTTAAACACCTGTGTGCAGTTCAAGTTTGGTACAAGTGTCCTGGCGTTGAATACTCTGATGCTCCGTGGTACGGATCTGAAGACCAGATCATATTGCGTAAAATGGAGCCCCATCAGCGTTGTTCGCGGTCCGTGTAATCTGCGGATTGGCAGCTGCGCACAAAGAGCGTGCGTTGCTCCCATTTGGTCGATTTGTTTACATCTAGACGTGAAATTGGCTAGCAGTGGGGTGTGTTTATATATACGTTCTGCGCCCGTTATCGTTTTTGGGTGCTACAGTAGGAAATAACGGGGGGAGGCCGAATTTCAGCCTTAACGTTTATGCATTTTCATACCAGTGGGTTAAAAGACAATTAGGGGTAGTGTCTCAGTACATAGACATCACTCTTGTCTGGTGATTAGCCGATCTTTAGCCGTTTAAATCGTATTGTTGCACGGAGGGTTGAAGCCTGCATTTCGATAAATCGATGTATCGCGCAATATCATTGCAACGGGTAAAATTGTCATTGCATTCTAGGGGCTTGTTTCGTGAGGCTTTTAGACCATACCTCCAATTGCTAAGATGGCAATAGAAGTGGTATTAGAGGATCTGTTTCGGCGATTTCCTCGGTTTGTTGGCTGTAACGGCCAGTTGCATGGTTACGCCTCTTACGCATCGAACAATAGTATCAAACTAGCAATACTCCCCGGATCAGGCTAGATACTCATAACTATCTAGCTGTCAGCGAAAGTAGTAACATTTGGGTAAATCTCTATGACCAGTGTATCAAAAGTTTTCATTAGCAATATATCTTTTGGTTGAATAGTGTTCTGGCCGCAAGACGCGTGCCAGTTCTAGGAGCAGAGAATTACGCGTGCTAATTTTACGCGCCTTAGCCAGGGTTGAACCCCAGAAACCCGTACAAGCCCCCATCCGTAGATAGCCGTACGTTACTCTAACAAAACCTTGTTTGAGATTGTTTCCTTATAGGGAAAAAGATAGACTGCTGCCACCACAGTAAATATTAGACATCCCCAGTGAGTGCACTTACCCGGAAGGCAGTGTCTAGGCCAAATCTGGCGTTACTTATACTGACGCCAATCGCTTTTTTAAACAGCCAAATCATCAGTAGATATTCCATCCAGAGTTAAAGGTTCCCGTATGAGTTAATTATATGAAAATACGCTCTTCACATGGCCAAGAACGTTTAATCGAAGAACGATCAGCAAGACTACGTATTTGTAATGTGTACCCTAATTTGTCAGAGGGAACCTCCTTATCACGCGCGCTAGATTTTTTCTAAATGCTTCACAGGGGTGGCCCTGTGCATACCCCATACAGCCTGTAAATAAGTTCCTGGCATCAAAACGGACAATCCCAATGCCACTTCATAAATAGAGGTCGGGGGTGGAATCTTATTTAAATAGTATTAAGTTTTACTAGAATTCAGGTATATAACTTTGAGTATTAACAAACCCTATAGCTCTAACGCCTCTAGTAAGCTTTGTACATGGTTCATATATGAAGCAGGAACCCTCAAGCCGTCTTCTGGACGCGTCGCGTTAGTGTTTAGGCGAAGAGATTTTTCGTGCAGGAGCCTTACATATTTCATGCGTAACTATCCCTAGTAACACATCTTCTATGTAATTATGCGCCTCTTCATGTAGCTCTGGTGGATTAATCAGTGCTTTTGTTGGTTCGGAATAGAAGAAATATGCAAGAGTGAGATTTTTTGACGCATCCACGCTGACCAGAAGCCCCCTGAGAGAACCCGTTTGTCGATGGGAAATAATCGTACCCTGGCCCTTTAATATATATCATCCAAGGAGCATCTACTTTATTGTCTTCCGTTCTCTTTCAACAAAGAATGAACCCAGCTAGTCTTCAACGGTATTTGTTAACCGCCCTGATGGCGCTCTTCACAACTAAGAGTGTTACCGCTATCACTACTACTTCCACTGTGTCAACAAGCTCTAGTCACTCTAGTTCCAACTCTAAGGTGGCATCCACCACCTCTTCTCTATCTACGACTGCTACTTCATCCACCACTTCCACTACCTCAACTATTTCATCCACCACCTCAACCATTTCGTCCACTGCTTCAGCTAAATCGTCCACTATTACTTCTACTACAACTCTAGCCACAAGCAGCCAGCTCGTTGCGACAAATGTGAAAAACTTACCAAAATTAGCTGAAGTCCTGTCCAGTAGCTACACGTCGGTTGTGCAATCGATCCCGACATTGCACAACCCATACATCTACAATGACTCTGGTCACCAAAACGGGTACACATTCATCGTTGCGGGGAGTCTTGTTGGTGCCCTTATCGCATTCTATATGTTAGCTCACGTTTGGTTGTACTTCAGAAGCCGAAAGAGAATCCAGAACGAAGAGAACGGGGATTTTTGGAACGACGACGTGTACGGAAAGTACGACCCAGAATTGTTTGGCACCGCGTCGTATGATACTTCTACAGAGAAAGGGGCTACCTACAGCGACGTTACTCCCCGTGGCGGTTCTATCGACAGACTACGCGGCAGGTATGATGATTCAGCCCTCTCTTTGACGCTAAATGGCAGCAGCAGCGACTTGCTGACAGACTTATATCAAGGAAGGTCTTACCGCAATGCTTTGAACCACAAGCCAAGCAGATCATCCATGTTTATTTCTCCACTAGATCAGTACATGAATTTTGCGGCAATGTCCAATAATTGCAACCTTGATTCCGGTTCCTCGTCTCTCATTGGTCTGTCGTTTGCGTCCCAAGCGCCGAGTCTATCCAATTACAGTTCCAGGCCATTACTTGGTTCACAAGTACTGCTACCTTCGGAGACAAAGAGAATCAGGCCTCCAAGCCAATGCCTTGATGATCTTTTATCCACCAAATGAGAGGTATTGCGCATTTCTGCATATAGATTATACTCTGTACATTATACTCATAAACTGTACCTTTAACTCATGGGCAAGCCTTCTGTAGACGTAAGATAAGCTGAAGCATGTTAGAATGGCACAATTCCTTAGACCAAGGTGTGCACTATAAGAAAATATACGCGTTTCGCTTTCACCACTACAGAGTTTTCGCCTCTATTCCATATATGATAATGTAATACCTTTAAAAAAAAATTTTTTAAAAAATGGGTAACTAATTCGTACTCTCTCCGTCATTTATGCTAGATAACATTCGAGAAACAGTATGCAAGCTTACGGATATGTCCACGTGACCAGGATGCCATTTTTCTCAAAAAATATTTGCGTGCCACAGACCAATTTATCTTCATACATTTAACCTTCGAGACAAACCATCAGTTTGTTGGCAATTAATTCCTTCCCGAGAGTATCATATTAAGGTCCAACTAAACTCAGACCTCGATACATACCATGACCAATGATGTCCCAGACACCAAATGGGCAGAGATCTCCTTGTCTCTACTCAAAGATCCCGACAACTTCAGCAAATGGGAGAGCTTGATCAAAGCATCCGAAGCAATCAATGGCGGTATATGCAAAAGCTCCTCCGCGGTCGATAAGAAGCTTTTCCGCAGCGCATTTGACCAATTCTTGTTAAAGTTTCCGCTTTTGCACCAGTACTGGATCAACTACGCCACCTGGGAGTTCAAGCTAGGCCACACAGACCTTGCTGAAAAGGTGTACTCGAGGGCGTTGCAGTTTTCTCCGTACTCCATCGAGATTTGGATCAGCTACTTGAAATTTAGAATAACGGTGGACCCCGACTACGACTCCACTAGAGCACTTTTTGAGAAAGCGCGGGTGAAGATCGGTTACCACTACTTCGGACACGAATTTTATGACTTGTACTTGGAGGTTTTGCAGTCATTCGATAAACGCAATGAGTGGGTGTGGTTATTGCGAAGAGTCATCGAGCTTCCTCTCTACCACTACGGGAAGTACTTCAAGGAGTTCTTCAAATTGATCGAAAACATACCGAACGACCCGGAAATCGCGCTCTTGCTCATCCCCCAGAGTCAATTACTGAAGTTTAACTTGGAAAATACGCACGAAACCAGCGCAAAGTTGAAGAAAACCTTCACCGATGTGTACATTTCCACCCAGTACGAGGTTTTTGAGATGTGGCGATATGAGCGAGCGATCAAAAGGCACTACTTCCATGTAACATACGTGTCAACGACCGAACTAGAAAGCTGGGAGCTTTACTTAAACTATATGGAGTTGAAGGCCGATCCACACCGCACCGCGCTCACATACGAACGCTGCTTGATTGCCACCGCGTTATACGAAAAGTTCTGGCTCAAATACGCTTACTACCAACTAAGCTTGGATCAGGTAGAGACAGCCAAGGAGTTGCTACGCAAGGGGATCTACTTTACACCAATGTCTAACGTTGCCCTAAAGTTGAAGTTGGTGGAGTTTGAGATCTGCCAGGGAAATTACCTCAGAGCAAGGGATATTATACTTCTGAATATGCGAATGGCACCAGAGCTGCTTCCGCTATACGTCGCCTTACTCAATGTAGAGCTGCTATTGAAGCCTGACGAAGCCCACTTGCTCGAACTAGTCCTGAACAAGGTCAACGGAGACGGATTTGATGTTTTGTTCGAGGAATTAATGTCCTATGACGTGAAATATCAAACCATGGAAGCGTTCTTCGCAAAGTACAAAGATACCAAGACGTCGATCCGCTTCTGGAAAAGCTACTTGCTATTCCAGATTCGCAACCAGGCTGTACATGGCATCAAAAACACCACTATCTTGGAGCTTATGCGCCAAGCCTTGGTGAAAGTGGAGGGAAAGACGGATAGGAATATGTTGATCAAGCTTTGGCGCGACTACTTACTTGAAAATAGTGGTTTGGATGAATACTACAAGTCTGAGTTAGATGTGTTTATTCAAGAATGATAGAATGGTCATTAGGAGACATCGGTTATATTGGCTGGGTTTTTGTTACTGGATACGGACCTCTAGTTTGGGAACGCTAAGTGGATTGACTGTCTCTGATAACTGTCCAAACGGGATAGCGTAGATTTGGTGGAAATTCAGGTTTTCACTTTTCATTATAAACACACATTTGTTGTCTCGGTCATCCGTTTGTAGAAGGTTAAAGATCTAAGTAGGGTTAATCCCTGGGCGGACTAAAACATTTAACCCACCTCATTTTACGCCATCCGATAGCTCTTGGTAACACAAGCTCACCGGTACTAATAGTACACTACGCGCCACGGACTACGCCATTTGATATACAATTTTAATTCCCATAAAGCCAGAAAAAAAAATCAGAACATTACAAAAGTGCAACCCAAGAGACCGAATAAAAAGAAAGAAGTGAAGGATTTGTCGCATAAGCAGACGGCTCGTGAGGGGGGTTTATTGTTGAAATGGGAGAAAGGCGACGCGGAAGTTGAGTAAACGCCAAACCTTTCATCGAAGCAGCTGCCTCGCCCACCCGCACGTTCCAACATTCTACGGCTAGGCCTTGGTCACCATTGGCTTTTGGTAGTTGACAGTATTGACAAACTTGAACAATTCCATGTTCAACTTTTGCACCTCTGCATCCTTGATGTGTAACTTACCGTTCATGGTCTTGATCATCTTGAAAGCGACATTTTTGATCTCATGGTCGGAGATACCGGCCACGGCTTCCCAGTTGACATTATCCAAGTGGTAGATTGGCTTGGTCGGCCTGTAGTGCTTGTTGTAGTAATAGATCGCCAATTTCAAGGACCCGATGATCAATTGGCGAAGCGAGTCCAAGTCACTCACCGGGCCGTTAGGCTGGGAGATGAGGTTGTTGGACTGGTTGATATATCTGAGGAGATAGATCAAGTTGATATATCTGAACAAATACAAAACGGCAATCTGGAAAATCGGCAACGTAACCTTCAAGTCGGCCAAGAGACGCATCAAAAACTTGTCCAAAGGCAAGTTGGGATGCGTGGCCTTGTCTCGCTGGGACATGTCGATCGGGAACTTCGAGTGGATCTGGGCCGTGATGTACTTGACGATCAACTCCATCACCTGGGTGCGCTGGCGATGAAACTCCTGAGGGGGCAAAGGGTCTGCCCGCTTCTGCATGGAGGTCAGTGCGGGAGTGACGGAGCTTGGCTCAACGATAGCGACCAGCTCAGTCGCAAAGGTGCTACCGCTGGGGGAGACGACACTCTCGGTCATATTGTGGTTCAAATCTTCGGTGCAGTCGGATTCGTCCGAGTCGTCAGCTACCAACATAGGAGGAGCTTCCATCATTGAGGCATCCTTCTCGTGGGTCGAAGGGTCAACAGAGCTAATCAGTTGCGCGCTAGACATAGGCGCCGAATAAAATTGTTTGTTTTTAAGCTCGTCTTTTGAAGGAGCCGCGGACGCACAAGTGTTCGTGGATTCAGTCGTGGTGGCGGAAAGAATGGACTCTTCGTGAGTCATAATGGACACCATACTGAATATGGGAGAAATTTTGTGAGGGGACAAGCAAAGCTTTGTCAGGTCAAACAGGAGGTATAAGGGGATTATAAGACACAGCTAGTAATTATATGTGATATATAACTGATAGCTAAAACATCTTGAAAGGAATCTCTTCAGAGACTTGCAATACGCGATGTTTTGGTAGGGTAGACGTTGAAAATGAGGGCTAAAGGTGAAGTGTTGAACTATTCCTGTATTGTTGAAAATAGGAATCCTTTGGAGTGGTGTGTGTTAAGCTTGGGCTGAGATGTGTTGTGAGGAAGTAGTGGTGGGTAGAAAATTTGACCACTCTTATGTCATTGCCAGCAACTTGACAGCCCGTATCCACGGCTCTCCCGTTAGGGGCACGTGCATTGAAAAATCTTAGCGCGGGTGAGTCACTGTCAAACGGCACTTTTCGTCCACACTTTCGTTTCCGTGCCTTCCCGGGATTCCGACTCGGGCTGCATATCCAGGTAACAACCGGGTCACTTAACGGGGGATAGGGCTTTAATTTCTTTTTTCCATAGTAGTGGTAAGGCTAGTATCGATACCATTTGGTGGGAAGGCTAAATAGTAAAATCTTGTTTCTGCCTTAAAGCAATTAATAATCTATAAGCTTTATCCTGGTTAAGAGTTTATATCATAGAGACACCGGCAATCCAGCTAACAGTTGACTCAGGCAGCTGCCAGCCTGCAAGTCCTACTGGTAGAAGCATGTTCCAACTCCAGAGGAGAGCATGCCAAATCAGGCGATTAGGCAGTGGCGCAGGAAAGAGATGGACATGGCCAGGATACGTCATGCGCGCCCAAGAAAAAAACTTTGCCGTGGTAAAACATTACCATAGTAAAATTTCGGTCGTGCAGGGCACATCACTGATTTCACTCCCAAAGTCCGCTTCTGGGCAACTACCGTGCTCGCAGCCCAATGAAGATGTGTTCGCACCATAGTGGGAAAGGCGCATGCATCTGCTGATACCGGACCGAGTAAATGGCCTTTCAACGGGATCACTTTAACAGCGTAGACATCAAAATTAAGCTTGATGGCTCAGGTACGGCACATTGGTAAGCTAAATTGTCGGTATCGCTTGTCTTGCTGGAGAAGGATAAAAAAAAAAGCTCTGAGGTTTAAATTGGACCAATCGAATGGCATGACGGAGCTCAATTATAGGTTTTGTAGGAGTCAGTTAGACATGTCATAACTCTGGGAATTCGTAGCATAAAAGGCCCCTAAACTGTTGTCTCTATCCTACATTGATTCTGCAAGGGTGCACCTTCTCAGTGGGTCAACATATCGCCTGGCCCTACAAGAGTATTCGTGGGATGTATCTGCATACTGTAAGACTCCGTCGAAGGAAATGCGCACCTTAATGTCTCTACCCTGGGCATCGGCATTCTGGGTGGTATGCATCCTAAAACTGATGGCATTACCGTTCTGAAAATGTCTGTTTTGCAAATCTAGTCCGGAAATGACCTGTTCCTTCTCATGTATGCACGATCAACGTCTATTATCGAACTTGTACCTAACTAAACCTTCTCCAGCGGATCAAACCACCTGAATGCTCTGTCTGAGTCAAGCTTTGGCGCAACAACAACGTAGATTTTGGCATATACCATTACTTAGTCACTTTTGAGCAATAAAAGGGTGATTCACTCAGCTCATTCGTCATCTCAGTTCAATGAGTTTAGCCGCATCAACTCCTACAGTATTTTGTTAGTATTACCAGCGAAACTTTTGGCCCAACAGCTACAGTAATAACCCCTGAGTCATATATTGTCTATTGCATCACCTGACCAACCTTCCCCATCGCAGCACGAGCCAAACGTTCCGTGTTGATGCTCTGTGCGAGCCTCTCGCGCTGGTCAAGCCGCTTCGACACAAACTCCTTGTCATTCTTCGATATCAAGATCCGCAATATAATGTCCTCCTTCGCAGCGTTCTGCGACGTGGGATCGCTCTTGGCCAATTCCGCCTCTGCAATCGCCTTCTTCCGTGCCTTCATCGTCCCATGCGCCATGATGGTGCGCGAGCGCGCGATGGAGAACACGCGCGACGGCTCCTTGCCCGTTTGCACAAAGTTCTTTTCTCTAAGCAACTTGGCAAACGATGGGGCCAACTCCTCAACCTCGCGACGCAACTCCTGCGTCGACTGGTCATGCAACGCGGTCGCCAAGAGGAGCATCTGGTACTTTTCCGTCTTGAGATCCTTGATCAGGGGGCCATGGCCGTCCTGGTGGAACGACTCCTTGCAGTCCTCGAGCCAGAAGAGGATCGTCTCCATCTCCAACGCGGACAATGGACGCCCGTAGCCGGCAATGCCATTCGTAGCCGCCACGTTCGCCACGGCGCTGCTCACAGACGACCACGACAATGCGTTTGCGCTCGCCAGGAGATATTTCGAGTGCAACGGCGGCAACAAAAGCGCGTCTGCCTGCGCGAGAATTACCAGCCACATCACCAACATGGTCTTGTGCAAGAGCTCGCGCGTGAGCGAGTCGTTCAACACCGCAAGGTTCTCGCCTAGGTATGCGAACAAGCCCTGGAGCGCGCGATTCTTAGCCGCATCATCCGCACCGGTCGTGCCATTGGCGCCACACACCGTCTTTAGTGTCGCACGCGAGAAGGTGCTGGCAATTGGCGCATGGAACTTTTCGACAATGAGCTTAATAGCGCGATCGATGTTACGGGAGAGAGCCCTACGAGTCTTACCCACACAGAAGATGGCGTCGAGACGCTGGCTCTCCATGGCAGCCTCTATCACCAACGTTCCCTGGCTATCGAGCTGGAGGATCATCTCGCGCGGGATCCCGTCGTTGTCGAAGCGTGACGGTTGGAGCGTGAACGTGTTGCGGCCAAAGATGTCATCGCTGCCGCGGGAAGACTCATCCCAAACTGTGGCCGACACCACCACCTCACCGTCCGCTGGAAGGATGATCTCAAACTCCTCGTTCCATTCGGGGTATACGGTCCGGCTGGCGGTCTTGGTGCGGCAGATGCGACGGCGCGCGTTGGTGTCGGCAAGCGTCACGTACGGGTTCGGGGTCGTGTTCGCTTTAGGCGCCAAACCAGTGGCGCGCACGATGCGGAGCGTGAAAAGATGGCTGGTGAAGTTGGTGCGGGCGCGCGGGTCGTTTTCTTCGACCGTACGCGAGATGCGCTCGATATTAAAGTCGCGCTCCAAGTCCTCCAACCGGTGCAATGCCGTCGCAAGATTCACTACCGCCACACACGTGCGGTGTCTGAAGGAGTACGGGGCAACGCCCTCGATTGCGACGGTGTTCATGCCATTCACCACGCTCGTCACCTCGGCAAACCAGTTGTTGATACCACTCTTGCGCTTGACCGAGTCGGTCAAAAGCGGAGCCCCCTCCTCCAAGTCCTCCACTATCATCTCAAACATCTTATCCGAATAGTAGGTGATGCCATCAGTGATCCCCTTTAACAATTGGGTGTTCAATTTTGCCACATGGTAGCGGTTTTTCCACTGCAACAATGTGACATTCTTCTTCAACCGTGCAATCATCTCGAAGATAGTCTTGATGGACGGGCTGTATGGAACCTCTTCTGCGGTCAAGTTGTCTTGGCGCACCGCGTTTTCCACGCACTCGCGAAACAATCCAACCTCTGCCGCCACCTTCCGTTCAGCGTAAGGGAGGAAAAACGCTTCAATATTGAAACCAAAGTCCGCACGTGATACCGCACCGTGGATTGCACGCAAGTCTTCGAGCACGAAGCATGTCTTTAGCGCGTCGTCGATCGAAATCTCTGCGTTCTTGCACACGTGCCCCAACGTCGTCTGCGCGTGCTCACCGAGCCAGGCCGTCATGGACTCTTTGGTGATGGCTGCGACGTCCACGTCAAAGAACGGCTTTGCAAAGCGGCGCTCCGTCGTATCGATATACTCAACGATTTGTAAGAAGAACGAAAACACATGCGTGATCTGGAGGTTGGGTTCCGCCAAAATCTCGTCAATGAACGTCTTGTACAACTCGATGGTGACCTTCTCAACCTTCTTTGCGATGCGCCGTGTCCACTTCTGCACCGCACGCGAGTCAAAGAACACGTCGTAGCGGATTTTTCCCCACGCGGCGACATAGTCATCTAGCACATCGCTCTCTAGGAGCATCTTGATGTCGCGCTTGACAACTTCCATCACCTGGCCGTAGTTCTGTGTTAAGTTCGCAGCCATCGCCTCCGTCACTGGGTTAGGCTGACGCTCGAACCAGGCTAGCTCGTCTTCTAGGGAGAGCTCTGTGGTGCCAAAGGCTATACGAACGCTGTGAAGCACTGTATGAATGGCGTCAAAGTCCAAAGGGCTCGCAGGATTGAGGAGCGTCGCATTCGCGGCGCAATGGATGAGACACGCGCGCATGCTTGCATCCACACGCCAGCACCGCGCGACTTCACAGATGTACGTCATGTCTGTGGGGGAAAGGATCTCATCAGAATTGGAGGATGCTGCGTCTGAGCCTTCGCTTTTACTTAGGAGCTTCACAATCAATGAATAAAGAAAGTCGCGCGGCGATCTTGGCAATACGTAATAATTCTCCCCCGCCTTGAGCAGCGCAACTTGCTGCCTCTTCTGCTTTGGATGCGGCGTAAACCGCTCAATCTCCTGTTGGAGCACCTTCATCTCCGCATCGTTCCAGTCCACGTACGCCGCGGTAGAGCGGAAGTCCTGGGGGCTGTACACCCCCACGTCTTTACGCGCCTTAGTCAACACCTGGTTCAAATCTGTGATGTACGCAGTTTCGGTTACATAGTTCTTCAACAGAATCACGTCCATGTGGACCTTGTCTTTTGAGAGGCCGAACACAGTGCAGAGCGTGGGGAGCGCGCGCATGTCCTCTGTGTTGAAAGTTGGCGCCACAAATTTGTACTCAACCGCGTCGGGTGCGCGCGCGGTGGATTTCTGGCCGTATTCGCGCAACTTACGTACCACCGCGTCACCGTTCGGCCCCGTGGACTGCACAATCTGGATCAAGATCTTGATGAACGTGTCTGTGTGTTTCACCACCAAGTTCTTGGGATCTGCAATAGTGCCAGAGGCCTCCAATTCCTTTGTGGCGGTGTTAGCGGCCTTGATGAACATTACAATCAAGTCCTCCGGCGGCTGTGTCACGAACCGCCGCTCAAGCTTCTTGCGCTCACCTTCATTGAAGAGCTGTGTGTCGGTGTAGAAGCGTAAGAGCGAGCGTCGCGTGTGGTCGTCGATCTTCATCGCGTAGAGCTTCATCGCGATTGCTTTCAATGCCTTTTCTAAGAGCGTGAAGAAGTTTGCTGGGAGTTTGACGGGTTCCGTGGGAATTGTCACCGCCGCCGCCTTTTTAACGACCGTAGGGTTTTTGTAGCGGGGTTCCGTCCGGTAGTTCAAAATCGTGACCCGCAATAAGGCGTCGTAGAGGTCCAAGTCATCCACCTGGGTAAAGATCGGTTCTATCTTGGATCGGGTCGAAGACCCAGACTCTACGCGGCTCAAGTCCTTCCGTCTTGCACTCATGAGCAGCTAAGGAAAGGGCAGTGGGGGGTATCTGGTACTAACAATAAGCAGCGATAGTATTTTGATGAGCATATCAATGAGATCTCAAATTGCACCGATCTATACGTGGCGCAGGGCGTGTGAGTACCACTATATCTCCGTGTCAGCCTCGGGTCCAGGGGACGTAAGTATGTGTTCATGTTTGGCTCAAGTTTTGACGATAATGTTTGGACCAGATTTTTGAGTTTTGTATTTTAATTCGTGTATTAGATGGGGATTCTATTATTTCCAATAAAAAAGCTTTCTGCAGGTGCTTGAGAATTCGGTTCAATCCTTTCGTTACTATGCATACGCAAAAGCCTCTAATAGCACCATTGGTATTAACTAGTAGGCTAGCTTATGTCTCCGAAGCTCACTCGCTACATTGAAACCCATATTGAAAAATGCTAAAGAATTTATGGTGAACTATATATACCAGTCTTATGTCCTGCTTTTCTAGGCTATTACTAACGTGATTGATCAGGCGTCGGCCATTGTCTTATCGTTTTAAGGAAGTGCCAGGGCCCAGGCCTTATATTATTTTACCGGCCTAGGGATCTCTGCCTTTACCATGGTACCATTAGCTCATGATATAATTCGTGAGGTTATTTTATAAAGTCAATAGAAATTTTCTCCCAATTTTTTCAATTCGTATAAAACTTGCAGGAAAGCCGGGAAGCTCGAGTAAGACACTTGCATTCAGCTACTTTGAGTAGTTTCTCCTGGAGATCGTACTGATGCGATGCTCAAACACGGATTTTTGTGTTTGAGCCTTGTTGATAAGTTAGAATACAAATATTATTTGTGTATTTGGTGATCTTCTTGCCGTCTTGTGGAATGGAACTGGTGACGAAACATAATCCAGGCGCCTAGGTATATTTAACTCTCGGCTCGCCACTCGTATCCAGGGAGAATCACCCACATTTGCACTCGTACTGGACATTAACTTTGGTAAAGTTCGTGCATTGGAGAACGGCTTAAATCTTAGACATAAGTCTTCGTATATTATAGTGGTTATAATACTAATAAAAGGCCGGGTCTAGTACCCTTCTATTCGAAACTTGATCGTGTCGTGGATTGTTTTTGATAGGTCACTACAAAATGTGCTGGGGCCAAACTACCTTTTCTCAACCACGACATGCTAAACTCACTCAATACGCATTTTAACGGAGCACGTGAGATATTGGAGATTCAGGCCATTGCTGTCTCGTTCCCTGATTTTGAAACTTTCTTTTTTAACATTTTGCCCTTTCTAGTCCACGATGGTCTAGTTATAATGACAAAGCGTGTCTAGATAGAGGGCGGGCCACTGGCGCCTCATCCATGCACCGCCCCTTCCTCCACCGCCACGCACCCTAAAGCGATGGAAAAAAGAAAAAATTAAAAAAAATTCACTGGTATGAAAAATAGATGCTGAATAAATTCGCCTATCCATCTTGATCTATACCCACGACTACACACCCAAAATGTCTACCGAACAAGAATAGTATGTATTTTTTTTCTTCGGTTGCTGAGCTACAGCCATTCTGAAGGTTCAAAACTTGAAATATTCGTTTGTCACCACTATTGGCACATCCGATTAGCTTCTGTTCAAAACCTAGCCTCCAGTCGCCCGCTTTGCCCAGCCCATTGCACAAGTCTCATCCCGTGTGTGTTACTAACCCTCCTAGCAAGCCAGTCACCGTTGAAAAGCCTATCCCGGTTAGCTACGATCTCGGTAATCTCGCTGTCTTCGATACCAACCCAATGGACAATGCCAGGTTGGCCAGCGACGCCCAACGTGAAGCCCACTTAAAGGATGTTACCCGTGATAACGTTCAGTTGTTGATCAACCAAATCTTATCCTTGCCTGTCAAGACCACTACCGAAACACACGGCTCCTCCACTGGCCAGGACTCTACAATGACGTTGGTGCGTTTGCCGGTTCCAATGACCGACTTGCCAAGAGAGAAGCCATTGCCAAAGGCCAAGGCGCCTACGAAATGGGAGCAATTTGCGGCCAGGAAGGGTATCCAGTCCAAGACCAAAGACGGAAAGTTGGTCTACGACGAGGCATCCGGCAAGTGGGCTCCTAAGTGGGGTTACAACGGTATCAACAAGCAGCTCGACAACCAGTGGTTGGTTGAGGTTGATGATAAGGTGAAGAACACCGACAAGGAGATGATTGACCCTAGAACCTTGGGCAGAATGGAGAGAAAGAAGTTGGTTAAGAAGAACGAGTTGCAGCACAAGCGTAACTTGAAGAATGATAAATAAGCACTTTGAAGAGTTTCCCCGAAGTCTGAGAGGTCCACAAAGACGTTGGCTCTTTGTTGGTGTACTATTTTTGGCAGGCTCTATTGGTTCTCGTGTGTTAACAGGCCTGCTCGCTCCGTTTTTATTTTCTGTTAGGTCCGACTTAACTTGTATCATATCCATCTTTTTGTGCATTTCAATAAACTATTCTAGTATTTTATCACCTGTAAGCAATATATTATAAATGGCGTGCTTACGAAGACTTGCAGAACGGTGACTTCAATGTTGAAGAGATAGGGGTGCGAGTTAACAGCTTCTGCTAAGTTTATTGCACTTTTATCAAGTGAAGCTAGCTCGCTATGCTGTCCTTGGAAAGCATAGGTATTTTCAATCAGATTATGATATTAGTCAAGAGCCTGCAGTTTGTTAAACTACCAGTAAGTACTGCCCATATAGCAAAGGACATGGAACGTTATAAAGCTTCCCTGGCTATTCTACTCTGTTTTGATTATTTTGACCCTTGTCAAAGTCAACTAGTAAAATGTGCTGCTCTTTTTAGACCTTATAAAGATTTCTGACTTATTACTCCACCCCCAACATGCTGTCAAGTGATCTCTGTGGTAGTGCGCTGACCGCTCATTGAGCCTGCCCCATCTAGCCTTAACACCGGAAAGAGCAAAGGACGGAAAATAACATGTGAGTAAACAAAGCATAACAATCAAGATATTGGACCATCCATACCTACACAATGTCTGAACCAGCTCTTAATGAATACATACCTACCATTGATGTAAGTTTTACGCCTCCAACTGAAGACCCGTACTAATGCCTCAGGCGATCTTAAATGTGTCAGACTTTGAAAAGATATCGGTAAAGAAGATTCGGAATGCGCTCCAGGCGCTTTTCGAGGTAGACTTCCATCCGTACAAGGTATGTTAATTTCTCTGTTTCTTTGATATGGTACTAACGCTCCAGAAACAAATCCAGCAGCTCATCATTCTGCGCTACAACCTCCTCTTGAGCCTCAGAGAAGAGGGCCACCTGGGCCCGGCGCCCACGCCGTCAGAAGAGCTAGAGAACACGGTGACAAAACTTCGGTTGGAGAACGAGATCCTAGCAGCCCGGTTAAACAGCCATGTCACAGCCAAGGTAATTGAAGAGAACAATAGCCCGGTGGAGAAGCGGAAAGTGAAGCGGAAGACAAATACCGACGACAACACAGAGAAAAAGAAGATAAAGAGAAACACAGAAAACAACGCATTCACCCGGCCGTTGCGATTGTCGGCGCAGCTAGCCGCGTTTTTGGGCGTGGAAAGCTGTGCGCGCACGGAGGTGGTGAAGAAAATGTGGGACTACATTAAAACGCATAATCTCCAGAACCCCGAAGACCGCCGGGAAATTCTCTGTGACGCGAAGATGGAGCATGTGTTCCAGACAAATAAGATGACAATGTTTTCAATGAACAAGTATTTGGTTGAACATTTGTCGAAGATAGAGTAAGTGCGATATTAGCCGGTGTATACTGTTAGGAATGTATTTCAAAAAGCTAAATGGGATTGGATAAGCATAAGGATGGTGTACGGCTTTGTAGTTAGTGGGGTTACCTGAGCTCGAGATCTATGTTGCTCCTAAGGATAAGAAGATTCCGGGTATGACTTGACTTCAGGTCCCCCAGCTCATCCTTTAGTCTGAGTGCCCCCTAGATATTGCAAGGTACGTACTAGCATTTATCACTTTTTTGCCTCGATATTGTTAGATAAATGCTTGTACCCAGTTGGTCCTAGTTTATATTGTAACTTTAGATGCTCATGGTTACTAGTCCGTGCATGTGGCGGTATAAACCAACGATTGTGTGCTAATTCGGCACGTACTGCTAGTTCCTGTTTCTAATCACTACTGGTAACTCATCTAAGCCTAGCAATTTAATCTCTAAGTACTTTTATATGCAGACTCAATGTCTTACCGTATCAAATTTCTCATACAAGGTCGAAGCCCTTCCCTGTTTCAATCGCCTCGCAAGGCTATAACTCATTGTGGATCAATTCAAGCAACTTATAGAGCGCTACCCGAACGTTGTCATACTTCCCACTGACCTGGATTTGCCTGTGGCTGTTTGCCATTTTCTGGTTCTTTTCATAAGTGACCCTGTCGTTAGCGTAGTGGTTGGTGAAGCTGTCCATAACCTTTAACTGGCAGTTGGACTGTTTCCGTACTTCGTTGATATTCGCCCCGTTCTTCCCGATGATCAACCCCACGATGTCAAGATGAATGTCTATGTTGAACTTCATGAACTGCTGCCTCAAGTCGGGGTCGTTGGAGGAGAGGTCGTGCGATAGGAGGTGGTTGATGCGCCGGGCCAAGACTTCCGCAGGAGTAGAGTCGTCTTCCTCCTCACGTGGTGTGGCGTACTCGAGAATTTCCCTGATGTTTTCCTGAAGAATAGTGGTGTTGGCGTCCTGTGTGGAGTACGTAAACGGATTCCCATAAGTACCGATAATAGGTGCATGCACCATGGGGCTCTTGTACAAGCTCTTGGTGCCATGCTCGGTCCTGTGTTTCAGCTGGAGCTCCATAAACACTACGAGGAAGTTCACTGTATTACGCAAGCTACCTTGAATCACCACCTTGGTGAAGGGGCTGAAGTTGAAACCAGAGGCGAGCCTGGAGTAATTGAGCGAAACCCCGTATTTTACCGCCGCCCTTTCCAAACTGGTCATTTGTTCCGCTAGGAAATCTGTCCCCACCATCTGATTCAAAGTATAGCCGTGGAACTTTTCCACATCTGGAGGGTAGCCGCGCTTCTGGCACCGGAAGAGCTTGTACGCCACAAAACCTGCAGCGGCTGCCAATGCCTGGGCGTCTTCGCTGTGCAAGATGGCAAACTGGTCTATCACGAGCAGATTCAGGCTTTCATCCATCATTCGCCACCGGACTTCCATCTCTGCCACGACCTGGGCTATATCCACCGCGCGCATCTCTGCGGGGGAAAGGCATAACGTCACACTGTACTGCGAACCATCCGCTCTCGTTCGTCCCAACCCCTTCAAATATGAAATGGCTACTTTTTCCGCTGCTTCTTCGTCAATCGGGGGCTCTGGCTCTTCCTCGCGGTCGCCATAGTCTAGGGAAATGGAAGAGATCTCCCTCTTCTTTCCGCGGGAACTGGGCCCGTAGCTGTAATCGTCGTCGTAGTTTCTCTTGCGGGCTACAGCACCACCCCTGGTGCGGGAACCTCTTTTCACAGGCATCAAACTTGATATTTATTTTGTCTTCCTTAATTGAACGAGTGGCAAGTACAACAAGTGTTCTGCCTCTGGTTATCAAGGCTTCTGTTTCCTGCAGGCAATGCGAGCGGGTAACCTTCGATATATTTTTTTTCTCATGCAGAGAAATTTTTTTACCACACTTGAAAAAATTAGATCGCAATATTTGTGCATACTCCAACACTCCTAGCTAACACTCTCATCACGCACAATGGGCTCTAAGAAGGAACAAAAGAAGGAAGAATCCGAAGACAACTACGACAGCAGAATGCCAGCTGTCTTGTGCTTCGCCAAGCCATTGGCCCCAAAGAAGTTGAACAAGAAGGTCTTGAAGACCGTGAAGAAGGCGTCCAAGGCCAAGCACGTTAAAAGAGGTGTTAAGGAAGTTGTCAAGTCCTTGCGTAAGGGTGAAAAGGGTTTGGTTATCGTCGCTGGTGACATCTCCCCAGCCGATGTCATCTCCCACTTGCCAGTCTTGTGCGAAGACAACTCCGTTCCATACGTCTTCCTCCCATCCAAGGAAGACTTGGGCTCTGCCGGTGCCACCAAGAGACCAACCTCTTGCGTTATGATTGTCCCAGGTGGTTCTGGTAAGAACAAGAAGTCTGAGAAGAGCGAGGAATACAGAGAGAGCTTCGATGAAATCGTCAAGGAGATCGCTACCTTGGCTTAAGCCTGTCATCTGCATTTCCGGCACATGAGTGTGACTGGTCCCCTTTTCCGCTTCTTTCTGTACTCATATTTTCTTTCTCTCTAATGTATATCTATTTCGGTTGGGTTTTTCTAATTGACGTCTCCACTATCTGTTTGTAGAACTAGCCCCTGGTTGGTCTTTTTTTGTTGTATGATAGTCTATCGAGCCTAGATCGATTTTGCTGAGGCATGAATACCCATTTATAGCTGGCAATCTACAAAATGTGTAGATCTGATTGTCATATTAAATATGTCTGGACACTCCTGAAAACATGGATTTGCTTTATCTAATCATAAATTGAGGTCTGCATTGGTCTATATGATGTCTGTTGATTAAGAGGAATGAGGGAGTAGGTTAGTGTCAGTCTAAATCCTTGGTCTCGACCATCTGTGAGCATAAGTGAATATTGTGCGGGCTCCGCTATGTGTGCTTAGATTGCATCTAAAATTGTAACCTTTTGCGTTTCTTTGGCTAATGTCGGAGTACGGTTATTCGTATGGTCTGATTTATTTAGTCTTACTCTTAAACTGCGGCCAGAAGGCTTTTGATTCTAGTCTAATAAAATCTTCTGCCCGTAGCTTCCACCATCAGCTGTGACGGCACGAGCCTGACTGGACATACCGATTCGAGCCGTACTTTCCCCTTTTTGGAATTTTACAGCGAAACTATAATTGATGTAAAATTCCGTCTTTTACCATTTATTTCCGTAAAATGCTCAGCACTTCGATAAGCTTCCCCCAAATCGCCCATAGCTCTTTCTACTTCGTAACCTCATCATAACATGGCTTAAACGGCCAGGTACAAGTGATCCTACCATAAAGCAAAGGTTTGTAAACATCGCGTCAAATAAGTACTATCTCCAGTAATTTTCCTCGGCTTTCCAAACCCCGCCAAATCCTCTTAGTTACGTAAAATACTCCTCGATCTGCCTCTTTAGCTCTGCCAGGATCTCGGCATTCGGCTTGCGCTTGACAAACGCCGCGTCGATAATCTTTCCGAGATCTGACTTGGTCTGTTCATGGTTAAAATGCCTCATAGACAAATCGCTCTGAAGGTATGTCGTCATGAGAGCGTTGGAAGCGTGGATCGACGACGATATATACACTTGTAAGCACAATATGAGCACCACAATAAGTAATAACAACGCAAAGAACCACGGGGTGTAGTTCCGGGAAAACGTATCGAGCGCCCCCGTCTCCGGCGGGGAAACATGTTCCAGGGTCTTTGCCTTGACAGTGGAACACTCGGAAGAGCGTCTGGGGGTCGCTGGAACCACGGCCGTAGGAGTCTCAGTGAGAACAGGTCTGCTGACTTTCACGGTAATATCCTCAATCTTCTTCTTAAGAAGCCCCACCAACTTCCCCGCAGCATCCACTTGGCCAGACTGGGTCGACTTCTCAATCATGCCTTTAATCCAACTCCGCGCCTTCCACTCAATCCAATAAGTGATCACCATATTGGTGGTATTCCGTGGCCCCCACGTCAAGATATAACGCGTTTTTACGGAAAATGCGTTCCCACTGGGCACGTCTGGAGTCGTGGTGGTGCTCACAAGTACCACACAGTTGTTCAAGTCGAGTTGCTCCACCTGCTCGACCACAACGCACTTGGTCGAGGCGGGCCCGATGGCGTAGCCAAGCGCTTTCAGGTACGTGAAGTGGCGCTCCAGAACGACCTCACTGCTTTCTGTGAACTTCCCGTACGCAGAAAACGCCGAACCGTCGCACTGTGTCATGAACTCGCGGTGAAACGCGGTGTTCTCACCAAAGATAACATCGTAAACAAGCCCAGGCGGTGCCTCCACTGTTTCCGACGCCAAAAGCGTCTCGTTGTTGGCCTCCCAGTCGTAGCTAGACGCAGTTTCCGCGTGCGAATCAGGCCCCACGTTACTATATCCACAGCCAGGCTTCACCTCAAACACTTCCTCTTGGACCGTCTCTGAAGCACTATCCCCATCGATGGAAAGGATCATCGACCGCATGGCTTCATCAATGGATCCTTCTGAGGCGATAGGGTTGGAAAATAAATTGGAGTCCCTGCCTAAAAGCGCATGTGACATGTCGTGAGAACTGAGACCAAGGTGGCTAGGAAAGCGGGGGCGTTCATCGGACTTTTCGTAGGGGCTGGATTTTCCGGTTATATCAGGCTTTCTGATTTTCTCTCTGCCCTCGAGCGTTTTCTCGGCCTTTCCCCATATAACCTTCAAAAACTCGTAAGTCGCGTCGCGCGTTACAAAGCTCGCGAACGTATGAGTTACCTCACGTGTCTCCACTGCGATCCCGTTCGGAAACAACCCCGCGGTACTCCGCTTCTCAAAACCGATAATCTCGTCATATGGCACAATAAGATTCGTCACCCATCCGAGCAAGTTCGAGTTGAAGCATAAATTCCGCTCGCTGACGTACAACCGCCCCTGGAACAAGATGTCACGGCTCAACGCACAGCTGAAATCATCGAGAAGTCGGTCATGGGGCTCGATTTCCGGGAAAAGTGTGTGAAAGTCTGCATCACGCGCACCCGTCACGAAGCGGTAGCCTGTATCCATGTATTTGGCGTCGATAAAGAGCCCAGGGTCATAGCTGGGGGTACGCTGGTGGGTTTTGTCGCTTTGTAGTTGGCCCTGTAAGCGTTCCTCTAAGGCTGAGGACTTTCCGTTCATCGTCTTTCGGTACGAAAGCATCGCGTTTCCAGGAACCTCACGGAGGATATCTTCATCCCTAGAGGGGGCTGTGGGGCTGGACTTCGAGGCGTAGGTGGAAATGGTTGACGCAATTTTGTTCATTGAAGTAAAAAACTTGGATTCGGGGGACCTTGTAGGTGTTTCTAGCGTTTCGTCTTGGCTGGGATTGTCATTGATGCCGTGAATACTGGAAGTTTCAATGGAGGGTTTTCCACTTTCCAAGCGGGAGAGCGTTCTTTTTGCACTCCCGACGCTGTCACGTCGTCCACTGTCATCATTTTTTTCAGTGGAAAGAACACTGCGCCTTAGGATCGGGATTTCATCGGTGGAGTTGAATTTAACGAGGACCGGGGCCATATCCGCGGCGGTAGTGGTCGGCGCGGATTTAGCAAACGACGGGCCGAGACTCAAGGAGCTGGGAATACCAGAAAAGCTGCCGTTCGCAGAAGGGGTTCCCAGTGTCGTTTTGGATCGGTGTGGTGCCACAAACGCCTCATAGAGCATGACTCGGTCGGTAGCATCGCGACTAGGCGTGTCTATTGGAAGGGTGGCAACCACTTCCAGAGTGGGAATCTTTGGAGTGGTAAGTTCATTCTCCATACAGATAGACCCGGAAGGGGTAATAGGGTACCCCATGATGGTTTTGTCTGAACTGCTCGGGGGGATGTCAGCGTTAAGAGCAAGCGATTCCTTAGACTCTGGATAGGAGTAAGACCAGGCGTCATCGTCAGATAGCGGCACAGCGAGTTCCAACGGCATCGGGGGAGGATTTGTAAACAGCTGAAATTCAAGTGGTTATCACCGGTTGATATAAATGATATATAAAGTAATCCAGCATAGAGTTATGTAAAGCGGGGTAGGTTTGATAGAGCGATAAGGTTCCCCGCGGATGGTTTTGGCAGCAACATGTCGCACGGGCCGGAACAGTAAACGACGCACGCGCGCAGGACTTATCGTGAGTCGTCAAGTGGGGACAGGTACGGAAGCCAAATGGACATTGATCAAATGGTATTTTCTATGGAAGTTTCAAAAACTTTTATATCGTTTTAGGAAGGGTTTAGGGGGTTCTATAACGATATGATGGAAAGCTCTTGGGCAAGCTTCCGCTGGCAATAACGTGGGCCAAATAGTTAGTATCGCGAAGTGGGTCATACTGAACTGTTAATGCCTATTCAACGCAGTATGGCAAGCTTAAACTGATTTCATTGTATACGCTTTATAATTAGACGCTTGTGGGTCTCACACCGGTCAAATAATTATAAGCTAGCAGAATATATGTCTGTAAAGCTTCGTTGTGTCGATAGGTACTGTTAAGTATGTTCTATTTCTCAGAAGCATAAAACAGTACCAAAAGGTTTGCCTCAGGGGAGAAACACTAATAGCGATCTAGCCAGTATGTATACACTGTAAAGAACAACCAGGCATCACATAATCGTGCTGGACACAGTTAATCTATTAGTTTTAGGGCTAGCTATTTGAAAAACAAGACGAAAGGTTATCCCAACCGCTGGCCTGGCAGCTATCCACCGTGAGTTTCAGCAGCCTAATGCATAAGGGTGCGCGAATGAACTATGGTAGACTAATTATCAGCCGTGTCTCTCACAGTAATTAGTATATCCTTCGATTTTTAAGGTCTTGGCCCTTTTTTCTTGGTTTTTTCAAAAGGTTGACTATGGCATCATGCAACTTTCCATTGCATCGCGCTAGACATTATATATCCTTAGATCCAGTCATTCGTTCCCAATGCCACCCAGTTCTTCTTGATCGGATTTCCTCTGGTAGTATATCTCTAGGCAGTTCATACACCAGCTCTTGCTATTTCTATCGCAAACAACCATGGAATACTACCTCTGGGCTATAACACTGTTTACGTTAGAATATCCCAGGTCTTGGCATGAATCTTTTATCTCCGACTGGTCATACGTAGTCCCAAAATAACTGAAAAGTACTTGAATGGCATTACCTAGCCATCGACGTGTATTCATGGCCCATGGTTAACCTCCTAATCTCTATGCATCAGGGTTCGCCACGGCAAGTCTCCTCTCCCGCTTTTTTTCGCTCTTTTCCACCTCTGTGATGTTTGCATAATCGGTCTCGCCTGCCTTCCCGTTAAAGTCCGCAAACGATGGCTCATACGTATCCGATGCTAACGTGACGACTTTTTCTAATGCCATGGAGTCAGCCTTCACCTCGCCCTTCGACAGTTCGGAATATACAGACCTTGTTTCGCTATCCTTTGCAGGGAGCAATTCAAAGTCATGGTCGTCCTCTTCATTGACACGGTACGCCAATACAATATCGTCGTTAATATCGTCATCACCTACCTCAGAAGCCAACAACCGCGGCTTCAAGTGACCGTACTTGAGCTCCACGCCCTTCTTCAGCCCTGGATGATACGCGCGACTGGATATATTAATGTTTTTGCGCGTGTGATGTGGTCGGATGCCCACGGGAAGCTCAAACTTGGCTGACGTGCTGGAAACGCTGGAGCTACTCGCTCTGGCTCGCAACGTGGCGACATAGACTGACTGTTCGCCCTCTCCTGGTCGGAGCACAATCTGCTGCCGGACCGATGAGATCGTCCCAGGCTGTGATACCATAGACCGCGCATCACCGCGCCCGGACGAAAACGTGTTCACAGACATGCTGGGCGAAAACACGCCGATGGACATGCTGGCTGAGGATCTGTGCAAGGAATGGGATTTTCGTGAAACAAGCGAGGTAGTATCTGAGTCTTGTACCGGTCTCTGAGAGGTACTCAACAGTGACGAGTAGCTCGCATGGCGCTCCAGTTTTAGCGGTGAACACGTCTGTTGGTCTGGGCCTTCTATGGTCATTTTGCGGAACTCCAGCGTGGCCTTGGGCTCAGGTGTAGTAGGGATGTCGAAGTCGAACGTATCGGGAACAGGTTTTCTCCTAGCTGGGACTGATTTAGATCCTAGGGGTGGAATCAGTTTAACCGGAGATATCAGAGGCAGAGGCACCTGGTTGGTGTGAAACGCCGGCGGATACGGCAAAACGGGTGCAGGCGGCTGTGCACGCGGTTGTGCACGCGAATGAGGTCGCGAGTTCTCATGGTGCGCAATTTTCAGTAAAAACGAATGGCTCATGGAGGGGCTGGTAAGATCGATGGTGATTAAAGCGGAAAGGGAGGAGAAACTACGTGATGGGAAATTTTGAGGCCATATCTCAGGACAGCCCGATGCGGCTCGGTTGGGGAACGTCTTCCCAAAGCGGAAGCACGTGAATCTGCGCAAAAGCAAGTAATGGAGGGTCACTATATAGAGGCAGAAGTATCAAAACATGAATAGCCGTGACAATATTGATAATCGAGCAAGGACGAGAAAGTGCAATTGAGTCAATATACAGGGGCATTCGTATGGAAGCAGTGGTGTTTTAGGCGCGAAAAAGGAAGACCCATCAGGTCTATGTATAGGCGTAAACGTCAAAGTATGAGCAAAAGGGAGTAAAAAGCGATGGCTAGCAATTTTGTACAGGTACAAGCCGTATTTGAACCGTTGTCATGAAAACGATGGGTGTAGAGGTAATCATGTTTAGCTGTATAGAGAACAGGCCCAAGTGCTCGAAAAAGTATATTTCTAGTGATTAGAATAAATGAGGCTTTTGCAAGAAATAAAGCCTGGTGTTCCCTGCTAAGAGTGATGGTTGTTTTCAAGTCTAAAGAGCCTAAGCATTAGCGTATACCGACAAACCCAGACCAGCTAGGATGAAAGTTTGAGGAGTGATGGTGAAAAGGCTCTTTAGAGGCCAAAAGCTTAATCAGAGCTCTAATAAGAGGATGGAGGCTCTGGGTAATAGATATTAGAATACCCGGTGAATTGGTGGAGAAAGGGTACATCCTTGTGATAACGGCGGTGTTAAATCTCTGGCAAATTAATAAAATTTCTGGAGTTTAAAGTTAACAATAACTGTTTCAGCTTGAACTAGTAGATTAAGATGGTACATATAGACATGCGTGCATGAAATGGCATGCGTCTGAGGTCAAAGGATAATAAACAACTCTAAAAGACAGTATATAATGATAATCGGCAATACTTTTTGCGGTATATAATCTTCTTCAATAAGAATTTTCCCATTAAATCTGTCCATAAAAATACTAGAACAGGCTTCAGTGCATGAATCCTCCATGCAGGCGCCCTGCCGATTATCGCATGAGGCACTACATGCAGGAGTTTGTAGTCTGTGGCGTTATGGTAGACTTTATAACCTCCAAGAGTCGTATCGGGCACTTGCTCTTCCGTATTAAGGTAACACCCTTACTAGCACCCTAAAGCATCCCTTTAATTCCAGATATCGATGTACACACGGTTTGGGATATCTGCGCGCGGCTTGCGCTGCAAGTTCCTGGCGTCACGGCACCTCGCTCGACACTACTCTTTCATCCAGACAGAGCAATCCAAACGGGCCAATCTCGGAAACATCACAGAGGCCTTGGAAGACAGTATTCCCCACTTACTCCAGAAAGGGTTGCCTCTGCGGATACTCAGTCGTGGAATTATGCTCCGCCTATTTCCAATCCAACACCCGTTCTTGCCGGTTATCAAGGGCGAAAAGTCTTACAGCGGAACAGTCAAAACGCTCCAGTTTTTGACAACCTCGCTAGTTTTGGACCCTCGTGTACGGCTTCATATCTCAGATATCAGCCACATCGAGCCGGAGGAGGAGGGCTCCGCGGGCGGCTTGGGCTCCACGGGCGGCTTGGGCTCCACGCGAGCCTACGGCCTCTACCCCGAATCGAACAAGATTATGGTCCACTGGCACACCTGCCCTGATCAGTGCGAGCATCTCTCTTGCGAAACTACGAATGAGAAAGCTGTTGGTGGTTCCAGTGGGACTTACAAGATCACAGATAGTCCCTCTGTACCAACAACAGTTTATTGTACCAGCTATGGAGACAGGTTGGTCTGGAACCAGCTTCCCCTGAAGCCGATGATAGGCATCAATCTAGCGTACTATAAGCTACTTCCAAATTCGGTCGAGACACTCATATCTTCGTTTCTCCAAAAGAATTTTATACCGCAGAGCGGAACAAGCATTGCGGGAACCTCGCCCGGCAGAATCCTCTCAGGGATCTTTATCTTTGAGTTGAACGAAGCATGCGACGAGATTATTGTCCATACCATCGAGGATGTAGAAATTTTAGAGAGAAAGGATACCGCCCCGGTAGGAATCGGCGGGTTCTGCCCATCCTAGAATTTGCCATCTTTTTAACCTGAAGTGTGTTTGAAGTGGCTGGTTATCTTACGCCATTGTGGAGGTCATTGAAGGTCTGTTGATAAAACTACGGGTCAATTTGTTACCAACTTACGATTGAAATAACTTCACGCGCAGGAATACGCTCTTTTACCTTTTGGTCTGCTTTCGTGTACATAGTAATGCGTAATCATTATACAAATAAATAAGTAAACCGTCGAAATATAACTCAATGAGCCATGAACTTGAGGGTTGCGAAGAAAACTCGTGTTTAGGGTCGCCCCCTTTGGAGCATTTTTTCCATTCTAATGTTAAACCGACTTTCCGGGTTCTCGTGCACAAGTCTGATGTGTCTTTGTAGCAAATCACGTCTCTTGAACGTGTTCCCGCAGTGGGTGACAGTGCATCCGTGTCTCAGGTCCCTCAATTTTGGAATTTCACCCTTCGTCAACGCATCTCTACTTCTGGTCGAGTCCCAACAGATAGCGTGTTGGGACCTACAGTGCCTGCGTAATTCGGGCTGTCTTGTGAAGCCAATCACTTTCCAAGGGCATTCCAGTATGGGACACTTGTGCTGTCTCTTAATACCGTACCTGTCGATATGTTTGGCAAAGTCCATGAGGGTGATGAAGGAGTCGGAGCAGTGGGTGCATTTGTAAGTGCCCTTTTTTTTGTTCTTTTGGATAAAGTCCCACGCCAACTTGTCATTTCTCAAGGTTTCTGATATAGAAGTTTCGTGTCCCAGGAACACCTCTCCAGAAAATCTGCCTTGCTCCTCAATCTGGAAAGAACCTTCGTAGTTCACAATCGGTGCACAATTAGCCTCGGGAACTGTTTCCTGGATCGCAAGTTTCAGCTCATTCGGAGAAGGATGTTCACCATGGACTAATATTCCCATAAGACTGATTTCACGTTGCAACTGGTCGTACACAAGCAGATCGTCATTGTAAACATCCTCTAACCTCGACAAGTACTGGGCGTAAGAGCTCCCTTCCAGGTGAGGTAACACGTCACCATACCCTTTACCCAAATCGTTGAAGGTGGGAGAAACGGGATCTGTGCTATCCATGTAGCTGTTAGGTGTACGCTTTCTGTCCAAGATGAAGTTTTGGCTAAACAAATGTCCTGGATTGAGGTCCACTACGTCGTTCGATGGGGTTACTGGTGTATACAACTGAAAAAGTTGTTGTTGAAACCTTAGTGGCGAACCGTCGTGGGCAACAAACTCGGTGGGGTAAGTTTCGGGAGTTGAATGATTGGTGAAAGACGGATAATGCATGGAAACGGGCTGGAATACTATTTCGTCATTTTCTGTTTTACTCGGCTGTCTGAATCCATCTTGAATGGATAAAGCAAACAGGGACGAGTCACATGTAGGCGGCATTATGAAGTCAGGTGGTTATAGGATAGTATGGTACTTTTTCTATGGTGGCATACCGCTTATTTGTAGATAAGAGGGTTTTTTTAGTTCGAAGGGGTACGCTCTTTTAGGGGAAGGTTAACATTTAGAGTAGACCTTAGGGAGTATTTTTAGAATACTTGTTATAATAAAAATGGATATTTTTCAAGAAGAGCTAATGAAGGGAGATTCCAGAAACGTATAGTTGATAAATAGTAGAGGGGCTTAAATACGCTTTAACGGACTTGGATACATATTTGGTACCCTATAAAGTATCGCATGTATATCTTGCCGCAAGAGAAAGTCCAAATTCATAAATGTGGAATTTAAGTGGTTTAGAAAAGGTAATTTTTGAAACCTGGAATCGCCAAAATCTGGAAATTAGCACTCGGTGAGACATGGTAACTTAGACTACAATCAGCAACCTGCAGAAACGTAGCAGCCCCTCGTGTTACCAACGTGCAGTGAATAGAAGTCTGAATTCAGCTCTTGTTATCTTGTAGCCCAGCTATGACTCGATATTCCTTCGTGGATACGTTTCTAGAAAGGGAAAAGCTCCACTAAACAGAGATTTCTTACAGGGAGGTATACTTCGGTTATTGCAAGCGGTTGGTGATAACTGCTGTCTTGGTCTGGGTTCGCTTTTTTCCTTCTTCTGAAACGAACTAGAGGTATCAATTCTCGATTCTAAGGTCCATCGGGATTAAATTTAGAACGGAGTTACGGGGGAACCCTCTTAATGAGGTACGATAGGTGTACCACCCCGGCTCCTTTTGTGTCATGTATGTGTGTAATTTGTACTAAGGCGTCGTGTTGGAAATCGCATCATCCCAAGATAAGACATTTAATTCGGCTTTCTGCAAGCATGATGGGGTAAAGTTCCGTGCAGCGTGTGTTTTAAGTCTCGCATGTGATTACAAGAGGAACAGATATCTAGTAGATATTCTGGCTAGACCCAGACTGAGAAGATGCATGGTGCATTATGTCTCACTTTGAAGTTGGGAGCCTAGATTATGTTTTCAAAGTCAGGGTATCGAGTGTTTATTTCAACAGACTTAGAACACGCCATGATAGCCTTTGATAGCAGCACCAAATATCTCTGAAACAAACGTGAAGGCTGTTTAAGGAGATGGTTCATGTCAACTTATAGGCACCCATGATGATCCATTATTCATCGTGAGGCCCTTACAGTATTATATCCCCCAGCTACACGCAGTATTCATGAAAGTATCCGTGCTTGTTGACTGGACAGGAGCAGATATGATTATACTTCAGAATAGAAGAATGAAGTTGCATAACACTTGTCATTGAACTCAAACCCGCATGAACAAAATTATGACAAGCCTACCGGAGTATCTGTCGCTCTAATCAGATAACTGTGTAAATAGTGCTAAAAATGTGTGTTAAATGACAATTCTGTTTATAAAGCCCTTAGATGGAAAGTAGCGGTACTTCCAACTAGATTATATCCTGCGATTTATAGTTCCACCCCAAAAACAGTGGAGTACTCTCGTATCTCACCAACTATCCCGTGATATGAATGTGACCCCAACCCAATTGAACCAGTTTCTACTGCACGGGCTATTTTGTATGGCTCTCGGTAGGATTGGGTAAACATCTTTGGGATAACGGCCATTGGGGCTCCATTTGCAGCTATTTCGGTGACCCAAATCCAGGTGGGCTCAACTGGCAAGAAATAAGTTGTCAGGGGGAGCTGACCGGTTGTTTTGAATTTCCGCTTACTTGTGGTATACTCAGAACCAACCCCCTTTTCATTAATCGCATTAACCAGGCCAACTGCTAATAGGATTGTTAGGCACTTCGCAGGGTTTAGTCTGCAGTGGCGAATCATCATAGTTCACGGTATTAATTGAAACTGGGATAGGTGAAATTCTCTCTTGTTCGAAACTGTGATTTTGCGTTAACTTTTCGGTTAGCCATATAATATATTCTATTGTAAGCCGATTCTTCGTTCTTTTAATGCTTATATAGACTTTTTTTTTTTCCTAACAGAACATAAATTTTTTGTATTTCTGGAGTTTTACCCGGTCCTTAGAATATTTGTGCCTACGAGAACTGAAACTGAGATAATATACCATTAATTTGCTTCCCCGTAAAAAAATATTATATAGGTTGTCCGGGCTGAATCTAACCATACGTGGTATCCCACCTTATCCTGAAGGGCCCATCTAGTGTATCCAGCTTTGCACAATTTTCTGGTTGATTAGATCCATAAATAAAACCTTATATTTTTTCGTATCGTTGCGTTGTTTAATTTATGGGGAATGGCTATAATCTAGAATAGACTATTTCTGGGTAGATGTAGGGAGATCTGTTTTGGCGCTCTACATAGCTTATACGTTATACCGAGGAATCTTTGATCTACTCGAGGAATAAAGCGTCTCGATGATTCGTAGAATGGATTTTTACTTCAAGTCTTGAATGGCGCGTTGATCCATATAAACCACTGGGAATTGATTCCCCGTAAATAAATCTTGAAAGATAAATGGTCGAATGTTTACTAGGTCCAAAGTGTCACACATGAGATATACCAAATGCCAACATCAAAAGGTATCCTCTTAAAAATAAAACGAGGTCGACTTCACGGGATACCTTTAAAAGTAAGTGGCCAAAAATAACACCTACAAGCCTTGTTCCAAGCCCCGCGCAGAGTTCTATAGGACCTCAACAGTTCTGGTGCGCAGTCACAAACGCTGCATGAAGAAGCTCCACACAAGTGCAGCTCAGAGTATCGAATTCTTGATAATTCCTTTCGCCATCTACGATTACGCCCATGATATAGTAGAAGGGAATGCATTCAGCAGTGAGGGGAGATAAAACGGGGAGAGAATTTATGTATAGAGAGCATCACAAGAGCCAGTCAGGTGAGGACAACTTACTTTTGTTCAACATCCAATGGAGTAAGACGCAAGTATGGCTTGATAACACGGAACTTTGGGAACAAAGTCTTGGCCTCCTCGTTGGTGACACTTGGGTGGACAATGACATCATCACCAGGAACCCAGTTGATCGGGGTAGTGATTCTGTGCTTGTCACCGGTCTGCAAGGAGTCAATGACACGCAAGACTTCAGCGGTGTTACGGCCGGTGGAGGCTGGGTAGGACAAAATCAATCTGATCTTCTTGCTCGGGTCAATGATAAAGACGGATCTGATGGTGAACTGGACCCCCTTGTCATCGACGTTGGAAGCATCCTGGAAATCAATCATGTCGTACAAGTGGGCAACCTTTCTTTCAGCATCAGCAATGATCGGGAAAGACAACTTAGAGCCGGTGACCTCATCAATGTCTTTGATCCAGGCCTTGTGGGATTCAGTACCGTTGGCAGAGAGACCGATCAACTTGACACCTCTCTTGGCAAATTCCGGCTCCAACTTGGCAAAAGCACCCAATTCGGTGGTACAAACCGGGGTGAAGTCATCTGGGTGGGAGAACAAAACAACCCACTTGTCGCCAATGAATTCATGGAAGGAGATTGGGCCGTTGGAAGTTTCGGCTTGGAAATCTGGGGCGGTGGAGCCCAAACGCAAGGTACCGGCAGGAACTGACATGTTTAGAGAAGTGAACAAAAGAGCAAATTCAACTGGGGAGAAAGGAAAAGAGATAAAAGCAATTGAGCCCAAACAGGTGATTTTAAATTAGCTTTATAGCCCCTCAAAGGATACCTCGAACTGGTGACTGTTGCAATCTTGAATCAACGAATCGCACGTGACTTGGCGAAACATCGCAACATTTATGCATGCGGAAGCACGGCCTTAGACCAAACTTTGGACTGCAGGTTAATGTTGAGAGCTTCTCTCCCGACTCCCCTCGCCACAACAGGGGCGTTGCAGCATGGTACACCCGTGTGGCTATTAGAGTTTGTAGTCCAATTGTGCTGCTTGGAAGAAAATGGCGGAACCAAGAAAACTGTGGCGGGGCGGCCAAAGGATATAATCGGAGCTTCTCATAAATGGCCTTTAAAAGCCCGTCGTGTTGATTTCCTGTAGAGCTTGGGTTTTATTCCAGGGATTGGCGCATCAGTTAGATACGCTATCACATTAAGGAGTACAAAACGCTAGACCTTAGAAAACCACTCAAAGGCTGGCAAATGCGCTAATCTTTCGTGCGATAATCTTTGCGTGTTCCGTTCTGCACAAATATCGCTAAATATGTACAAGTGGTGCATCTGAACTACTGCTGGCACCTCTAATTCGGGACGAATGTAATGGACCTGGAGAGTTGAGTGAAATTGACATTTAGTAATATTTATTTTCCCTCTAGATCGTCTTATTCTTCGGGCACCATGGACGTGATTCCTTTGCCATAAGTCTAGATACCCTCGATCTGCTGACGCAGAACGGTTTAGGTTGTATGCAAGCTCTGAACCCTTTTTTCATTGAGGAATATACACTATCATTAACGCTATACAAAGACAGATTTATTTCTTTAATTAACGAGATTAGTGTACTATGAGCGCTTACTTTTCCCACCACGCATTTTGCTAAGAGCAATGCGTGGAGTGGCTTTTGTGGCATGCAAGATTGAGGAGCTTGGTCATTGAACGGATAGCACAGCTTTAGAGAGAATTTTCAATTGGATACTATCCCTGAAGAGATAGACCATAGTATTTCATCAACATCTACTGGCTGAGTTGCAACGATGCGAGTCCTTATACTGCCCCTTTTGTTTCTATTAGTTGTCAATTTCCAGCACTGTCACTCCTATCTGATAAGAAATATCAATGGAAACATAATTGACCAGGATAGAGTCTGTGACCCCGACAAGACAAATTACCTTTTTACAGGTTTTCGGGTAGAAAGACAAATCGTTATACGTGAGAGCATTACCCATCAAACTCACTTAATAGTATGTAAGGAGGGGCGAGTGGTTTCAGATATCATTGCCCCCCTGGAAGATGATTTCTCCTCTAGCAGTGTTCCCTGGGCAAAAACTATTTGCAATCAAAGTGGGACAAATTGCTACAAAATATCTCGCCGTAAAACATTTGCCCTTCGAGACTTGGCTGTCTTCTTCCCAAACAAACTAATTGGCGGGGTTTTCAAGGTTTCTAACACTACATACTATTCGGAGTTAGCCGAATCCTTTCTGAAGGAACATCCAGGAAGAAGCTATAAACTTCACACATTTGACGAAGATGATTCAAATTTCTATCCACTTGCACCGCTCATGTCCTCGAATGTCCTTAATCAATGGATTGAGGTGGCCTATAATGGTGTCATGGTATACCATATCCCGCTCTTTCATTCACTTGAGGAAAGTGCAAAGAGACCCAATAAAAGTGACCGTCCCTCATGGTTTACATATATTTCACCTAACGAAAAGTACACCTACGACGATGCCGCTCTGTCATTATTCCAGCGAGCTCATACTTTGGTGTCTAACGAGATTGTTAAAGCCATTGGCATATACCGAAATGAAATCATAAAATTGCCTTTCAAATCCACCACCCCGGTTGCGTTGAAAAAAGCCTTTGGGGGGTATATAACACAATTACTCTCGCCGGGAGAAGCAGATGAGAAAGAAAAATTTAGTATTTTTGGTTCAACCATCTTGCTCTCGCATATTATGCCCAAGGCATATTATCGCCGGATGCTTGCATCGTTCGACGGGTTGATGGAGGAGATATCATTCAAAGAGGAGGTGTATGGAAACGACATGGCATCATCCTAGCTGCTACTTTCAATAAGGCAGTAATAGACTACAAATATTAATTCGATGCACATAGATATATGGTATCTGGAGCCTTCAATAAACTTGGCTGCATGCCAAAAGTCGAGTTAAGGAAACATGGTATTTTGTATTTTAGACAGAGAGCAGACTTTTTGATTTATCCATAAAGCGTATCTAGTTGTACCTTATCCGAGTATATCTGATTCTCATATCGGTGGAGGCACCAAGGGACTGTATGGATCTGAACATGCCTTTGTGGGTGTGGTATATGCATGCACCTTAAAGGCAAACACAAACTCATGAGTCCCAAGATTAGGCTCAGGTTGGCTTGGGTATAAATTCAGCGATAATTTCAAATTATTGGTTTATTTAAGACTATTTTGGAAGCACCAAGGTTTCTTTGCTTATAAAACAAAAGTGGGTATTTCCTTATCACCGCATTTTTCCACAAATCTAACAGCAAGGCACAGATGTCTGAAATCAACCCTAAACTTCAAAACGAGTCTGAAGCATCGACCTATGTGGCTAGTCTTGGTGATAGACCTGCTTTGTTTGCTTTAACCGGTCTTCTTGCCTCATTTCCTGTGGTTAAAATCTTCGCCTCTAATAGCATTCCCTTGATGATGTCTAGAAATAGATCTCAGAACAAGGGTAGAGGAACAGTCTAAACCCTATATGGGAATATATTTACAAAGTCATAGTTTTTTTAGAATCAAACTGAATTTAACGGTTTCTTCTTTAATCTCGTATACAGCTAGCCGCATTTAATTCGACCTATTCCGGGAAACCCCCAACGTAAATTGGGTGCACTTATAAGCCCCATCACATATCGCTGTCAGGCTCTTCGCGTTGAATCAATTTACGTGAAAGAGCTAGGTCAACCTTTCGGCCATTACCGTAATCAAAGGTTCGGGTCTGGGTGAAGCGTGAATCTGGCTTGGTAGGGGAGTTCTGGCTCTGGCAGGCTATGTCATTATCAGAATACTCAACTACTTCTTCTTCTTCCAGGGGGTTGACGACAACACTTTTGTGTGCTTTGAAAGGCGCGTCCAACTTCGAGACAATTCTGCCATGTAGAGGAGGATGGGTACTGGGACGTGGGAGAATTCTCTTTATAGTTTCAGAGATCGGTACGCCACGCTTTTTAGGTCCTAAAAGAGAGGTTGTATTTTCCACTCTCGGGGATTGCAACACTTGGGGAGAGATATGAGCAGGTTCGGTTTCTATATCTCCGAATGTTGAAGACAAGTCCTTGATCAACAAATCAAGAGAGATATCTTCGATCCCTGTTTTTACAGGGACAGGCGGGAAAAGCTTTCGGGAAAAAAACTTCGAGGGAGGCAACTTTGAGAATGCAGCTTTTGGAGACGAGTGGTTATCCTTATCCAGTGGTAGAGACGGAATACCCAGAATTCTATACAGAGGGGTACTATTTGTTTGGGTCGGAGCTGTTACCTTGTCTATACTATCGTCGTCTTCAGGAACAAATAAGGGAATCGGATCAGGAAGAGCCTTCATCCGGCCAGTAACTTTTGGGACCAGGAGTTTGGGACCTTCCCCCTTGTCTTGAGCAGCCCTAGAGAAGTACTTGGGGATTACTACGTTGAATCGCTCCGGTTCGCCAAACTCTGGATCAAGTCCGTTGTCACTGCTGTAGCATACAAAACTACCCTGTAGCCTTTCGAGCTCCTGGTCAAACTTCTCATCTTCTTCCATGTCTGATAAGCACTCTAAACGGTGCTGAGGCTCGAGCTCAAGTGTTTTTCCTTTCCTGGGCTTCTTAGACGATACTTTAACTTGAGCGGTAGACTGGGAAAACTTGGGGACAAAAACAAGATCACCAGTCTCGAGGGCAGCAGAAGTGGTTCCCCGGCTCTTTAAGAGTTTCAAGTTATCACTCTCGATGTCATCTCTCTCTGGGGCGGGTCTTAGAAGTGGCTGCAGTTGGGTATCGTTCTCCTCAGTTTCTAAAATACCCTTAGGTCTCTTTTTTGACGGTATCTTCTTCGGTACCGGTTCGTCGGGAGTAAAACGCATGGCCTTTGTGCGCTGATTCCCTTCGCCTGTCGCCTTGTCGTGTTCTAGGGAAGAGTTCTGGGTGTTGGGGTCATCAATTTTTACGGGAAACCGCGCATAGAGATTATTGGAACGAGGCGGGATCCGAATGCATAATGTTTGGGTATTTGGTCGAGTGTACTTGGTATAAGGCTTCTTAGTTTCTATGCCAGAATGGTCAATTTTGGTAAACGTGGGCGCACCATTGTGTAGGTCATGGTTTACTAACCTCGCCGAGACACTCTTTTTGGGTCTCAGTACCTCTGTGGCGTCACCAGTAAGGTTAACCAACGCATCAACAGCTATATGATGTTTCTCCGTGTGTTTTTTAAGAGGCGTGGTAAGTACCGCCAGGGCTACTGCGGGGATCGCGGGCGTTTGTACAAGCGCCGGTACTTTCCTCTTCCTCAATCCTATGTGTCTCTGTCTCTGAGTAGTAGGCAGTGTTTGCGATAAAGGGATAACGTGGGGACTAATCTTAAGCTGAGACGTATTGGAGTACTTTATCCTCTTAACGGCAGGGCCAGTACTGGGTAACAGCACCTGTGCTGATTTAACCTGGGACGGAAGCTGCGTATACCGTTTATCGGATTTCTTGTAGAGATTGGAGATGTCACGCTCATATTCGCTTGTAAGTTCTTCCACGTTTACCATAAGTCCGCCGGATATGGAAAAGTCCTCGCCAGCGTCCAAGACCCCAGCGTCCTTTAAGAAATCGGTTTTGATAACCACACCACTTTCGCTTAAAACCTGTACTTTTTTGTTTAGGTCAAAGAATCGCAACGTCCCGTCGTGCCATTTCTTCAACTTTTGCTTCACGTCGGTGGTGTAGAGTACTCGAAACTCCTTTACCCACGAGTGCTTAAGTGGGTGTGATTGCGAGCTGAGGATGAGCTCGTCGCTGGTCGGGGGAGAGGACATACTGTTATTGCTTTTTGAGATCAAGATGCATTTCTCTGAGAATTGTCCGGGTCTTGGATGATAGTTAGTACCGGGATCAAACTTTCACCGCTTCTCATAACTGGCTATTATTTATTATGGCGCCACTGCATAGAGCGCGTTAAAAATTTGGGTATATATCGTGCATGTATGCATGATGTCCCAGGCTGTGTCCTTTAATACCTATGCAGGTGTTGTACACTTGCTGGCAGCCTCCGCATCTCCCGTTGTCTCTTATATTCCAGAACTTACATTCGATTCTTAGGCACTGTAAAAGCTTACGATATTCCTTAAATATGCCCACTCCGGATGATCCAATACTAAGCACTCCTTCTGTTGAAGGGGTTGAGACACTCCACACGGCCCATGTTGATGCCAAATCAGACGTCACCTTAGACGGCACACTGAAGCGATTGCGGATTTCTGCCGCCTCCAGTTACGAAAGTGATGCCTATGAGTTTATTCCAGTTAACTCCAACAAACCGGTGGTGTTTGTTACACAGATCGGTAGGTTTGAGGTGTTTGTAAATATCCGACACTTCCAGGGGATGCCAGAGCACGACAATGGTAGTGTCTACAATAAAGCAGACCTCTCGGAAGAGGAAATTGCGAAACAGCCTAACTTAGAGATCATCGTGCACTTTACTCCATCGGCTCCTCTTTCGGGCGATCAGTTGTTATTTGGTAACGATTTCACGTACTCCATCAAACCTTACATCCCAACAACCCTCTTGACCGCCGGCTTGAAGTTCTTTTCGTGGTTTATCGATGCCTCTACACAAGGAGACGTAACGTCTGACAAGCCTTACATCTACGGTTCTGCTTTGAGTAGCTTCAACAAGATTGATTACGCCGATATTAACAAAGAAACGAAAACCACTGGATCTAGAATCGATACGGAGAACTTACACGAGCTCTCTACCCATGACTTGAAAATCCCTGAGGCGCCATCAAAGCGTTCAAAGTTCTTCGCTCAACAGAAGCACCAAGCGCACTTCAGCTACGAAAAAGACATGACATACGAGTTTGAGTTTAACACAAACTTTATCAAACTTCAAGACTCCCAGTTTGCAGTCTCCATTCCTATGTATGGCAGCAGAACGTTCGACGTCAACGTTTTGGACTACTTGAACGATACTTTCAACAACGTGAATTTTGTCGTAAAAGCCAAGAGTAAGGATGGCGTGTACGATGTTGGAACAGGGAATTTGGGTGTTGTCATCAAGTTTGAGCTTTTGTAAGAGTGGCATCACCAGAGCCTAAGCCTCTCTGTGTAGTCATCCTACATAGCGGTCGAGTTCATTATATACACTAAGCCTGAAGGTATTTAGCCTTTCAATAAACCGGAATTATTATCTTATTGAATACTGGGGTACTGGATGATTCTATCCGGTTACCTGCACTGTTCGTCTTTGGAGTTGAGTACGCCCAAAAAAAGGCTAAAAGTCTCCTCTGTTGACAGAAATAGCCATGCATGTTAGATAATAAATTCTGCAATTTGGCCCAAAGCGGAAACGCCGCATAAATGCCTTTCAATAAATGGGGTCCAGAACAATCAATCCGGAATACCATTGCTTATATAATCGTGCAGCAACTCTATCGACACGCATATGGAACACCGTTGGGAAGAATTCACATATTCAAACACTAAATTGCATGTGCCAGCGTCAAAATCAGCAAAAGTAATTACATACGTGGATATATGTACCAACCTCACATATATTCCATCTCTATCATTACCATTGGAGAAATTATGGTATTTGGCCTATATTAGTTACGGTATATATTAAATGTAATACGTGAGATTTGGGCAAGTGTTATAAGCTGAAAACAATATGTATCTCGGTCTGTAGATGTGACGTGTCTGAATAATAAAAAATAGGTTTGAAATAATAGATAAATAATTGGTGCACTAAAAAATCAAATTATACACACATATATATACTCAAATACACACAGCTGATTCTAATCTTATTAGCAATTATTCTTATGGAAAATCAAGCTTTAGTATTTGAACATAAAACATATTCACAATATATACACCACAGTTAGCTTTCCTCCAATAACTACGTCACAGACTTTCACACTATATGTGCAACTAGACCAAAAATCCCAGGATACACCCTGCATATATCTTATACTGAGCACGTGATTAGGGTAAATTTTGTACCGCCCTCTCTTAGGTGTGTATTTTTCGTCCCGACTAGGAAAACTTTTCCCAACCGCTGGAAAAGCAGTCCCGTTGAAAAAACAGTCACTCAACGCTTTCCTCTTCTACTGAAGCCCTTTGTTTTGATTTACCCCAAGGTTGCATCTGCTAAAAGAAGGTTGCATAATCTAATATTACCCCATATCTGCACACTTAGCCTCCCCACAACTGACACCAGCGTATACAGAGAGATCCCCCTTATCTCTTTGTCCTCTCACTTGTGTCGTTTCTCTAGGGCCAATTGCGCCTCCGCCAGCCCCTTATCCAAAAACGTAAACAAACGAGACGCGTCTTTGTTTACATTTCGCCCCAGCACCTAACACTAACTACACATACCCAACACACATACCCGCACGTTTATTGAATGTCACAGCCGTTTCCGTATAACGAAGATGAAGCGGGGACCGAACTGATGGGCGGTCAGCTCAACTTGGACGATGCCATCAACGAAGCGCTCGCCAGTATCACGGACCAGCTCGTGCCCAGTGAGGACGCCGGTGACATGTTCAGCATGCCCGCTGAGGAACTGGAACAGCCAGACGAAGCCAGTTCTACCTCCATTAATGCTGCCTTTGACGGTGTTTTTGGCGGTAGCATGGAAATTGACCCGGCTGAGGAAGATTTTGACCATGATGCGCTCTTCGCCAACGCCATAGGCAACGCGTTCAGTGAGGCTATGAACGAGGAAAATGAGGCTAAGGAGCACGAGGAGGAAGCTGTATCTGAACCTGAGCGAGCACCCGCTGAGGGTGACTTTGACACCGACTTAAGTGCAGCGATCGGCGATGCTCTCAGTTCAGTTTTTAGCACAGACATGGCTGCCGTTGAGCAAAAAGCAGAAACCTCCGGGGAACCTCAGGGCACACATGAAACACATCCGCAGAGCGTAGAAGAACACCCAGATGAGGAACAACTGCAGACAGAGGAGCACACACAGACTGCTGAAGAAAAGTCACACGCGGTGGATCACCCACAAACGCCCGAACACGTTGAGACTCACGCCGCTGGCTCTGGCCACGGAGATATAGATTTGGATGCCGCCTTCGCCGATGCCATTGGCGATGCTTTCAGGTCGCTCAACTATGGTGAGGCCGGTTCCTCAAAGGAGCAGGGTGAGGGACGGCATGAGAGAGAAGATGGAAACAATGTGCTTGATGATGTTGACATGGAAAGCGCTATTGGTGATGCCTTTAAGGCTCTTCACCAACTGCCAGCGTCGAAAGCTCAAATCGAAGTGCCACCAACCCAGGCACAGTCGCAGGCTAAGACAGTCCCGGGTGCTCAAGCCAGGATCCAGACGACTCAGTCAAAAGCCCAGGAAAATATCCAAGATAGGTCCCAAGCCCCGCTGACACAGTCTCTGACCCGGCCTCAGCCGCTGACGCGACCTTTGCCTCAGTCCCAAGCTCAGGCTGCGCCTGGACCCTCGCCTGACGTTGACGATGAAGGCGACGTCGATATGAATCAGGCGATCGGCGATGCGTTCATGGCGGTAATGAACCAGCAGAACACATCCACGAAAGACGTCTCCATGAACGACAGCTACGACTCGTACGACTCGGACTCCAGTGAGGACGACTACGCTGCTGCGCTCGGTGATGCTATCAAGGAGGCGATGAACTCCGCACGCGATGGCGACAGCGAAGTGCAGGCGGGCCTCACCGCGATGCAGAGCATGGCGGTCCAGCCAATTCCGCACGACCTTCTCCAGTCGCTCGCACAGGAAATTACATCACAGGTACACTCGTCAATGGAGGAGAACGCGTTTGACATCAATGAGGATGATTTGGCGTTGCAGTTCTCGCAGTTCCAGCAGGGCCACGCTGAGAACGACGCGTTGGAGACGGCATTGGCGCAGATGGTGCGTAATGTGGTGGAGAGCAGCGTGGAGGAGCCGGAGGCAGACGAAACGGGCCTCAACCAATTACAAATGAACGCGATTCTCCAGAATGCATTCTCGATGGCGATGGAGAACCCGGAGACGTTGCTTGCAAACTTGAACCTCGAGAATGAGGCAGAGGCAGCAGTGCTCCAACCGAAGCGCAAGGAGAAAAAGAAGAAGGAGAAAAAGCCGGCGCAGCCTACGAAGAAGGAGCTTGCGGCGACGCGGCGCGCGGCGGCCAAAGCGGAGAAGGCGGAGCGTGCAGCGCGTCTCGCGGCGGAAAAGGCGTCCGCAAAGACGAAGGCAGCCGAGGCGAAGGCAGCCAAAGCAGCGGCGAAACAGGCCGCGGCCGCGGCAAAGGCCGAGGCAGCGGCCGCGGCGAAGGCAGCGGCGAAAGCGCTCAAGGCCGCGAGCGCCAAGAAGCCTGACCCCAAAACTGTCAAGAAGCGCGACGGGTTGTCGATCGCCGAGACTCTTGCACTCTCGCGCCTGTCGATGTCTGGCCGCCGCGATTACGCGAGCATCCTGTCGTTGGAAGACGCGGTGCGTACTGACACTAAACGAGCCAGTGCGACCGGTGTAAAGACGCGGCCCACCAACTTGGCAGTTGCGCTTAAACAGATGACGGACGCGTTGAACAAGAAGACATACGAGTCGGCTGCAAAGACCGTTGCAGGCGACCAGAACATGCTCAATGCGTTGAACGTAGCAAGGCAATTTATCTCGTCGCAGAAGGAGGGGAGCATGAACCTGGCGACGGTTGCCGCGATGAATACCGCGTTGGGGGTATTGAGCAAGACGTTGGGGCTTCCGGCGTTGGCCACAGGTTTGACTCCAGGTTTGGCTCCTGGTGGAGACAAGACTGATAGGAGCGAGGATGGTAAAGTGGTTGAGTTGGATTCCAGTGATTCCACTGAGGCTAACGGCTCTACTGGAGGTTTCGTGGATGCAGAGGATACTTCCAATGGGTCTGCTGGACCTCCTAAGGACGTTGGTGCTCCTTCCGGGACTAATGGTAGTCACGCGATTAGCACCCTCAATGCCACCACCATCTCCTCGATCACGGCCGCAGTCACAGCAGTCCTCTCAAATCTCAAGAAGAACAAGCATTCATCGCCAAAGGTTGTGCTAGACGCTCCTGCTTTAAAGGAGAAGATCCGTATTGGCAACCGTGAGCGCAAAAAGCGCTGGAGAGAGGGCAATCAGGACCGCAACAAGGACAACGACTTGCGTGTGCGTGTGCAGAAGCGTGCAATGGTGATGTTTGGAAAGGAGGACTCCGACAAGAAGAAGGCATGGGTTGAGGCGGAGTTCAGCAAGCGCCGCGAGAAGCGCATGAGTCGCCTGAAGCGCGATGACAAGCTAGAAGTAGCGGCGAGACCCGCGGCGCGTGAGCCAAAAAAGCGCAGCGATCGCCCGAAGCCGCCACCCGATGCGAACTTGGTCCAGAGCATTACCAGTATCTTCAACATCTTCAATACCGGTGCCAAGGGTGATCCGTCGTCGGTACTCACCGCGACTGCGACTGCTGCGGCCGCGGCATACGCGTCGTCTGCGGGGGCGAGCAAGGACCAGGCGCTGATTGCGTCTGCCGTATCTACGATCATCTCGTCGCTCTTTCATCCCCAGACGCTGGCTACTGAGGTTGAGAACATTGCAGGTGTACCTACAGGAAAAGTCTCAAGCTTCAAGATCAACGCGGAGCCGTTGCTGGTGCGTCTGGCGTTGAAATCGCGCGCTCCCGTACCGCCGAGCATGGCGCCTGATCCGGAGTTGACGTCGCTTGTGAAGGCAAAGGCACCGGCGGGGGGTTCGTATGCTCGCGGAAACCGCTTTGCAAAAGAGCTGGGCCCGAAAGGAGTCCAAAGTTCACTCAAGCGGAAACTCGATAGCCCTGAGCCAGAGGCGAAACGCGGACGGTCGGTTTCACCGAGGAATGAGAAGTCAATGCCGTGGGCGACGAGTTATTTCAAGCTTCCGCAGTATAAGAAGCCGGACACACGGGAGACACGGGAGGCAAAACCGACCGCGCTTGCTGTGCCAGTGACCAAACCTGTAGCGATAGCTGTGACGACGCCTCAGGTAACATCTCAAGCGACAGAGGCGACAGCCCAGCCGCTGCCTCAAACCATATCTCAGCCTCAAGCCCAGCCCCAAGCCCCAACACAGGCCCTCGGACTGGTGCCGGTGCCCGCCCGCCCGGCCCGTTCTCCAGTGACGGGTGGTCTCAGGAAGCCTGGTGCGTTCCAACGACCACCTGCGTATGCTCGACCACAGACCTCACTCAACAAGCCCAAGTCTAAATCCATGGGTTTTCCGCGGATGCTCTCACCGACGTTCAAGCATTAGGAATGGGCATTACAAGCATTGTATAACTACTGTATATTAGATTAGGTTACGGTTAATGGAATTTTTGAAACAATATAAAGTAGAAGTCAGGAGGAGCACAGAGTAGCGATCTGCTTGACACAGATAATCGAAGATGGTGTTAGGTAAAGTGCGTCAAACAAATATCCTCGGAGCCTTTAGTGGGGAAATTGATGGGGCCGAGTTAGGGGTGGCATGTTTTCCTTTATCTTCGTTACTCTAATGTATAGGACTGCTGTTCAGACCTCTTTTTAGGTACCATTAGCCGTAGCCAAGGTTGACAAATATAGCCAAAATTAAGCACATCCGCTCTACACCAATGAGATATTTATGTAATTTCCATATCGCTTAGGGAAATTTGCTAGCTTAGTGAATTTTCACTATACCTTATAAAAACATACCAAAACTCTGAAACCTTTCAGAAACGTAACTCTTGAATTATATTCCGCTTGAACGGGATTATACTATATACTGATGTCTTTGATATTATTTTCTCTTCATTAGTGAGAAACCCATAGATTGATCCAGGATATAGAGGTACGTATTCACCGACCTTTACCCTCCTCTTGTCTCAGAGCAGTTGGAAAGTGGTCGGTGAGTATTCTGTCAAAACCTGTCCATAAGATGCTTCTTTACCAGTACTATGATGGGGTTGGTTCCTACAAACAGCACAGCCTAATTATATGAATGATATTCTGTAAAAGTATAATTATTGTCCATCTTTTCATCCCTCAACTTTCATAGCCCTTTTTTTATGTGTGTAGTAATAAGTCATTTTTGTCCTGTTTATTTCTCCCTTTTTAGTAAATAGAGATAATGGAGGAAACATCTCAGAAGTGATAGGCCCTAATGATTTGGAAAAGGAAGACTGGTTATCTGTGGCGGCTTTATTGCTAGGCTACAAAAGTCAAGGATCAAGGAGTGTTATAACGATAATGGATGCATAATAACCCCCTGCAATACCCACAGAAACTCTATCATCTCAGAAATATAACCCTAAGACCACGTTCAATTCACCAGAGCCTGTGCCGGACCTTGCCGGTAATGGACTTATCTCTCCTATTTTCACTTGGGGTTGGACAATAACCATAATTTTTTTATATAGAGACTTTGCGTCCTCTCTGAAAATTTATTACTTCGTGTGACCATCCCAGTCACTGGATGCAACCTCTGACAATATGCATAACTTATTCCTATATCTCTTCCGTATAACAAGCAGCTAGCTACCCGTCCAATAATGTCAGAGTTAGAGAGTTGTTTCAGGAACCTTATGAGGTTCCAGTTGAGGCTACTAGGATTATTTGATAATGAGTATCTGAAACTAATCCTGTCGCATAAAGCAAATGAGGCACCGAAGAAAGCTATATAAGGAAGTAGTTTTCCAGATCTAAGAATGATCTTGGTTTTAATATTATCTTTATTTTTGTGGAAGATCACGATAAGTAACTTGTGAATCAATGACTGATTACAACCCCCCGACTGGAATACCAACAGGCGCTGGAACCCTGACAAATAATGTAATAATCCGTGATAGTTTAGTGGCTAGAATCCCCGCTTGTCGCGCGGGGGACCGGGGTTCAATTCCCCGTCGCGGAGCTTAACTTTTTGCCAGAGCACCACTGGTTTGTTGATCTTTATGCTTGTCGTTAGCCAAAAGGTTAGAAAACACGAGAAAGTCTCAATCGGGTGAAATCATCAGAGAGCTAAATAGGGTTGTGGTTCAAGCACTGGAGACGTGGAATCATGGTATAGGGATCTAGCTACCATCTCCCCTCTCGAGGAACACGGACCGCGAAACGCTGTGTAGGCTGTACTGTGATATAGGTACATCTATCATATATATTATTGACCTGAAGTGGCTAGTGCCCAGATTATTCCTAGGCCATGTTACATGGATATTGTGGATATAATAGACCCTGAAATACCTTGAAGCATGAATCATTTTGAAAGTTGAGATCCTCTCGAAGGCATGCAAATAGAGATACAACCTTATACCGATTTTTATACTTTTCTTAAATACGGATAGAGCTCGTGGAAGGGGAGTCTGGCTGAATAATGACCAGGCACGCTGATATGCTGATTGAACATTGGTACTACTGTTTTGATCTATAGGCAAAGATCAACCTCCCGCAAACATCCTAATTAAGAACAATCCTTAACCATCAATGCTTAAATTATCATAGACATACGAGGTATAAACTCGTCTCAACTATCGCTCTTCTAACCTTTGCATAAGGCTAAATCTCACCTGAATTAGCAGATAACAAGCCAGATATACCACCGCAAACCCTTTTATAGGCCTGAAGCCCAAATGAAATTGTAAGCTATATATTTATTTAAATATAAGCAAGCATTGGAAAACCACAAACTATTGGAGTGAAAATTCTTCCCAAATCGGTAACAGATGCCAGACTCCAGTGAAGATATTCAAGTCATACGTATGGGTCAGACGCGTCTCGAAAATGCGCGCGCGCCTGAAAAATCTGGAGTCAGATTCGGCCTCAAATTCATATACATGCAATTCATACACAACACTAGATCAAATACCCACCAGACTCACATCCATCACCTACCAAAGCCTAGATATCCGATGTCTGAAACCGAACATATCCAACAGACGTTAGAAAACGATACACACGCGGAAAAGCCGCACTTGGACGAAGACGAGGAAGATGTTTCCGGAACCATCTCGCTTCCGGTGTCTCGTATCAAGAAGATCCTCAAGTGCGATCCGATGTACGTGTCTTCCTCCAATACCGCTGTCTTTTCCACCGCGGTCGCGACCGAACTCTTCATACAGTATTTCACCGAGCAAGCGTCGTTGATTGCGCGCGCGGATAAGCGCAAGAAGGTCCAGTACAAGGACTTCGCCACTGCGGTCCAGTCCATTGAGCAGTTGCACTTTTTGTCAGACACAGTTCCGAAGACTGCGCCCTTAAGTCTGTTGATCGCGGAACACAGGGTGAGCTTGCCGAAGGGTACCGTCAGCGAGGGCGTGCCGGAGGAGGTCGAAGAAGAGGAAGAGGAGTACAACGAAGAGGAAGAAGCGCCGGAAGTGGAAGAAAAACCGGTTCTGGCTAAGAAAGTGTATTCTTTACCCAAGGGACAACAGACATTGTCGTTTTTCACGCATCCAGCCGAGCCACTTAAAGAAGAGCCAGTCCAGACAAACGAGGAACCAGCCCATGCTAATGGCGAATCGGTTATAGAGGTAATCGAGGTCGAGTCGGAGCCTGTGGCTGATGAAGATGTTGTCATGGAGTAACCAGTAATGATGCTACTAAAGAAATCTAAAGGTATTAGGACATACGCAGAATGAATCCACTTTTGCACTCTGTTGCTGTACTATATAAAACATATATCTGATATCTAATGACAGAGGAAATAAGTAAAATCATATTTAAACACCGCATAACTATATTAAAATGAACTACTGGATAAATCATAGGGTTAGCGGGTACTTAAAGCTGAACGGTGGCTTGGGTTATGTCCATTCGCGTGCAAAAGCAGCTGGCGCTTAATAGTTACATGAACCGAAGCTCCGGCGGGGAACTTTCCATCATGTACCACTTCCCAAGTCACCGCCCCCAGTTAGCTACTCCTAGCATATCCTTAGCCAATAACTATATATGGCTTCCCTCCTGTCAATCCAGTATCCTTTGAGCCATCTTTTTTCTCAAACTTCACATCTAACTACGTCTCTTCTTGCCTTGTTTTATTCTTGACTGGCTATGTACACATACCGCGACCCGCGGCCGTAAAGAACAAAGTAAAACAAAGAGAAATGACCTTTGAACGAAATCTACCGCAAACATGGTTATAAAAATAAATGCAACACCCTAACCTCTCTCGATGTACTTGTTATCGACCAACTTAGACTCAACCTCACCGTGCTCGATAAACTCTTTAATCTTGTCAAAGTTCAACTTGGAGTCAATCATACCCTTAGGATAGCCCTGGAAGTGGTGCTTGATTTGTGGGGTGTTCATGCTGACTAACGGCTTCAAGGTGCATGCGCTCAAATTCTGCGGGACAACAAAGGTTCTGACCTTGGACCAGACGATCTGGTAGGCACCCTTTCTGGTGTGAATACCAACACCCGAGGAACGGGTACCTTTGTAGTAGTTCTTGTTACCCTGCTTGGTGGTCAACTGGTGTCTCTTGGACCCGGTCTTGTGCTGTCCGTAGAAGAGGGTGCCGTCTCTAAACTTCTTCCATGGACGGGTTAACTGTGAAACAAGGGATTTCTGGAACTGGAGGACTTGGGAGGCTCTCATTGCGTGTTGTGTGGTAGCAAAAGTTGAGCCAGAGGTGTAGCTGCTCAAATAAAGCCGATTTTTCATCAAGTCTCAGGTTGAAAAATGCGCCGCTTATGTAAGCGGCACGTGATGAAGCCCCAGCCAAGATTCAATATGACGACATACAGACAACGACAGTATTCGTGAGGGACTGAGAACATTGAGAGTATATGTGGTTGAAAGCCAAAAATAAGATGTTCTTTTTCTTTAAGGAGTATATACTAGGTCCGTGTCCAGTCTTAGTTTCCTGTGCACACAGGGTTTAGACGGCTTAAATGACGTAAATGAAGCCTATGCAACCTTACGTATACAGGATATTACGAATATGGGTCAGATTGCTACAAGGAGCTGGTCAGAATGGTCTTTAGTATGGTCCTATTGTACCACTCTATATATACAATTGAATTACGATACAAAACAAGCTAAACCATGCACATGCACAATGTGAGTAATACTTTTCATTATGGTGATGTCTCGGTCGCTGACAGTTTCTAGTACGCTCCGCCACAGCAGCCTTCCAACACGGGCACTTTTCCACCTCAGGCTTCTTACAACTCCCCGCACAGAACTCCTGAACCAAAATATCCATCGGCCCCTACCCCGTATGTGAATCCGAGATTTTCAAAGACCCACTCCTTGGGTAGCAAGGTTTCCTCGCACCTCGACCAAAACAAGATTGAGAAGGGGAAGAAGGTGCTTGGGTTTCTCAAAAAGGTGTTCGAGTAAATAGCTTTCCCCTGAGAGCTAGTAGATGGCATATCTTTTTTGTGTACCGCTTAGCATAACCTAGATGTTACCTCGGACCTCTTTATTCTAGTCTCACTTTTTCAAAGACTATCCATTTTGGGGCCGGGCATGAACTCAAGTAACTCGTATAATATTAATATGACTAAATGTGTGCTCGGGAATAGTCTGGCCTAGGCTCTGTGTGATAGATGCTCTCTCAAACTTTTAGCTTTAAACTCACTATTACCCCTATAAGAACTCTTAGAAGTTGATTAGCCTGCCGCTAGCTACATGTGGTTTGAGGAACCGTTAGGCTAAATGCCGATGACTCCTAGCCTGTCCATATACGTGTTTTTACAAAAAATTCCACAGAAATACTTTTACCAGAGAACCAGGCACCTCGGGGTATTAAACAGAAAATTTAGTGACCTATTTCTGGAAATCTCCAGAGCCTTGAATCGGGCTTGAGAACTTCTGCATATGAAAGGATAAGGAATCGAGCTGGGAGACTTAGGCTCTGGTGTATATGCACGGAAATTCATCTCTACGCACAAAGTAGAGGAGCATAAAGATTACATTGTTTATCAATACAAGGACCGGCTCAACTACCGGCGATAATTTTTATTTCCGCTGCTTTCCAAACCAGTACAGGCAGATTTTGCCTTTATTCTAGGTCACGTGCACATAATGCCTTCCTGCATTTTATTACTGTACAGGAGATCTTGGCCTGGTGTTTGCCGCTGGATCGGATATCACTTGATACCTCCTTGCTGGTATTTTTATGGCACAATTCATGAGATAGTTTTCATTTTACAAAGCTGATTAATTTACACTTTTAAAATCTTCCAGTTACAGACTAAATATTATCCCCTACAGTGAACATTATTAGCCTTTCTGCCACTTTTGATTCCAATGCCACTCTCCAGGTCCATGGCTCGGGGGATTGGCAGATTGCCATTTCACCCACAACATATTAAGCCGCAAATTTCACTTAGGAGATTCTCTAGCGTTGTGACCTACAGCAAGCCCCTCTCCTTCAGATTCTATAGCCAGCAGTCACGTCACGACCACAGATTCATCGAGTCTATCTCCGAAGCCATTGCCACAGCCGGGGTTCGCCAGCGTACGCCTGTCTTCAAGCCTTTGGTCATCAGTTTTTTTGCCGGGATCGCAGTTCTCGGTGTCTATGTCGTTTACCAGACCACAGTAAACCTCCAGACGGTCTTCGTGCCCCTCTGGCCGCTCCCCAAGTCCAGGCCGTTGGATCTGAGCGATGGGGACGTCAACGTGACGAAGATTCAGGCATCAGCGGAGCGGGTTTTACTCGAAAGGCTTACCCTGAACGCAGTAGTTCAAGATTTGTTCGGGCTACCCTTAGCCGTGGACAAGTGCACGGAGTTTTCCGTGTGGGTAGAGGAGCACAAGCATGGGGTATGGGGCATTGAGTTTAGACCTACCTTCCTCACGGTTACTGCAAAATGGTCGCCCATCCTGGTGAGGTTCGGTACTCGTCGGTTCCTGATCAGCGATATATGGGAGAAGGTGGTGCTACCAATGGGGCTCATCCCTGGCGGGGGCACCGGCAAGCCCAGTGCCTTTGGAAATGAAGACGGCCCGGCCATCCACGAGGTCCCTGTGACCGACAATGCAAATAATCCCGTTCGGAAGGAGTATGACGTGGTACTCTCAGGGCTGGTCCCTATGGCCACTTCGAGGCCCCGTTCCGTGAAGGAGGGGCGCGTGCTTGTGAGATCTGGGAGGGTTATTTTCAAGGGACTCGTAGACTTCGAGCACCACCAAACAGCCAAAGTGTTGGACTGCGACTTGGTGATGGAAGTGGACGATGGGGAAGGTGGGAAGAGAGTGGTCACCAAGCACTTGTGGTGAGTACGTTGAGTTAGCTTGTATACAGTCAGTAAAGCCGAATCATTGAGTTGTAGGAATGATCAGAATGGATAACTCTTTGTGAAAGTACAGCGACGTAGAAGGTAGAATCCATAAAACTGCGAATGAGAGTAAGTAAATAAAAATTCGGGGCAGTTAATTGTGGCGGCTATGGCCTAGAAGTTAAAGATGCCACTTAGTGCATCATATTCCAGGACTCTTGTGAGATATGGGAAATCCTACAATGCTAGCACCGGAGGGGAAACACAAACTTTCAAAAAAAAACTCCAATAGACCAGTGAACCACCAGTTCTAATATATTAAATGTACACTAAAAACATTTGATAATACCTAAAGGCCCTAAAAGCACTATCATAACTTATCATTCTCTGGCAAATTTGCTAATAATGTTCATATACTAATAATACAATAACCCTTTAAAACCCGTCTTCGTCATCCATCAAATCTGCCCAATCCATGTTCTTGACATCGGCAACCAACGCGTCCATTTCCTCAGCCGTCAAAATTCTGCCCTTCTCCACTGGCTCTTGCTCCGGCACCTTTTGAGCCCTGGGAGCCGGCGCCGAATTGGTTTCTCGGTGGCCCTTCGGGAATTCACGGTCGTTACTGAATCTGCGATCGGCTCTGCGGCCCTTATCATGACTGGATCTGTGGGGGTCGTGGCTAGTGTAGGATTTAGGAGAGTCGTGGCTAGCTCTGTGGGGCTCACTCTGAGACAGTTTGGCTCCCATTCCCAATCTTGCAGCGAGACTGAGGGCAGCGGGTGTCATGCTAGCTTTTGGTTTGAGTGCCTCCTCTTTAGACTTGGTTCTGCTATGGCCTCTGGAGTCGCTATGATCTCTGATAGACTCATTGTGGCCTCTACCGTGATCGGCTCGGAAATTATCAGAGTTACGGCGGAATCCTCTATTTTCAGTGTGCTCAAACTTAGCGGGTCTGTCTTTGGAAGGAGCCACGCCTAAACGGCTAGCCAAGTTCCCAGAATCTCGGCCTTCGATATGGTGGAGCTTGTGCGCGAACAAGTCATCATCCTTTGAATTAGAGAATCTGCGTGGAGGTTTTTCACTTCTGGATGGTTTCTCAGACCTGTAAGGCTTTTCATTTCTGACTGGTTTTTCACTTTTAACCGGAGAAGCTTTAGTTGAGGTGGCTTTGATCGGAGCAGTTTTGACCGAGTCCAAGGAGGCCCATCTCGATACCAACACATTACTTTGAGCAGCGGGCACCAGCGGTCTTGTCTTTGGTGGGGGAACTTGATTAACAGTGGGGGTCTTGGGAGGGGAAACAGTCTTTGGTTTGGTGTCTTCGGCAGTGGCCCATTTAGAAACAAGTGGGGACTAAAGTGTTAGTACGGATAATATAATCAATGGGAGGTCACTTACAGGCATGATATGTGAGACTATAAATAATGTGTAGCTTGAATATTGATCTGATGGGGGACATACAAATGCTTGACCTCCTGCTCATCTGTGACATTTTCCAATGGAAGTTTGATCCTGCACAAACGACCATTGAATTCTCCTGGCGCATACAATCGGTGACGAACGGTCTCAGTTCGTTTAGCCCCCTGCACGGACGAGCTTATTTAAGCAGCCACTTAACCCTGATGTTGCTATAAAACAGGGACTCTAGACTTCATTCAAAATGTAAAAAAAGAAAACACCGTAATAATAATTTCCAATGAACGTTTTTAATGCGCTAAACCTGTTGATAGGACAGTACGAGCGCATGAACTGCGTGATTTGTGGCAATGAGTGGCGACCAGAAACAAACAGCATGCATATGCATTAGGCATACTGGGGTCACTACGGTTCGCGCTGTGGGTCTTGGGCTAACAATTTGAGATAAGCGGTTTATTTGTATGGTACCAAACCTTGTTCCATGTGAATGCAAACAAGAATACACGCTTGAGAAGTTCTTCATTGATTGTGTAAAAATTCCAGAGGGTTTTGTTCACACATTATACCAGATGTCGCACATGCTCTGTATCCAACATGAGTCATGCGACGTAAACCTAGGCCATAGTTCACAGCTTCCACTATAGTGCAATCCTTCATTAGACTTGGGGCTTGAATCTCACTTTACATACTAAACAGATCATTTCCTAAAATATAGCGACTCTCTTTATCCTTTTCACTAGCGTTACAAGGACTTTTGCGGGCCAGTCTGGGGATTTCGCGGATATTTCTATTCCGCGAAATATTTTCCCCTGAAGCTATACGCCGAGCTTCTCCGCATCTGGCGGGCAAAACAAACATCGTACAACGTCTCAAGGGCCCACCAAAACTTAGAGATTTATCCACCAACCTCAATCAAACTCGTCATACCTCATTGCAGCTCCCTAAAACCCATCACTCCACCTTATTCTCAATCGTCTCTTATGTCCCAGATAGACACCATCCTCACTCTGCCTTCCCCGTTAAAGATCCTTTCGATCCAGTCGCATGTGACTCACGGTTATGTGGGCAACAAAGCGGCAACCTTCCCACTCCAATTTCGTGGCTGGGACGTAGATGCGCTCAACACCGTTCAGTTCTCCAATCACCCTGGCCACGGCCGTTTCACAGGCCCCAAAGCCTCCGCGGACGACATCCAGCAGCTTGCGCGAGGTCTCCAGGTTTTGGACGTACCGTACGCGGCATTACTCACAGGTTACGTGCCGGATGCGGCGAGTCTCGCGGCAGTGGGCGCGGTGTGTGCGGCATTGTGTCGCCGCCACGGGTCCGTGTGGGTGGTGGATCCGGTGTTGGGGGACAACGGCAAGCTCTACGTTAGTCGCGAGGTGATTCCCGTATACCAAACGATTCTTCGATCGGGCCACGTGACGCTCGCGACTCCTAATCAGTTCGAGATCGAGACGTTAGTCGGGCGCGAGATCTCCTCCTTGGTACATGTGGCGCAGGCGATGCGGCTATTCCACGAGATGTATGGCGTTCCCCACGTGGTGGTGACGTCTATCCATATCCCCGGTGAGAATCTGATATACTCTTCTGGGTCCTCGCGCGCTCCCGACGGCACTATCACCGCCTTTTACTACCGCATTCCGTTGATAGACTCGGTCTTTTCCGGCAGCGGTGACTTGCTCCTGGCATTGCTAACAGACGCGTTCTACCGCCAGCCCGGTGCCTCACTTGCCGAGGCGCTCGGTGAATCACTTTCCGTGGTAGAGAACGTGCTCCTAGTGTCACAGCGGGCTGAGCGGGAGAAGCTGGGCTCCGGACGTCACGTCAAGGACCTTCGTTTGATTGAGGCACGTGGGTTACTCAAAGGGAAGTGCAGGTACACTCCAGTTGAGTTTAATGAGTAAGCTGGGGGCTGAAAATACATAAGAGATAATTGGTTACTTTCCAAGCTCAAACTCTTGCAAGAACCATATACCCTTGTGTAGCGTTAAAAAGATATCTCGAGTTCGATGGTAACTGGAAGTTGATGGCTGACGGTGGAAAATATACCTTTATAACGTTATCATTGGATTTTATGACGGCACGATGTTCCTTTGTTCCACAAATGTATTGCAAGTTACACTCAAGGATAAATCATGGTCGAGGCAAATGTGTGCCCATTGATAAAACTACCAACAAACCAGATATAAACATGATAGCCATGCCATTTTAGTGATTATTTAAGCTCTTTTTAACACTTCATGAATAGTCTAAATAATAGATGGCGAGAATCTAGAACTGGATCTGAATGAACTTGGGGCTGACGGCTCTTTGGTCCAAGGGATGGGATGCACGTTTAAGTTATCTGCTGTGGCTTCTTGAAGATACACACAGTGGTCGTTTATAGCGCCAAAGATCTATAAAGTATCCCCATAATGACCCAAGGGACTAAGCAAATCGAAATTATCAAGCTTTAATAACTCCAAAATTGCTAGGTATAGATTGATAAGCTCGATTTAGACGCACACGTGTAATAAAGATTTGGAGCTAAAATACCCGGCCCTACTAGCTCGTTTCATATTTGAGAACACTTTATATAACATAAGGAATGCCTTTGCGAAACTTTTGGGCGTACAAAATGGAGACGTTATACAACCAATAATCTAGTGCTGGTACAATGGCGCTGGTGATCTAAAAGATTGCCCAACTATCTGTAATTTAGATCTCAGCATTGTACAATAAACAATATAGAATCGTGATATCTTGCGTAAAAATACATCGGAAATTACGAAAATAGTGGAATAGTCTATTTGTAGATTCAAACACCCCCAACCCTTACCAAATACACGGTTTGGGGATTCCACACTAATCTCAGCCTTACCCCCACAGCCACGTTTGCCACTGAGACCAGCACAACCAGGCCACACACTCCTTCAGCACCCTAAATTCTCCTCGCTATGATATAATATATTTTAAACACGTTCTAAGGTGACACTACCTGTCAGTCGTATCACAACCATTATAATAGCCCACCTCGCTTCGTTGCTCGCTATCACGTCACCGCTATAGCAACACACGTGACCCCATCGCTCACAAAACGATACGCCCTTGCAAACAAATACCCCAGGTCTTCAAAAGCTATCATCTTTACTCGTCCACGTCTACACTATTTTTGAAGTCTACACTAAATCATTACACATTATACTTACAAGTATCTCCTTCAAGCTCCAGTTTTACCACTACACAATAGCATTCACAATGCTTGCGCTCAAGGGTTGCCACCCGCCGAAGGAGCGCCAGAAATGGCTCTGGCGCACTGTGGTGTTACTCATTTTCGCCACGCTATTCATATTGCACAGAAGGCAAACGCCAAGTGAGATAAAGACCGTGAAAGTCCCAAATTTGGGCTCAGAAACCCCGGTATTGGACTTCGGTTTTCAGATCAAACATATCTTCCACCACAACGCCGGGAGACGACACCAGGTCCACCGGCGGTTGGACATAACGGAGGAGTTCATAGCGCAGCACGCGCTACGTTCCACAGAGGTCGCGGTGAATCCGTTTGCCGTCGCGCTCCCGCTCGCGGCGAAACCGCATTCGATTCGCCGCCTCGCGGAACGCGACCCCGACTTTATGGAGTCATACCTTTCATACGCGCTTAAAGCCGGCAGCGCGGGAGTCAGTGGGATCCATCTAGCCTGGAATGACGAGGAGATCCTCACGCCGAACGTAAGTGACCGCAACACCGTGCTTAACATGGCGATCATGGCTCTGGACGCGTACTGCGAAGTACCGGAGGACAGCGATTGGAAGGATGTCGGAAAACCGTGGAATTACACTGGGGATAGCTTTGGCTGGCAGGATGATGGTGTGCGGGGGCATGTGTTTGTGTCAGGGGATAATTCATCAGTGGTGATTTCGCTTAAAGGGACGAATGCTGCGCTATTTGCATTTGGCGCGCGCGCGCATGACGAAAGCTTTGCCGTGCGTGATGGCTCCAGTGAGACCGTCACCAATGACAAGCTCAACGATAACCTCCTCTTTTCCTGCTGCTGTGCTCGTGTCAGTTATCTCTGGACCACTGTCTGCGACTGCTACAAATCCTCCTACACATGCGACCAGGAGTGCTTGGAGAAGGAGATGGTGCGCGAGGACCGCTACTACCGCTCAGTACTTGACATCTACCGCAACGTCACCAACATGTACCCGCATGCGCAAAACATCTGGGTCACGGGCCATTCGCTCGGCGGTGCGCTCGCGAGTTTACTCGGACGGACGTACGGCTTGCCTGTTGTCGCATTCCAGGCGCCTGGCGAGCTCCTCGCAACGCGACGCCTCCACCTTCCGATGGCCCCTGGCTTGCCCACCTATATGGAGCACATCTGGCACTTTGGCCACACCGCTGATCCCATCTATCTTGGCGTGTGTAACGGCGCGTCGCTGTCGTGCTCGGTGGCAGGCTACGCGATGGAAACGCAGTGTCACACGGGGCTCCAATGCGTGTACGACGTGGTGACGGACTTGGGCTGGCACCTCAACGTAATGAATCACCGCATCCACACGGTCATTGATGAGGTGATCAATGTGTACAACGCAACGCCACAGTGTTTCGTGCCACCGCCGTGCCGTGACTGCTTTAACTGGAAGTTTGTGGTGGACGACAAGAAACCTAAGGGTAAGCCCACGATGAGCCGCGTCACCAAGACCCACACCACACTGGCCAGCACAACCTCCTCTGTGTGCGTACCTAGTGCAACCCTGGAACCGCGCAAGTGCTTGAAGCGCACGTGGTACGGCCTGTGCTACAAGTGGGACGACGGGTGCTTCGAGAGTGAGGTGTGAGATCTCGGAGAATGCTAGATGGCAGGTGGCTGGGATCAACAGGTGGGACCAGCTACGGAAACATATGGCTGAAGTAGACAGGCACCGTCATTTATGGTGCCACATACCATCCATTGGTTTGAGCCATCTGGTTAGCCGGAAAAGAACTAACTAGCCGGTAAGTTGTTATGCTTGCGGTTTAACATAGTACGAACATTGCGGTATATATCAGCTAGTCAACGATACTGTCTTTACATTAATTGATGCATTTGTTAGGCCCGAATTAAGTAAATTTTGGTGTAGACGTTAGCTACAGAAGATAAAGAATATAATCCATGGAGGTGTCCATGCGTCATTATGGTGGGCTAACAAGGGTATTATATAGTGGATACAACGCCTTAATAGGTTATAAAACCGTTGATTATACGGAGATGTACCACCCAATACGATTAATAGCTGTATTATTATACTGCCATGTGTATCAACAACATATCATCCTTTCGCCATATACGGGCGCTGTATCCTCCTCCTTCTAATAGATCTCACATCTATTTTAAATATTAAATTATTTTGTTATAGCCAGCCTACCTTACAGTTTTCTATGGATACATCCCAATTTGGTTAAGATATAGGAGGGCTGGTGCTGCATTCAAAATGGCATAGCCGGATAGTGTTCACGACCAGTTTTTCCAAGAGCTATCCGTGATAGTTTAGTGGCTAGAATCCCCGCTTGTCGCGCGGGGGACCGGGGTTCAATTCCCCGTCGCGGAGCTTTCTTTTTTTTCGTTAGGGTATCCCTGGCTAGCTTTCATTCGAGAAGCGTTCTTTATGATTTATGACGACTCCAGAGCGCAATAAGATCTCATAGAAAATACGACAGGAATTTGCTACTCGGAAGTGTTACACTTACTATACTGTGCCTTATGATTAAACCTGTAGGGGAATTCTAAGGCAAAATTGCATATGGTAGATTAAAAGTCAATGTTATTGGACAAACCTTTATACGACTTATGAAGATTCAAGTTCTTTTTAAGAAAACAATTAGAAAATAAAACATTAAATAATTCTAAATTTTAAACCAGTTTCCATATAAGATTGAATGAGAGACTCAGTGTCAATGTGTTGATTAGACACTAATTTAAGAAAGAAAAGAAACAGTGGATAATTGGAATAAGTGAATTCTGTTAATGGATAATGAAAAAGGCGTATTCTAACCTCATCTTTTAATAAGACAAAAAACTCAGGGAGATAATTTTCTTTATTTCTGCTTTTTAAATCGTTTTCTAAATCTGTCTCATTTTCAATACCTACATATTCGACTATTTCATTAATAAAATCATCGTCTTCTTCATTCTCATAAAATTCTTTCAATTCTGATCTTTTCTTGTTAAATGTATATACCAAAACTTTTTGCTTATGTATTTTTTTTCTTTGTTTCGCAGTGTACTGGTTGGTTTTATAATGTACATAGGGTAAGAGAGGGATCCACCCCTTTATATAGGTTATCGAACCCTTACCAGGTGACAGCTACACACTTTATACACTGTGCTTGAACTGCGAATATTCATACTTACAAACAATATTAACAGCTTGTGAGTTCCTACAATGCCGGTGAGTTGAGATTACCATCAATGTCCAACCTTACGCACAACTACCGCTGAACCAATACTTGTATCTACTGACCATCCGGTTTATCTTACTATATTTCAAATTGAAGTAAAGTACTTCATTAAACCCGGATGCTCCTTGCGAGTTCGAAATAAAGGCATTATCTACAACTTTGCACCGGTATGAATGCTGAGGCTAGCCACCAACCGGACTACATTCTGAGCGGTCCCGTAGCTGCTCTGGTAGCCCGCTCCACCGGCACCGTAGTTGTGAATCACCTTGGTGGCACCCAAACCGAGCTGTTCACCCGCCTGAACCTCGACTCTGATGCCCCCCTCTCTGGCCGGTCTGAACCCCACATAGGTTTTCAAGACCTTGATTTCCGAGGGGTTGCTTCTGTACAGTGGATCAACAATTTCTGGAACATACTTGACGGCTCTGCGCTTGACCCGTTCTACCAAGGCGGTATCAACGGCAGGGTTATAGCTATGGGCCACGGTGCACCCACCGATGATTGAGGTACCATCACCGCGTGGCATGACATAAAATGGCTCGTCTGGGTACTTGTCACCCTCTGGAAGCTGCACAATAGTCACGCTCTTCACGGTATTCGCCACAATGAGCACCTGCCCACGGATTGGATAGACAGCCTTGTCTTCCACGCCACCCAACGTGGCTGCGTGAAGCCCCGTGCAGTTGACCACGATGTCTGGCTGCAAGCAGAACCGCGCAGCCTCGGAGATATGCTCCAACTTGACCTTGTGAAACTTGACTCCGTGAGTGGCGCAGCGGTGGCGTAAAAACTGAAGGTAGGTGCTGGTGGTGATGACAACAGTGGTGAAGGAAAACCCGTACACGGTGCCTTCTGGCCACTCGCTCTGTGGAAGAACGCGGTAGTTTTCCACAACAGAGGCATACCAGGGCGTTTCAAAACTGTCATACTCCTTGGCGCTCAAAAAGACCCGGTTCTCCCGTACCACGATACCGGCCTTTGGCTCGTGGCGTGCTAAGCGGAGGAGCTCGAAGTACGACGCCTGATCGTATGCCTGCTGTCTGAGGTCATCGTTGGCCGCAAACGACTCCCAGTTGGCACCTGCAAACGGAGACGTGTACTTGTAGTGGATATCTCCTGGCGTGTGCTCTGCCACCACCGTGACGGCGTGACCCTTCTGGGCCAAGAGGCAGGCTGTGGTGAGTCCTGTCACCCCGGATCTGCTTGTTAGTATGGTTGTAGCAGGGTGGGGGATGAACTTACCCAATTACAACGATGCTTCTGCTCAATGTCATTTCTGTTTGTGAACGTGGAAGGAAGAAGGGTCGAGGGAGACATCAAAATCATATTATATGATCCAAGATAGGGTTCATCAAGAGCCGCGCGGCAATGCTGGATGCGTAAAATCGCGATCGTACGATAATCGTATGGCGGAAGGGATTGTCCGACGAGATTGTTCGACAGAATTTTCCGACGGAATTGTATTATATCTATAATTATAATGTCTATAAAAAGTTTGAAGGCTATAATCAACTGATATGCATTAAATCGGAGTGACTGGGCTCTTTTTTACCGGCGTATATTCCTGTAGACCACAGTAATACGGTATTTGGTTATACTAAGGAAGGGCAAGGGTACAGGATGTAAAGTTTAAAACAACGCCAGTTGTAAGAGGCCTAAGGAGGCAGGGTGGTGTCCCGGGGCTGAAGTAAGGTAGTCCGAGCCCAAAATACAAAGAGTGAGCTTCCGGTTCGTAAGAAAGGCCGTATCTTGTATTTGGATTCCCACTGGGATGTGCCAATTCTAGGATTTGGATTCCTTCTGAGGTGTATCGGTCTGGGTTCCTGCAAAGTAAGGATATGCTTTAAAATACGCCATGGCCCAGTGTAAGTGAGAGAGGCACGATCAAGGCCAGAACAGACATACAACGAAGGGAAATCACAGTGCAGGATTCACATAATGAGATTAGATTCCTATCTGCACATGTGCCATGAAAGAAAGAATTCTGTCAACCAGTACTTAGGACTTTTTCTTACTCCTCGAGTTTCTAGGAAAAACAAAACGCCTATTTAGTGGTACATTAAACTAGTTTAACAGGCAAATATAATTCACAAGTGGAAATGAGCGTGAAAAATAAAGACAGAAAGTATAAGCGTAGGGGTTACAGCATTTACGCCACATTATCATCTTCAGGATCCTGAGCAAAAATGCCAGCACTGAGAGCGCTTTTTGACTGATATACAAATACGTAGAGGGTGAAGGTAGCGATTACGGAGTTATGGGTCTTTGTATTATTGCCAATAGATGTAATTAAGCAAGGAGGGAATCTTAGGTTTGCACTAAGCAAACCTAAACTGTACAACTTCTCTTGCTGCAACCAGGATATGTACAATCAATACATGCCAGCGATTCGTTCCCGTGGGCAGCGCGTTGGAATAATAACTAGATCTAGTACCAATATTAGATACCCTAACAAAAACAGGTGGCATGGATCTGTTATACTTACAAGGGAAATATCACAGAATCCTAGGTACACTATAGTAAAGAGGTACTCAAGTCTTAAGAGGGCTTACATGTTAGCTCACAACTCTGCCTCCCATACGGGTGTAAGTTCAAAACAACACAGCACAATTTCAGTCCAACTATCCATTGAATTATATCACTCTGACGTGCATCTGACGTCCATTCTTTAATTATTTACTCCGGTTTCTTGCCGTTAACAGGTGCATGTAAGGCAGCATAAATCGCTTTAATGCCAGGTATACCCTATGTGATTGAACCTTACCCCCGTTCTAGTATTAAACCAAACATCTATCCATGTGATAACACTGGTAATTCAAAATCACTCCCAATGGATAATGGCCTGACATAACTTAGAACGTCTCTAGTGACAGGATACGGAATATAGGTCTTCTAGATAGGTTTATGGCCGCGAATCATTCCCTGGGTGTATGCATACAGCGCGTTAATGAAAATTTTATCTGCATGAAACATGCAGATAAAACAGTGCCAAGGAACTCTCATAGGCTGAACGTGTCCGCTTCAGAATTTCTTGACAGGGTTTGGATGCAGAGTCTCGCGTTTCTATCTCACCCTACCCTGGACCAATTGTGGACATCTCACAGGGATCTCAACCATTTTTTCGGTGATAGACGATACATGGTATCACACGTTCTTTAAAGCTTTTACCTCAACAGTTGAAACCGATATAGATCATTTGTGTATTGTACCCCAGCCACGGTATACTATCCTCAAATGATTCCTATAATAAAAGGCATCAAGATGTCGGACCTCCACAACAAGCTCCGCATCATCTCCCATCTGGCTTCTATGCTGTTCGCCAGAACATCCCAGAGACAGCGTCTTATGGGTATTATTGTCACTCTCTTCGTTTCCATGATGCTATTGATGCACCACACCTCCACCTCGACAGACTCCGGTGTGACTAAGAGCTATCTTTCCAACTCGTTGGATAAGTTAAATGGCTTCTACAAGGAGACGAAGAAGACGTACGTCTCCGACTACACTCAAATGACGTTTGAGGAAATCACTGATGCCTTAACCTTCAAACATAAGTCTGATAAGAGGCGTAAAGAAATCATCAAAGACAACATGAAACACTATACGGAATTTGTTCTGACCAAGATTAATGAACCCAAGACGGGGAACTTGGTGCGAGGCCCTGCGGAAAAGGAGGAATACGTCTTGGCTAACGCCACGTTGCTTGTTCTTGTACGTAACAAAGAGTTGGACGGACTTATCAAGACAATCACCCAGATTGAAGAAAAGTTCAACAAGAAGTTCCACTATCCGTACACTTTGATAAATGACGAGGCGTTTACGGATAACTTCAAGAAAAAAGTGGAAGAAGTTGCTTCCGGCAAAATCGAGTACGTTCACTTGACACCTGAGGAGTGGGGTACCCCGAGCCACCTTGACCAAAAGAAGATAGACAGAGCATTTGATATGATGGAGGAACAACATATCCAGTACGGCACCTTGCTCTCGTACAGGCATATGTGTCGCTTCAACAGTGCCACGTTCTACAATCTTCCGGCGTTAAAGAAGTATAAGTGGTACTGGAGATTTGAACCGGATACTGACTACTACTGTGAAATCGATTACGATTTGTTCAAGTTCATGGAGGACAATGATAAGACGTACGGCTTCACCATCAATTTGTACGATCACCCGATCACCGTGGAAACCTTATGGCGTGTCACCATGGAGTTTGTCAAGGAACATCCTGAATATGTTCATCCAAACGGTGCCTTTGAGTGGTTGACTAACGATTTGCAGAATCCTTGGCACGCGCTTTTCACGGGTGGCTACTCCGGTTGCCACTTCTGGTCTAACTTTGAAATCGGTGACATGGACTTTTTCCGTGCCGAGCCGTATACTAAGTGGATGGAACGTTTGAACGAAAACGGAGGGTTCTACTACGAACGTTGGGGTGATGCACCGGTTCATTCCATCGGCTTAGGGTTGTTTGCCGATAAATCAAAGGTCCACTGGTTTAGAGACATAGGCTACAGACACGGTCCGTATGCCAACTGTCCAAATAGTGACAAGTGTCGCGGCTGCAGGGCGACCGAATTTGGCCCAGAGAGTCTCTACACCGAGAACTGTATGGCCCAATGGATCGATTACTCAATGGTCGATAAGGATTTCGCACTCTATTGAATAAAGCGTTTTTCTGGTTGTATTTCATCAAAATCCATAATTTCCTGTCTTAGTTTTATAGTTTATTTCTGGTTTATTGTTTTGTGGAATTTATAGCTTTCAGGGCCAGTAAAGATTTTACTGGTTCTTCCAGAACCTAGGTCAATCATCAAACATAGATATATATTGACGTTTAACACAACAATGTAACGAAAATGGGACAGGAGTGTTTATAATTCATCGTGACTTACTTTAGTCTCTGAAGCATCACTGACTGAAGACTCTAGCAGTGTATTTGCGGTTGCTTCGGCGGCTTCAATGGGCTGAGTCTCTGTGATGTCAATGGCCAAAGTCTCAATAATAGGAGCCTTATTAGACAGAGGTTCTTTGGGAGTCTCACTAGTTGAATCTGTAACAGGAGTCTCACCGGAGGTCTCAGCAGGTGTTTCACTAGCGGTCTCAACTGGTGAAGTTGAAGTATCCGCCTTTGAAGTTTCATCAACAGGAGTTTCATCAACAGGAGTTTCATCAACAAGAGTTTCATCAATAGGAGTTTCGTCAACAGGAGTTTCATCAGCAGAGGTTTCATCAGCAGAGGTTTCATCAACAGGAGTTTCATCAGCAGAGGTTTCATCAACAGGAGTTTCACCAGTAGAGGTTTCAACAGCGGAGGCTTCAGCAACCCCAGTAACAGTAACCTGCGTAGCAGTTTTGACAGCATCTTCGAACCCCACATCTTTTTCAAGTAGAGATACCTCATCAGAATTACCACTAAAACTACCAACCAATTGAGATTCCGTGTCCGAAACAGTAGCATTGGAGCTAACCACGACAGTGGAATTACCAGGCACAAGGACTTCAGAGGCTACAGAAATTGCCGATTCAGTCTTAGAGGAGACTGCGGCAGTAACAGGCGTCACAGGGTTGACTTTTGATTCCGCAGTGGTGGAGACTTGAAAGGTAGCTTCCTTTGTCTCAACTGAAGACACTGATTCAGTTTTTAAAGATGACTCAGAGCTTTCGACTACAGTGGACACTGAGACAGGCTCTTGGGATGAGTGTGGTGCTTTGGTTTCAAGGGTTTGAGTTTCAACCTGTGCTGAATCGGAGCTAATAACAGCTTCCGGCTCATCGTATAATATATCCTCTCCCTCCACCAATATCTCGGCACCCACAGTCGGTATAACACTTTGGAATAATGCGTGGGGGGTGTCCATGTCCACATCGGCGGAAACTAATGATGCCCCACTGACTTCCACAACTGGAGTGGACACTGCCTTGGTAACAGTGAGGACTTTCACATAGGTATATGTAGATATCGAAACTTCGGTCCGGGTTTCGGTTTTAGTGCTGACAGAGACAGAAACACTTGGTGCGGAAGATGCAGAAGCCACCGCGTCAATGCCAGCAGGTTTAGCAGACGTAGAAACAGGTTGACCGACAGACCCAACCGACGAGGAAATAGGTTTGACGCCAGATTTAGAAGAGGAAATAGGGTTGACACCAGATTTAGAAGTTGAAACAGGTTTGACGGAAGAGGTTTCCACAGTGGTTTCTTCCGCCGGTTCAGTGGACACTGTGGTTGTGCCGTCCACGTCACGTTCTTCGATAGTGACAGTTGAGACATATGGGTCAGAAGAGGTGCTCTCAGGAATAAACGTAGCGTCCGGAATCTCTGAAGTGCTGGTGATACTAACAATATCGCCTTTAATGGTCAAATCCTCAGGGGCAAAGACCGAGGAGGTGACATCCTTGGTTATTTCAGGAACATGCGTGTCGGCCTTTTGGAACGAAAAGTAAAGCGACGAGTCCGGCCTATTCTTCTTCAAGTACTCGATTACCGGTTCATAGTGGCCATTGGCATAAATGTACTGCACGACGACCGCCAATAACGCGATAAACGCAAAGTTGTATATGGCGTTGAGGATACGCCAGATGATTGATACCGACGTAGAGATACCTTTTGGCAACTCTACGATCTGCACAGTTTTTGCTGCAGAGGTACTGACCAAATATTTGCCACTTGGCGAAAAGGCGACGCGGGTGATGGCAAAATTGTGCACCTTCGGGAAAACATGAACGCTCTGCAATTCCTCCACTTTCAATAGTGTGACAGAGGAGTCACTCCCAGCAAGCGCCACAAGACCCTCAGCATAGTCCATAGAGGTGATGCCCTTGATCTTCTTAGATACCACGCGGGACTTGAGAACCTTCTTTTTGGGCACAGAGATGTGTGCCACCACGATACCTTCACCTTTCTTCAACGCTGCGCCGATCACAATCCGATCGTTGTCAATGAACCGGATCTTGGACAAGGCCCAGTCCTTGAACTCGGGGATGCGCATGATGGAGTTTCCGGTGATGGGCGAGACAATTTCCAAGGAGTTAGCCGTAACGTATGCCAACGCCTTCCCGTCTGGACTGAAGTGCATATCCTTGACATCGCCACCAGTGTCAACCTCGTGTTCCAATTCCAAGGCCCTTCCCCTGTTACTGAGGAGATAGATGATCCCCTTTTCGGCAGAGGTGGAGATGGCTGCCGAAGATGCATCGGGCGAGAGGTACGTGCACTTTTGGTAGACGCCAACATCTCTGCTCGTGTAGATTTGGGCTTCTTCAACGAACTGCAAGTGGGCATCTTTGAAGGTGAACTTCTTGAGGTGCTTGTTGACCCCTGCGGCAATGCTGGCGCTCGACTGGTTGACGCCCACGAGGACTACATCGTTTGTAGCATCAATACTCATCGGCGAATCCTCGTGGTCGGGAAATTGAATCTCACGGTACTTTTTCAAGACTTTGGGCTTGTCAAAGTTGACACGGATGGCGGTGAGCTTATTGGGAATGCCGTTGCTGCCCTCGCCGCCGCCGCCGGTGACCAACAAAAGGTTGTCGTTCAAGAACTTGGCCCCGTAGATGGGGTATCCCACATCGAGACTAAATGTCTTTTCGAGTTTCATTGCAATGGAGATTGAGCAAGGAGGTTGAGAGTACAATTTCAAGGGGAGCTATTTTGTGTAACTGGCTATACGTTTTACTGAACACGACGGCTAATGACACAGCGAGATTGCCACATGTCGCCTGGGGAAGCACGTGACATAAACAATTTTCATACATCAAAACACAGATCAGAGGTCAATAGCGGCAAAAAGAATTCCCCAACGCAAAAACAAAACAATGTCGGACGTCACAGACTTTTCCGACTGGGCTTCCACACAATTTCCAGGTCTAGCGGAACTTGACTCGCTCCTTCGATGCTTTATCTGCAAAGACTTCCTCCGGGCGCCGGTACTGACCAGTTGCGGCCACACGTTTTGCTCGGCATGCGTGCGCAAATACATCTTTGACAACGCCAAGTGCCCATTGTGTCAGACGGAACAGTACGAGAGCGGGTTGAAGAGAAGCATTTTGTTGGAAGAGATCGTGTTGTGCTTCCTGAAACAGCGACCGGACTTGCTCCAGGTGCTACAGAAGCGGATTAGACCCAAGGCCGACGCACACGTGTATGATAACACCTCTTTGATTGTGGAGGTAAAGTCGGATGAGATAACTGATGACTGGAAGGAGGTGGTGGACGTGGAGGATGAGGTCACGGAGGTCCCGAAACAAGGCCTTACGTACACTTCGCGCAAGACGGAGACCAAAGGTACTGCCAGACCCAAAAACCTCAAGCAAACGTCTGTTGCTGTTCCCTTCAGGCAGGAAATGGTCGAGTGTCCGGTCTGTTCCAGCATCATGTCGGCGGAGGACCTTCAAACGGAGCACATTGACTACTGTTTAAACGGGGATACGCCGCCTCCTAAGATTCAAAAGCGGCCGCGGTCCTCCTTCTTTCCTAAATCAGCAACTCCCACAAAGTCTCCACCGTCTGTTCCTTCAGTGTCCCCTCCGCCTACCGAACCGGAAACTACGAATTCTGATTTCTACTTTAACGAGGCCGAGAAACACGCACAGAGCTCCGAGTCCCGAAAGTTACCAAAACTCAACTATATGGCGCTAAATAACCTCAAGCTCAAGGAGAAGCTTCAGTCATTGGGAATTTCAGCCGTCGGCACGCGGCCGCAGCTTGAAGCCAGATACAACGAGTACTACATTTTATTCAACTCGAACTTGGATAGTAGTCATCCCGCATCGGAAAGAGAACTACGTCACAAGCTCAACCAGTGGGAAGCCCAGCAAACGTCAAATGGAAATGCCAGCAGCGTCTTGTCCATGTCCCGGACTAGCAACGCGCGGTATATGAATATCGAAAGCAAGGAGTTTGATAAGAAGGGCTGGAACTGGAAATATAGTGCCGAGTATAGGGAGTTGATCGAGCAAGCCAAGGAGCACGCTAGAAGAAAGCGGAAGGTGGGAGAGACCGCATACGAGCCGGAGAAACGAACTAAGCCTAGTTCTCAACCGCAAGAGCCAGTTGAATTGCGAACTGAAACGATTACAGCGGTTGACGGAGAAAGCGGGGGAGACGAAGAACCAGTTTACAGGATGACCCATACCCAAGAGGATACTCTGTTTCTCTCAGATTTGGAAGCTTTCAGCGATGCCAGCCAAGTGCTAGCCCTGAGGATAGCTAGCAACCAGGATGGGTCTTGATCCACGTTATTTATTTCAGCCAGCTATCTGGCCAATGAACCTTGCATAATACACTCAATAAATCGATATTGAACATTCCCCCGAGTTAATCTGTTGATTGTCGTAAATATGCAGTTGATGGAGCCGTAAATACGGATTATCACACCAAATAGGTTTCAGGAAAATTGCAACATCAGCTGGCTTCAAACTTTACATCCAGATCTTACAACCGGGTCGATGATTGCGTAAACGCTGAACTAAAATTTGCATGTCACCCATTGCTCTGAACATAGTATTTCTTCAGAGTTTGAGTTCAACTAAATCAAGATTCAGTCTGAAGGGTTCAGATAAGTGGTACTGCCCCTAAATAGCAACAGGTTAAAGCTATGCAGAACAGCTATCTCGATTCCGATAGGGCGTGCACTAGGGTCTGATTGTCTGCGCGTACACTATCCTGATTTTCAGCAACTGGCTGATAGAACGTCACTCTATTATTTCCATTCTGGTATCAATCCAGCCAGATACAGGAGTAGCGGAGTGAAACGGCACGTCTAAAACGAGCAAGATGCATGGATCACGCCAAGAAGGCGAGGGTCGAGTGAAACTGGACGCCCTGCCATATAATTAGTTCACGGTCAAGCATGAGACGACGCGCATCATCCGGAAGCCGCGCAAAGAATCTGCCAAGTCTACATGCCAAGCATACACCCAAACAAATCCATACGCCTTAATACAGGCCTATACACATAAATAGGGGTATACAATTCACCAATAGACCACTGATCGATTTTTATGCATTTATTACTGTCTTTTAAGTTTTTTTCTTTTTGCCAGCGCGTGAAACGCACTGCAATTGATCCGTGCAGGCCTAACGATTCTCGCCCCCCTTCCGCCGCACCACGTGCAGTAGCACAGAGCGTGTGCGGATCGAAACGCGCTGGCGGGAGGGGAGAGCGCGTTTTCATGTAAACAGAGCAACACAGCAAGCGCGTTTTTCTCGCATGACATGTGTTTGTGACACGCCCCAAAAGCTTTTCCCTACACCAGCTACGCATGTAATTTACGCCTAAAGATTAAGGAAGTCCGCGCATTTGTGCAAGCCCCAATTATATATCCTCTTTATTCGCCCTTAGCAAATAAGAACAACCAACTGTTTACAGATATCCAATCCACCCTCAACAACTGAGCTACTTCTAATAAGACCGACTAAAAACCTGACTCAATCACCAAACCAACCTTAAGGCCCGCTTCCAGTGTAACGCTCAGCCATCCACACCCCTCCTACATCCATGTCACACAACTTGAGTGGCTTCATGGCCAACTCAAGCCCCACCAGGATGGACGAGTGCCACGCCATCACAGACACGCCGTTTAGCAAAATGGGCTTTCGGACGCACCATCTTAGCACGCCGCCGCGCTCAACGTCGCGAACCGCAGCTACGCGCGGCACGCACAGTCCTACAAAGCACACAGAAGAGACAAAACTACTACTCTCTCCCGCGTTCTCATCGCCTGTTACGTCTGCTTCACACACCTCCAAGCCCCCGCAGCCGAGCTTCAAAAAGATGACGCCAAAGCTGAAGAAGAAGCCGTTGAAAATTGTAGAGGAAATTGCGCCTGACGGGTTGCCGGTCATCTCTGATTATGGCTCCGCCAAACCGCCCTACTCCTACGCGACGTTGATTGGTATGGCAATCCTTCGGTCTGAGGACCGCCGCTTGACGTTGTCTCAGATCTACCAGTGGATCATCGACTCTTTCGGCTACTACCGCAAGAGCGATGTGGGCTGGCAGAACTCCATTCGCCACAATCTCTCTTTAAACAAGGCCTTTATCAAGGGTGACCGTTCCAAGGACGGTAAGGGCCACTACTGGCTCGTGCAAGACGGCTATGAATCGCGCTTCGCCAAGGGCCGGTCGTCAAAAAAGAATGAGAAAAAAGCACGTACCAAGCCTGAGAAACGCGATGAGAAACTCAAGTCATCCTCACCGGCTTCCCAGGAGGACTCGCCGTGTCCCCAATCCAGTGACGTCTTTGATGAGGATTACGAGCCTTCTGTGGAAAAAACTCCAACCCACAAGATTATCAGCCATGACGGTTTTCACGCGTGCCACATCCCTACGATGCAGCTGTTGGATACCCCCAGCCCACGCCCTGGCTTGAAACGCGCGCGTACCACGATAGGCTTACAGCGCGTGTCGGCTAGCCGTAGCAACGAAGAGGAGTTAGTGCTCAAACGCCCAAAGCTCAACTCTGCAACCTCTACACCATCCCACTCGTCCCATTGGTCCCTCTCAGCTGTGGGTGATTACCACGGAAAACTCCCGGGGATTCACTTCGACTCACCCAGCGACACACCTGTTTCTCGGTGCTTCTACTCCAACAGCCGCGATTTGCCTCTTGCATCGTCTTTCAGTTGCACATCCAGTATCGAACTTTCACCTGTGAAGCAGAGCGAAACTGGCCCGCTCTTGGAGCCGTTGACTCCTGCGTCGCGCTTGAAGGTACCTAAGACGCTTCTCCGCACACCGCTCCACTCAAGCGTTCGCACGCCACTCCACTCAGGCATTCGCACGCCCGGGTCGTCAATCATGAAGCGCATTTGGAATTCGCCGTCGTATCTCGATGACTTTTACACGTCTCCCAGTGTCTCCCGCAACGGTGACGATGACATCATCGCCCGCGCCTGTTTTGGGTCTCCCAATAAGCGTGATATCCGGCGCAAGCAGTATTGGGACCATCTGGGGTCCGACATGGTAGTGTCCGACTTGTTTGGTGTGGACATTTGCTCTGTGGTGAAGCGTGCTATCGAAAGCGTCAACCGCACGAACAGTGCCACGGCTGACGGTGACCGCGACTTGACCGATGATGATGGGAATAACGCGTAATCTCATCCCACTACCGTTCCCCCGCACATTTGTGCCTATTCTTTATACGATTCGTTCGTTGTCTTTTGTTACTATTTGGGTAAGGTTCTTTATTTCTATGTCTACATTTTTTGTTCTCTTTCTCTATGTACTATTTACTTGGTTTCTTTTTTAATACAGTTCAGGGTCCGCTTTCAAGATTAGTAGAGCTTGCCAAAGGGTATGTTTTAAATGTGCCAGGGGAATATAGTTCTTAACCGACCTTGGGAGCTTAGGATTTACGTAAGTGTATTTATCCATGAGCAAGTTGGGTTCGCATACTCAATTAGAATTACGACCATTTGTATGCCTTTTGTCTACTAAGACCGTAGTCTGGTTTAGGATATGCTGTCCGTCGTTTCTGGGGCTCCAAGTCCTATCACGACCAGATTTTCCACCTCCACTGATATCCGATTTACTGATCCTTTTCTAACTTAGGGTTTTCACGGAGTACACTCCCTCTACGTATATTTGTCCAGCCTTAGTTTTCAATTCACATTAATCTTCAATATGTACATATATCTGTACGCATATCTGTCTGTATCTCTTGAACCTCGATTGGTTGCTAATCGTGGGTTAGCAACCAATCCAGATGTACCAATGGCCTAACGCCTGTTTTTTCCCAAGGCTCTATATTGCTAGGACCACTGAACAAATTCGAGTATTTGGATGGTCTTAGAACTTATACCTAGCCCCTGAGAACGCATCTATTTCTACCACCGGTAGATAATTTCTTAAGCATTAATCCGTGCTGGAGCAGCCCCTACAACCACAAGTGATGCACTGGATCTTTTTCTCTTCCAGGAGATCGTTCTTCGGGACACGGCAGATGCACGTGGAACCGTGGTTGTTCTCTTTCGTCTGGATGCAGCGAAGACAACACAAGTTCTCGTATCCCTGCTTGCGCCACTTGGCAATCAAATTGATATCACCATACTTGTTCTTCAAAAGCCAGTCATACAACGGCTTCAGGATGATTTCCTTCTTATAGTATAGGTCGTATATGTATCGCGAGCGTTGGTGGTGGATCTGGTAGATTTCCCACAAGATCTCGTTCTTCTTAACCGAAGAACTGGCTGTGGATTTTGTCTCTGCTGCTTTGAGCTTGTTGTTGAACTTTTCCAACAGGCTCTGAATGCTCTCAAAGCCCTCAGGGGCCTTCTTGGTGCGCGACGTCTTTAGCTTTGGCATGAATAGAGATTTGGTACGTGTGGCTGTTGATTAGGTGAACGAAAGTACACTCCAGCGATAGTAGACAATAATGTTAATGCACGTTAGCTATATATTCCAAATTTTTGAACTGAAAGATGCTGTCACAAACATGAAGTTATATCAACTGATGCTCGATAATGCCTCAGTTGAAAATTATCCGTGCAGGATTACTAATCGGATTTTTACCGTTTTTCGCTGGAAGATTCTATCTGCACACGGGCGGCTATTTTCAAATCTGCTATTCTATCAATTGTAGGCTTTTGCTTTTCCCTCTTCATCCTAGATATTCATATAATGCTGTCGCAACAAGAAGTGGACGACAAGGTCAAATTGTTGAACGAGCCTTTGCATGGGATCTACATTCCCGTGGGCTTGTTTGTCACCGGGTGTTTTATCGTGGGTTGTCTTTCCGATATTACGTTCGCGTACTACGGGTTGGCATTCCTCGCGGTGGTTTTGTCCGTCAGAGTGACCATGGCTCTTCTCAAGAGAAGTCCGGCGATGCATGATGTCAAATGGCAGGACTTTGAATTGGCTGAGACCACCATCATCTCCAAAAACTCCGCCATTTACAGATTCAAGTTGTCCCGTGAAGACCAGTACTTAGATATTCCCGTGGGTCACCATTTAGCCTGCTGCATGGTGTTGGATGGCAAGGACGAAATCAGATACTATACGCCGATCTCGTCCCCAATGGACCGGGGCTACTTCGACATCTTGGTCAAGTCCTACACAGACGGGAAGGTTTCAAAAAAGTTTGCCCATTTGAGAGAGGGTGAAACCGTCAAATTCAGGGGCCCGGTCGGCAGATTAGACTACGTTCCAAATATGGCCACCGAGATTGGTATGATTGCCGGTGGTTCCGGGATCACCCCAATCTTGTCGGTATTATCCACCATCGTAACCACCCCAGACGATGTCACCAACGTCAACTTGCTCTACGCCAACGAGACCGAAAACGACATCCTATTGAGAGAGGAGCTCGACGAGTTTGCTGAAAAATATCCAGGCTTCAAGGTCAACTACACCTTGACGACGCCACCAGCCAACTGGGACGGCGAGACCGGCTACATCACTAAGGAGATGATCAGAAAGTACATGCCAAAGCCTAGTGCCGAAAACAAGTTGCTCATCTGCGGGCCGCCGGCCATGAAGACTGTCGCCATCCAGTTGACCACCAGTCTCGGCTGGAAGAAAGCTGTCATGCCGTCCAAGTCTGACGACCAGGTCTTTATCTTTTAACTGTGTTAAGAAAATTTAATCAGCTTACATAAGGGGTTGGGTAGGAGTAGGCTAGGCGTAGACATCTTGAGCAGTAAAGGTGATAGAATACAAACCGCACTGGGTGCAGTGTGGAATAACGGTTGATTCTACGTGTATAATTGGGGTTTACTTTAATCTAAGGGATGAACTACAATTGATGGAGTTAAGTAACACAACCTTGAGCCCCCAGAGGAAGGAGCTCATCATTTCATAATAGTTGAAAATAAGGCAAAGTCGTCATCATAGCGGGTTAATTAAACTTCATAAGGCAGAGTACAGTTTGCTTTAAGTTGTATATTGTTGATTTCTAGTAACTTGCTACTGAATAGTACTGGTGTCCATAGCGATAAGTAATCAGTGGTAGCTGACTATAATAATTTACTTGTCTGTTGGTAAGGTAACAAAGTCTTGGATATGCAAATAGAATATTTATGTTCGTTAGTTTTGATATTAAGGATAATAACGCTGAGGGCATTATATGCCCTTTTTACAGGCTGTTCATCCAGAAAAGTTGCTTTTGGTTATCATGGACCCATTTTTGAGCCATCATTTGACTACCTGGGTGAGCCAGTCTGATATTTCTTCACACAGACATCTAAACAACCCAGTGACTTCAAACATGTGCAAGGACAGGTATTAACAAATATTCATTATGATTCAAGATAGACGGGACGCTACAGCATCGGAATCACTTCCTCTTCCGAGGAAAAATAATACCGACATTGACAGGACTCGAACCTGCGCGGGTACACCCAAGACATTTCGAGTGTCTCGCCTTAACCACTCGGCCACAATGCCACAGATAAAATTATAGACGTTTTAGTCACGTCTTGACCATTACTAGTACTGGTATTGATGACCATATACCGAAGTGTAAGAGGTATAAAAGGAAAGGAAATGGATAAACCTGTTTATAATTGGCGGTACTGCAATAAGTACTTATCAACAGACTCTAATCACGTGTTAGTAGATTGGCTAATTATCTGATCTACCTTGTCCCAGACTCCACTATAAGTACTCGTAGCAGTTCGTAGTATGCTCGGAACATTTTCTTAACGGAATCGAAAAGAAACCACGCATTCGAATATCTATCTGGTACGTGACATTTTCAGCTTGTCTTGATCAATAAGGCTGGCACTACAGCGCGTTATTAGGGAATTGCCCTTTTCACCTGTGATATCCCCCCCCACAGTTTACAGGTCGCGAAAACCCCTTAGATATAGCTAATTCGATTAACATCAATAGCCACCCCCGCCCCTTACCCAGTAAATCAGTCACCCTTTACCTCTCACCGACAGTTTCCAGCAGATATCAGTAAAACCTATCTTAATGGGCTCAGAGGTACGGAAATCGGTCGAAAAAGTGCTCACAAGCGCCCAGCGAATCGCAGTCATTGGAGCCGGACCGTGTGGTGCTGTGGTGACCAAAGCACTCCTAGCCGAAAACTGCTTCAGCCACATCCAGGTATTTGAGCAACGCGCGACGTTCGGTGGTCTCTGGAACTTCAATACACACCAGAATACCGACCACGTTCCGTCCATTGACCCATGGTACACGCCAAGTCCCACAATTGCCACTGGTGCGGATATTGCATCCTCCAACTTGGATGAGGAGGCCTACAAGGGGGTGAATCCGGAGAAGGACGGGGCAGAATATGCCTGGCTAAGCGCGATATATGAACTTCTTGATACCAATGTGCCCTCTCCCCTCATGGAGTATCACGATTTGCCGTTCGGCCCGGAGCTCCCATTGTTTCCGTCGCATTTGGACGTGTTGAAGTACATGCAAGCATTTGCGCGTGGCATTGAGTCACATGTGAAGTTCGGTACTAAAGTGGTGAGCGTGGAGCAAGACAACAGTCTAAAGTGGAATGTGGTGCACAGAGCTGTGTCCCTGGGTACCCATGGTGGAGCTGATGCTTCAGACGATGTCACGGAGACGTTTGATGTGGTGGTTATGGCTACCGGAAACTACGATACGCCGTACATTCCTGTGATTACGGGACTCGCGGAATGGAACGAACGGTACCCGGGATCTATCACTCATTCTAAGGCGTTCAAGCACCCAAGGGACTTTACGGCAGTAAAGAAGGAAGGTGAGATTGTGGTTGTCGGAAACTCGGCCTCTGGTGCCGATATCGCCTTCCAATTAGCTACATACTTTGAACAAACAATTTACCAGTCTGTCAGGTCCGAAAACTCTCAACCAGCGGGGGCCAATCCTCACATCGTAAAGATCGGGGAGATCGGCTCAGTTGATAAGAGCCTGAAGATTGTTTTGTTAAAGAACGGAGAAACGCTCACAAACGTGGCGGCAATTGTGTTTGCCACAGGTTATTTGAAATCGTTCAAGATGTTGGAAGCGTTGAACCGTGAGAGCGAAAACAAGCTCATCACTGATGGGGCCCGTGTGCATGGCTTATACGACCATATGTTATCGTTGCACCACCCCGGTTTAGTGTTTATAGGCTTACCACGGTTTGTATTGCCTACCCATATAGCTGAATCCCAGGGTTCCTGGCTTACGGGGGTGCTTGCCGGCAGAATTGCCTTACCAGAAGAATCCGTCTTAACCAGCTGGGAGGGCGAGAGAGTGCTGTCCCACGGTAATGGCAGGTATTTCCATGACATGCAGTTTCCCGAGGATGTGGCTTACTATCTGAAATTGAACAGGCAGGTGTATGAATCAGGGGGCTGTGGTTATGTTCCAGGGGAGTGGTCAGAGGAGCGCGTGAGGATCCGAGCCTCCACCAAAGCGATAAAGGAAGCGTATATCAAAATGGAAGAAATCACGGGAAGAAAGGCGTCTTCTGTTGCAGACTTGGTTGAAGCGGGATACTTCAAGTGGCCTGAGTCATGAATATGAAGATTGGCTGTACGGGTACTCAATTGGCTAAACTTCAGGTTGGATGCTAAACATAGTGATATATAGACATTAGAGGGATTTAGAGTTAAGATTCGTCGACGATAGATTTATTTATATACGTACATCTGAATAACTGTCTTTTTCTGAGTTTTATAATCAGCTGGACGATCTGCGTAAATGTTCATCACCGCTATACTTTACACCAGCCAAGAATTATTAAATCTTGAGGACGAGATTCTAACAATGAGGGTGAATTACTATGGTAGAGACTGGAATGTCAGCTTAGCTGTCATTACCAATCTCTAGCTGGACTAACAACGAATTTAATTCACTGACTGGGGCTATGTACAATTTTAAACGTACCTGCTAATCATATGGGTTTCCGGTGTGATCTGCATCCTATACATGTTTAAAGTGTATGTTTCGCCGAGATATTTTTGGTTCAAAGGTTTAATCCCCACGTGTCTATCTGTGGTTTGTTTTAACCGTTACCTGACCTTCATACTATTTACGAGTCATCGTAAATCCGTATCATATAGCGTAAGCATACACTGCTAGTGCAGTTGCACCTATCACTAGAAGTTTGACTACAGAAAGGTCGAGCTTGCACAGAACCCTTCGCATCGGCACAATTTATGCGATGTTCGAAAAGTATCCATCTCATCAGGCCACCTCGCTTGGCATACGCCCAGTTCTTGTCTACACTTTATCTTTCAAAACATTCACTATGTACAGGTAATAGTTTCTCCTAGACTACTCTTGGGGCCAAACTGATAATTTTGTTGTGGTGCTTGTCCTTCAATTCCTTGGCAACCACACTGGTGATTCTGGTGCCAATCGGCTCACCGGAGTTCTTGTTGACGAGCACACAGGCGTTGTCGTCGAATCTGATGGTGGACCCGTCAGCTCTGTTTCTGATCTGTTTGGTTCTGCAGACAACCGCATGCACGACATCACCTCTCTTGACTCGGTTGGAGTTGGAGGCACCGGTGATGGAGGTGGAGATTGGCTTCGCCTCCTTGACGACAACAACGATTCTGTCGCCCAAGGTGGCATAGTTCATAGGTGTCTTTCTCAAGACCTTGATACACTCGACAACCTGGGCACCGGAGTTGTCAATGACTTTCAATAAGGACTTTAAGTACAACATGTGTGTAGTGGATATGTGCTGAGTGCGTCGCAAAACCTCTTGTCTTTTGTGTTCCCGAATTTTTCAGTCATTTTCGCGGTTGATGTTAGAAGTTTTCGGAACTCGGTGCAGGAACTATCACGTGCCAATTATGTTACCATATGCACGACAAAAAATCTCCCTGCAGCACCTTATCATGCAAGTAAGATAGACACTGTAAACAACTCCGGTTGAATTGAGTTAGATCCATTACTATCATATGTCTTTTACTCTATTGTACGTCTTTTTCTTTTAAGAATTGCTTCTTGTTTCGAGATGTTTTATTGACTTCTTATATACTAATATTGCCAGTACTTACGGCACTTTGATGCATCCAAGAGTACTCTGTCGAGTTTTAGGCTACAACGGCGACATTGATGATAACGGAAGACCATCGGGTCTCGGCTTCCAACATTCCACACTCATAGGGTACACACGGAGGCAGGTAGTAGGCCTAAAGTACCCCGCAGTCATTGCTGATGCTAACGATTCCGTGGACGGTGTGGTAGTTTCTGGCCTAACGGCGGAAGATATGACGCTACTAGACGCGTTTGAAGGGGATGAGTACGACAGAAGAAGCGTAACTATTGGTGGTGAAGATTGTATGGTGTACTACTGGATTGCAGGGGCTGACCGTCTTGCTAACAAGTCCTGGGATACCAGTTTCTTAGAAGATGAGGCACAGGTACAGAACTGGCTCGAAGCCGAAGGCGTGTGAGCACGAAAAAAGTACTTAGAATGTGTTAACTGTTTATTTGGGGGGGTACCTCTGTTATCTGGACAAGCCTTCCTGCGTTGGTTCACAGAAAACTTGACGTAAGCGTCAATTCCGATAGTTATCCCACGTCTTCTTAATCCTTTTTGCCCCGATTTATTAACGTATTCACCAAATTGTTCATGAGATTGTTGACTCTATTTCGGATTTTCTATTGAATCCGTTAAAATATGGTAACTTTCCTATCTAGATTGTCGAGTTGCTCCCATGCTATACTACACATCTCGTGCTAAGCCGAAATTTATTCCAAACATCTACGACCTCGATGAGTTTCAAGCTTAAACCAGTTTGATCACACTTCAGATGTATGCAATATATTTCAACTTGGAACTCTTTACCATCTCTCGTGCCAAGGAACCCAACCTCACCGGAAAATTGGGTGTCTATAAAGCAACATCTCAACTACCCTTGATAGCTGCACAACTTAACCACACAGACATATCCCCCGGCTCAGTCCCCGAAAGCAACGAGCAATTTTCCACCAAAATACCCAAGCTAAACAGAGGGTAATCTAGAGATATAATTCGAAGAGAAAACACGTTGATTGACTCTAAATAGCAGATGCAGCAAGGAGTGACGCTCGATTCCCCCACGTCTAAAGCATAGTACCACGGATTATGCAGCTACAAGAAACACAACTTGGGTGAAGCCACACCGAAACCATCAAGGAAGCAGTACAACGGCCTAAGTCCTCTTTTGCCAGAATTCTTTCGCTGAAAATCTATCTCAAGCACCATCCCTGGCGCTCGACTAAGGGCGACAGATATCAATTATACCTCGCTCGCATCTCACCATTCCTTCACCCTAACTGGAACACCCTGCTGTTTCACACCATATCCCGTCCAGAGGTCTCCCAAGAACTTGAAACGGATTTCATCCACTACAGAAAACTCAATAAGCTTCCCCTGGTGCTCCGGCAACGTACTCGCCCCGATACTGTCGTACGCACACCACAAGTACCCCGAGCATGACTTATCCATGAACCAACCAAGCGGCGGTTCTCTGCGGTTAGTTTTGTGCCGAAGGAGCTGGCTAGCCGGAGGAATGATGGCGGCCTGGATGCTTATAGAGTCGTAGTACATTGCCTTAATGCTGTGATCGTTGAAGCCTGTGCGGTCGTCATAGCTACGGGCGCCGGAATACATAAGCAACTTCTCCGATCCCTTTGACCGCTCAAAGGAGCCCGGCTTTTTGCAAAATTTGAACCCCGAGTTAATCCACATCAAGGTCTGATCGTCATCGGAGGAAATATGACCCGGCTGGATCGAGCAGATCTCGTGAGCCACCGCGGGATGGAACGCCTCTGGTGTGAGTATCCCCACTGCCCCGGCGTAGTTGTCATTGAACCGATAATTCTCGTCCCCAGCGATTGACATCCCAAGCCAGAACATTTCTTTGTCTCCCCACACACGCGCCTTGACCTGCCACCAGAAATTGAGGTTTGCGGCCATGAGAACACCTGTAAAATGCGCTGTTTTGCGGTATGCCACGATACCCGACTCCATCAAGTGCATCTTATGAGCCTCCTCACTTATGTATTCGTTATGGAGTGTGAAGTTGGTGGTTACAGGGATGCCAAAGAGCAAGTTGTCGAACACACGCGGCATCATCTTACGGAACAAGACGCGCCCGTCACGCGCGCTGGACTGGCGTACCTCTCTGTCCTTGAAAAACAACGTCTCTGACGCCACATACCCCGAGGTTTTGAAGAAGTCCGCGGGTTTGATCAACGGAACGGCGTCTGTATCCATCAAGAGTGTCTCGTCGAAAGAACCAAACAAGTACGAAAAGAACTTGTTTGCAAATCGACTAAAGAATTTTTCATATTCCGGCTTCACAACCGCACTCACATCCGCAAACCAGAGCTCCTGCAGGGGAAAAGCGAAGTCGTACACGGATCGGCCCACACCTGCTTTCTTTGCTTCGTGTTTCACGGGTTCCTTGCTATCCTTGAGCTCGTAGAGCTCGATAATCTTGCGGTAGGTCTTTGGCATGGATGCCATGTCGAACGGCTGTCGCGCGGCAGCCACCAACTCCTGTTGTGATTTCTGGCTCAAGTCTTTGCGGTGAAAGATTTGAATCGGCAACTTGTTGTCGAGGCCACGCAACACGCGGATGAGGTTCACTACGTCTTCTTTATGAGCATCGCCCGCGGTAATCACAATTCCCTTACCGTTGAATCCCTGGAGGAGATCGAGAATGTAGCAATCAGCGGGGTTGCGGTTTGCCTTCTCACTTGTCTTGGTTTTCTGAGAACTATCCTTCATGTAATCAGCCATTACTGGGAGCCGGCCCTTCACTGTTTCCCCGCTCCACCGAGTAAACACCGGATATGTCTGCAACATCCACGGGAAGAGCCGCTCTTGCAAGGCTGCACATGTGTTATTGGCTCCAACATGGACTTTGCCCTTGGCGTTGTTTTTGAGAGCTGTGACCGCATCTTTATTGGCGTCGAATCTGTTGTGACTGAGGTAGCACGAGCCAAAGACCCGCAAGTTGGTGGCAGCATCCACTATGGACTGTTCGGTGGCTAAAAAACCTTTGTACTTCGCCTCGAATACGGTTTCAATCTCCTGGACCTCCTTCTCGTTGACTTGCTCTGTCTGCCAGGGCACGGGTTTCTGGTTGTGTGGGGGCGACTTCATGTCCTCCTCGCGAAGCTCGTGCCGTGCCATGTATTTCTGGCGCTTCAACTGTTCCGTTTCCTCCCGCACAAATTGCTCGTGGTTGTTCACACGCCGGTCGTATTCGTACTGCTTGCCGTTCTCGAATGTTTCGAACATCCACCATGGGTCCCGCGTGTGGACGTCCTGGAAGTAGAGCTGGCAGTTCTCGCGTTTCGTGTTCTCAAGCACCTGGGCTGCATGAATCGTGAGCATGTTTTTGTAGCTGCTGGATAACTGTTTGTCGAGGTCTATCACCAAATCGTGGATCTGTTGAATCATCGACGCCTTACCAACTATAGGGTCCAATCCTTCCGCGAGCTCTGAAATGGTGACACGAAAGTCAGAGCCGTTCATCCACGCGTACAATATCTGGATCTGGAAAATGCAGAAGAGAAACACCACCACCTTGATGCCTGCCCGAATGTGTGGGCCTCGCACGTAGCGTCTCAACCACTTCTTGACGCGGATGCCTTTTTCGAGCAGTCTCGGCTTCTCAGTGGAGTCCATGGGAGATTCCGTTGTGTGTATCGTTGGAGATTGCTTTACGATCGAGGTACTGAGTCTGGTATTTCACAAGGGTTTGTAAAGGTGTTTCAAATGCGGAAGACTCATGAAATTCAGCGACTTCCTGTGTCCCAGCACACGAGAAGTGAAGTGTGAATTAAATCATCCCGAGGAGTATATAGGGGCTATACCACCCATCAAGGAGAGTGCACGCCAATTTTCTACCGAATGGGATCGCCTGATTGGACATATTGATCTGCGAGTACACTTTAATGGACGAAAGCGGGCTTGACATAAGGTGAAATGCGGTCAATGTGTGCATGCAGGTTATTACTAGATAAGAGATAAGCCTGGTTGTCTAGCTAACTCGCTTAATAACACAGTTTGGCAGACCTCAGGCGGAACACATAATAACGATAAGCCGTGGAGATAGATATCTGAATTTACGGCCGAGGTGAACGTTAACGCGCGGGCTTGGTTAGCAGTCCTGTTCACGTGCAATGACGCCCGCCGGATTAACGATAATTTAAAATCATGCAGCTCTTGGTATTGGCCAAAGCTGTATGGATACACAGGTTTATATGTACCCGTTTCTTTCACAGCCTGCCATACCAGTGAAATTTACAAGAACCGACAGAAGTGGTGGACTCCACGGAGTTGGCTCGGCTCTGTGCGCCATCATCGGATAAAAACAGTGTATGAGACTCTATCATGCCATCTGAACTTTGTAAATTCATTCTTGTGTTAGCGCTTAACGTGCTCTTTTCAGGTCTTACGTATTTAAGACCTGATCTATTTGAAATTAACTTTTTTTTTTTTCTTCAATCAAACATAAGCACTATGGGGCAAATCGCGTGTCTGTACGATTCAGACTGAGTCTGAAACTGTGAGCGCCATTTTGATCAATCCCTGCCGCAAATCTTTATAACAGAGGAAGGAGGAAATTTCCGGCACATTGTGAGTACCCATCGGAGAGTACAGATTGCTCTAGATTGACTTGCGTATGTATGTCGGATGCAGATCCTTGCAAGGATTTATGTTGCCAGACCTATAACAGACGTTTCCTGCAAAAGCTAGTTGAAATTAGTTTAAGGGTGAATGCCAAAACACCTATGATGGAGACTTTTTTTTCGCATTCTGTATATCACCATTTCTAGCCGACCTTGCTATCTACAGAACTATAGATTGCTTTTTCGGAGACTTAAGCGAAGCTCCACGTAAGGCATGAGCTAGAACTGCAAATCACAGGAAGATAAGACCTGACTTACGCTATCCTATCAAAGTCGCTATAACCAAATATTAGTTAGCCATCGGAGAGGGTAAACTTAAAAAACTTCTGGAGAGCTAAAAATAAGAAAAAAAAGAGCTCTCGAAACCTGAATGGGTGTATCAGTGGTGGCATTGTTCCTGTTTACCGCAGACTCTTTCAACAGATCACCTACCAGACCTCAGGAAGGCGGTACAATAACGCGCACTAATTATCTACATACATACAATCTCGTATCTTGGTATCAAATTAAAGCTGCAAAAAACTCTAGGCATTCTCAATTGTATACCTATATGGATTTTAAACCCTGAACAAAGTTAATGTTTAGGATTCAATCTGAGCATACGTGTGCTTGGATAAAGAAGTAGATTAACCGTGCCTATTTTCTAAGCTTTGGGTAGAGGCATCTCCTTAAAATAACGGATTTTCTCTCACAGTAACACCCTGCTGCACAATACCATAGCCCGTCCAAAGGTCGCCCAAGAACTTGAAGCGCAACTTATCCACGACGGAGAAACGCACCAACTTGCCGTTAAATTTTGGTTCCAGCGACCCTCCGACACTGCTGTAGGCACACCAAAGATACCCACCGCATGTATTACCCGCTTGTTGCCAACCATGTCGTGGCTCTTCCCCTTCGTTCTTTACTGAATCCGAGCCTGGTGGAATAATAGCACCATCGATGCTGATCGCAGCGTGGTACATCTTTTTCACCATCGCCTCGTTGAAAGCCTCCAAATCCAGTCGACTACGAGCCCCGGAGTACATCTGGGCATGTTCACTCTTCTTGAAGCTATCAAATGTCCCCATCTTCTTGCAAAATTTGAACCCAGAGTTGATCCAGAGTAATGTTTGATTATCATCCGAAGATATATGCGCCGGGTGGATCGAACAAACTTCTGTAGCCACCGTTCCTTTGGGGCGGAACTCCTTTGGAGTAATTTCTCCGACGGAAGCCGCATAGTTCTCATTAAAGCCGTAGTTTTCATCGCCTGCTATTGACATCCCGAGCCAGAAAATTTCCTTGTCACCCCACAACTTTTCTTTGGCTTGGTTCCAGAAGTTTATCGTAAATGACATCAAGGAGCTGGTGTAGTGCGCTGACCTCCGGTAAACCACCACTCCTGCCTCCATATAGTGTCTGCGGCGTACTTCGGGATCCATGAACGGATTCTTGATAGTGTAGTTGCTGGTGGCAGGAATGTCAAACAAGATTTCGTCAAGCACTGTCGGAAACATTCGGTGGAAGAACTCACCGTCGTACTCGGAATGTGTTAAGTCGAGATCTCTATCCTTGAAGAAAAGTGTCCCCGTGTTAATAAATGTTTCTG